TTATACTTATTTTTCCTTAATTTTGTTTAAGTTATATTATTTCTTTTATTATTTATTTTGACATTCGGATCTTCTGATTTACTTTTATTGAATTACATAATTTGTGTCAAGCTAAGATTGATATTTTAATGTTCATGATACGAAAGAAAACTAATATCAATAAAATGATTATTTGAGATTAAAAATTATCCAAATTTAATTTAAATTCATTATCATTAAATATTATTTTTAATATGTAGCCAAATTCTTTAAAATAAATCATTTTTTGATACCTAATCATAAAATCATCATTTCTCTAGTATTAATTATCAACTTTGCCTTAAACTTTTGATGTTTTGCCTAAACCTAATTGAATTTTTTTCTATGATACTTCAATTTTAATTTAAACAAAAAAATAAATTCTTATAAAAAATATTTCGATTTTATTGCAACATTTCTCCAAAGTTAAAATAAATTTTGTCAATAAAAATTAAAAAAGAAACAAATTGAACATATAATGATTTAGGATCGTGAAAAAAAATCTATAAGATTTAAAAAAAAGTAATAAATATCAAAAATATTACATATTATTAAACATTAATTTATATTAATATTGTATAAAAATTAATTGTCAAATTTAAAAAATCAGAATACTTAAACAAAAACATTGGTTGAGATTATATTTTTAATTTCTTATTTACTTTTTTTGTTATTGTATTTCTAAAAACTTTGATATAATTCATAAACAGTTTTGACTAAAGGACCAATCAAGCTGAAAACTAAGAGTCCAATTTGTAAAAAACCTATATAAATTTGTTAATTAAAAGTTGTGTAGCTTTAAAAATCTTTACTGTATGTAATATTTAATAGTAAGTGAAAGGTTATTGGAATTTCTAGTGATAATGTGGTCAAAATTTCTATTTTCGAAGTTATAAATTTAAGTCCTAGAGCTAATGTAATGTAAAATGTTATAAAAAATCCCATTAATATAGATTAAACTGTAGGATGAAATTGCATTGATGTTAATAAAAAATGAAAAGAAAACTTTTTAAATAAAATTAACTTTTCATGTTAAATTTATTTTCCTTTAGTAATATCTAATTTATTATAAAGTTTTCTAAAGTCATAAAAGAAAATTTGTAACATAATCCAAAAACAAATAAAGCAAATTAATAAAGATATATTTTATCTATATTCAGAGTTGGTATATGAGTTTAAAAATAATCCAACCTTAAACATTAAGTCCCAACTGTTTGCATAAAAGAATTAAATAAAAGTATTTCTATTAATTATTTTCGATATTTCTAAATTATTTTTTTTATATATGTAGAGATTGATGAAAAATTATTAAAAGAGATCACAGTTAAATTTCCTAATAAAAGAAAAGATTTTTTCCAAAGAAATGTATTTTGAAAAATATTTTTCATAAATAAAAAGCATCAAAATAAATGCACCTCCAATACTCAGCTAAAATATAAAACAATTAAAATTAGATAAAAAATCTGCATTTAATTCATATTCTTTAAATTTACCAATGCTTTCTAGAAAGTTATCTTCAATTAAATTTTAATATAAATCTTCAAATTTTAAATAGTTTAGCAAAGGTTCTAAACTAATAAAATTTGAAGATTCAAAATAAATTTAAACATTATAAGGATATGCAACATTAATATATTTTAAATACTATTAATATTAGAGAATATCTATTAATTCTATTGTTTAAGCAAATCTTCCTAAAATTATCATAATAACACTACTGCAACCTATACTAAGCATAAAACTATAACCAATAGTTTTTAAAGTTTTTGAAGTGTCTCTTTAAAATGATGTTAAAACTTTAGGAGCTTTAAGTTCAATAGAAATATTTGTAGGAGATACAGATTATTCATTTTCATCAAAAATAGTTTCATTAATGAAAATAGTAAAATTAACTTTGCTTTATATCTATTCGTAAAATTAAATTTTAAAATCGTAAAATATTTATCTATGTTCATTTTAAGCTATAGGAATTACAGGAATGCTTGTTATTTGATAATTATCTTCTTAAATCCCTAAAATTTTGAATGAATTTTAATTTATAAAATTTTGAGGTAATGTATTAGATATTAGTCTAACTTTTAAAGAATATGTAAATTAAACAAATTAATAAAGATTTGTGGAATTTAAATATTGAAGATAAGATGTTGTTAATGAATAACAAGTATTAATTTATTCTTATTTATTAAAACAGATCCAATTACTTTCAATTTAACATAAATTGGAGCATCCATCGTTACTTAAAATGTTACCATCATCACATTCTTCAGAAAGTTCTAGAACTCCATCTCCACATAAAAATTTTAAACATGTTCCATTTAGAAGTTTAAATTATTATTAACATTTTAGACATTAGCCTTGAATACATTCTAAACATTCATTTGTACAATTATAATTAGTATTGGTATTTTAAATATCTACATCATTAGGATTAAGTTTTAGACATTTTCCATCAATATATAATTCATCAATTTAACAAAGATCATGACATTGTCCATATTAGCATCTTTAACAATCAGAATTACATTCTAATTAACAATTATAACAACCATCAAATTAAAGTTGATTGCCATCTTCACATTATTCTAAACCAGGTACGATATAATTATCTCCGCATATAGGTATACAGATGTCTTAGACTGAATGAAAGTATTCTTAACAAATTTAACATTAATTTAAATAATTGCATAGTAAACAATTAGAACATTCAGATTAACATTAATAACATCCATCTCCAATCAAATCATTACCGTCATCACATTATTCAGTTGGTACAGTAATACCATCTCCACAAAATGGTATACAATTTTCATCAATCAAATACCATCCTTCTTAACAGAGTAAACATTTTGAATTAACACAATTTAAACATTCTAATTAATAATTTTATTAACATTAAAAACAACCATCAAATTAAATTTTATTGCCATCATCACATATTTCAAATTATTGTATTAATCCATCATTGCATATTGATACACATTATTTTTTAGATTTTGTCAATTCATAACCAAATTAACATTCAAGACAGATATTCCATTATTAATTTGTACATAATGGAATATTATAAATCTAACATTAATTATAATAATATCCCATAATACCATAATTTAAAGGATTACAATCTAAAAATTATGAAAACATTAATCTCATATGATCATTATTCAATTAAATATGTTAATAATATCCTTGAGTTTATATATCTTCTATTTGTGATAAACAACCCTTTGATTATTAATCTCTCACATCACATACATAAATACATTTTTGATTAATTAATTCATATGGTTATAAACATTCAATACATTTTCCTTTTTCACATTACTTACAAAAATTAGGACAAGAGTATTTACATTAATGACAACCATCATAAGGAATAGAATTACCATCATCACACTCCTCATTTTATACTAATTTTAAATCACCACACTTTGGATTACAACTCTAATCTTATTGGTTGTATATCCAACCTTCTTCACATTATAAGCAAATATTTCTTACACAAAATATACAACCTTCAACATATTGAAGTATATCTAATAAACAACCTTCATAGGGTTATTAATTAGATTCTTCAATAATCTTTATAATCTTTTAATTAGTAAACAATAAAAAGTCTTCAACTCCAAAACGTGGTCCTGTTACTGTTGGTGAAGTTTGTGAAAAAACAAAATCTATACGGATCTTAATTGTAGGATTTGAGTGAGCCATTTCATTTAGTCTTAAATCTAAATTTTATATTAAAAAGCAGTATTATGGAATAGTATCTATTACAGATGATAATTTTTATGTTGTAGTTACAATTTGATCATCTATTTTTAATGTAACAGTTGGACTATTACAATTTTATAATACAAATTTTATTGCACAACTAATTTTATTATGAGGATTTAAGTTGACATTCGTTTCCATATAACTACTTGAAGTTGAACCTATAAAATTAACCCCTAATTTGCTAATTAAAAAATACCTCCACAACTAAAACTTTGACCTAAACTTGCTGTTAATATAGGAACTTAAATTTAATCTAAACATCCATTTGAATTACATGCTTAACATCCAGAAGGGCATTCATCTATTTCTAATTTTAAATTAGAAATCCCCCATCTATTTCCTTCACCTTTTAAAACAACAGTTAGAGACGGATAAAAATGTTCGAAACTTACTTCAATATTAACCTCTTCATCATTTATTGTATTATCTTAACATAAATTAGTTGTAATGTCTAATTGTGATTAGAAAGCTCGATCGTATATTTTTTCATAATTAGCATAAATGGTAAAGTTTTTATTATTCCATGTATCGATTCTAAACTAATTTTAAGAATAGTACCTCCAAAATTTTAGGGATATGATAACTTAATAATGAGGAACAAGAGTAAATTTTCGATGCACTACCAAATTGTCCAATATGGGGTTATCAAAATATAATATTTGCTGCGAATTACAATAATCAATACCACCAACATAAGGGTTCATAGCTATCAATAACCATTAATCTAAAATTTAATATTAGTATACTAGGTAATGTGAATCCACTCATAAAGTCTGTACAGACTATTTATCGATTAAATACACTTAAAATCATTTTGAGTAGAATTATTATACGTAAATGCTTTTAAATTTCATCAAGAAGTGATATTAGGCTATCTACATTAAATATCATTAAAATTTTTAATAGAAATAATTATATTTAAAGTGTGTTTTCAGACTAAAAGTTAAAGAAATTTTTATTCTCATAGATAACAATATTAATGTCTTAATTTAGTCAAAAAAGTATTGTAAACTTCAACTAAAGTTAATTGTTTCTAATATTAGTTTTAAAAATTTCACCATTTAAGTTCGTTATTAATCAAAAGAAATAAATAGTAAATCATTAATCTAAACTTCCATTATTATTTTCATAAATGCAATAATTTTTTTATTTATATCGTTTTTATTTCCATAATAATTTTAAAAGCATGTGTGTATTTAATACCACAATTCTTCTGAATTAAGTTTACGTTTAATGCTATTCTTAATAAGAGTTTTCTAAAATCAAAAAAGATTTTTCTTGATTTGTACAATATTGTAATTATATTTGAAATTAAAAAAAAGCTAAGCTTTTTAGATAATTCATCTTTTCTTCATTTAAAATTTTTTGTAAGCTCGAATTCATGTTTTTAAATGAAATTTTTGCTTTTTTGGCTTTTGAGATTCATTGATTTAAAGGTGAAATCAAAAAAAAAGTGTAAATGTGTAAAATATTTCAACTTAATCCTTGAAAATTTTTTTTTAATAATTCAATTTGAAAATAGCCTAAGATAGCCTAAGAGTATGAGAAATAAGCAAATTAAAAGTCTAACTACTAGCTTAATAACAAAAAGCAGTAAATATTGATAAATATCGAAATTTTTGTACCAATATTACCTTCTTCTTCTTTAAATTATGTCTATATTAAACTTTTCTGGAACTTTTTTTTACATTTTAATACACACTCTCCCTATTTTAGTGTTAACATTCCACTTAAATATATATCAAAATGAAATATTATAATATAGACTGTTTGTTGTTTGCACAAATTAAAAATTTCTTTTTTGAAGCTTAAGAGAGGTTTAATTTGATTTGGATTAAGAGGATATTTAAAGTACTTTTTCTTAGAATATCTAAGAATCCCTAATTCTTTTCTTTGATATTCTAATTAATATGTATATATTATAATTCAATGTCTTTTGTCTCTATAAAAATTGGTTTAAAGACTTGAAACAATTCAAATTTTATATAATTCTAATAGAATAGAGAAACATTATTTAGCGTATTTTCAAATCCTTTCCACTTTTGTGTTAATTTTCTTAATGCTAACTCTCTTATTTTAGAAATAGATTCTAGATTATGATTAATTCATTCTATTATATATACACATATCATGATAAAATATTCAAATTGGATTTAGAGAATTTTGTATTGAAGAGAATAAAATTCAGAAATAATTAAAATAAAAAAACATTTCAGTTTAATTATTTTAAAGTGTAAATATGGAAAAAGAACTAGAATAATTTTAATTTATGCAATAATAGATTAAAAGTAATATCAAATGACTAAAAATTCTAAAATTTTAGAATGACTAAAATATATACTCAAAGTTTTATAGAATTCGAAGATATTTTAAAAGGATTCGTTTAGTTTAATTCGTATAGCAAGTGAAATGAATTGCTCCAAATACCCTTATATTGAATTGAACATAAAACTATTTTTATCTTTTTTTTCATATTTGACATAATATGTAGAGTTTTTTCCTAATTATAGAATATTTAAAATATTTAAGAAAAAAAAAATTAATGCTAGATGATATTTATAGTTTAATGACCATTTAATTTGATTTTAAAATAAACTCTAAGAGACTAAGTGTTATATTGTTTACAGTAAAAGATAAATTTTTTAGAATGTTAGTCAGATATAAGAAGATATTGGAATAATATTAATTCATTTTATATTTAGAAATGAAATAATAAAATCAAAAGAATATTTATATTAATGAAAATTTAATAAATTATCAAATGAATTCAAATCAAATATTCTAAAATAATCATAAATATATTTTTAGATCCACTTTTTTTTTTTAGTTTATATAGCCGTTTAATTTATAATTAGATATCTTAACTAATATCCCTCCTCATTCATACGCACCTCCTCATTCATAAAATCTTCTCATTCATACGCATCTCCTCATTCATACGCATCTCCTCATTCATAAAAAGTATATTTCATTTTTCCTCATTCAATTTCAAAATACTTCTAGAAATGCAATATAGGCATTCAGAACTCGGTTCTTTCTGATTGTATCTATAATCATCATATCTTTACTTTCTTAAATTTAAAACTCTAATAAATTAGTCCACAGCCATAAGCCAGCATATTAGATTTTGATATTCAGAATTCAATATTCTATAAGAACTAAAGAGATTATTTTTCAAATTGAAATGAAAAATTATCATTGCTTTTTTCTATTTATAATCTAAAAATTTAAGTACATTTTTAAAAAAGGATTTTTGAATTAATCTAGTTCATTTTTTGGATGTATATATAAAGATAAAAATATAATTAAGTCGATTAAATAAATATTTATTTTAGATTTAGTTTTACATTATTAATTCAAAATAAATATAGTACTCAATTGATTCATAAAATTAGATTAGAATATATGTAATACGTTTTGAGTTCTTTTCTATATTTTATATCAACAAACAAAAATTATATTGAAGAAATTTTCAATAGATAGAATTGTTATCATAATATATTTTAAATTACTCTTCTCTATCGTACAACTGTTCAAATAAATCATTCATCGAGACATAAAAAGTATAAAATAGATAGCCAAAATCATTTTAGAGGGAAAATTACCATAAAAATAATACAATTAGAAGAACAGTTAAGAATAATAAGACACTATGTGTTTGAGTAAGATGCTTTATTATTTATATATTGTTGATTACACTTATCTTTTTTTTTCTAGATACTTTTTAACTCCTCTGAGAATGTTAGAATAAAACATTTGAAATCCTTTGAATATATATTCAGAAAATAAGTGTATTTAGATCGTCCTAAATATAAGTACTCAAATAATTTAGTTAATTTCATCATAAAAAATTAAGTTTTAGTAGAAAGTTTATGAATTTTAAGCATATAAAAAAAATAGGAATCATTTAAAATTTAATTCGGCTAAGTATAAATATAAATTCATTAAAATGAAAGAAAGAATTGAAAAATCTTCATTTTGTATAATAAAAGATGAATAAAATAAAACTTTAAAAATCTACTTCAGCTTAAGAATTTGTATTAATTTAGAGACAAAAGATTATCTTGAAAAATATATTAAAAAAATCTCAATTTCAAAATGATCAACAGAAAATCAATTTTTAAAAACATATACATGAAATATCAAATGCAATTAAATTACAAATAATTTATTATCTATGATGTAAATTATTATTTAAAATGTTTTAGAATTAGAAAACTAATCAAGCAGGTTTAAAATTAAGATTCATAAATTAAATTAGAGAGCATATTTAAAATTAAATAACCAAAAAGAAAATTATATATAAAATAATAGTAACTATAGAAATGCTATTTTATATATTTAAAATGAAAAAAGTTCTCAATTATTTTTGATATATCCAATAAATTAATTAAAGATAATATTGATATTGAATAATTATATTTATGGTAAATAAATGAATTGTTATACACTTTCAAGGTAATTCAGTTAAAATTTTGCTTCATTAAATTTATTGTAAAAAACAAAATTATGGAAAATAGAATGGAATTTAAATAATCAAACACTTAAGATCATTAACTTAATTTTTAAATTGTTTCAAATTCTAAAAATTCAACAAAGTTGATTTAAAATGGTCTGATTACATAATAACTTTCTTTATATAAAAATATATCAACAAACATGAATTAGAAAGAATATAATATTTAATTTTATATGCTCATGTTAGAATTCCCACCTATTAACACTTATACTAAAATTTTTTTAAATATTCTTTTGAATGTTGCTGCAAATGAATAATAAATTTAATTCCGAGGAAAGCTTAAAGTTCGATTGAGAACCCTTTCTTTTATTTAAGTTTATCCATTTAACATAAAATAAGAACAAAATTTATAAAAATTTTAAAAACTACATATTGATGTCTAAAAGGATAATGTTAGCTGGGATTTCTCTATGGTTTTAGATTCAATTTTTATATTTTTATTGTATAACTTATAGATGATTTTTGTTTAATCATTGAAATTTTTTTTTCATTAATCAATAGAAAGCAAATCAAAAAGATTAATAAATTTCAAAGGAAAGGATGTAAAAATTCGCTTAATAGGTTGTTTTGAAGAAATACCTGCAAACCTTAATTTTTAATATTTAACTAAAGATTTTTAAAAGTTAATATAATTTTTTTTCTTTAAGTAATTATTAAATATATTACGTATTTTCTAGACATTATTATAATAATTCCAAAAATAATTATTTTCTATCATTATTATAAACTATAAATTACTGATTCCTCCAAATCATAAATTTAATTTACATGATCAAAGTCTTCATAATTTGTTTCATCTTTTTAAAGTTTTAACTTTTGTACTATGATCTCAATATCTAAAAGGCTTTATTGTTCAAAATCCAAATTATTCAAAATAACTTTCTCATCATTTCTATAAATTGGATCTTAAAATTATTATTCTAATAATTCAGTATCTTTCATTTCATTCAAAATATATGAATTTTCAATTTCCAATTCATTATTATTTACATTCGAGTATTGTTTTTCATTATTAGCTGTATTAATTGAATCCGAGCTTCCATTTTATTGAGAATTTACACTACTTTCTTAAGATAGTTCGAAAATCATCTGTTGATTGTTATTTTGCTAATATTATTATATATTCATTAAAAAGTTGGATATTTGATCGTTACCTGAAGATTAATTTTGCATTTTAATATTATTAAATTTTTTAAATTACAAAGTTCCTCTTAAAATAATAGATCTTCAATAATATATTTTTTTTTATATTTTGATCCAATAAAAATAATAATATTTATACATCAATAGCCACCAAATACAATTTAAATTAATTTTATCTAATCAATTTCATACTAAAATAATCTTACAAAAATGATGTAAATTTTTAATATTTAGAATGTTAATAAATTTTCAATATAATAATTAAATTAGTCAAATTTAAGAATAGAGGGTATTTATTTTTCAATACATTTTATTTATCGCCTGCAGTATTAATAACAAAATTCTTCCAATATTATAATTTGTGAAATCAAAAACTGTTGAGTTAGGATAATCTTTATTTTTATCAGATTAAGTTAATATTAGATTTGATTAAAATTCATCTTAAACAATATTTTAAAGAGAAGTTAAATAATTAGAATATAATAAATATTATATTAAATCCTTGCAATTCTTGAAAAAAAAAGTACAATCTGAAAGTTATAATCCATTTTTAATATAATTTTAATATTTAAATAATGAAATATTATTATAAATATTTTTATAATAAGAAGAAAAGTATATTATTCAATCAAAAAAAGTATTTAATGGTTTTTAAATAAGAGTACAATCTTGGTTATCTATTAAAACTGGTGTTTCTTATCTGAAAAAATAGAGAAACATCATTTGATTTTCATATTTAGAGTGAAACTTAAAAATAAAATAAAAATAGATNATAATTATTTTCTATCATTATTATAAACTATAAATTACTGATTCCTCCAAATCATAAATTTAATTTACATGATCAAAGTCTTCATAATTTGTTTCATCTTTTTAAAGTTTTAACTTTTGTACTATGATCTCAATATCTAAAAGGCTTTATTGTTCAAAATCCAAATTATTCAAAATAACTTTCTCATCATTTCTATAAATTGGATCTTAAAATTATTATTCTAATAATTCAGTATCTTTCATTTCATTCAAAATATATGAATTTTCAATTTCCAATTCATTATTATTTACATTCGAGTATTGTTTTTCATTATTAGCTGTATTAATTGAATCCGAGCTTCCATTTTATTGAGAATTTACACTACTTTCTTAAGATAGTTCGAAAATCATCTGTTGATTGTTATTTTGCTAATATTATTATATATTCATTAAAAAGTTGGATATTTGATCGTTACCTGAAGATTAATTTTGCATTTTAATATTATTAAATTTTTTAAATTACAAAGTTCCTCTTAAAATAATAGATCTTCAATAATATATTTTTTTTTATATTTTGATCCAATAAAAATAATAATATTTATACATCAATAGCCACCAAATACAATTTAAATTAATTTTATCTAATCAATTTCATACTAAAATAATCTTACAAAAATGATGTAAATTTTTAATATTTAGAATGTTAATAAATTTTCAATATAATAATTAAATTAGTCAAATTTAAGAATAGAGGGTATTTATTTTTCAATACATTTTATTTATCGCCTGCAGTATTAATAACAAAATTCTTCCAATATTATAATTTGTGAAATCAAAAACTGTTGAGTTAGGATAATCTTTATTTTTATCAGATTAAGTTAATATTAGATTTGATTAAAATTCATCTTAAACAATATTTTAAAGAGAAGTTAAATAATTAGAATATAATAAATATTATATTAAATCCTTGCAATTCTTGAAAAAAAAAGTACAATCTGAAAGTTATAATCCATTTTTAATATAATTTTAATATTTAAATAATGAAATATTATTATAAATATTTTTATAATAAGAAGAAAAGTATATTATTCAATCAAAAAAAGTATTTAATGGTTTTTAAATAAGAGTACAATCTTGGTTATCTATTAAAACTGGTGTTTCTTATCTGAAAAAATAGAGAAACATCATTTGATTTTCATATTTAGAGTGAAACTTAAAAATAAAATAAAAATAGATACCCAACCATGAGTTGGAAAGTTAGCTTCATAGATTCCTCTGCCTTAAATGCAATTATTTCTAAATTCTCCAATATATCTAGTTTTATCATTGAAAATAAGTTCTCCATTTCCATGCATTTTTCCTTTATATAAACTACCTTTATACACACAACCATTAGCAAATTCAAATTTACCTTATCCATGAATTTTGCCATCTTAAAATTAACCAATATATATTGTTCCATTTTTACGTATTTCTGTGCCTTCACCGATTAATTTATTATTAAGCCAAAATCCTTTGACTTCTTTTCGTGAATTCACAAATTTTCCAATACCATTAGCTACATTATTAACAAAATTTCCATCGAAACTAAACAATTATCAAACCAATAAAATACTAATCTCCATTTGGATAAATCATTCTGGCTCTTCCATTTAGTTGATTATCGATCCAAGTTCTTATTAAATTAAAATAAAGAATATACCCTTCTAAAAAATTGCCTTCTCTTTACCAGTGCTGTTTTCCTTAACCATTTCTTTTGCCATTTAATGTTTGCCCAAAATAAATACTCTGATCTGGCATCATTAAATACTGGCCTTATAGATTAGGGAATAAATCTCCCAATTCTTGATGGATTATTTGAACTTTAGGATGTAACTCACCTATACTGCTGAGATTTATTCCAATTTACAAGTATTAATCTTAAGAATCAGATAAGTCTAAATCCGTTTAAAGAGTTGTTTGCTTTACTAAAATTATTTTAGAGTAAGTACTACTTGAATCAGGTAATTTTATGTTGAATTGTTTCATGTGATGATTTTTTGTTGATACACATCCCATTTTTTTAATATTCAATTTTGATTATATAAAATGATCATAAATTAGAATACTTAAACTTAAATCAACTCTTATGTTTAAGATTTGAATATTCTAGATCAATGTTCTTAAAACAAGATTTAATAATTAGAATGTTAATTTCTTTATAATTTCTATATGCATACTATAATTTAACTTGAATGCAAAGAAGTTAATATGATAAAGTTCCTTATATAATGAAAAAAATTTTAATATTAAATAAATATTCATTAAATGTTATTTTATTTTAATGTCATAATGAAAAGACTTGTTGAACTATAATTTTCATATGATAAGAAATTTACTTTAATATTTAAGGGCAATAATATTATGAATGTACAAAATAATTGGAATAATATATTTAAAATATAATTTTCAATGAGTTTATCTAGGAATGGATCAAAGTTTTCTAGACATGATCGAATCACAAATTCTTAGATAATAGACTAAAGGAAGAGTAGTAAATTGTATTCATCTTCAAGCAAGAATTCTGATCAATAAGGTGGGTTTTTTTTGAGTTTAGCAAATATGAAAGCACCAGATTATGGATAAGGACAATTATTAAATAATGATGCTTTGAAAAATAAAATAAAGGAGAAGAGAAATTAAAAGCAAATGGATAATGATTCTATGTTAAATAAATTAGTAACAAGAGTAGAGAATAAAATGATTTAATCTCCATTAAGAAAAAAAGTAATAGCTATTGATACAAAAATTGAAGTACCTACATATATGAAACCATATTCCCTTACTCCTTAATCTCGATTATAATCATTTCGTATTTCAAGTCCTTCATCAAAACCTAGATCTTAGAGTTAAAATAAAAGAAATGAAATCTATTATCTAAGTAAACTTTAAAGAGCTTTTGATACAAATGGTTCTGATTGTTTTTCTCGTCTTTATCGTGAACATTTTCATTAAACTTATTAAGGCTTAAATTGTAAGTTTTTTCCTTAAAATAATAATGATTATAATCGATCTCATAAAATACCTAAAAAAAATTAAAGTAAACTACATTATAACAAAATAAGGATAAATCACTTTGTTTTTTGATTTAGATGAAACTCTAGTACATTGTAATGAAACACCCTCTTTACCTTGTGATGTACTTTTAGAAATAAATGTATCTAAACATTAAACAGTAAAAGCAGGAATTAATGTCAGACCATATGCAAAAGAAATGTTAAAAAATCTATCAAATTATTTTGAAATCATCATCTTTACTGCTTCTCATAGTTGTTATGCAGAAAAGGTAATAAAGATTTTAAATTAGGTTTGTAATTACTTAGATCCAGATTAAACAATTGTGAGTCATCGATTATTTAGAGATAGTTGTACTTAAACAAACGCTTCTCTTTATACTAAAGATTTGAGAATATTTTGTGATAGCACAAATAGATAATTAAGTTAAGTAGCTTTAATAGATAATGCATCATATTCATATGCATGGCAAATAGACAATGGAATACCAATAATCCCATTCTATGATAATAAAGATGATAGAGAATTAATAGAGTTAGAAAAATATTTAAAAAACATGATAGGAGTATCTGATATTAGAGAATATAATAGAAACAATTTAAAATTGCATTTATTTGTAGATTAACGTGGACCTTATAAAGTATTAGAAAATCTATTTGGGAAACCATAATAACTTTTATGAGTATTAAAAGATTATCAATAAATTAATTCAATGTTTTTTTCTTAATTTAGCATCAAACCTTTATGCTTCTTCCATTTTAGTTTTCATTTTCATTGCTAATTCAAAATTAGAAGTTTTCCATGCAATCAAATCTTCTCTGAAATTGGAATCAGATGGTAAAGGATTTCTAAGAATAATAAAATTAAAAAAATACTCTTCATCTTCTAATACATAGGGTTCAGTATTAATATTCCATATTTCTTAATTGTCAATAAACATATTTTTATGCCAGATTCCATGAATTTTTGAAATTGATCTTATAATTTCATTTTATTTTAATTCTTTAAATTTAAGATATCCATCTTTTTAGAATCTTTTAACAAATTCATCATTGACTTAATAGATATATCCTTCAAAATAATCATCTAAGTATTCTCTTCTCTTTTTCCAAATTGAGCCAGGATATGGATTCAATTTAATTTCAGCCACTAATTTATTTTTCAAATCAATAACATGAAATTTACCAACCATTTAAAATAGTTTATCACCATATAATGTACCTGTATACAATCCAGAACAAGGTAAGAAAATGAGTTCATTATTAGATTCGTAAAATAATACTTTTGTATATCCTTAATTGATTCCGCTAACTGAATTCGCAGAAATACTAGCTATAGTACATAAACGATGATTTACTCTATTATTATAATATAAATTATATACCTGTATCCTTTTCCATATATTAATAGATTACTAATTGGTGGATGGTGTGATACTTATTCAGCATAAATAGGACAACCATTAATGAATCCAGAATATGTTTCACCTAAAATAGGATTAAATGGTTTCCACATATTCAAATAAAGAATTATTGTACCATATCCATATGGTAAGAAATTCTTAAATTAAAATAAATAATCCTTTTTAACTGCTTCATCTAAATATTGTAAATATGTGAGTGAATTTGCATATCTTTGTAAATTACTCTATTTTTCAAATACATAAACTGGTAAACTAATACTCATTATAGACTTTCCAGAAGCTATATTAGATCCTATTTAAGACACTAAGTAAGAAAATACTTTTTTTTACTCTCTTAATCCAACTTAATCTACATATAATAAACCTCCTTAATTATAATCTATTTTCCAATAATTTTTAAATAAAAAATGACCTTCTGAAGTAGATTTCATGAACTTTGGTTCTACATTTACTGGTTCTAATTAAAATTCTTTATTTAAGCATACATTCCAATGTTTATTTTATTATACAAATTCTAAAAGTTCCATCAAATTATTAGGAATCTTAATTTCAAATTCAATTGATTAATCAAATTTTTCTGTTATAAAATCTTCTGATTAATTTGATAATGACATCGTAGTCTATAATTATTACTATTCCAAATGCAAATCTCTAAAGTTTATTACATAATCTATATGATCTGTTAAACCATGATATTATTCCATATAAGCAATATTCTATGCATCAAAAAAGGTATTATCATCTAATTAACATAAAATCTAAACTATTGTTGATTGATTCACCATATCATTAGAATAATTTTGATTTCTTTTCTATATTCCACTAAATGAATATTTTGATTTTCTGAATAATTTAGCTATTGAATACATAGGATTAACTGTATTTAATTATTTTTCTATTATGCAATCATTCGATTTGTATCTCATTAAATATATTTATGATTTTCTTTCAAAACCAAATATTTATTTGATTCTAGTTTAATTCACAACTTTATAATCATCAAAGTCAAACATTGTCCATTCTGCAGCTATAAATTTATTAAATCCAAAGCCTTCATATAGAAAATGTTTAACTACATCTATGTCATGTTCTAAAATAATCTAAACTTAATATAATCCTTTTTTAGATATACTTTTGTATACATTATTTCCTACTCTATAAAACTCTCCTTATTTAAATTTATCTACACTCACATCACATAAATACTCAGGTAAATGTACTACTTTTGATTACTTTATATGTTGTGAAATTTATCCATTCAATTATATTTTATCTTCTTCTTTAAAACAAACAAATGTCTCTTATTAATTCTTTTTTAAATTATCTGGAGATTCAGGTAATTCTGATATTTTTTACATATCCTTATTAATAGGTTTTGAAATCAACCAACTATCATTATAATTATCACTTTTGCTTAAGTCTAATTGATCAGATCTATTCAAAGGTGGAGTACTAACTGTTTATTTTGTAAATTCAACACTCATCCTTCTAGGTTATATTGGTTTTTAATCACATACTCCATTTAATAAATTAAACCATTTCTTTGCATATTCTTCATCATCAGAACCTAATATCAATTACTTATAATGATCATATATTGATTAATTATTTGCTACTAAAATAAAACAATAATGTTAACTCTTATTACTCTTCTAACCTATCCACATTATACCATATTTTTATAAATACATTTCAACATTACCTTCTTTTCTAGGTATTACTAACTTTTTATGTGTTAAATTTAATTCTAATTTTTTTTATCTCCAAATTCCCAATGTCTCTCCTTTTACATGTAATTCACCCAATATTTTTGAATCATCCTCCAATTCTAAACTTTTAAACACTGAACAGAACATGCTTTTTTAAGCTTCTAATGGTAAATTGAATAATCCTTATATTTCATCCACCTCAAGATCAGGATAATTCTCACGTTTTATTTCAATTTCATTATTTTCATGATTCTTTATTGAAAATATCAGAAAATTTAATTTCTATCTTTATCCTTCTGGTACATTTGATCCCATTGTCAAATATTTCTAATAATATTCTTCAAACATATTTGTAAACAACTTTAATTATATTACTTATATTTATTGTTAAACAATTATTTAATATATATTACTAATATTGACAAGTGGAATATTTTTTAGCTAATCAAATATTTTTTAATAAAATTAAAATTTATTGGTTCATTCATTACCATTTACTCTCAAATTACTTTAAAAAATTATTAAAATGAATAATTGTATTCTATTCCTTTCAATTATAAATTATATTTTCTTTAAATAATTATGTCTGAAAAAACATCAATCAAAGTAGAATATTACTAGTACTTATTTTAAAATAAAAGTACCCATAAATAAACTGCTTTTTGATTAATAAGCAAGTGCATTAGTTAAATATTATATTTTAGAGTTGATCATATTTATAAGAAAAAGACCTTTCAATTTTCCAATAAAAGGTTAATTGATTCTGATTATGAAAATTAGATGGTGCTAAAGTCAGATAAAACTTTAGACTCCTTAGAAATAACAAATCCATTGTCAAAAATTATTAAAATTTTGAACCATAATCTACTTATAGATAGCCATCAAGAATAATTATAAATAATCTGATTTATAAGAAAGGTCATGTTCGGACAAAGAATTCCATTAAAACAAATAGAAATTATTAATTAGGATAAGTTACATACTATTTTTTTGAAAATCACTAAAAAGTAAATATTGGAGCAAATTTCAAGATTTGGTTTTATAGATATAAGAAGATTACTCATTCATTAAGGATTTTTGGAAAATAGAGAAGATCTAATTAATGATTTAATCAAAAGAATGATATGAGATAATTGATCTAAATTATACAGATATTGTGTTAATACATAAATAAAATATATGTTATAATCTAAATGGCATTTACAAATTTTGATAAAATGATAATTTTTTGATTAACTTTAATTTATTATAATATATAAAAAATCATGGTGTAATTTTAATATAAATCACTAAATGAAAGAAACTGTATAAATCTCATAAATTTATTTATATATTACTATTCTGTTATCAAATACTTGTACATCTTTACTTATCAAAAAAACTGATAAAAATGATAATTATATTTAATTCGGTTTGTTTGCTTGTGTTTGTGCAATATAAAAAAAAATAATTTTTCACAAAGATAGAAGAAATAAAAATTTACTGATAACCTTCAATGGAGAATAAAAGATTTAGATTGAATGATATGATAGGAATGGTTTTGGTTTGATGATAGAAATACTTTCTTTTTTAAAAAGTGATTTGGTTTATTGATATTAATTTATTTATATGAAGGAAAAAAACCTTATGAAATGAGAAAAGACGTTTTTTAGTGGCTGATATAATTGATTGTATTTAGTTGATAATATAATTAATTGTGTAATATGATAATATTTGAATAAAAACTAAAATGTATAATGGCATAGTAATTTTTGTATTATTAAGGTACTTCATATGGTTTAATTTATTAGTTGTATTTAATATATATATACTGATGCAGTGGTTAATGTATAAAATTGAATATAAGTATATTAGAGAGAAGGTATTTGAAATGAGATTTAAAAAGAGCATTTTGTGATGGATAAATAATAGAGATTTGATTAATAGATTTGTAAATTTAAAGGATTTTTTTGTTAAGGAATTATAATTATTAAGCACAATTCGTTATTGTGATCAAAATAACAATAATTTTATATTGAATAATGACAGAAGAATGGACAACAAAACAGATTGATAAATACATAATAGTGAATAAAAAGTTAGGTAGTGGAGCATTTGGAACAGTGTATAGAGGATTTAAAAAAAATGATGAAACAAAGCAGGTAGCTGTAAAAGCAATATCGATTGCTGTAAGATATTAAGAATAATGATTTTAGAGTATAAAAGACTCAGCAAAGATGGTGGAACATATAAAAAGAGAGATATCAATATTATAATAGGCAAATAATGCTCATATAGTAAAATTGTTTGATGTTGCAAGAACACCACACTATTTATACTTGTTTTTAGAATATTGTCATGATGGTGATTTGAAAAAATACTTATCGACAAAATATGGGAGGAGATTAAGTGAAGTAAGATGATTTAAATATATATTTTAATTTTATAGGTTGAGGCTGTAATCTTTTTAAAGCATTTAGTTGAAGGATTTAAAACACTTTATTAACTAAAAATAATACATAGAGATATTAAACCTGCAAATATTTTATTACATCATGGAGTAGCTAAAATTACTGATTTTGGATTTGCTAGAGTGATTGATACTGGAATGAATGGTAAATTAACAAATTAAATAAATAGATCCTGCATATTTTTCAAGAGTAGGATCTCCTTTATATATGGCACCATAAATATTAGAAGGATAACCGTTTTCTTCTAAATGTGATGTATGGTCTATGGGAGTAATGTTATTTGAAATGTTATATGGTAAACCACCTTGGGATGGAGACAATTAATATAATTTACTTTAAAATATTAAGAAAACTGTATTAGTTATACCAGAAGCACCTGTTAGAAGTGAAAAAATTAAATAATTATTGAAACATATGTTAGTAGTATAAGAAAAAGTAACTATATATCTATTTATAATTTTAGGATAGATATTCATGGGAATAAATTTTCAATCATGAAATTATTTAGATTTAAGAAGCTTAGATTAAAAATAACTTAGAACAATTAATGAAAGAAAAAGATGAATTATCACGTTCAGAAAGTCTTAATAAATTATATTTTGAAATGAACTTAGTTGTTGGATATTTAGATTAAATGGAATAAATTGTCTAAGAACCATCTACTCCACAGTCAACTTAAGGAAATGAAGATAAATAATCATCAGATGATATAAATCATGAAAAAGTATCTAATTTCTTTATTAAAGGGATTATAAATTATTAATCAATATGATACTGAATAAAAAAGAAGAAAAGCTATGTTAAAGTATAACACTTATTTTTTGTTTGAAAGAAATATTGCTTTCTTCTTTAATTATGTTATCTAAAAAATTATTAAAATGTCACATTAAGCAATACTAAAGTTGGCATAAGAATTATACTATTCAACAATCTTTTGTATCTCCAAAAATTAAAATGTTCATCTTAAAAGAATGTATGACTAATTAATGTCTACCAATCCCGATAAATTTGACAGAGAAACTTGGGGTAGATACTTAATAAGTTAAGAATATAAAAAGATATTGACTGTTACTAAAAATGATATTAAGCATACTGAAGATTTCTATTTAGAGATCTATAAAAAAGAAAAATAAATTATTGATAAAGAACTTTCTTAATCTGAAAACAAAAGAGCATCTAAAATTAAGTAAGTTTTGGATGTAAATTTCGATCAAAATAATTTTTTTCAAACACTTTATTAATAAGTAGTCCAAGAAAGTTTAGATATTATTAAAAATTAAATTAAATAAACCAAGGATTCTGATCCTGTTTATAAAGATTTACTTTAATTGGGATGGTTTTTTGTAATCTGCTTGAATCCATATTTGGAATTTAAAGATATTAATATGGATTTCAATCAATTTTATGAGGAAATGTAAACACTAACAGAAACATAGTTGTTAGAAAAAATTGGAAAACGTTTAGATTTATGAAATATTTTATTTGTTTTCATCTAATTCAAAACAGACTTTCATTAAAAATATTATTTTTATTTCATTTCTTAGCTTGTTTTTTATATTATTTAGGGTTTATATATCATTAATTAAATTTCTTATATTGAAATTTATTTATCCAAGTATTCTGAATTTCTTGAACACCCATATATAAATTTTTAATATTGAAGATTAATCATTTATCAGTAGATTAGAAGGGTTGGTAAGATTTTTAGTTTGTGTTTAAATTAATTTATGATTTATCTTCTTTTTATTAACATATTTAGAGTTTATGGGGTTTATTGTTTATTGCTTCAAATATATAAAAATATACATTCTATTTTTATTTTATACCATATTTATTTTCAGTACATTATAATATTAAATGTTTTATTAAAATTATTTGAATTATACAAATTTTAGGATTATATTCATTATTATTTTTTGTGTATTCATACGAGGACTTATATTATTTAAAATATTATTGATATTTTAAACTTAAGTTTTTGGAAGGTATGATTAAATTATGGAATTTTATTAATTGATCATTAAAATTTAGTATTTATTTATTATGCGGATATATTTTTATTGAATTGATTTTTAAATTAGACTAATGTCTTAACCTTAATAATTTGTGGATGTGAAAAAAAGAAAGTTGGTATTATTGTTTAACGAAAGAATTCTAAACAAAATATAAATTTATTTTATATAGATTGATTTGAAAGAAAACCTTCTGAAATATATTGTTAGATATTTAATTAATAATTTTAGATAATTGTTCCATTTTCAGAAAATGCTTAATTCTAACTTTAATCTTTTTCAATAAAATTTCTTTTATATTATTAATTACTTTCTTAAACTCTTTTTAGATGAATTTAAAGTTCTTCAATTCTCCTTCTCGACAAATTTTCCTTAACGTTTTCCAACTAATCTTAAATTACCTTTCATAATCTTATAACATTATTTAGTCATAATAATTATATGCAACACTATGTTTGTTAGGATAACATTTTAAGTATGTTATTCAAAAAAAGAATCCGTCTTCTGCTAAGATAATTTTCTACTTGAAATCGTCATTTTCAAATATTTTCTTAAACTTTATAAAACATTTTCACATCAATTTGTTCAATATATTTTGAATTATATCTTAAACTTAGTGTTAATTTTTATTATCTCTTGTATATAATTTGAGAAATTTTCTTAATTATTTTTATTTATTTAAATAATTGAAATTAATATATAAAATTTATTGTCGTTCAGAAATTAAGATATTTGATAAGCAAAGCTTCTCCATTCTATTCTATTTTGTTATATATGATCAAAAAATAATCAAAATAAGTAAAATTTAAAGTATTTTCCATATAAGTTAATTTATGATTATTTTTTGTTTTTAAAAGCTTTAAATTTTTTTTTTTGTGAATATAGTTATATATTATCTTATTTTATGAGTAAAGTCTAAATAAAATTCATAGATTGATAAGCATCTTTTATATTAGAATTATTTAACTAACTTTTAATGACATAAAAAGTATTTGGAAGTTTTTATTCTTCATTTTTATTTTGTATTGATTATCTTATAGAAATGGTTATTTAAATATGTATTGATGTTAATATGTAATATTGATCATTTATTTTCTTCTTTTTAATTTATATCCTATTACATAATTCCAGAAATTTAATCAACCATTTATTTCTAAGTTTCTTGATTAGAATCTTATGAAGAAGCTGAAAAATTCTTAAATTCTGTTACTAATTTGTTTTGCATCTGTTGATATATTTAACCAGTTGATGTTTAATCATTTCCATTTGATTATTAAGTTTAGGCGGGTTTTGGTGGACTTTTGAACTGCAACCTAAACACATTTGATAAATTTTCAGGTATATTTTCATCAGTTTGAACTTCTTCTATATATCCTGTTTCTACTCTTAATAACCATCCATGGATCATGACAGCTAAAATATTAATAAAAAAAAGATACGATGCCCATCTTGCCATGACTTCTAAACAATAGGATTTTTCCACATATTGAGTACTTGTTCTCTAACGTTTAAACATGATAAACAAGCTACTTTATCATCTTCATTTTCTAATTGATTCACAAGATGTTAATTTTTTTCATAGACATTCTTGATATTATTAAGCCATAAATCTAATAAACCACCTACAGAATCTCTATTCATAGCAGCTTTAACACCTCCACAATGTGTATGACCCATAATTATTATATTATGAACTTTTAAATGTTCTACAGCATATTATACTACACAATTTAACTAAAGTTAACCTATAAATAATTACATTCAAGTCTGTAATGTTAACCACATTAGCTATGTTACGGTGAATGAAGATTTCTCCAGGATCTGTTTCTGTTAATTCATTTGGAGGTGCTCTAGAATCAGAACATCCAATTAATAGATATTTTGGATTCTAACCTTTTGCCAACTTAGTGAAATACTCAGGATCTTAGGCTAGTTTCTTTTAAACATAGTTTTTATTTCCCAATATTGCCTTTGCATATTTCTAGATCTCTGTAATTCCTTTCTAAACAAATTGATTTTGCATTTATATATAATTTTTTTAGGATATTACGATTTAATTTATAAAATTCATACGTTAAATCAGAACTTATTAATTCTTACTCTTGTGACGTATTAAAGTGCAACTATTTAATAATAATTGCTCTTTAATTTTATATTTTATATAATTGATGATAAAGGAATATCTCGAAATGACTAACCGATTTGACTAGAATGAGTGAAGTGAACATGGAAATGATAAAATGATGGTAGATAATGAACGAATACCTTTACATATTTTTAATCTAATTTGTATTCTTCATTAATTATTCTTAAACCTTCATTATAAATATCTTCTAACATTTATAAATGATCTTAGTTTAAATCTCTCAATGATTTTATATCTCTTTAAAATGGAAGTGCCAATAAATGCAAGTCTTCCAAATTTTTTGAATTCACAAACACATAATCTTTCAATATTAAAAAATTTTTATTTTCAAATACAATATTTTCTACCTCTTTCTTTTTCTCTAAAATATTATAAACCCAATCTAGAGGCATTTGAATAATTTATTATTTAAGGAACATTTCATATGTTTCTTCAATAATAATTTAGTCAGATTTTGAATATTTATCAATATGAACTTAATTTGCAGGGGAAATCAATTCACAATCAATTTCATTTAATTACTAAAAAGTATATTTTGTATAGATATCATTATGGAAATATTGAAGAGCATTATCAAAAAGAAGTTGCTGAACTTGTTTTTCAAATGGTTTTTTCTATAATATGAGAATAGACTATTAATTATTAATATAACCAAGTAATATAAGTTTCTTGGTGTTATCATCCCAATTAATCACTTCAGAAGGTCTAAATTGTTATAGCAAGTCGTCGCTCATTTAATAAAAAAATATAATATATATTATTTGTTATATTCATATAATAAAACAACTAATTTTAATAAGAATTGCAATATAAAGAGGTTTCAATGAATGAAAATGAAAAGAAATATTCTTTGCCTCCGCTTCGAATGTCTGAACTTAATGACTTACTTAGATAATCAAATGAATAACATAAAAAGGAAATAATTTATAGTTACAGAGATACGAAGTAAAAAAGACAAAAAGAAATAGCTTAATTAGAGAAATATAAAACAATGGAAAGAAAAGGTATTATTTTATCTAATTAAATATAGTCTTCAATTCTCAAAATAAAATGGAAGGAAGAACCTTTGATAAGAGCCCAGATATTTTTTTATGCAAAGAACCGTTGATTGATGATTTTCTCAAACGAAATATTATAGCACCATAAAGAAATTTAGAAAAGGGTTTAAAAGATTGTATAAATATTATAATATTAAATAATAGTTAAGACAGGTAAAAAATAATTTTTAGATGGAAAATGTTTTGGAGAAGTTCCTGAAAATAAATTAAGTAAAAAAGAATAGGAATTTAAGGAATATTGGATTTAATACAATAAACAGTTATCTGAATAAAGATATAAAAACCTTTTAGATTCCTAAACGGGTTTACAAAAGAAAATAAATTAATAATAAAGGTTAAAAGAATTAAGAATATTTGTTCCTAATAAGTATTCCCCTGGATATTTTAATGATCATCCATCATAAATTTTAAGTTTTACGTATTAAATAGATATAATTAGTGCAATGCATAAACATTCTTAACCTTAGATATGGAGTCCAAATAGTTTCTATGGAGATTCCTTTGATGAAAATCTTAAGTCACAATAATCAAAGAGTAATCTAAAACTCAGTAATGTTGTTTTAAAAGATTAAAGTAAATTATCAATAAAGATTGATTGAATAAAAATAAGATAATTTAATTATTCAATATGATCATTTATAATTAATCTTTAATTTTTAAATTGTTTTTTTTTATGTTTATAGATGTTGTTGAATCAATTTACATTTATTTGACAATCAAAAATAGATATAATTGCCATAAAGTAATATTATAAAGCAATATAAGAAATAAATATTTAATTAATTGATATAAATTGAGAGAGGAAAGTAAATACTTATATTATTATAATGAGATTGGCTTCTTCATTAAGAGAAATGTTAGATAACAATTAACTTTGGGAGTATAGCTCAGTTGGGAGAGCGTAAGACTGAAGATCTTAATGTCATGGGTTCGATCCCCATTGTTCCCATTTTTTTAATTTCATTATAATACATAAATTTATTTTTATATATAATTGTTTATAGTTAAAAAATATTATTAATAAATGTATTTCAGAAGTATCATTATATCAAGATTTAAAATGAAAGAGATGCAAGAAAATTATTATTAAATAGAGTTTAATATATATATATAATATATGAATTTTATACAATAATAAATGAACATCGTTGATGTGTCATTATTATTCAATTGGTTGTTCAGCTTCAGCTTCTTCTTCATAATATTCTTCTTCTTATCCTGTCTATGATCTAAAAATTATTAGATTAATTATATTACTTCATCCAATTGATCATTGGTTAACTCAATTATCTATAATGATTATCTAATTATTCATTATATAAGAAATCTTGATTTGCTTCTTTTTTCCATTCTTCTTAATTATCATACCACTTTAATAAATATTGTTCTTCGATATATGAATAATCATAAAATCCTTTTAAGACTGTGCAAAAATATACATCATCAATGTTTCTTTTCTTCATTAAATATATGATATTCAACATCATATGACATTAAGATAATTAGGGATCTAAATCATTAAAGTAATTCGTTAATAATTCATAATTTCTTTATAATCCTTTTGTAGGTAATTCATCAAACATACTCTAAAAAATCAAATAACAAACTCTATCTTTCAAATTTTTATCTAAATTGAATTTCTTTATATCTTAAGTTAACATCATATCAGCAATATCATTATCAATTTTTTCATTTACTACTAATCTACTATATGTATCTCTTAATTGAATTAAAAACGATTCTAGTAACTCAGATTCCAAACCTACTTCATCAGCCAATATTTTCTTCTTTTTTTACTTATCCTCCTTATTTCCATTCTAGCCTTCATTATGTATAATCTAAACTTCTTTTGAACCACTTATTATTGATTAATTTCCATCAGGAGGATTCTTTAATATATAACTTGCCAATCTATGAGCATTATCTAAATCACTGACATGTCCACAAGAATCACATTATCCATATATTATCTTACCTCCCTTTATTTTCATATACATCTCTGGATATCTACATTTTTAACAAAGAATGTATTTCTCTATAAATTTGTCTAATTATTTTCTTATTTAATCATCTTAAAAGGCGCCATTTATAATACAAGTCACATCGTTGTCATTTTTAAATTTATAAGAAGTTTAAGAACCAAACTCAAAACCCAAATATTTTAAAGGATCTAAGTTAATTAATAGTCTAAACATTAATCATGACATTTTAAAGCCTTTGCTATCTCATGTAAATTCATTATGTTTGTTTTTATACCATTTCCTCTACCTTCAATCTTAAGTTAAGGTTTTGGCATCTTATATCTATAGTTTGAGTCTTCAATATACGATGGTATATTCACAAGGATTGTCTTAATCATTAATTAAATTAATAAAAAATTTATTTATTTTAAATCAATTTAAGTTATTTAAATATTCATACCAAATCGTCCTTAATCAAATTTTCATTTCCAAACTTTTTAACCTTTCTCAATTCCTTTCACTTCAGTTTGATTTCACTATCAATTATTTTAATCATAATTTCATTTATTTAATATATGAATCAAATAACAAATCTTCAACGCTTAAATTCATGTCTCAACGTATTTCCTATATCTTGCAATTAGCCATTTATTTATCATATTTTAACCTAATAAAGTCAAATTATTCAGTACTATATCATCTCAATTCTTTAGAATTTCTCTTTTTATTTAATGTGACTTCAAATATTTTGCCATCATAATAGATGGTTTTTTAAAGTTCTTTTAAAAGATAGTAATTGTTTTATTATTCTTATAACTTACTTGAAGAAATTTTTATAATTATTTTTAAATAGTTAACTCTTTATATCTATCCTTAGTATACATATTTTAATCAAATCAGTCAAAATTAGATATAATCTAAATTATTGTTAATTGTTATTAAATTATAAGTTTAAGAAATCTACTCTCTTACTTATTTCAATTTAGTTTTTTAAGAAACAATATATTTATTTGAAAATCCCTACTCTCTATTGATTCAAGATTCATTTATTGAGTCAACTAATATATATAAATTTCAGTTTCATCCATTTAAATATTTAACAAAAATTATTATTAATGATATCTCATTCTAGTATATACAACCCTTGATTCTAATTGTATTTTAAGTTTGCTTTAACAATTAATAATACAAAATTACAAATACGGAATTTATTAATGATAAATAAATATTTAGAATATAATTTGATATTCATTAATTGAAAAATTTATATCATAATCTAAAGATATGTTTTTACATTAAAATAGGGTTTAAAATAACACTTAATCCAAATTTTGTTATATAGCGAAAATAATAATAATAAGATCATATATTAAAGATTAATCAAACAATTTTTTGATAAGGAATGATTTATTTAATATCAAATACTTTAAATTTAATGTTATCTTTTAGTTTATCTAAATGGAGTTTAAGGGCTTAATTTAACTTAATTTTGATTTTTTTTTGAGGATATAGATATTAAGGATATTCAATTTTTTCTTAAACTTTACATTCATAAGTTTTGGTAGAACCAATAATGGAATTAAACAACTTATTTGCTGCAATAATCAAAGCAGACACAGATTCTGATTCGAAAAGACTTTCTCTATGAAGAAAGGAGAAATAATATTCTTTTTTATTCTAGTATACTCTTTATTTAACTAAATTGATTAATAAATTCAATTATTTGAGTAATAAATTAATTATTAATTATGATATTAAGATGATCCCTATAGGTATGCATATAATAATTAAGAAAGTCTCTAAGACTGCTCTTTCTTGCAATTTCTTTTAAAGTTCAAAATGATCATNCTTTTAAAAGATAGTAATTGTTTTATTATTCTTATAACTTACTTGAAGAAATTTTTATAATTATTTTTAAATAGTTAACTCTTTATATCTATCCTTAGTATACATATTTTAATCAAATCAGTCAAAATTAGATATAATCTAAATTATTGTTAATTGTTATTAAATTATAAGTTTAAGAAATCTACTCTCTTACTTATTTCAATTTAGTTTTTTAAGAAACAATATATTTATTTGAAAATCCCTACTCTCTATTGATTCAAGATTCATTTATTGAGTCAACTAATATATATAAATTTCAGTTTCATCCATTTAAATATTTAACAAAAATTATTATTAATGATATCTCATTCTAGTATATACAACCCTTGATTCTAATTGTATTTTAAGTTTGCTTTAACAATTAATAATACAAAATTACAAATACGGAATTTATTAATGATAAATAAATATTTAGAATATAATTTGATATTCATTAATTGAAAAATTTATATCATAATCTAAAGATATGTTTTTACATTAAAATAGGGTTTAAAATAACACTTAATCCAAATTTTGTTATATAGCGAAAATAATAATAATAAGATCATATATTAAAGATTAATCAAACAATTTTTTGATAAGGAATGATTTATTTAATATCAAATACTTTAAATTTAATGTTATCTTTTAGTTTATCTAAATGGAGTTTAAGGGCTTAATTTAACTTAATTTTGATTTTTTTTTGAGGATATAGATATTAAGGATATTCAATTTTTTCTTAAACTTTACATTCATAAGTTTTGGTAGAACCAATAATGGAATTAAACAACTTATTTGCTGCAATAATCAAAGCAGACACAGATTCTGATTCGAAAAGACTTTCTCTATGAAGAAAGGAGAAATAATATTCTTTTTTATTCTAGTATACTCTTTATTTAACTAAATTGATTAATAAATTCAATTATTTGAGTAATAAATTAATTATTAATTATGATATTAAGATGATCCCTATAGGTATGCATATAATAATTAAGAAAGTCTCTAAGACTGCTCTTTCTTGCAATTTCTTTTAAAGTTCAAAATGATCATCACTCTATTAGTAAACTGTATTGGTTTCAATAAGAACAATTAGTATAAGTGGAGAATTGACTAATTGTGTTGATTTTATAATTAGATTATCTTTAAGTTTTTAATTATATCTACATAAGTTTTATGTAATTTCTAAATTCTAACAATTATTTTAGAAGGGTAATCCATAATGTTTGTTCATTAATTAAATAAAATCATAAGTATCAAATCCAGTGATATTTGAATCATTGAAATAATATACTGATAAATTCACTTGATTGTAAAGAAGTGAATAAAAGATTTTTCCATCATTATCTATTACATATATAGTAGTATTTGAATTAATATTTGAAGCTACAGATGCATATCCAAAATCAATATCTTTAGCAACAATTCCAACTAATTTATCATAATGATCAACTAATGAAATCATCATTGGTATTTTTATTTTGCCTACCACAACTTTATAAGGACTTGCAAAATAAACTTTATCACTTAAAGAATCATTTTTTAATTTTTATTTAAATTCAAGATAATAAGATCTTTAATTAGGAATAAAATTTTTAGGAAATGGAATTCCTGTTGTAATACAATAAAATTAAGAATCATTATCTAAAAAGTAATATAAAGGAGCAGAATTTGTGTGATCCAAAGCAATTCTAAAAGAAGTAAGAATAAAAGTTGTTGCTATTAAACTCAATTCTTCTGATTTCAACTTATCTTATAAAGGAACTCCAAATATTCCACATGTAGTTGCAGATGAGAAGCAATAAGAATCAATTTCAGATTAATTGTTCAAGCACATTGGAGGCTTTTTAAAAAATTAATCTTAAGAAGAGTGATGTAGTAAATGATCAAAGTATTTATAAATTCTTCTTGTTGAATTTAACTAATTTTAAGTAAATTAAAACATTCTTTCCATACTTCTCTTATATATCCATATATTGTCAAGCTATTAAGAAGTTTACTTTATAAATATTTCATTTGATATTGATTTCAGATTATCCTATATATATTTTTGTGTTTGTGATATTATTACAATAAAAATTGTAAATATTATTGTCCATATCAAGAAAGAAGCCATTAATATTTGATTCTTCATTGTCCAATTTCTATTTATGTACCAAAAATTATGGGTTTTCAATTTAGTTAAGATCATGAATTAAAAATATTATATATAAATGTTTTATGTTAATTTCTTGATTTAATAACTGTTTAGCCTTATTTTCTTTACTACTTTACTATTGTGTAAAATGATAATACACATTTAAACAATTAAAATAAATAGTTGTTTAATCTTATTTTAATTGAAAATTAGAAAGCTTATAAAAATCTTAATCACCATTTTACAGATTATTTTAGTACATGTAAATAATTTAGAAGAAATGAATAAAAGCTTTAATTTAGATTTTAATTCATTTCAAAAGTAAATATTTTTAATTATTAAATTATTTATATTATGATGAAGAATTTTTATATTTGTCCTTAAGAATAAAAGAAAAATAAGATAATGGTTTCAATTTCAATTTAAATTTATGATTTCCTCAAATTAAAATTCTTTTATGATATAAGAATTTCATCGTCTAAACATATAAAAATAGAAAATTCAATATTAATTGACTAATTTTTAACTTAAAAATAATTGAGTTACAATCATTTAATATATAATATACTTATATATTTTTATTTTAAAATTCATTTGCTATTAGTAGTTTCATCAATTTGTTGTTGAGCTTTGTATGCTTATTATAAGATAAAATAATTACAATTTAAGTAGTATGAGATGTAGCATCCGCTTTCTTATATAAGGGATTCAGCTTTAGTATAATTTTTATCACATATATTTAGAATAATAGCAACATCTTCATCATTGGCAGAAGGGAAATTAAGTTTTAAGTTTTCAAAGAGTTATTAAACTATAATTAATCATAAATGTTACTTACATTAATTTTCATTTTTCTCATAAAATTTAATTAACCTTACTTTGACAGTAGATTATGGAAATTGAATTAATTATCTCTCTTTACTTATTTGAACATGTTTGATGTAACGAAATGGTTTTTTTACAGGTTGTCGTTTAATTTTATTTTATTTTTTCTTTTGTTGTTTGTATATAAGTTTTTAAGGTTTTTTAATAATTCGTTTTGATAATTAAGGAATAGGTTAGCTTTCATCATCATATAATTTGCCTTAAGCTTCAAGTTAATCTAGGTCCAGCATTTTTGTTGTTTGTTTTTCACTTTAAATAGTTTAAATAGTTTAAATAGTTTAAATTGTTTAGGTAGGAGGAGGCACGATTTCTTTTTTTGGTATACTTTCTTCATCATCAGAAATAGTTATATAATTTTGTTGTTGAATAGGTAATTGTGTTTAGTTGGACATAGCTGGTCTAAATGATTGGATTTAATTATAAAAAGGATTGTATAGTTAATTGTACATAGCCAAGTATTACATTTGAGCATATGCATAATGTTGATATGTAGGTTTATAGAAATTAGAATTTTAGTACATCAGAAATGATAATGTGATTTTGGTTTATTAATTTATTTTAATCGAAAAGAAATGCAGATTATTTGTTTAAAAAATCTTATTTTAAAAATAAAATGAAATTGATTAAATTTAATATCAATCACTAACAAGTTTCATAGTTTCTACAAACTCTGAGTCATTCCAAATTTCAGAACATACTATGATCTTGATTTCTGGATTTTTTGAAAAGTAAGATATCTCTTTATTATTGCATCATTTAAACAAAATAAGATCTAATATAGATTTATTAAAAACAATACTATTTTAGCAAAACAACTAAACGAACAGTAAGTGATAAATAACGCATTGAAATAAGTGAAATTCCAAATATTTCATCATAATATACTTCTTATTGCAATTTTATAAAGGCAATTATCGATAAAAAAGCACAAAAATCAAAAATATTCCAAGCAGCTGTGAAGAATGCCTTTAATTAGTGTTAAAATATAAAATAATAAAATATAATACTATTCCTTCTGTTATAACTTTAAGAGCAATATCAGTACAAATTGTCAATGTCAATAGGGCTTCTAAAATGAGAACTATTGGTTTCTATAGACTCTTGATATATCAAATATGAATTACTTTTAATCATCAAGGAGGACCTAATATGTAATAAATTGATTTCTCATCTTACATATGCCAAGAGCATTGTTGATATAATCAATTATAAAAGACAATAGAATAAATAGCAAATGCTCCTTTATATACTTGTTATTAAGTATTTTGAATTCATCTTAATTATTATTATTGTATAAAATTAATTAATATATTACAATCAGATCTAAGGTAATTCAGATTAACTTTTTTTTCTTAATTCTTGAGAATTACACATTTTGATGTCTAAAGCACTCATTTATTCCTGATCTTCTACAGATACTGACATTTAATTTTCAGAGAATAGTGGATTTTCTGAAAGCATTGGATTTTCACCTATTAGAGGATTAGCCAATTCATCATCATCAATATTAGAATTACTATTTAATTAAATTTCTGGAATATAGAAAGGAGCATATATTTATTATAGAAGAATTCGAGGAGAACGATTTTATTTTGTTATTAAAGCTTATAAATGATCTATTTCTATTTTACTAAAATGTATATCTAATTAAATAAGAATATCAAGATATATCTATTTATTAAATTATTTTTACTTCAATTTTCATAAATCCATTTGTAAATGTTTCAGGATATTTTTTCATTAATAACTCTTATAGTTCTTATTTCTTATTCATTATTGTTAAATTTATTGAATCAAGTTATTAAGGATTTAATATAATATAATTTTCCATTAATGTTTTAAATATACTTCTAACTCTGCTACTTGTGGTACTTTCGCTTTCATCTTCGATATCAGCAAGATAAGCAGCTAACATATGAATTTCATTCGAATCTTCCAATCCAAATATACTTTAATGTAAGTTTTCCTCCAGTTAATCAAAAGTCAAGTTTTCACTAGTCAGTAAATACATTTCTACATCATTTAAAGGTACTTTTAATCCAATTAACCTTAAACGAATTTTCTTTGCAATAGGTAAAACAGCATTTTTATCTACTGCTATTTATTTTTTGATTTATAATTCATTTTCGTTATTCTTTTATTCTTATTCATCAAAAATTTAAGGATTTTTCAATACAACTGTTCTTCTTAAATATCGTTGTTATTGAAATTATTATTAAATTTATTAGTACTATAACCTTTCTTATTCAAATTACAATTCTAAAGTAGAAATTTACTTTTAGAGTTCTTTGTTTTTTTTTTCTAAATAAGCAATCTTATCTTAGTCTTCCAATTATAAACTATTATATTTATTTTCCCAATGTTTTAATTTTTATTAATAATTTCTTATATCAATTTTAGCTTGTTCTAATTCAATTACTACTTTTTCGTCGACTTTCTAAATGTCACGTTATGAAGGTTTATTATCATGTGAAATATTTCTTTTTTTTAAATTATCTATTTCAAAAAGCAATTATTGATTTAAACCTCTCAATTTATGACATTAAACTGTTTAAGCATTCAATTTGATATTCAATTTATGATTAATTTTCTAAATTTGGTTAAAATAATATATACTTAAAGCTCATTATTTTATTTTTCAATTTATTCCAATATTTAGGTTAAATGTAAATTGTCATCTGACAATTGCATACAATAAATATCTATATTTTATTATTCAACAGGGTTCTTAAGTTATTTCAAATAATTTTGAGTTTATCCTAATTCCTCTTTCAATTTTTAGTTCTCTTCCTAAATAGCCTATCTAATAAATACCTAAATTGAAGCTAATCTCTCTAAATAACTTTGTTTTAATCTTGAATAATTATATGTTGGACTTGCTTCATCTCGTTAAAACTATGTTAATTCTTTCTTGAAATACTATAACTAAGATTGTTGTTTGCGTATTGTTTAAATTAGATTATTCTTTTCCTATTTAAGTTACTAAATTTCTTCAAACATTGTTTCTTTATCTTTGAGATAGATGGATTTTAATCGCTAATCTTCTAAAGTCAAGTTGCGTTTGAATATTGTTCCAAAATGCTTTGGACTATTGATAGATAATGTTTTTTAAGTAGTTGAGTTTTGAATCATTTAATATTAAAATTGAATAATTAATACAATTATAGAAAGATCACTATCTATATATTATTAATTAAGTATTGTTAATAGTATGGTAAAATTCTTATTAAGGATGTCTTTAAAACTAATGAATGAATAATTACAAGATAATTTGATAAATTATACAATTAATGAATTCAGAATATCCCATAATTTCATGGAAAGAATTGATAAAGCATTTTAAAAGATAATCATTATGGGTTGTAATAGAAGGTATGGTTTATGATGTGAGTACATATTTGGATAAGCATCCAGGAGGTGAGGAAATTTTAAGAAAATGTGGAGCCAAGGATGCCACAGAATAATTCTTAGAATATAATCATTCAAATTATGCACGATCGATACTTGCATCTAGATTGGTTGGACAATTAACAAATGAACCACCACCTGATAATTATGCTTAATTACTTAAACAAAGAAAATAAAGAGTAAGAGTAAATTCAAATACAGATTAAAAATCCATACAAAGCAATTACTTGGGAAGAATTAGAATGCCATAATACATCAGATGATGCTTGGATTGTAATAGATGATGATGTGTATGATATAACTGATTTTTTGGGTCAACATCCTGGAGGAATTAAATTATTATTAGATAAAGCAGGTGATGATGCATCTACATTCTTCCATCGAGTAGGTCATTCTTAATCAGCTCATAAAATTATGGGTGAATTATAAGTAGGAATAATTGTAGGTATTTTGTATATAATTATATATAAGGAATAAAACCAAAAAAAAAGGAAAAACAACAACCAACTAATTATGTGTTAATATTGTTTATCATAATAGTATTTTTTGTATTTCTTTATTTATTATTATTTTGATAAATATTATATTATATATCAATATCTTCCATTATATTGTCTTATTTTCATTTTTTAAGTATTATATAACAATCATTTACATAATTGTAGAATATTATTGTTATTTTAGAAGAACAATCCAATAATAAAATTGAACTTTATAAATATTTCATTAGAAAATTTTGATTTTCTATTTAATTAGTTTAATAATGTGACAAACTCTTATAATGATTCTTGTTTAAGAGATTGTTTATTTATAGGAGTAAAAAAATTGAACAATATTGTTGTATATCATATATTTAAAAGAATAAATATATTTATGGTATATAGATTATATATGATGAATATAAATGTTTATTTTTAGAATAAAAAAATAAGAGGGAAAGAGTATTGATTGGAAAGTGAATGCGAAATAAATAGAGTGTATGTGAGTGTATGAAATTGGTTTAATAATAATTAAAATTTAAAATATTGAATTCTGATGAGTAGATAAGCAAATTCATAAGATTATGATTGGTTGGTAAAGGTTATTGTAATTGGTGATTCAGGAGTAGGTAAGACAAATATATTGTCTTAATTTTGTGATGCAAAGTTTTCGATAACTCATATGGCTACTTTGGGAGTTGATTTTAAGATCAAAACAATAGATGTAGATGGAAAGAAATTGAAATTGTAAATTTGGGACACAGCAGGATAAGAGAGATTTAGAAATATAACAAAAACATATTACAAGGGTGCATAAGGAGTAGAAATAAATATATATTCATTAGGTGATTTTAACATATAGTGTAATTGATAGACAATCGTTTTAGAATGTTGATGGATGGTTGAGGGTATGAATAGTTTAGATATAAAAAGTCAATATAAGAGAATACTAATTCAAATGATGTTCAATTAGTGTTAGTAGGTAATAAAGCTGACATGTCTGCAGAAAGATAAGTAACAATGGAAGAAGGATAAAAGTTATCATAATAATATAACATTCCATTCTTTGAGACTTCTGCTAAAAGCAATATGAACATTAATGAATCATTCAATAATTTAGCTTAGAGAATCATATCAACTTTATGCAAAATGTAAGCTAATGATGATGGACAAAAACTTGATTTAAAGAAAACAGAAGGAAAAGAAAAAAATAAATCTGATGTATTATATAAAAAATTCATTAATAGGTCTGTTGCTGATATTATAAATTAATTACACAAGATTTACATTTATTTTTGCTGCTTTTACTTATTGTTATTTTTTTCTTAATCTCCACTTTTTGTATTTCAATTCTTCATTAATTAATATGCTAGATAAATCAAATACAAATTCAAGTGTCCCTGAATCATAATCTCCGAAGAAGCTTCTAGATGGCGTTCAAAAATAAAAGAGATCCAGAACTCGTAAATATAGCGATGCTCAGCGTGAACACAAGTGCGAATGTGGAAAGTCATACTTAAGTTATCCTGCACTCTATACACACATGAAATAGAAACATAATGGGGTTTACTAATTACTTAATACTCTAGTAATCTTAGAAAAACCTAGATGAACAAAGGTTGGAATCGACATATTCAGAGTCACAAACTTAAGACATCTTTACAACTCTTGCAAATGCCTTAGGTAAAGAGGAAGATAAACCACAAGCTTCTTTGAATTTACAAGATATGTACGATCTAATAATGTGGGAAGTGTAGCTATTAATAATGGAGACTGACAGCAAAGAAATTAAATTGGGTTACTATCATGAACTATTGAAATAAACTTAAACTACTGATGTAAACACTCCCCAAGATGCATTTATAAGGTTTATTCACGAAGTCAAAGGAGTCCTTAGTTATGAATAGATGAAACTGATCTTTCTCTTTGTTTACTCCTTTCGAAAGCTTCTGCTTGACTATCCAGACTGTCCTACTAGTGGACTAGTTGAAAAAGCTAACTAATTAGTTTGTTTTCAATTGGATAAAGTACTCTAAAGTATTCAACAACTTTCAAATCGAAATTACATAGTACATTTGTCTAGAGTACCTAATTTAAGAGAAGCAATGATCCAAATAGTACTAGGATTTTGTAATTGGTTATATGCTCGTCATTTGACTGATGACAAATTACTTCTGAAGAGCGATTCTGATTGATTTTTTTATATCAAAAATAGAAATCATTCTTGAGAAGCAATTTCTTTCTTCTCGTATGATATTTTTTTTAATTCCATTAATCTTCATGTGATTATTCGAAATGAATAGAGTAACCTAATTTTATTATATATATAGATAGATCATTAATGTTACAGCACTGGAGCTGTGGATTCCTCTTCAGGGTCCTCTAATGGTTTATGCCATCTTACTTAGACTCCTTTTAACTTGCCCTAATAAACATTTAAAAATAAATAATACATCAAAATTTTCAAATGAGTCAAATTTTACTAAAGATAATTTAAAATTTTTTGGAAGAACATGTCTTGAAACATTTGTAAATTCCTAAACTCCTTACTCACTTTTAATATAAAAACGAGTAAAATCATCTTAATGGCTGAGGTACACAAAAAACCATTATTCAATTTAAATATCACAACTTTACCAAATTGGTTATGGTTTTTTACCAAATGAATAACTTCCAAAAGTTATTTGATTCGATTTTGCTAAAACCAAAAGAGTATTAAAGTTTAGATCTGTTGATAATTTCATAACTCCTTAGAGAGAGTCTAAATCACCTTCATTCTTAGAATATAACCAAATCCAACCAGAAATAGAATAGGTTTTTTGTTCAGGATACTAGAATTCTTAAATAAAAGAGGCATCTTCATCAATTTAAGTGTCACACCCTTTCCATTCGAAATGCTCAATTTTTAATTAAATATCAGGCAAGCGAATGTGCAATTTGTTAATCATGCTAGCCAATTTTTGAGTATCATCTAAATAAGCCCCATCTCCTAAGAATAGTCTTAAATCATAAATTTGACCTTTAAATGATTAAAATCCAAATTCAGGTTTGTTTATGATCAATTAAGCATATCCTAATATAAAATGTTCAATATCTTTGAGAATAGTATGTTCTGCTTTTTGTGATTATTTATGAATTACAGCAGCATAGAGATTAGTTTCTTTATAAGCAAAGTATATATAATTCCAATCTCCTTCAATAAAATCATATGGGATTTAGGTATTAATAGCAGTAATACTTTATTTTTTGTTATAAGTACTAAATTCATAATTTTTATTTGTAAGATAAGAGAATAATACCCTATCTCCTAATTAAGCTTTATCTTCATATTATTTTCTGTTTGTAAATCTATATATATTGTGAAATTGAATTTATTTTGATTCAAAGAACTCTGATTCCCATCTTGTCCAAACTCCAATGGCATACTAATTGACAGCACTATGAAATTCAACAGTTGTTTTTTGATCTTCATCATTTTAGTACCACATTTCTCTTTAATTATTTTTAATATTATAATAATTGGGTAATTTATCTTGATAGGCTGGTTTATTTAAATCAATTATTGAATGGTATCCATATAAGAATTGCCATTATTGTTGAATACCATCAAAATTAATTTTGTCAAGATCCTAACCTAATAAAATACCTAAATAATTAGTTTCCATATGCCAAATATTATTGAGTAGAATAACTTCATCAGATTGAAATTATTTCAATAGAATTTAAACTGTCTAATCTATATCATCATAACTCATATAAACATAATGCCAAATAACAGCAGAATCCATTTCAATAGAATTCTCAATTAATTTATGTTCATTAACATTCTATATTTATGATAAGGTATAAGTTTAGAATTTTATAAATTATTAATCGCAAACCTAAATGAGTAATGTTCTATCACCTTAAATTAATTTGTCATTTAATTTTTCATTCTCATATAAACGAATTAATGTTTAACAAGAGATTTCTTATTCAAATTTACTTAAAGGTGAATAATTTAATTTAAACCATCCACAAACTGAATAAGAACCAACATTATGAAAATCATGTTCATTAAATTCATGATCTAATTCAATAACACCATTTTTTTATTTGTATTAATACTCTAGAGTAGATTCTTCTGGAATTTCATACTATATAATATAATCTAATAATTTAGATTCTAAAAATGATCCACTTTATCCAAATGATCCACTTCCTATCATAATTGCAATTTTCAATATTTAACCATTAAATCCTATAACATGATCTTCTGATCCAAATATCACCTATACAAAATCTGTTAAAGGATTTTACAATAAATTTTAATTGGAATTTTGTTTTTCTTATTTGCCATCGTATACATAAAATTTAGCAATTTATTATTTCCTTTTATAACCGGCATATAAGAAATACCATCTATTTTCTAATCTATCAATTTCAATAATCCTATATTCATTTGGAGCATTATCATTAATATCATATGTATTAAAACTTATTGAATCTTTTAATCCATAGGCACTAATTAACCTATCTCCTAAATCTATCTTTCCTTCATTCAATTATTAATTAGAAGTCATTCTAAATATTTAGAAATTATCAGATTTTCTATAAATCCTTTCAGGATATGTAGAACTAAACTTACACCAAAATGATACAGCATATTCACTCATTGAATCAACTTCATTAAATGTATATTTTTATGAATCTGTTACTTTTTCAATTTCCTATATAATCTTAGGTAATTATATATTCCCAGCTATAAATGATGATAATTTTCCAAATTTATCATCAATAAAACTTCCTTATCCTAAAGTTAATATAACATGGGAAATTTAAATTGTATTGGAATTTGGATCATTAAAATCTTTCATTAAATAAAGCCACATTTAATCATTTATTGCATGAATTACATTCTCTTTATTCATTTAACATATATAATCATCAATTTTTAAATATATTATAATTTTCTATTCTAATTTAGAATAACTTTAATATGAAAATGCCCACATATTTTAATGATATAATTCTATTTTGCATTATTAAGTAATTTATAAATCTATTTAATCCATATTTAGTAAAGTGTAAGTACTATATTAAACATGATCTAAATGATTGAATAGATGAAATACACGATCTCCTAGAAATTTGTTGTCTGATGGGTTTTCATTTTAGGTGAGTCTATATAAAAATGAATTTTGAGTAATTTTAAACCACATTTGAATGGAATATTGATTAGCATTACCTTCAATATGTATAGGATTATCTCCATTATAATTATCAGTTCTATCTTCTAATATTGTAATAACATTATCTATATAGATTTAAGTTGGTTTTCTGTTGATTTTATAAATCATTTGCTTAAGTAAATCTTGATCAATGAATGCTCCTTTTCCTAAATATAACCTAATTCCAGTAATCAATCCATTAAATTAGGGATAACTTTTGGATGCTCTTCCAAACTGGAGATGTAGATGATTTCTAATGAATGGATGTAAGACATTTTGTTGAATTGATCTAATACCATTATAATCAGCAATGAAAGCTATAGTTTAACCTAATTCCTATTATTATCTTTAATAAGCATAGTAGATAAAGATCCATTCACTTTCATGATAAGCATAATAATTTAATGATTATGTAGTTTGTAAGGAAATGAATTAATAACTACCAACATTCATAATAACACTTAAGAGATGATCCATTTGATCTAAGTATAATCTAGCAATTCCCATTAATTTAGGTTTGATAAGATTAATAGTACTTGAATAATGTCTATATTAAATCCATAGACCATAACCATATTCATATAATCCATCTAATAATAAATCATCACTCTATTATAATGATATTTGTTGTGTTTGACAATCTAATACTTCTGTATGTTCTTTCATTTCTTGAGCTTAAATTAAATGATCAGTTCCAGCTATATATCCAAAATGAACTTTAATACTTTATTATTCACTTTCATAACTACCTTCTCTGTACGCACCGATACCTACATTCAATACCCATTATTTTAATGAACCCATAAACTGTAGATACTCCTTTCTTGATTATCCTAACAATATTGAGAATATAGACATGTAATAATGATTTACATCATTCATAATGAATGAATCTTTCATAAATCTATACTCAATATATGTATATGTCTAATAATCTTTATATCCAAAATAAATATAAGTCCATTAATCCCAGTACTCTCCAAAACTACTTTCTTTATTTAAGTATTTATCGCAATCTATTATACATGTATAGGTGATGAATTTATAATTAATATCATTTCTTAAAATTTGTAATGTTGCTTAATCATTACTTTCATCTAATGTTCTTTAACTTAATGTAATAATATGATATTATTCTCCTGATTTCTCTATTCCATTAAATTTAATCCATCCAGATAAACTATATTCCGTAACTCCTTAGAATTATGTAAATTCATATTTCTCGTCTATTGGACTTTATTATATAGCACCTATCAATTAAATTGTCTATTATGTGATACCAATCACATAAGGTAATCCTTCTGTATCAATTTATTATAACTCACTTTCCTATTTAAAAGAATAAGGTCCAAATTAAAATTATATTCTTGCGAATTCACCATTAAAAAAAGGAGTATGATGTTTGCCTACATAAAATTCAATCGCATTTATTATAAATTCATGTTCATTTATAAATTATACTGATTTTAATTCTTTTCCCAATTTATTTACTATTCCTAAAGCTTTTTTCTCTAATCTATTATATCCAAAATATAAATAAATCCATTATCCCTCTAAATCTTAATACTCAATCTATTTCACATCATCTAATGATTAAAACAAATATGATGTTTTAGTCAATTAAATCTCTAATAATATTTATTTATATTCTCTTCTCAAATGAGCTATTGAATGTATTTCTGCTCTATTCTATAAATATATTGGATATGTACGTATCCATCTACTCCACATACCAAAACTATATTCACTTTAACCATTCACATTCTAATCATATATCTATGAAAACACAGGTTAAATTTAGTTATATCTACTTGCCTTTATTTCTTCTTAATTTGATATTAATCTATTTCTCAAATACAAATTCAATGCTCCTTCATCATCTAAAGTCATTCTCTCATTATATGATTTTGGTCCAACATTTACTTTTAAATATCCAATCTTCCCATTAAAACTTGATATTTCCTCATCTCCTCCAATTGTCAAATATAATTTTGTTACCTATTTATGTTAGATTCCATTAAATTCTAAACTCTATGCAAAACCTGGATATATCACATATCCAAATGCTTTCAAACTTCCTATATCATAACTAAATTATCCATATGTCCAAACAAGTTAATTAGATTTCAATTATTTTGTTACTCTTTTCTATTCCTCAATTATTGAATAAGTACTAAAATATATCTAACCTTCTGCTCCTCCTCCATATATCTAATGAATTTCTAATGCTCTATCTCCTGTTTTATCACTTTTATCCTTATTACTTCTTAAATTTAATATTTAAAATTCATTCTATTCTTCCACCAAAATATTATCAATCCATCGAAACCATCCCTTCACTTAATACTATGTTATGATATACTCATTATCAAAAACTTACATTTATATTGAATCCTATTTATTATTTGCTGAAAACTCCTTTGTCTCCTCTATTAAATTTATCGTTGACTTTTTCAATAATACTTATGGCATATTACAATGTTTCTAAATTAATTTCAATACATCTTCATTTGTATTTATAAATGCAGGCTCATCAAAATCAAAATAGATATTTGCAAACTACCCTGCCAAACTCAAATAATCAAACTCAGATCCACCAAATATTACCTTATAATATCTGCTTGGTTTGTGTCTACCATATTGCTCAAATCGTATAATATGATTTCCCCCAAATTTTACTAAAAATCCTACAATGGCTGAGTTTTATTTTGAATAACAAATAAAATACCAATTTCCATTTACATTCTCTTATAATTTGACAAGTCTCTCTTTTGATTTAAGATTCTCATCCAAATCATATGTTGCAAAAACAAATACATTCGTATACAGAAAAACACTTAAAGCTCTATCCCCATAGTAAGTTAAATCTCCATGTTCTTTATTTGTTGTTAATCTGCTCAAGAAGTAATATTTTTCTGTGTCTTAAATCTCATTCTCAGAAAAACGAACCCAATATCCATAACCACATTCATCACTTCCCTCTAACAATTTATCTTCCATTTCATATTTTTCTGAAGGTTCTCCCTCTTTAGACTCATAATACTTTGTATTCAACACTTATTCCTAGTTTAACTCCTATTACTTTTTCAAAGGTTTGTAATATGCAGGTTCTAAAGACAACTCTTATGAATTACTGATCCTGACTAAATAGTATAATCTACTTACTAAGACTCGCATGGATTAATCCTATTCCAATCATTAATATCATAATTAACTTCATTCCGTTTTAAAAAATAAATATAATTATATAAATTATTTCAAACTTGGCAATGTAGAAACTATTAATATCTTTAAAATCTTTCTCTCGAATCTATATTATAAGGATTAGTAGCAAGGACCTAAATTATCAATTTAATAATTACCCTATATTTATAATTTTAAAACCATTCTTTTTGTTGTATTAATTGCATTCTATACTTAGTAAATTTTTCTGGCTACTCAAAATTGAATAATTTTGATCCATCTAATTGTATAACTGTATCAAAATACTATTACTATGTTTCTTATTATTATGATGGTTCTTATTATACAATATTTATTTAATTAAAATAACTTTCGTTATTTTTCGAGATTTATTATTCTTCAATTTCATCACCAAGTTCCAGTTCCATTTCCCCTATTTTACTGTAAAGTAGGTATAATTATTCTAAAGAATGTAATAATTCAGGTTAAGGATTAGTATCATTTATATTTAATTCCATTTAATCTAATATTTTAGATTTCTATTTTAAAGTTTATCTCCAATTATTAGATTTCTCAGTATCATCTGCAATTTTTAGCTATTATTCTCTGATTTCTGATTTAAGTTTCTTTATTAAATTATTTTTCATATCATTTTAATCGAACTATTAAGACATCCCTATTTATGATCTTAATTATTCAGAATCTATTAATAATTTTCTTCTCATCTACTTTATTTTTTCTTTATCTGTTTTGTATAATTATTATTCTCTATTTAAAGCTACTCTTTCATCTAAAAGAATTAATTTCCATTTACGCCTAAATCTAATAAAAATTGTTTACATTTATACTGCATTCTCTTCAATTACAACACTTTAATTCATAGACAGATTATTTTAAATATTTATCTCAGTTCCAAAATTCTTAGGTCCTGTTTATCTAAATAGATTGCTTTAAAACTTTGAATTATCATTGCTTTAATTTTAATTTGCTACCAATTATTCTCTTAATTCATTAACACTTTGAATCATATTTTACATAGTTTATTATCTCTATTAAAATTCTTAATGTTTTCTTATCATTTCCTAATAATTGTGTTCTAGTAATTCTAATTCTTTATCTGCTACTTTATCATCTTACTTATATTATTCAACTAAATATTGTAAACGATCTAATTCAAATTTAATTACTTCTTTTTATTTTAATTCATTTTATAAATCATATTTTGAAACAACTATATTCATACTTGTTAATTTCTCTTCAGATTCCATCTTTTTTCTTTTATACTATTTTATTTCTTCTTTCAATTCATGTATTAGACTTTTTGTTTAATTTATTTCCATACATAAATCTATTTCTTTTCCATTTCCTAAAATTTTACCTGTTTTTTTTTCATAATCTTTTTATATTTTCTCTAATTTTTATCTTTATGTTTCTTCTAACTTTTTTTTCATTTCTTAATATTAATCGAATATTTATCTTTCACAATTAATTAATTTTGTTTATATTTGTTATGATAATTTATCCTTCTATTGAGTAATCTTCTTTATATTTTCTTACTTTCTTTATTCAATATCTAATTTTCTATAATCATAAATTTAAGATTATAACATTTTAGATTCACTCAATTCAATATTTTATAATTAATCACTAAATTCTTATTAAATCTAATTAAATTTAGGATCATATTAACTCTTCATTTCATCTTTAATTGATCTAACCATTCTCTAATTTTCTTCTTATAAATCTATTATTTCAAATTTATACTCTCTTTTAGTTTAATCAAATTCAGTCATCAATTTTCTTTTTATTGTCTCCTATTCTTATCTTAACTTTTTAATATTTTCTTATTCTATTTATTACATCTTAGTATATATTTCTTAAGTAAATTCTTTTTTATATTTATTTAATTAATTTTCCACATTCTTTTTTTTCTCTTACATTTATTTCATCCATTTAGAATCAGAATCAGAAAGTTCTTTCTATCTTTAATTAATTCTTTTAATAATATCTTTTTATTATCCTTAAAGTTCTTATTCCAAAAATCTTAATTTATTTTTCATAGTTTTTTCTTATTCATATTCATAATTCTCTAAATTACGTTCTAATTATTTAGCCATTTAATTCTTTTAATTTAATATATTCTATTCCATATCATCTTCTACCTTTCTTTTAACTTTCTTTTTTTTCTCTTCTTCACTCCTATTTAAATTTTCCTTTTATTTTTCATATTCTTCTTTTAATTCAAATAATTCTGGATCTGCTTCATTCATTAACATCAATTCCATTTTATTCAATTTTTATTTATTTTCCTCTTTTAACTTAATAACATCCTTCTTTTTCTCCTCTTCATAATCTTATGCTTATTTAGCAAATTCTTAATCCACTTAAGATAATAAATTTTATGTTGCTGTTGTTTAAATTGGATTTTACAACACATAACCTTAATTCTATCGGTTATCGTAATATAAATTAGAATCCATCATAAATGATTCAGCTTCTTCATTTCCATCCAAATAATTTGGTTCTCTATACTTTTCTATATCCTTTTTAAACTTATTAATCCCTGTTGATTTCTCAAATAAATATTCTAAATACTTTTTTTTTCTAATTTTAAGTATCAATCTATTTTGCCTCCATATACTTTTTTGCATATATTACATCACAAGGATGATCAAAAATTATTTCTTATGTTTCCCTGTTTTTATAGAAAACTTACTCTTCTCCATTTATCTTCTTTGAACAAATCTTCCATTCCTCTGGTAATTTTGCTTTTAAACCAGCCTTTGCAATATCCAAATATTAATTATCTTCAGGTAAATTCATTCCCAAATGAATTGCATATTCACGAATTTCTAAATATTACAATAATTAAACCTTATTTTGTAGGAGAATAATCCTCCATTATTTCCTCTTCCAAAGTTTACGTTTCATCATTCTCATTAAAACTTCTATTCATTTAATGATTCATACCGAACATTTAACTTAATTATATAATTTAATATATTCAAACTTAAATCTCCTCTCTAGATTGATGTAATTAAATCTCAACACCTTTTCTAACCTTATTTACTTATTTTATTAATGTTATATACAGTATTTCTATTAAGCATCTTCAAAAAAAATCACTCTAACTACTGAATACTCTTATTAAATTATAAAAGTTAATAAAATTTGATCGTTTTCGTTAAATTTGAATTATTCATTTATTAATAACTTAAATTCTTAAAATCAAATAAAAGTTGTTTTTAGTAAAATCATATATTTCTTAAAGCAATAGATATAATACAAATTAATAGAGTATTTAGAGGTATCTATAGAGTAATTTATGGATTATTAAACCACATTCATATAAATAGATGAATCTAAGATATAGAAATGAATAGTTGCAATAAATGGACAGTAACAAAATCTTGAATAACTTATATATAGAGAAAAATAAAATGAAAATTTTGAGTTATTTATAAAAGTATAAGAAGAAAATAAAAGAATTAATTAATAAAAAAATAAATTTACATTGAAGTCATTTATTTTGATATTTCTATTTTGAAGAAGATTAAATGATCCAAAAGATTTTTGCGCTTATTCATTATTCATACTCAAATATAGGATAAGGCCTTCATTTAAAAAATATATATTTATGAATCTTAATGAATAATATATAAATATATATTTATGAATCTTAATGAATAATATATAAATATATATTTATGAATCTTAATGAATAATATATAAAAATATATTTATGAATCTTAATGAATAATATATAAATATATATTTATGAATCTTAATGAATAATATATAAAAATATATTTATGAATCTTAATGAATAATATATAAATATATATTTATGAATCTTAATGAATAATATATAAAAATATATTTATGAATCTTAATGAATAATATATAAATATATATTTATGAATCTTAATGAATAATATATAAAAATATATTTATGAATCTTAATGAATAATATATAAATATATATTTATGAATCTTAATGAATAATATATAAAAATATATTTATGAATCTTAATGAATAATATATAAATATATATTTATGAATCTTAATGAATAATATATAAAAATATATTTATGAATCTTAATGAATAATATATAAATATATATTTATGAATCTTAATGAATAATATATAAAAATATATTTATGAATCTTAATGAATAATATATAAATATATATTTATGAATCTTAATGAATAATATATAAAAATATATTTATGAATCTTAATGAATAATATATAAATATATATTTATGAATCTTAATGAATAATATATAAAAATATATTTATGAATCTTAATGAATAATATATAAATATATATTTATGAATCTTAATGAATAATATATAAAACTATAATTAATCAATATAATAAGCTTCTTATTTGATTAACTATTAAACTTGACTATTTTGAATGAAATCTTAGTTTCAATTTCTTCTATAATACATATATGCTGAAATTCTATTTGTTTAATCTAATTTATGTTATTGTCTCCAAATCAATTGTCTATTTCTCATCTTCAACAAATATTTCAAGTTTATCATTACTTAATAAAATTTGACATTTTATAATCTTTTCATTTGAAATCACTAATTTACATCTCTTATTTAAATAAACATATTCAGTCAAATTAATTTTGGTTTATATTGGTGTGTGGATGAAAAAATAAGGCAATTTAACAATATCTGGCTCATTCTTTTTTGATTATAATAATTATAAAGGATTTGGTAAATTCTACAATAATAATTGAATGGTCGGAATCTTAGTTATCAGAAATGCTAAATAAAAGGATATAATTTCTGATTTTAATTAATTTGGTTTAAATTTCCTCATCTTTAATTATTATTATGGTAAGATAAGATTATTGGCCATATTTATCATACTTGTTTGAATATTAATTTCTAATGCTATTGGATCGATTATCATATTTAAAATTATAAAAGTAGGTTAAATTAATGATTCCCATTAACATTTAGATGATTGTAATTATTACTATTATTCTTATCTTAAAAATAAAGGATCTAATCTTAACAATGAAATTAATAGCTTAATTGCATTAAGGAATTACTACTATATATTTAATTTTATATCCTTTATTTTAAAGAAAATGTTATTAATCATTATCAAGTTTAAATCATTTGATTTCGACATTTCTATAATTGAGAAACAATCAGTTATATTAATTACATTAAAATTTTCAAATTAAAGAGTCAAATTTTGTATTAGAATATCCAAATGAGTATTTGAAAAAAATCTCATATTTAAATCAAAAAAAACATTTATTTCCTGTTTATCACATACTTATATATCAATTTTTATAATAGGAATAGATATTTTAAACTCTTTTCCAATTATCTTCTCTTCATTAATAATAATTTCAATAATATGAATATTTTAAATTTATATTTTGTTTACTTTAAGATTATGCTTAGTCATAGTTTCAGAGTCTAATAATTACATTAGTTCATATTCTTAATTAGTTACAAATATTCTATATTTATCACCTTTCTAAATATTATATTCAAGACAATTATCTGAAAATGGATAAATGTGAATTCTAGACTTATTTTTCATCAAAATAAAATTAAATTATGTTTTATTCTTTAATAACAAATATTTAATTTGTTATTAATAGATATTACGACAAATAACAAAACACATTTAGTTTTAAACTAAAACATTATTTCTGAATATCATAATCATATGATGTCTCTTATTAATTTCTATTGCATACTTTCCTTCTTTTAAAAAGTTTATATAATACAAATTTGTAACTTAACCATTAATTATGATTTACTATGATTAATTTGAAGTATGTTTTCTATTATTCAACAAATTTGTGTAAAATAAATCTAATTATTAATCAAAATTATTAATTAAAGTATTATTCATATTTGCATCCACACTTATAGGCAAATTAATAAATGAAGCATTGCCAATACTAAAATTCCAAGGAAGTAAATTAATAATAATAAGAAATGGTTTGATTATAATTTTCTAAAAATATTATCCTTTTGGATCTTTAATTAATTCGAAAGATAGAAGAACATTGTAAAAATTATTATCAATTTTAACAAAATTAAATGATAAAACAGTCTTTTATTAAATTACTTCTTTAAGATTAAACTTTATTTCTTACTAATTTTCTGTCACTATTGATAAATATCATTTGATTACTTAAGATTAATGAAATTGTACTTTATTCAGTCAGTTTTGTGTGGAATGCTTTTTTTGAATTGCCTTCTATTTAAAAGCATTCTACACTTCCAGTTTTAAATGTTAACAAATAATCAGATTAGTTTTCTATCGTTGGTTCTGCTACAATTTATAAATCTGTATTTTATTTATCATATTAGGTTAATATAAATTCATTATTAACTGCTTTTAGAAAAATATCATGTTCTTGTTGATCAATTTCATCAAGTAAGATGAATTTATTAAAATATTATTTAGATAAATGAAAAGGATATACTTGAGACCAAAATTATAAAGTTTCATTAATTTCTAATCCTAATTAAATCTGATAGGTTGGATAATCTTTTGGATCTAAATAAATAATTTAATAAATAAATAACCTTAGAGATCATCATAAAGGGATGAAAGAAGACTAGAATCATCAGGTTATAGAGTGAATGATTATGTTTTTTTATTTAAAACATTAATAATCTTAAAAAGAACTTTCTTTTTTGTTTTATTTCTAATTACACTTACAACATCTAATCCACTTAACAAATTTATGGTGTTAAGTATATTTGAAATAGTTAATTAAGATAATTTTATTTCAACAGTATTTAAAATTTAAAAAATATTCTACGAATCTTATTAATTAGAATCAATTGTCTTATTCCATACTAATTTACATTTAATTGTCTTAAAATAACTTTATAATATTTACATTTGTGATTTTACAACTCTTTCTCTATAAGGGATGAGTAGTCCATATATTTAAATTAGATTTCCATTCTAAATGATGTGGTTAGTTTTCAATTAATAATACTTACAAATTTATTTATTTGATATTAATCGTTATAAATGATACATAATTATTAATTTTGATACATTAACCAAAATCAATTGAACATCTTTCCATAAGAAGAATAAATTTAATATTTTTATGCAACTATTAATTTTGTTACAATTAATCATTTTAGAATGAATCAGATTATACTATTTTTTCAGTTTCTAATAATTTTTGCAAAGTAATTAACTAAGAGAATGTATTTTTTTGTAATCTAATTTATACCTATGAAAGTATGATATTTAATTCAATTTGTTTAAAATAGTCAAAAATTGCATTGAATCCATTGATAGATATTAATAGATGTTAATGTTGATCAAATAATTGAAATTGCAATTGATTATGTTTCAATTCTAAGTTCTTGATTTTGTCTTTTTTTTAATATATTCCTACATGTGTTTAACTTTAGAATAATAATAGAAATTGTGTTTATCCAGATGCATTAAGAGTTAATTTATTTTTCATAATATTCATTTTATAAGTTAACTTTTTTTAAAGGGATTTGATATGACTCTACCCTTTAGTTTAAACCTATTATTATTATGGTGGAATAAACGATTAATAGCTTTAAATATGATTTATAATGGTTTGAGAATTTTAGAGTAAGTGATGGATATCTACTTCAAGATGAATATATTCAATTTAAAGAAATAGTTTTTGTTCTATTAATTTCATTCTATCACTTTAATTTTGTGTAATTTCTAAAATAATTTATTACTATAATTAGTAGAAAGTATACTTTATCTGCATCTTGATTGTGCAATTCTGGCCATATACTAAATTCGTTGCTATCTTATTTAGTCAATTAAAGAATCTTTAGTCCATTATATTTAATCTAAATATAATAAATGTTCATACATGAATTTATTAAAAACTTAATTTATAATTCATTTAAGATAAAAAGGATTTAGCACATATGTTACATTATTAAATAAATAATGTTAATTATTAGGATTGGATGTATAAATTGTTAGAAAATATGGATAAATGAATTCCTTTGCTGACAGTTGTAATATCTCTAAAAATAAAATTTTCATGTATAGGTTAAATTTTGAATTCATTTAATTTATTTTTAACTAATTATTACAATTGAGTTTGTTTATTGATAGCATCATTAGCTAATAACACTATATCTTTATCTAAGATAATATTGAAGTTATTAAATTCAACATTACAATATATAGAATCTTTTGATCTTTCTAAATAAGAGTTACATTGATCTAGAGCTAATAATTATTAGTTTGAAATGTCATCATCTTTAAAACGAATTAATTTAATAAAAAATGTTTCTAATTTTAATTCTCTATGAAATTGATCAACATCTTCTGGATTAATTCTTAAATTCTCTTCACAAGATGTACTAAATTCTTGACAAACAACTTATAATCTATATTGTTGTTTAATTAACAATTCAACTTAAATATCTTTAATTTCAAAGGATAGATTAAGTAGTAGTTTTTTTACAAATCTTTTTAAGACTTATTCATCAATTTCTTTATGTTTTCTAATCTCATCTTGAATAGAGAGTTTACTTTCATTATTTTATTTTTTTGATAAATCTTAGATGAGATTTTCAATGTCTTCTTATTCATTATATTGAATGATTACATTCAATCCACTTATATGTGTTTTGATTGGTTGAGTAGTTAATGATGCCCATGGTATATCTATTTTAAGCATTTCAATATCAGCTTTAAGGATGGTAAAAGGAATTAATAATTCCTTAAGTAATTTATTGAGTGTTTACAATTTGAGCTAAACCTTTTAAAGATTTAAAGCTCCTTAATACAATTAAACCTGAGAGCCTCCAAATCCCTCAATATAAAGATTGAGAAATTTAGCCACGAAAACTTTAAATACATAATTCATATAAATCAAAATTATCTAAGTTTTTCATCAAACTTGGAATGTGTTGTGTAAAAGGTTTAAAACATTCCTTCACTCATTGATTTATGTGTAGATCTCTTTGGTTATAACTTATAGAATTCACTTTAAGTTCTCTATTATTATACATTGATTCTATCTCTTGGAAGTTTATAACTAAAGTATATAATACATATATATATATACAGTTATTCTAATGATCCATTATGTCCTCTATTTTATGATACACGTACAGGTGGAAAATATCCTATTTTAGCATTAGCTTTCCCCCAATCCTTTGAGTTTAGAAGAGATTAATTAAAAGTATCAATAGGATTTCTAATTAAATATCAATTACTAACTTATTTTATGGTTCTGTTTATTTAGCTGGTTAACTTGGAGTATCAGGTTTGTTAGGTTACACTAATAGATTTTCAAGTAATTTTGCATTTTTTGTTAATATTTTCTCTGATTTTGTATCAACTTTTTAAAGTTAAGGTTTATTTGGAGAAAATTTATTCATCACAAGATGACTTTCATTAAATTAAACAGTCTTTTCAAGTTTTGTATTTTCTAAATTCTTTTTTGTTTCAATATTCTCTTAAGATACAAATTAAGATTTTGTTTATTATTAAAAAGGATTTCCATTATCAGTTAACATTTTATATTCAGTTCTAGTTAATCGAATTTGTTGCATTTATTTAGTGATATCATCACCAGGTAAAAAGTTTTATCCTGATAACCTATATTATAATTATTCAGCAGAATCACTAACCTGATGTTTGATTCCTTCCTTATACCTTTATTCATAGATGAGTTTAACACCATTTGTCATTGAAAATGTATCATATGGTAATTAAGCTCCTCTATCTATTCTAAGTCCTTTGTCTCCAGTTGCCTCTTTGGCTACATCCTTTCGATCTATTATATTCTTATATAACTTATAATTTTACTTTATTAGGTATATCAGCAGTAGTTTTTGGAGGGATTTACACAGGTTATTAAGTTTGGATAACTTATTTGCTTCCTTTTTTAGAATTGCTTTGTGGAATACTCTATTGATTAGTAGTTTTGGGAATATCTTTCAAATCAACTTTAATTTTCAAAGATGTAGGTTATAATTTATCATATTTAACTCCCCTTGATAATAAAATTTTGCCATCATAATCATAGGTGTATTTATTTGAGGATGATTCTTTTTTCTATTTTAGAAGTATAAATAAATATGTACTTAATTTTATATAATGTCTTCTTTAATTTTTTATTCAATTTCATTCTTCTTTTTAATATCATAGAGTTTCTTTTATCTTAATTTATCAACAAAATCATCTTCTTCTTCTGCAACTTAGAATTCAATTAATCTAATTTCAGAATGACTTGATTTTGGAGGCGCAACAACTGCTGTTTTTTTCCTTTCCAAAACAGAAAATCGTTACTTGTTATTTTTTTAGCTATTATTTTAAGATGGTATTTCATTTTCAACCTATTCTTCTTATTCATCAGAAAATGAGGAACTCTATTCTTCAACATTAACTCTATTTCTTCTCCAACGATCATAATGTATTACATTCTTATAATATATAAACATGAAATAAATACAGGTTCGCTATCTTCTTACATGTTATTTCCATCTATTTTCAAACCATCTTCATTAAAATAACTGGCTACAATTAATTCCATAATTGTCATAACTTATGCATTGGAACTTATAGGAATTTAAGTTTCCATAAACTAAATAGGTATAAGCAATACCTATTCTTCTGCTATTTTTAAAGATTGTTTGATAATAAAAGTTGTTATTTATTTCGAGATAAGAAATGATTAGGCAAATATTCCATTATATTCAGATGTCATTGATTAATAAACCTAGATTTTTTTAATTTCTTATACTTGTTCCATATTCAATTAAGGTGTTTAATCATCTCCTTCAATATCACATTCATCTCTTTCAGAAAAGTCATCTCCATTTACACTATTGCTCATTATAATTATAATTATTATATGTTATATATATATATTTTCATATTCAATTAATTTTCAATCAATACTATCACAATTATCTTAAGCGATCAGATTGTATCTATATGGATGTTAAGGATTATTAATTTTTTTAGTATTATTAAAAATATATTAATTTTGAATGTTCAAAAAATCTGTAGGATGTAATAATCAATAGCATTTAAAGTTTTAAAGAATTTCGATATTTTTGGACAAAATATCCAATTGAATTTTAATGGTGATGATTCATACCAAACTGCCATCGGAGGTATTTTTTCGATAACAATTATTGCTGTCATTGCTTTTTTCTTTTAATAAAATATCATAGATTTCATAAGTAAAAACTAGATTAATTTAAATGTCCAAACACTATTTGATGCTAATCCAGATGAAATCATCTTTAATGATAATAATTATATGTTTGCATTAGCCATTGAATAAAATGAATTTAATACTAATCCATACTTCAATATAACATTGAAATAAAGAATTTATACAAGATTAACAAATGGAACTTTAATAAAATAAGATTCATTTATTGATTTGATACCATGTTCTCTAGACAGATTTCAAAATATTTTTAATAATTAAAATTTCACCGATCAATTTATTTCTCTTAGATTGTCTGAATGGTTATGTCCACAATACAATTATTCAATTAGATTATCTGGAGGATACACCAGTTAAGTTTTTTAGTTCACTAAAATAACTGTTTCTGAATGTTCCAATTAAACTGAAAATAATTAAATCCTAACTTGGAAACCATAATGTGCTAGTACCAAAGATAGAGATAATCATCTAAATAATGATAGATCATTTAGATTAAAAATGTAAATTCACTATTTTATGTTTAGGTATATGACCAATACTATTATTAATCCTTTATAACCAAAAAATATATCTTAAGTATTCTTAGATGATGAACTATTCTTTTCTTTCCTTTTACTTACAGGAACTGAAACTGATGTCTTTTATTAAAAATATAATATCACTACTAATCAAAATATATTCCCTTATATTGAAGATAATTAGGAATAATTATACAATATTAAACAACAAGGAGATTTTAGAGTTAGTAATGTATAAAATAGTGGATCATCATATTCTGCTATTTATATGAGAAGAAGTCCATATACTTATTAACTTAAGAGAGATTTTCAAGATCTTGCTGATTTACTCTCTTATTTAGGTGGATTTGCTAATATTGTTGTTATGATCTTTGGCTTTTTTATTACGTTTTATAATAAATCTTAATGTATTTTCAATCATATTTTTCTAGTCATGATTGAACTTGCTAATTAAGTTTATGATTTCCCAGTTCAAAATTCTAACAATATTGATTGCTAATAAAGAAAAGAAATCAAAAAAACTATTGCTAGAGCCAAAAGTAGAACTATTATTCAAAAACCTAATTAATAACACTCATAATTGTAATCACCTAAATATAATTAAAATTAATAATTAATAGTCAATTAAACTACTAAATAAGATGAATAATTAATAACTAAATAAGATGAATAATTAATAACTAAATAAAATGAATATAAAACCTTCCAATAAGAATAAGAAAAAATCATATAGTAATTAGGTCTTACAGATAGAAAGAGCTATTTAACACAATAAATTTAGAAAATCTTAAATAGGAGTCTTCCTATTTTCTTTAATTGCAAATATATTTTGTATTAATTATTCTGTTAAAGATTCTTTTATGATAGGAATAGTATTTTATTACAAAAAGCTATGTATTAATAATAATAATAATAATATATATAGAAAAAACATTAATCAAGACTTAGATCTTTGCGTGATTATAGATAAAGTCAAAGAAATTAATTTATTGAAAGAACTATTATTGACTGATGATCAATTAGTTTTGTTTGATTTTGCTCCAAAAGAAGTTATCAATTTAGAAGTTGATTAAAAGATTACAATAAAAAACTTAGCAAGAAATACTTTAAGAAACTTTAATTAGATATCAAACACACTTAATAGTAAAGAAGAATAAAATAAGCCCAGTTCAACAATTAATACCTATTATAAGCTGTTTAAAGTATTTTTTGAGCATTATAATATAGGCTTATGATCGCATCCACTAATCATTGTAATAGAATGATAAGATCAATGAAAAATTGATTGGTAAATTGGGATAAGAAGTAAGAGATATTTTTGAAGTTTCTCAATTCATTTAATGGGAAAATCATAGGAATATCAATAGTGAACCATTAGATGAAGAGTTTTAATGTGATTCTGTGAATTCTGATCCACCTTGCATTACTAGTTTAGAGTAATTCAAGATAAATTTAAAATTAAATATTTGATTTATTAATTATTTAATGAAGTCTGTTCATTTTTAGTTACCTGATCCACCTTTACCTTTTCCATTTGGATATTCTTACAATACAAAAATTGATACTATTTCTGATATTTCAGAATCAGATATTAACTAAAGACAATGTACTTAAAATTCTAAAAATGATTAAACTTTCCAAATACTTCCTCAGGTTTAACAATTAAATGTATTAGAAAATAAATAAATTATTGATAATTCTAAAGAAATTTCTTATTTAAGATACCCTCAAAGAAATTCATAATTAGCCAATTCTTAGGAAAATTAGACTACTTAAAATCAATAAATAGATTTAGGATCCATTAAATTCTAATTAGAAAAATTAATTGAAATTTGTAAATTTAAAAGTCAGCCATCAGAAAGATAATATTAAGAACTATTATATAAAGTACTTAATTATATTAATTTAGTTAATCTAAATAATAATATTTTATTAATAATAAGATAAGGGAATTAACAATTTAATTTTCGATAGTGAGTTTAATAGTATCATTTTTTAAATTCGAGCTCTTCCAAATTTAGATATTTTGCATAAGATTTAGTTTGAAGAAATAATAAATTGTATTTTTAAGCAAGAAGAGAAATTATAATTTTAAGAATTAGTTAGAGAATTAATTTAAGATAATTATATATATTGGATAGAACCATTATATTATGAGGTTAAAAAAAAGTAAATAGGCAAATCATAATGGAAATAATTTATTTAAAGTTCAATAACATTATATAACATATGATTTCATTATACTTTCATTGTAAATCCTTTTTTTTGGTTAATACCTTTTTGACTGGCTAACTTAATGATTTGATTTATTATTGAGGTAGTTATTTTTCATCAACCTCTTCTTTTTATTCTTGTAATACCTTTGAATGATCTTCATTATTTTTGAATGATTATGTTTACTATTATTCTACTTAAGATTTTTAATCAATTTATTATTAAATGGAAAACAATTTTTAAATTTCTTTTTGTGCTGCATATTCATTCTATTCAATCAATTCTCCTTTAATTCCTTATAGAGGTTAATTTGTAATTAAATTAGGTTATTCTTAAGCAAGTTTTTAGATAAATTCTAATACTTAAGGTGTATCTTTATCTTTATCTTTAACTAAAACTTTAGGTTTAATTTCAGCTGGTAATTCAACTAATTAATTGAATGGATTTTATTCTTTTAATTGTTCATTACATTCAATAGCTCTAGATTTGAAATCAGGTTTATATACTTTAGTCCATAAATCCCAAGATTCTCCTTGATGACATCCTTTTTTTGCAAGATTCAATCTCCAATCTTCATTAGATAGATTAAAGATTTCTGTAAATTTACAAGTTGAACATGATAATAAATCATATCTTCCTCCAAGATTACTGAAACCTATAAACTTTTAATCCCATAAGACTTAAACCATAATTTCTTTTTATTCTAATAATCCAACAACAGTTCCATAAATGCCAAATGGATAATTTAAATTAACAACTCTATCTCCTATTTTATGAATAGTAGGATGTTTAATAAAAAATGGAGGAAGAAAAGTTTGATTAGTTTATTGAATAGCAAAGCCAGGATCTACTTTTTTTGTAGTATTAACATTATTATTTTGAATTTATTTTTTATGAATCTTTATTTCAGCCACTTTGGATGAACTACCTTATAATAGATATTAGGATTCAGGTAATTATAAGATCCAAATATAGATTTTAAGTAGATCAATATTAGGATCAACAGAATTAGGAAATAAATCCTTAGCATTAATTGGTTAATTTCTTTAATTTTCATTCAATTAATTAAGATACTATTAAACTCTTGAACATTAATTTCGATATTCGCATAAAATAGTAACACACTTTTCAGATAATTCTAAATCATTAAATTTTTAATATTTAGATGGACCAGTTGCATATTAATCAGCTTAAGGTAATCTTACTAATTCAGGTACTAATTAATTATTAGTTCTATTTATTATATTTAGTCCAATGTCTAATTAATCAGCTATTTTAGATTCTTTATCTTCCATATTTACTACAATACTTCCAAGTAAGTTTAACAAAGTCTTTACTGAACATTAAAGTTTTCCACTAACTATTTATAAAGAATAATAAATATCAGAGTGAATATAATCATATCCTAAAAGAATTGGATAAGCTGTTATTTGTATTGTGAGCTTTTTATCAATTTATTTTATTATTCCATTTGCTCCATTCTTTTTTTCATGAAAAATAACAACTTATCTATCTAATTAGAAATCTTCAAATTTTGGATTAATAAATTTAACCTTCTAATCTACAAATACAAATTCATAAGGATATACTAACTCTCTATATTATTCTTATGGGTAACTTAATTAATTATTGTTATCTCGTACTAAATGTTTATATTATTTTACAATAACAAATACTTGGCTATCTAATTTCATGTATTTCTCATATTAATTTAAGCTTTTATTCCTTATTTCTTTATATATTTTATTATGATCCTTCTTGCTGTAATCTTTTAATAAATTTATTGATTGCATTTTAATTCCTTCAAGTAGATTTAAATAATCAGGTCCAATAATAGCTAAAACTTCACATTACTATTGTAAGGGAAATCCACAATAGACAAAGTTTTTATTTTTAGTAATATATTCAAAAAATTATTTGGAATCAAATTTAACTGATTGTAATTCTAATAGTAAGTATTAATTTTCAAATTTCTTCATATCATCCTCATGTTATTAGATGTTAATTAATTTTGTTGATTTTATATTGATTATTTATAGAGTAGGAACTTAAAAGGAATTTTCAAATTTTTCAATAAATTATTATTATTATTATTATTATTATTATTATTATTATTATTATTATTATTATTATTATTATTCCCAAGTAATTTAACATTATTCTCTCTCATCAATATCAATAAATTATTTCTTAGAGCAAGATTTAAAATTACTAAAATGTTTAGGTAATGTAGATTCGTAAATTTATTATTGGTTTGCATCAAATTAATAGAAAATAGATTATCCTAATCGATTTCTTAAATCATTCGTATCAGGAATTGAATTATATGCTTATTCAATTAGAGCACAATCCAAAAAAGGGATTTTTGTAATATGTTAATGTTCATACATGGTACCATATGAATCAGTTTCAAAATTTTCTGGATAATAATCGTTAGGTGTTCTAAGAATAGAATTTTCTTTATCAGTTAAGAGTTTACCATAAGGTTCTGGTAAGAGCATAGCATTTTCAGGAGTTAAGATACTAAGTAGTTATTTAAAAGGAGGATATGGTTAACTCTTTGGAAATTAAATTGGTTGTTCAGTGTCTGGTAATTCTTATAAGATATTTTTAACAATTCCAACAATATCTCCACATAAAGGGGCATAATAATATTTATAATACCATTCCCATGAAGGAACTCCTTTAAAGTAATACCATAAAACAAATTGAATTCCTTCCATGTAATTGACACACATATCTTGAAGTTTTTCTAAATCTAAATCATCATCTTAAATAATTTAACATTTTGCTTTATAATAGAATCTACGACCCTCAGTTTATTCTTAATGTGAAAAATGATTTAAAATATTATCAATCAATTCTTTTTCTTTAATGATGATTTATTTATTTTCATGTTTATGGTTTAAATAATTCATCATTTCTTATTGTCTATCATTAATACACAATTTTTCAAAACCTTACAATAGATCTAATAGATTTAATAATTCTTTATAATTGATATCTCCTCTCTAAACGATATAATCATTAGCATTAGTTAAATGTTTTTTGAATAAATCAACAAGTGGTTCAATAGTACCAATTCGAATGTCAAAGCAATATATTCTAGGTAGAAAATCATTTCCAACAAAGAAGCAAAGTAAAATGAAATCATCGATAATTCGATTAATATCATATGCAATTTTCATTTTATCTTTCAAGACAATAAATTCTAAATCTAAGTATTCTCTAACAATAGAAATATTAATGACTAAAAATTCAGGTATTTTAGCAACTCTATTAGCTGCAGCACTAGGAGTTTATTTGAATTTAAGATCTTCTCTGATAATAAGAACATTTTTTAATTAAGTAAGTAAGCCTAACATAATTAAATCTGCATCTGCTCCATAAATCATATGAACACTATTTGGATGGCATTACAGATTACGTATAAAACTAAGTAATTTATGTTCTCCTTCTCCTGGTACATCACATCCTGAGAATATAATTTTGAGATTCCTAAATTTAGGATCTTCAGAATATTTTCTCTCAATGTAAAATTTAATCTATTGATTTCTTAATATTTGAATATGAATACAATTAAGTCATGAATTCAGTTCCAGGACTGAATTGATTATTTTAATATGTTTGATTCTTTTGAAAAAGACCAATATTTTAAAGATGTGCACTTAAATACTTATATCTTTTTTATGATTAAAACCTTCTTTGACGTTATTGATTCATTTTAGCACGTGGTGCAACTCCATCAAATGCTAAGAATAATAATTCTTAAGGATTAACTAAATTAATGATCATATCAAGATAATTTATAATTGAAACCCAAACATCATCAAAATCTCGTTCTCTTAATTGATCTTTAAATAATACAGTTGGATCAGTTGCACATTTATATATAATTTGATTCATATCTAGATATAGATAATCAACTCTTTAAGCACGAGTATGTTCATAAAGACATAAAGGATATCTTCTCATTAACCATGAATAGAAGTTTGGAACACCCATTAATTAAAATATAAAAATTTATATAGAAATTAAATGTTTAATTCATACTAGTATGAAAAATAACTTGCCTTAACTAAAGACATAGACAAAATAAAAAAAGGATACTTGAGGGAACGAGAAGTTCGTAAAGGTATAAATATTATTTATAATTCAAGAAAATAATAATCGATTAGCATAGAATTATAAAAAAAGAGTTGAAAATTTTGTTATAAATATGCTTGAAAATCCTGTTGTTTGTGTTGATTATCAATAACCTAATCAATCAGCCTTTAGAGATGAAGATCCTTCTAAGAATTTAGGAGATCCATAATTTTATGTTAAAGGTTTCAAACATGAAAAAGATCGTATTCAAGAAGCTTTAGATAAAAACAAAGATCTTGACTTTCTTCCAAATAGATAAGTTGCTCATTATTGTTTTAGAGAAAGAGATCCTACTAAAGACATCAAACGTGATATATTTAGATATAGAGATAAAACTAGTTTAGAAAGAATTGAACAGTTTCTCCAAGATCATACTCAAACTCAAGTAGAAAATTAGAAATTCCCAAAAAAGAAATTAACTAATCTTGAAAATCTGTCTGATAATATGACATCTTTAGATCGCAAGGCTTATATTAGTAGATTAGTGGCTAAAAATCTATTGCCATCTCTTCATCAAAAAACACATTTTCAAGCTGCTTCTACTTTGTATAATAATTTACCATGTATTTTAATTTCTCTCTATTTTTTAGTATCTCTTATGGATCATTCAAGATCATTACCATAATTAAAATAATTAGAAACTGAAGAAAAAAGTAATCAATTATATTTTATTTAGAATCTTAATAATAATAATAGAGAGAAGTCTAAAAAACAGAAGAAAATGAAATCAAAGATAATAAGGCTAAATAAAACAATGAAATGGAAACATTCAATCCGATTGAAACCTCTAAAATCATATTAGAAAGATGTTAAGTTATCAGAAACAAAAATCCTAAAACTCATGTTATTCATAAAGGTGAAGGTCATCTCATTTCTACACTTGATAAATCTATTTAGGAGGTTTATAAAGAAATTTATGGAATAGATTTCAATGAACCTAAGTTTTTTCAAAAGTGAATATAAAAATTAAATATTCAACCACTCATCATCATTGATTATTTTAATAATATTTCTGTCTAATCAATTAAATCACTCAAAGTGTTCTCATATTACTTAAAAAGAGTTACAGTATTTTAAACACTTATCTCTTCTAATTTTTAATTCTCCATTTTTAATTAATTAATCTATTATTCCAATTATAGAAGTTCTTAAGTCAATTTTGTGATTTCTAACTTTTGAGATTAAAGTAGAGTTGGAGATTAATGACTTAAATTTTCATTCTCATCTGCTTCAAATTCACTTACATCCATTTTCCTTTATGTTGTACGACATGATTATTGCGGTTATTATTGAATATCTTATGCACATTTATCAACTGATAAATATAAAGATGATCTTTTTTTAGCCATCTAATTTTAATATTATTTTATGCTTTCAACAGTTGTTGTCCTAGCTATGATTAATTCAGAATTCTTTGTTTAAAGTTGATTTATATTAATCTAAATTATCACACTAAAATATTTATCTATTTCAGTCGAATCATTGCTCTGTATAATTTTATCTAAAATATAAAAAGCACAAGAAAATGATAAATTGAGAAAGAATTAATTCTTATAGTGCATCATTGCTGATTCAATAAATTACTTAGCTGCTATCATTTAATCTTATTCCAATTTAAATCGAAATTTGACATCCTAAATAGCATCATGTTACATATAATCGTAATCTTTTATGAACTCTTAAGTAGCTTAGTATTCAGGGTAATATTATTTTGGTATTTTATGATAAAGATCTTCAAGAATTTTTAAACAAACATAATCCTTACAAAAACACAACAAGAATATTGTCAATTTGATCAAATATTAATTGTATCCTACTTTTGGGTTACGAGTAACAAATGTATCAATTACATTTGTTATAGTGGTTTCTACATCTCTATTATTGAATATCAATAAATTAAAGAATTCTTGAATTGAATAATTCATCGGAGTTTACATAATAGTTTTAACATCTCTAGCAATTTGGCTTTATTTAATTTCTTTGTTTAATTTGTACACTTATCTGATAAATTCAACATCTTTGACCCAATATGTTTTGGCTATTTAACTATTATGATTCCATGCTAAAAGGGATTCGGATATAATCTTTTTGATGGTCTCACAATCTGATGAACGTAGATAGTTTTATACCTTGCATACAAACTTTGCAAATATTCCTAAATACATCCCTGACTTATTGCAATTTTGAACAATCAGTGCAAATAATCCTATTACAACGTTTACATTTTGTATCTCTTCTCCATAATATATTAAAAGGTTTCTTACAAATATCGCAACTCATAATTAATATATTTAATTTAAAATCTAGAAAATTGTAACATGAATCAAATTAAAATTATTTAATCATAGATTGTTTTAAATCTCTCTGATCTATAATTATAAAAATAAGTCATGTAATTCTTCAATTTCATCTTCATCCAGATATCTCCTTCTTTTTAGTAAATTATCCTTAATTAACCAGTTTTTGATTAAATCTATTATTTTTCTCTTCCGATGAAATTATCAAGATTATAACATTAATCTAATATTTTTATCGCTTCTTTCAAAGTAAAATTAATGTTATTAATTTATCCTACTGTAACAACATTTCTTTTATTAAATTAATTTCATTAACAACATGCAAATATCCAAATTTTATTAAAATTTTTGTTATTACTTAAAATCATACATTTTATATTGCTTTTTCTAAAAAGAAGTAATTCTTATATAAAGTATAGATGCTATTGTCTGACTTCTTACTATCATCATAAAAATTTGTTGTTTAAATATTCATTTTGATTATTGATTCCAATTTTATTAATTATTCATTTTTGTATTTCTAGATAAATTACTTAATATTTACTCTTACTATATATATAATTTCAATCATGATTGATACAACCTTTTGATTATGGATTACTTAGGTACGATATACATTATGTGACAACTAAGGTTTTATTTATTATATAGCATCACAATTGATTAATAAAATTTTAGGGTTTATTGTATGCATAGCATTACAAAACTGATTAATAATTTTGATTAATATTTAACATTTGTTATTTTTCAACCATAAGCTAAATCTTTCAAATTAAGCTTTACCAAAATGAAAATCATACTCTGCATTACCCAATTCAATTAGATTTGAATGGACTAAAAGTTATATTAAAAATGGATTGATGTTAAAGTTAAAATTTGCAATCATAAAATTTGATACATTCAATCCTAATTAAATTTGGTTCATACAAAAAGTTTGTTTGTTTCATTTGATATATTTTATATTTAGAAAATCTTGAATAATAAATTGATTGAAAAAATGAACCACAATTCCTCTAATCATCAGAGTGAAGAAATCATATCAAAGGTAGATCTGTTTATTGATCTCCATTAAGATTCAGTGTAATGCTACATCAAAATAAATTAATAGACTTAAGCTTTTTGATTAACATTTTATAATACAATTCATAATAGATTTTCTCATCCTCTTCTTGAAATTATATAAAATTATAGATAATAATAATTATCATTCTCATCTTTTGATAAGTGAAATTATGGATAGAATTCCTAAACAAGAACAAGATCCCCAAAACCAATAATATGCTTTGTGTTTGTCTGGTGTCAAATAAGGCTTCTGAAATGTGGAATAAAAACTAGGAACAGGATATAAATCTTGAATGTTAATATATCATCAGATTTACCCTAAGATTTAAATAATCCAGTGTTTTCAGTCTAGGATCCTAATCTTTCTAAATACAATTTAGTAGAGTTTTATGGGAGTTAGTTCTCTTTAGCAATTAGTTGTAGATCAATAAATGTATTCATAAGATTTTGATCAGTATTTTTATCAGGATGTTCTGGTAATTTAATCATAGCACACATATCATTTAATTGAACTCCCTCCAAAGATTCTATTTTGTCCAAATAATTTTCAGGAATCCAACCCAAATTAACAACGATGGCATCATTCGAATTATCCTTTAGCAAACCGCACAACATCATACCTGGTCTTCCATCCTAAAATCTGTAAACCTTTAGTATGTATTTATCAAGTTATCTACGACAATCTTTATTAAACTAACCCTGATGTTTTAACAAGTATATATGAATATTCTTTAGGATCTAATTATAGAATATCTGAAATGGCAAAATGCTTAATTGGAAAATCAGGTTTGAATTGCTCTTCTATTAATTACCATTTTCTTATAGATTCCTTATAACGACGATATTACCAGTTGCATGCTGACATTGCTGTTACTGTGAGACATGACATTACACCTGTAAATAAAATTCTTTTCATTCTATTTATAAAATTGTTTATTTATTTATATATCATTTCTCTAAAGAATTTATATATTAGTTCCGATAAACAGTAAATGCGTGACTTATATTATTCTTTTATTCATTTAAAGCTTACATTACATTTAATTAGATGTTCTATCCAATCAAATTAGTAGTTCTCTATTATTTTATTCTCCTTCAAGATTTTTCTAAAATAATTTAATCAAAAAATCTTGATCAAGTGTTATTTCAACTTGATTATATATATATAAATCACCAAATATATAATTAACACTTCTTTGTTGATCATAATTTTATTTTCATTTATTTATCCAGAGCAAATGACTTACCCTAATTTTATTTTATCACATTTTTACAAATACCCTAGATTATAAATGGCATCAATGAATAGATACTTCTTTTACTTATGCAGTGATATGGATAATAAAAATGTGCATTTTCCAATAAATTTTAGTCGTTCTAAATAAATTCTTTTCCTATTCCAAAAACTATCAAATATTTTCTACGCTTTAAATAAATGCTCATAAAAATCTTCAATGGTTTCTAATAATTAGTTAACCATATAGATATTTACAATTTCATTTATGTATTGTTAATGATTATTATTCTATCTACTTATTTTAATAGTTCCAATACAATTATAATTATAAAAAAGAGATGAGTTTCAAAGATTACACTTTGTTTTGTGTAGCAGACTCTATATAAAAGTTCCATTATTATAAAAATTTATTTTTTTTGTTTTTTGAACCCAAAAATAAGGGATATCAAATATACTTTATAATTTTGTTGTAATTTAATATTCTTTGTTAAATTGAATTATGAATATTTTATTTTATTGCCACTTCTTTATTTTACATTGCCTTAGTATATTGATTCAAACATCAATTATAATTCTTGATTTGAATTTAAACACAGGATATTCCATTTAAAAACTCAGATGAATAACATATATCTTTTTAGATTCAATAAAAAATTATTAATCATAAATTATATTTCTTATATTTAATTACTTTTGAATATCCGAGAAAGCTTTACAAGAAAGATCAAAATTAAAATATTAATTTGTAGATATTTTAAGCTCTTTTATCATTTAAATATTTCTAATCATACTCTCTCTCAAATATGAAGAACCTATTGAAAGATATTTTGTATTATTTTTTTGAATATTTAAGCAAACCTATAAATTTCAATTCAAATTAATGCAATAATCATATTCATAAGTGTGTAATTTTTTGGAATTTAAAATGATGGAGTTTGAGGGAGATATAATTGACCACTTAGAGTTTAAAATAATTAAGATATTTATATATAATTTACTTCTTCATAGGGTATGAAATCTTAGAATTCTAAAAAACCTAATCTGAAGATTTCACTAGATAAGAAATAGATTTAATAATCAGTGAAATAAGACAAGCCTCTAAGTTCCAAATGTTCTTAGAACACAATATCTTCAAATGGAAAGGTAAGAAATACAGCGTATATGAATGATTTAGACAACAGCTTCTTCCAAATAGTTGTATTTCAAATTCCAAGATAACTAGTCAACCGCTAATCCATCATTTATTTCTGAAATAGAAAAGAAATGTAAATATATAATAAATAATTGCATAGCCCTTGATCCAGATCAATAATAACTGATTTAATTGCTGATTCAGGAAAATTTGCAATTGTAAAAGGAAAGCTCTGACAAGGACACCATTATTTCTGAACTTATTACAAACAAAAAATAAGCCATTCCATAAAGAGCCAATACTTCATAAACGGAGAGGAATTCTAAAAAATGCTTTTAAATGTATAATATACTACATTAAAATCTAGAAAAAAGTTGCAGCCAAACACTTGTGATAAGAAATAGAATTCTCCTCTCGGTTTCACTTTTTGTAATGTTGATGAAATACAATAAGAAAGAGTAATCTAGAGTCAATCAATTACAAGATCTTAAAAGGGTCTTCCAGACGTATTTTAAGTTGTACCAAAGTAGAAAAAGTTTTTCATATGACAGAAGAACTTGAAAACAAATTTGTTAAACGATTTTATGTTTAGTTTCAATTACATCAATCAAATCATCTACTTAATTATTTAAATAATCTGCTTTTTCTTCTATATTCTCTGCTCCAAAAAAATATATTATATTTAATAATAATTGCCTCAGAACTGGACATTAATAAATATTTAATATAATAATTCGTACTTTAAATGATTAATCAGTGATTAATCAATAATATTAGTTTTATAAAAGATAATAAAGAATTTTTAAAAAAGGTTAATTCACTTATTTTTACAATCTCTTAAGAGGAATTAAAAATTATTATCTAATTGTATAATATCACATAAATTAATTGGCAACTCTATAAAATGTTTGTAAGAAATTACCAATAAATTTGGAGGAATATTGTCTTCTATCTGCTCAGTAAATATTTTTTTAAATTTGACTATGGAGAATATCCGAGGAAACAATATCGCAATGAAAAAGCGATCCACTTTTCTTGGTATTCTGGTCAAATTCAATTTTACATTTTCTTTTATTATTGATAATATTGTATTTCATTAAAGGAAATTTAAATTCTGGATTCACATCAGAAAATAAAACAGTAATTTATTTCATTAAATTGATATATTATCATTAAATTAATCTTTGAGTAGTTAAAAAGTTTAAAAATGAATTAAGACTAATGTCTAAAATTAATATTGGATAATTTTTAATATCAGCAAACAGTCTAAATTGAATATGCTTTTTCATAATATCTAAATTTTCAATTCTTAATTTTTGAATAATAGCTTTCCTATCATTTAGACACACTGAAATTCTTGGGTCCTTTTAAAAAATAATGTCACATCTTAATGCATAATTTTATTGTAATTGATTATTATGTATTTTCCATATAAAAATACCTTATAAAGTTGTTTTGGATATGTTTTAAAATAAATTTTAAAAAATTTTTCTAAAAAGAAATGTAATTATATAAGTTATAAAGTGAAACTCTTCTTTTTTTTTGAAATTTCTGAAATAAAAATGTGATAAGTAATTAATTGATTAAGAAAGGACAATAAAATTAGGTTTAAATGTGTATAAATATGCTTGTGCGGTGTTATAGAAATAGATGGCTTTTTAGATTCAGATCTAGAAAGGTGAAATATTTTAATACTTGAATTCTTTCAATGATATATTAATGGCTTTATTCTTTAGCAAAGATAGTGTTTAAGTTAATTTCAATTGTTAATTGTTATTCTAATAGATTAGATGTCTTCAGATAAATGAATCTGAAATATCCGAGAATTTATTATTAATATTGATTCTAATCAAGTCTATTAGGAATTTAATAATGAATTCAATAATCGATGGATCTTTTTGTATTAAGTAAGATAATAAATCATGATTAGGTTAATTGATTAAATAATTAATAAAGAAGTAATAATTTAAATCACTACAAAATGATTAGATTTTAATACATTTACAAATATTTTCTGAGATGCTTTAAAGAATTGTTGCAGATGTAAATAATCTAAGGGAAGATTAAAATAAAATAATTACATTATATTTTTGAATTAACAGTTAAATGAATGAGTAGAGTCTTTGAAAATAGTTGGAATCGTATTTGGCACAAATATTAACAGTAAAGTAAGTGAAGTCTTCCTTTTTGATTGAATTGTTAGATTATTCTTAAGAGTTTTAGAATTCAATGATTGTATTAAGATTGGCCTTTTTAAGAGAGTTGAAGTCATTTTAATCAGTAGGAACATAACCATAACATATATGGTTATCTAATTAATATATAGATCTCTTAATTTGATTTAATCCTTCACAGAATACTACTAGGTAATTTTTGTAATAGGCACCTAAATGAATAATAAATAAACTAACTTGTATTAGTAAGTGTCATAGTTTAAAGTGGACTAGCATAATGACTCTTTTTGATGAAATGGAATTAATAACGAATTTCTCTTTCTTCCAGAATATTCACAAGTATTCTTAAGTAAGATACATCTTCTTTTTGTTTCATGCTAACTCTTCTTTTGAACATTCCTAGATCGTAACATGAACCAGATACAAACACTGGGTATTTTTTAGGGTTATAGCACTAAAACAAAATCTTCCTATGATTCCAGACATCAGTTATAACTAAGAAATAAAAATTAGAAATACTAGTATTTTCATTTGTTCTCACTATTCTATTGGGTCCCATTTCCCATTCAATATTAATAGGTCTATCAAATTCAGCATAGAAGTATTTGTATTCAAAATCTTAAACCTCTTAACCAGTCATATTTATTTCTACTCTCGACTTCCATATATCACCCTTTAATTACTTTGATATTTACTTCACTCCATTACATTCTTTTAGCTTACATAGGATTCCAATGACCCAATTCTTTACTATTACCACAAACATACACAGCTTCACCAAAAGACAAAGGAAATTATATTTAGAAGGTAAGCATTGGTATAAAATTTTAAATCATTATCCTTTAGATTTGTGTCATCTAATTTGTAATTCATAATAGTTACTATTTTCAATGCTACGTATCAAAATGATAAAATATTATTTTTTTAATTTTCTGCCTTTCATTTCCATAAACATAATTAATTAAATTAAAATGGATATGCTCCTTTCTCAAACATAAGGTGAATTAGTTTACATTTATATTTCGGCCAGAAATCTTAAAAATTTAGATAATTCCAATATTCTTGATTTTAGATGCCGTGTATACTTAAAAGATGATTTCATAGGAGAAACAGAAGTCTCTAAATCATCTCTTGATCCTGATTTTAAATAGCCTATTCCAATCATGTATAAGTTTAACAAAAAATAAAAACTAATTTTCTAAATTGTAGATGCTGATAAAGAATAATCTAATCTATTAATAAGTCAAAAAAATCAAGCAGCTTTAGTTGGATCATGTAAATAACCACTTGCTAAATTAATGGGAGCTAGAAATTCATTGAGTTAACTAAATCTTATGAAAGGTGATGAAATTGTAGGAAATATCATTATTCATATTACAAAGAAAGGACCCTAAATCATTGGATAAAATTAACAAGCTTCCAAAGATACAGAAATTAAATGGAGATGGGCTGGTATTTAAATACTTTTTAATTATTAAAGGTGTCAAATTGCTTGACTTAGATTTTTTCACTAAATCTGATCCATTTGCTAAATTCTATAGAGTCAATGGTGATTAAATCGATTTGATTCATTAAACTGAAATCATCAAAAATAATTTGAATCCAAATTGGATGGGATGGGAAACTACTGAAGAATAAGCCTTCAAAAATTCTAAGAATCTCTATGTAGAAATCATGGATTATGATAAGTTAGGATCTCAATAGGTTAAATATTACATAACAAATAGATTGGAAATGTAACTATTGACTATAATGAAATTAAAAATAACAAAAGAACAGAATTCCCGTTATTGACTCCTAAAGGAAAGAATGCTGGTACATTAAAGTTAGTAGAATTGGCAATTATTGAACCACCCATTGAGCCAGTTTAAATAGTATAAGAAGAACCAAAGGATCCAACATTCTTAGACTATTTGATGGGTGGATGGTAGATGTCATTATCTATAGGTATTGATTTTACATTTTCAAATTAACCAATTACAAAACCAGATTCTTTACATAAAATAGATCCAAATAAGTTGAATTATTATTAATAGGCAATAAAAGTGATAGGAGGAGAGATTGTTGCATTCGATTATGATAAAGAGGTTCCAGTTTATGGATTTGGTGGAACTCCTAAACTTCCAACTTATACAAAAAATACAATGGATGATTGTTTCCCTTTGAATGGTAACAAAGAGAATCCAAGTTGTCAAGATATCAAAGGAATTTTAGATGCTTATACTAGTGCAGTTCCTTAGATAGTTTTTTCAGGTCCAACATTCATATCTAATGTGTTAAGCAAAGCACATTAATTTGCAGTAGAGAATGCAAAAAAGAATATATACACAGTATCTATAATAATGACTGATGGATAAATTGAAGATTAGTAATAGATGAATATTATTATTTAGAGATGATGCTATTAAAGTATTATTGTAATGTTAGAATTTGCCAATGTCTATAGTCATAATTGGTGTTGGAGATGAAAACTTTAAGTATATGAAATAATTTGATGATCCTAATTTCCTAAAGAAACATGCAAAAGAGAATCAAACAGTTAGAGATATTATTTAATTTGTGTCCTATTAAGATTTTAAGAATGATATTGAATTGATGAGTTCTGCAGTATTGGATCATTTACCTAAACAATTTATGGACTTTATGCATATAAATAACATTCAACCAGTTAAGATGTCATCAGTTCATATTGGCAAAGTACTCTAGTGATTTAGAGATATAAAATTAATGATATGTATTATATTTTTGGATGAATATCAAACTTGAATGTTTGAGAAATCAGCACTTTTCACGAGGGCTAAAGCTTATTCGCTAACTCCTAATTCTCTGGTGAATTCATTCTTGGTATTGGTATAGATGTCAGTTTCTTCAGCATAGGTATTATTTTCTAATTCTAATTCAGCAGTATATTATTTTTAATCAGCAGCTCTTTAATTTCTGAATTCAGTCAATTAATCAATTTTTTCTAAGAAAATAATAATAATTAAGATATATACCATTGGTGGCTGTTAAATCAACAGTAGCTCTATCAATTTATCTTTAGAATTCAGCATATTCATCATCTAATTATTCAAGATAAGCTTCATGATCTACAACATCCTAAGCTTCTTATGCTGTTAAATCATTGATTTAATCAACAACAGCATTTCTGAATTCATTAAGAGCATCAACAATGTTTTTCAAAACATCTTGGTTAGAGAAATTTTGATTAGAAGCTAAAGCAATTAAAGCTTTGATCATTGGTGCCATTCTAGATCTTGATCTAATTTTATTTTCAATATTTTTGAGAGTATTTTAGAATCTTCTGATTTATAATAATGATGGATTAGTTAATGAAGCAAGAAGAGCTAATGCATCATCAACTGAAGCTGTAGCATCATTTAATTCAGCAACTTATGCTTCAAAGGCTTCATGTTCTTATTCTCTAACTAAGATAGCTTCATCATAATTCTTTCTATTATCTTCTTAATATCCAATGACAGAATCAATCTTGCTTTAGATTTAAGCTCTTCTTGGATATAAAAGATTATCTAAAGTATCTTATGTATTATTGACATCTTAATAATTTCAAATTACAAAATACCAATTACAGCATCTTGGATATCTTATTCTAATGAAACAACCAAAGCATTGTGTTCATTTGTTCTAACTTTGAAATTGAATTCTAATTCTTCTAATTCCTCTTCTAAATCATTGATTAACTCTTCAATAGCATCAATCAATTCTTAAACTGGTCCTCCAGCCATTGAGTGTAATTCAACCAAGTGAAGTAAAGCACTTCCATAAGTACTTTTAGCTAAATCAGCTTACACCTTGGCCATATTTCTCTCTTGGACTCTAGCTGTAAAAGCAACAGCAATGAGGGCAATCAGAATTATTGATTTCATTTATTTTTATTATTAATCACATAAAAACGAATTTTTCCAATTATCAACCATTAATTAATCATTTTCACTAATACTTTATCTCTCAATTCAATATTATTTCTTTATTTAAATCCTATCCATCATTTCTCTTTATTATACATACTTTCTTAATCTAATTATATTATCATTACTTCATCCTTAATTCAAAAAACGAATTTATTGTTATTTTACTTATTTTTTAATATCTATATATTTCATTATATTAGATACTCTTACTACTTAAATTAATCCTCTCTCTTTCATGATTCTTCATCTCATTGTCATTCATTCAACTTTTATCACCTTAAGATATTCAATCTTAACATTATTAATATAAAAAAGATTAGAAACCATATCTTACTATGTACTTCAAATCAGAATATCACATAATAGTTTATAATGATTATAAATATCAAGCATATTTCTTTTCTTCTTCAGTAAATATATTCTAAAGTCTATTATATCTAATGACTATGTTTGGACTTAGAATTGAATATATTTCTAATCTCTTTCAATTAATTTACCATTCTCTTTTAATCATAAGTAAGTAAATGCTTATGATCTATAACTTACCATTCACTTACATCAGTCTCTTCTTCTATTGTTTATATCATATAATCCGAATCAGAATTTTAACTCATTACTCTCTCCACCTAATTTTCATCTATCAAAAATGTCACTTCCTCCTCAACTGAATACATTAGTACCTTTCTCTCAGGTGTTCTGATTTAATCAGAATTAAATCTCACCAATCTATTATTTTATTTTGGAATCATTGTTTATTCTTAAAATGATAATGATCTTGGTTTCCCTACCTCCTGACTCAAATTCAAATGTTAATGGAAACGACCAATTATTTCTAAGTCTTTCTCCATGTTTAAATGATAACATTTATATAATTCTAAATTCTAGTTTTTAACATTATGATCAATAACTATTTAAAGTAAATAGTTTTCATAACACTATTATTTACTTAAATAGTTTTAATACAAAGAGCTCTTTGTAGACATACAACATAGTGAATTTTTTTCAAATATACACTATTTACTACATGCCATATTTCCGTTGTTACTACTTTTAAATTATAAAATCCATTATTCTGCTAAAATTCTCCTATGACTCATATTATGTTCAAGGTAAATCGATATACTTAAACTAACTTCATGGGTTTTTGAGTTAAGGGTCTAATTCAATATTTGAGTATTCCCACCATCTTAATTCATGCTTACTCTTTTATTTAGTATAGTTGTCATGTATTCATTCAGAATAAATTTATGATTTTGCATACTGATTATGTGATGCTCCTTTTTTAAATTGTTATAATTTATAAATTAGACTTTCTTTTTGCGGGCCAATTTCTACTTAACTTTTAGTTTTTTTCTGATTTATTTTGAGCTATACGTAACTTATACTAATTAAAAAGAAGAACAAATCTTAAACTTATTTAATCATATGACGGCTTTCAGTATCTTGATGAGTCATGAACTTTAAATTTTATATACTATATTATGCAATTGTCTTCAATAAATTATATAAATTATATAAAATTATTTTTAAAATGAAATTAAATAATTAAGATAATTAGGCACTATCACTTCAGGATATTTTAATACATTATGAACTTTCATTCTTTATTTACCTGTTGATGTAAAAAGCATATTTTATAAAAGCAACCTAAATTTATTAGTGTAAAACGTTTAAATTTTTTGATCTTTATTTTTAATTGAATTAATTATTATTTCTTATAGAATTAACAATTTGAAAGTATTAAAATGATAATTAATTACTTTAAACCATCACTTCTAAATTAAATTCACTCTAAAAAATCAAAATTAGTAATTATCATTCGTTAAAAAGTGGAAAAATATAATACTACAAAGTTTTAATTATTAGAAATAAAAATAATTGATGATGATAGTTAGAAATTAATGATCTAAATTTAAAAAATAAAAACAATATAAATTCTAATTGATGATGTTATTAATTTTATTTATAAATCAAAATGTTTAGTGTATTTCATACTTCTAAAAGTAAAACATCAAGTATTGACAATAATAAATTGCGTTGTCACTCAACTAGACTTTCTCAAACATAATATTCTTGTCCAAGAGTAAGTGAGGAGGATAAATTATTGTTTGAGAACACTCAATTAAAATATCAGCTTAATTAATTAGCAGAGGATTTTAAAATGTTTAAACTAAAATAATAATAGATGAAAGTAAATAAAATTCATAAATTTAGACTGGACAAAGTTTTAATGAAGAAATTTGTTTTTAATTATAGAACTTTCGAAAGTTATAAACCCTAAACAAATAGCTTGAATTTGAATTGTTATAAAAGGTTAAAGACATTGAAGAGATGAAAAAAATGATGAGCCATACTAAATAGTAAGAATTATAAATAGAATGTAAGGAATATCATTCAGAATGTATGCGATTAAGAAAACAAATTTAATAGCTTAATTAATTGTTAAATTATAAAGTGAATGGAGGAAATTTTAAAGATCTTTATGAAGATTTAGAAAAAAGACTTAAAAAATTACAAGTTGAAACTAAATAATAATAATAACTAATTTAATAACTACAATCTGATATCACGAGATATAAAAATGAAATCGAAAAATTAGAGATTGAAAATAAACACTTTGATCGAGAAAATAAAAAATAATTACTAATGATAAGTTAAATATAAATTCCTTAGCAGAATAAATTTAAAAATAGATTATAAATTTATCGAGATGAAGTTGAAATTACAAGACTTTAGACAAAAATTATGGATCTGTAATAACAACTTGAAAATCAGTAGAATTCTAAGGAGTTGTACATTTAATAGCTTTAAAAAATTATCAGCGAAAAAGATGATTAATTATAAGTGTATGAGTTATCAAATCAAAATTTAATAATTAAATAAGCAACAGAGACTTAATAATTGATTCTAGATGAAAAATATTAAAAGTGTGTATAGAATATTAAAAGTGAAAAATCTATTTAGGATGAAATAATCAATGATATGCCATCTTAATTGAATTTTTTAAGATAGCCAAGTTTTCGTAAAAAATTACATATGCTTGATAATCAGAAATCATTTTAAATTGAGATAACAAGTATTCAGGGTTTTGATTAAGATTCAATATAAAATGAAGAAGATACAAAAGAACTATCTGTTAAGACAGAATAAAAAATTGAAAAGCTGCCTAGAGTGAATTACTATGAAGTTAAAATGATAGGTAAAAAATTGAAGTTTCAATTCTAATTAAACTCAATCCCATTAAGTTATTTCGATCAATTGTTAAATTAATATTAAGTTTCATAACTTTCAATTGAAAATATTTTAGAATTTCTATCCAAAGAGCCTTTCATGATGAATGATGAGAAAGAGAAGCTCTTAGTGGCTAGATATCTGGTTGAAGATAATTCATAAGATTAAGTTCTTTATAGTTTAAAAAATTCTAATTCTATTTCTATAATTAAAAGTGTTTTGAGATAGTTATTAGGTAAATATGAATTGTTTTCTTTAACAGAAAAGACTAATATTGAATAAAATCTAAAATAAATTTTTACTAAATATTAATACAAAATCTTAGACACTTTATAATAATTAGCAATAAAGAAAAATTATTCATAATAAGGAGAGTGTGATTCTTCTGATTACGAGGCAACTTTAAAATTTTGTGAAATATAATTACTGTCTAGATAAATTGAATATATTGAAATGATCAATTATAGTTTGTGTAAAAATTTAGAGAATATAAATTACAAAGCATTACTCTAATATTTTTGCAACACTAAATTATGATTTTATATTGTATATAAATTTTGAGTTTAAATATTCTATTTATAATATCCTATCAATTAGTTTAATTTATGAACCAAAAGTGATGATGTGAGTGTATTAATTCATCATATAATTTAAATTATTAAATAAGATTAAAAATGAGGATAGTTTGAAAATAAAGTATTTGAATTGTCTAATTAGTATTAAAAAAGAATAAAAAATAGAAAATTGATTAGATTAAAATTGATCTATGAGGTAATAATTTAATAGTCAAAATAACAATAGAAAACAATAAAAGAAATTTTATTTTCAAATATAAAATAGTATTAATTTTATTAATAGTTTATAAATATTTTCGAGAATTTTAATTCTAAAAAAATTATAAAATGAAAAGATTACTTCTTAAAATGAATTGCATCTTTCTTTTTGAAGTATAAAATAAGTAGATAACTAAAAATTGTAATATTCAGTAAAATTTTTGATAAATATTTTACTTGATAACTGAATTATATCAGGTCTCTTATGAATAATTAATTCTGTAATAATGTTATCATGCCTGTTATTAAAATGTCTTTTAGTACATTAATGTGTGTTATAATTGAAAGGTTGTAAATATTTAAAAAACTTTTAGGTCTATAGATACAACTTTATTGGGTTTCTACAAATCCATTGATGGAAATTGAGAATTTATATGGTTCTACTTAAGGAGGGACAAGTCTATATTTAAGGGTATTGAAATAAATTACTTTTAAGGCTGTAGGTTTTGATTCTATAATATCGAATAACATAATTTAAGTTGGAACATACTCTTGTATCATAGATGAAACCTATGTTAAAGATTAAGAATTATCATGTAAAACTATTGCACCAGCTTTGAATGATAATTAACTACAAAACCTAGTTGTTACTGTAGAAGTACCTGGCTAACAAATTTCAGTATGTACTTCTTAGAAAAATAAATGTCTTTTTTCATATATAAAAGAAAAATCTCCATATTTACATTACTTAATCCCAAATATTGGATTTGCAAATTCAGTGTTATTTTCAAAAGGATCCTGGACTATAATTGGTGAAGAAAATAATGAAATTGAGAAAATTTTGATAGGATAAGAATTTTGTAGAAAAAGCTAATATAGATTATTGAATTCTCGGATGATTTCGAATGAAGATGTTATTTCATGTTAATTGCCAGAAAATCTGATTTCATAAACTTATCAAGTGAAAATGGAAACCAGAAGAGGAAATTTCTTATAATAGAAGGCATTTAAGTAATAATATTTTATATATAAAAGATTACTTCCTATAATATCTTCCTTAAGTGAGAAAGAAGAGATGGTTGATTCATATCATTTAAAAATAAATGGATATGGATTTAAAAGTGGATTGACTGAAAATTAAGTTTAACTTTCTGGGACTAATGTATTAATTAAAGTATTGGAAGCATAAATAAATTAATTAAAAGTAAATATAGTAAAGAATTATAGGTTGAAATACCAAAAGTAACAGATCAAACTATATTAGATATATTAAGTAATTAAGATTCAGTATTTATTTCTGGAACTGGATTGTTTCATACAAAATATGATTTGAGAGGTATAACTACTTAATATTCTAATTGTGATATTTTTAGAAATGAGATTATTTAAGAATCTTAAATCTTGAAAGATAGAATAATACAAAATGGAGTTTATTCATAACCAGATTATATTGATGAAATAGATTCTTAATATGGATAATATTTTAGAGGTTTTATTAAAGCAACTGCCACTGGAGAATACTAATTTTTGTTGGCTGCTGATGATTGTGCAACTTTTTATATTTAAACAACTGAAACACTTAAAACAACACGTACTGAATCTCCAAATGCTCAATCATTCAAATCTACTTAATATAGAAATTATTGGGGAGAATAACTATGGGATAATACAAAAAATGTAAATTCAATCTCATAAACAATTATTTTAGAGGAGAATTAGTATTACTATATTGAAATCTTTCATCTCAATACTGAAGGTAAGGGATTTCTAACACTTTCTATGAACTTAAATATTAATTAGGTTTCAACAACTAATACTAAATAAAGTTAATTGTTTTAAGTAAAAACTACTTATACACCTAAATATGAAATTTTGTAAATGGACATTTATAATTCCATAGAAAATATGCTTTTGTCAGAAAATTTTAAATTAACGTTTTAGGGTGTTAATCAAGATATTAATAACTTTTCTTTTATAACTTAAGATATTAGTTTTAGTTTTACTTATGATTAAATATAAGAAGCATTTTTGACTTGTTGTAATTATATTACACAAGTATAAATAAATAAATTAGATAATTTAGGATAGGTTGTAGATGATTCTTTTGAAACATATGCTGGTCATTAATATATAATAACTTTTCTATCTCATAGAGGAAATGTTGAAGAAAGATCTCTACCTGAAATAATAACATAATAGTCATAATTAATTTTTAATGTTTAAACTATACAAGAACCTTTAGATCCTATCTCTGGATTTTTTAAATTATCATTATAATATTAATCCAAAGTTTATAATTTTGTGAATGAAAATAATAGTTCAGAATTATCATATAATGTTGATTCAAATATTTTGGAACAAAACTTTTATAAAATCACTGGCTAAAAACCAATAGTTTGGAATGAAGGAAGAGCATAAGATGGTTGGATTTGGAATATTTTGTTTAGTACTTGTTAAATAACAATACAAAGTTTTCAATAAATAGAGAATAATTTAGTATCTGGAAATGGAAATGTTTAATTAGATGTCTCAAATTTAAAATCTTGTAATTCTCAATTTTATGAACCTATTCCAGCGCTTTAATTATTTACTTTTGGTAGAAGACCTTAAATTTAAGTTTCTACATCTGAAGGATAGGGAGCATGTTAATAATAAGGAGTTTGTGATTTTAGTTTTCAAGAGGATGATTAATTTATGTTGTAATCCTTTACTATAAGTAATGAAATAATGTAGTTAAATTTTATCATTCTATCATAAAATTTATTAAATTTAAATGCAAACGAATTTACTATAGAATTTAGAGGAGCTTTATGTTTAGATATTTCTAAAATTAGTAGTGATATTAGTGTGTTAAAATTAACATGTAAATTAGAAACATAGAACTCAAAAGTAGTTTAAGAATCTGGTTTAAATCAATATCCTATAATATATCATGTGATTTATGGATATATTAAAATTGATACAAAAATAGCTGCTATTAATACATATATACTAATAGAATCAGTAACTCCTAATTCAGGTTCTCCTGATGGAGGTGCTGAAATTGTAATTTTAGGATCTGGGTTTCCAAAAGATCTTAGTAGAAAATTTTAATTATAAATGGGGAGTACAAAAATAATTCCTTTAGAAATAAGTAATACAAAAATTGTATTTATACATCCCTCTGGAAATGATGGTAAAATAACAATAGAATATAATGGTATTACATAAAATGATCTTTCATTTATTTATGATGAAACATTAAAAATATCAATTAGTTCTTTAGATATTTATTAAATTATTCCAACTTATAGGGGAGTAGTGAAAATTACAGGTAAAAATTTTGGAACTGTAGTGGAAGATGTTAAAGCTTTTATTTAGAATTAAGAACTTAAAGTAATAAATGTACAAGATTAATTAATGAGTGTTCAATTTAATAAAAACTTAGATATTAGTTCTAATAATGTGATTTAAGTATATAGAAGAAATTATGGAAGATCTACAAGTATAGGAACATCAAATGTAAATATTATGAATATTGCTTTGAATGTGACATCCGTTGGAACTGTGGTTGATGGTTATGTTTAGACATTAATTGAAGGAGGAACAAATTTACAAATTACTGGAACTAATTTAGATAGTGTTAGTGCAGTTGTATTTGGAAAAGATAATCCTACTGTTTGTACCAGAATGAATAAAAATTAAACATATATTAATTGTAGAAGTCCTCCTAATATTTTTAAGAGATAGACTGATCAAATATATGTTATCCATGAATTTAAATATTAGACGACATGTTCTAAATGTATAGTAAAATATAGTCGAACTTACATTTAAATTACTTAAATTTTAATTGGTAGTGGCAACATTATTGTTAATAATTTAGAATATAAAATACGATATTTATAACTTTGGTCAGAAGAAGCAAAATCATAAGAAAATAACCCTTTATTATATTATAAATAAGTATAATAAATGGATCCTCTTTTATTTTATGAAATAAAAAACATAACTACATTAGATTTCAATCCAGGATAGGCATTGGTTATTTTAGCTTCTTTAAATTGTAAGTTAAATTTTTTTTAAATTTACAATTTACTCAAAGTAGTACAATAATTATAAAAGGAGAAAGGTAATTAATGAATTCAAATTGTGCGATGTTGAATCTTAATCAATACAGATTAACTTATATAGTTCCAGAATTAACATAAGGATTACATTTGACTAAGTTGACAGATTTGCAAAGTGATTAAAGTTGGAATATTAGATTTGGGTTGGAAATTACATCAATAAATTAAGCAGCAATAGGAGGAGCATTATTCACCATTTAAGGATATGGATTTAATTAACTCTATCTTAAAAATATAAGAGTTGGAGATGATGAATGTTAAAAAATAGATGTAATTAGTACTGTGAAAATTTAATGTAAAATGAAAACTAAATTACCTCCTGGTGAAAATACACTTATTTTAAATTAATTAGATTAACAAGATTAAACTACTTTGTTATCCAAAACATATACTTTTAATGTAAAGGATGAAAGTACCTCCCCTAAAGTAATATCAATCTTAATTGATGGAATAGATAAATTAGATACAACTTAAAATGCAAATGTTTGTATTGCTGGTACAATTAATATGAGTGTTTAAGGATAAAATTTAAAAGGATAAGAAGTGGCTGTCTTATTGATTAGTGAATCAGAAATCATAATTAGATCTCCATCTTATGAATAAATAACTTCTAATTTAATCTAATTATAATTTAAAGATACTCCAGCAGGAATTTACTAAATAGAAATTAAAATTGATGAATTTTATGTCTATTTCGAAAATCAAGTTTATGCCAATATGATTGTAAATATATAGCAAACACCTATAATTGATACTCCTTCATTATCTTATTAAAGTGGATAAATTATTACTTTTATTGGTGAAGGATTCTCCTCTAATCATTAATCAAATTAAATCTAATTTTGTAAAACAACTTGTTAAGTTATGTCTTCTAGTTTTAATAATTTAAAATTTATGGTACCTAAATTATTAACATCTCAATTTATATCATCTTTTCAATATTCTAAGATTCCTCTTAATGAATTAAATTTATTAGGAGATAAACTTGATTTAATATAAAATATCTATGATGATATCATTTTGACAGAATATACATCTGATTCATAAGAAACTTGTTTTATATAATTAAATATTAAGTAATAAATTGTTTTTTTGAAACTTGCTAAATTACGATTCTATCTTAAATAAGAATTAAATTAAAATAAATTTAAAAAAATTAAAATCTACTATTAAAAAGATGATCAGAATTGGCAATAATTTTAGGAATTGAAATATATTAGCTAAGGATGGAATACTATAATACCTGACATATAAATAGATTCAATTAGATCAATTAAATTTGAAGATGATTAAGGTTCTTTAGGTTCTCAATGTTCTCTTTCTGAAATTGAATTGTATGGTTGGATATATTATAATGAAAATCTTACATCAAATTGTTAAATTGATATTAATGTAAATGGTATAGAATTATTTAGTAATTCTAATACTGTAAGTTATAATTATCAAATTCATCCTATAGTTAATACGGTAACACCTAACTATGGACCAATAAACTCTGAAACTTTAATTACCATAAAAGGTAATGGTTTTATAATTGATTAAACTACTGTAACAATAGATAATATTTAATGTGTTATAGTGACAGTTTCTATTACAGAAATTACTTGTTAAACAGGTATTAAAACTTTATTAACAGATAATAGTGGATTTATTGTATAAGTCTTGAATAATCCAGCTATAATTAAATAATCATTTAAGTATGTTTAAAAATGGTCAGATGTTTCATCTTGGAATGATCGACTTCCTAAAGATTATTAATCAGTTTTGATTGAAAAATCCTAAACAATATTATTGGATGTCAAATAATAAATTTTAGATAGACTTATTATTGAAGGAACCTTAATATTTTCTGATGAATTTGACATAAATCTAATTGTTAATTCTATTATAATTAGAGAAGGATCTTTAATTATTGGATCAAAGGATTAACCATATTAACATTAAGTTACAATTACTTTTACTGGATAACAAACTGATTTTTAATTTCCTTTAATTGGTAATAAGGTTATAGGATGTATAAAATGTAAAATTTAAATGTTTGGCTAGAAAAGAGATCCATATTGGAGTTTCTTAGATTCAAAAGCAATAAAAGGAGATACTATTATTAAATTAAATTAAATTGTAGATTGGAAAGTTGGAGAATCAATTGTAATTGCAACCAGTAGTGTTAATATAGAAGAAAATGAAATAAGAATTATCAAAGCCAAAAGTCTTGACAAAAAAAGTATTACTATTGATAAACCACTTTTATATACACATTAATCAGAATTAGTATATAGAACTGAGGTGGGTTTATTATCAAGAAATATTTTGATCAGGGCAGAATCCATAGTGAATAATGGATACGGTGTACATTTTCATATAAATGGAAGGTAAAGTGAAGGAACAGTTGTAAAAATTTAAAATATTGAAATAGCAAATGGTGGATAAAGTGCTTTTGTTGGAAGATATCCTATTCATTTTTATAATAATGATGAAATGGATTTATCAATTATAGAGAATAATTCTATACACGACAGTTATGCTCGATGCATTGTGTTAAATAATGTTAAACATCTTAATATTATAAATAATATTTGTTTTAATATCATTGGAAATGCTATTCATTTAGTTAGTAGTTCAGATGTGTATAATAGAATAGAATCTAATGTAGTATTAAGAATCAAATCAACTTAATATCTCGATAATTCATGTTCTTTCTTTAATTATTAATCATATACAACTAAACTTTAAGATATTGATAGATTATCTTCGGCATTTTATATTTCAAATCCTCATAATATACTATTAAATAACAGGGCAATAGCTGGTGATTATATTGGATTCAACATTTTTATAAATAGAATTACCAATCATAATTATTAAATTATGGAACCCCTGGCATGGGATGTTCTTAATATTTAAAATAATTATGTTCATTCTATTATGGGTTATGGAGTTTAAATCTAAATTTTATTAGAGAAGGAATAAATATTTACAGATAAAGAATATTATTTATCACCTCTTCTAAAGGTATTTACTGTTTGGTAAAATAACTTAAATGATTTTAATATCGTTATTAAAACACAAAATTAAGTTTTTGAATCATAAATCAATTTCCTTAATGCAGAAACTGTTGATTTTAATATTATTACTTCTTCACTATTTACATCAATAAAAAATTCTTTGATTTTTAAGATTAAATATGCCAATAGTAATTAGAAGTTTATTGTATATAGATTTAGAGATAAAAAATTTAATTAAATATTAGAAACTCCTAATCCAAATAATTGTTAAATGGGAGATTGGTATAATGATTAAAACAATAAATATTTATATATTTGCATTTCTAGAGAAAAACTAATTAATTCATAACCCATTAAAATTAAAGGAGCTGTATGTATAAGTGAAGATCAATGTAATTTAGAAATAGATAATGATTAATGTGCTAAACTATATCTAGAATAAATATTGGAGAATGAAAATTAAGATACTGAAAATGAAACTAATAATAATGAAAATGAAAATAATAATAATGAAAATAATGAAACTGAAAATAATAATAATAATAATGAAAATGAAACTAATAATGAAAATGAAAATAATAATAATACAAATGAGAATAGTAATAGTAATAATATTTATAATTGGTCTTCACCATATGCCTGGAAGACAAATAAAATTCCATAATTAGGGGATAAAATTGTTATAAGAAAAGGCTATTAGATAACTCTTGATGTAGATCCTCCTTAATTAAATGAGATAATAATTGAAGGTACATTAAGGTTTGATGAGAGAAGGCAATCTTCATTATTATAAAGCAATTCAATCATTATTAAATAAGGTTAGATAATAGCAGGAAATAAAGAGAATCCATTTCCACACAAGATTACTATTAAAACATCAAATTTTTAAATAAGCAACAACTTAGAATTGTATTCAAATGTGCCTTAAACTTATTAAACTAGATTAATATAAACAATTAAATCTGGATCTAATTAAATTGAAGTATAAGAATGTTTAGATTGGCAAATTGGAGATAAAATAATATTAGGACCATCAGGAACTAAATGGAATTATAATGAAGAAAAAACTATTATAAATAAATAGAATTGTATAATTACATTGGATTCTCAATTGAAATATGATTATTATGGAGATAGATCAATTACAATAATAAAAAATAACATAGGATAACTTGATATGAGAACTTTAGTAGTTCATATAAGTAGAAAGATAAGAATTCAAAATTCTGATATAAATAAATAGGGAGTTATTTAAATAAATCATGGTTTGATAAATGATGAAATTTACATTGGTTAAATAATATTATAAGGTGTAGAAGTAATAAGTTTTGGTTAATTGGAAAAAGCAGGATTAATATTTGAAAATCTCTTTTCTTCTAATATATAAAGTATAATATTTGGATGTAGTTTTAAAGATGCAAATGGATAATTTTTAAAAATATCTAATTCTTATCCTATATAAGTTGAAAATAATGTATTTTATTCAGGAATAAAAACTTTGGTAGAAATTGAAAATTAAATGAATGTAAAATTTAAAAATAATATTTTAATGAATGTAAAAAGATCAGAAACAAAAGATTGGGCTGTTTTGGCTATTTTTATGTTTTCTTAAAATAATATTTAAATTTAGAGAAGTAATGTAGATATATCAAATAATATTGGTTAAGGATCTGAAGATGCAGGATTTTATATAGTTTCTTCATAATGTAATTCAATGAATGAAGTAAATATATATAATAATGTATGTTCATCAGCAGAAAATGCATGCTTTTCAGTTAGACAAAGATTTTAAATTTGTGATTTTGTTTCAGATCTTTATGCTTATCATAGTAAAATTGGAATAATGTTTGCTTTAAATTCATATTAATTATAAATAAAGAGATTTATAACTGCAGAAAATAAGATAAATCTAATATTAAAAGGATCATCAAGAGAAGAAAGAAATAATATAATGAAAATGAGTGATGGTTTTATTACAGCAATAGCCCGTCCTAATTGTATAAATTGTTATGAAGACATAGATATTAATTATTGTTCTGGTACATTAGGTATGTAATTGGCAACAATTTCATCTTAATCTTTTCCTCCTATATAATAAGATTTATTATCTGATAAATTTGATTAAATAATATCAGAATAAGTAATTGATTTAAGAGTTTTTATAAACAATTTAGAGTTCAATTAATTTAAAGTGAACAATAATGAGATTCCAAATTGTGTAGAGAATGCAGTTTTTAGATAACATTAAAAAGCAATTGATATGACAGGAAGACATTATTTAAAATATACAAGTTGTACTGAATGTGAATTTGAATCATTATTATATAGATTAAGAGATTCAGATTTTAATAAAGTTGGATTTTTAGGTGGTTGTGGTTCAATGGAATGTACAGGATAAAAAAATGTATTAATAGAAGATTAAACAGGAGATTTCTTTGGAGAAATTGGATAAGGAATAAGTAATAATACAATATTTGGAATGAGTGTAAAATATTGTAAGAGAATTGAATAATGGAATGGTTATTGGTGTCCTGGTAGAAATATTTAAGTTTTAAATTTTATGAGTAATGCTCCTGATTAAGATTCTCGTTTATTTTCTCCTATTTATATATCAGATGGAACTTTTAAAAATATTATAAATAGTTGTTATGAATGGAATTGGGAATAATAGAAACCAATGATAACAAGAAAATCAAAATTTTTAAGTTTAATTAAAGTAAATTCGATAATAAAATTGAATACAACTGGATAGTTTCCTACTTCTTCTACATATTGGTTATCTAAAAATTAAGATTCTGATAATTCTGATTATGCAATCATTTCAATTAAATTTGATTATTATTTAATTCCTAATGTATATGTTAATGGTAAAAGGATATAGTAAAATAATATATCCCCAAAAATATGTGGATCAAATTCTCTTTAATTAAATAAAAGGGAGTTAAATTTTACAGTGACTTCAGAAAGAGATTGTTTTGTTGATGTAAAATTCAAGAGTTATGTATTAACAAAATCAAATGTTCTTGCATAAGTATATGCAGCTTCTTGCACTGTATTTATGGCTTATTCTATTAGTAAATTGAATGCAGATCCTAATTTATAGTATTGTTCTATACATAATAAATAAATTCGAAGACTAGAAGAATCTGAACTTGTTGAAATCACAATTGAATGGGCTATTATAGATTATGCAGATCCAGGAACTTTAGAATCAATAGGATCATTGTAAAGATTATCATAATATATCGAAAAAATATCTTAATTAACTGCAAATCCTGAATATGGCATTTATGAAATTATATCATAAACTTACGAAACCTATATCATAACAGATTTAAACTTTCCTACTTCTGAACCAGTTGAAGGTATATATAGTATTATTAATATTTTAGTTATTGATTCATCAGTCTCAAATCCCATTATCTATATTAATAATACTAATCCTGATTCTACAATTCAAGATCTTGATAGTATTTCTTTAACTGAAAATGAAAGTGTAAATTAGGATTAATATGCTGATCATCATCAAGTCATTATTTCAAAGGATTAAGATATTCTTCATAATAATGAGCAAAATCAAGATCTATCTCTTATCATTATATTGTCTATTATTATTCCATTTATTCTTGTTATCATTATAACATATATCTGCATAAGGAAACTAAAATAACGCAGAAATTCAGTAGTGATTCCTATTAATCAAATATAATAATAAGAGGATACTACAAATAATAAATTACCAGATACTACTTTCATGTATAGATCTGCTGTAAGAACACCTAAAACTTAATATATTGAAAAAATTGAATTTGTTACCAAAGTTTGAATATCATAAATCACAATATCATAATTTATTTAATATTATAACTTGTTCAATTAATTTAATTAATTTACAATTCATAATTAAAGATTCCATATCGTTTTTACTGATATCTCTATTTTCATTCCATTTTATTCCCCATCAATTTTAAACCATCTTACTTTTTTGTTGAATCAATCTTCTGCAAAAATAAATGATTTAAAACATTTAATAAAAAAATTTAAATTAATTCAAAATTCTAAAACTTTTATACAATGCATCAACTATGTTCCTTAATTATTATTTTTACAAATAATAGATTTCGATTCGATACATTTTTTACAAAATAATTAACTGTAAAATTATTCGAAAATATTGATGGTAATAATTGATCATCTTTTCTAAATTTCTACACTTAAAATAATCTAATATCGTTTATTGAATAAACTTAACATAATGCATATTAAATTTCAAATACTGCAAAAAAAATAAGGAACATTTCCATACTCTCTTTATTTCTATTATTCTAAATACATTAAGCTAAGTATCATTTCTTTTACTAAGAATTGTTTAATATGTTGGATATTTTAGATTGTAAGATACTATATAATATTAAATCTACAATATTGGTATATGGATTCAAACAAAATAAAATCTCAGTTATTAAAAAATTTATTAAATGTAAAAATTACTTATATTATTTATAATCAACAATTTTTATTAATACTTGCTTTATCAAATAAAAATAATTATTTTATCCTGATATCTACATTATTTTTTATTAGAAATTGAAAGTATTAAATTATAAAATTTATCTAAAAATAAAATAAGAAATCTTCTATTTTCTTATTTGTTTAGGAATTATAAAAATTAATTCTAACAGCATTCAACTAAAGTTTTTTCACATTAATAAATATTTATAAATTAATTAAAATGAATAAAACTCCTTCATAATTATTTCGAAGCTAAACTTCTTAAAATCTAATACAATCATATTCAAATAAATAAGGAGAAGATTGTTCTAAAAATTCTTAGATTTAAACTTAACCTAAAGTAAATAATTTATAATAATAATGAGCTTTCAATAGAATAATTAAAAAATAACTTAACAAATCGTTAAACTTGTAATGCTTCTTAAATGGGGAATGAAAATTAATTAGTTTACCAATTATTTGAACTTTAATAGAAAGTACGCGATTGTGAGAAAAAATTCATAAAAAAAGAATTGTTTCTGTAGGAATAGATACTTTAAGCTTAAAAAAATTTTGAGAAAAAGTTGAATTTAACGAAGCTAAAATATTAAATTTAAATAGAAGATCTAAATTCTGAATTAAAGATGAAAGATGAAGAAATTTATAGTCTTAATTTATAAATATAATCTAGCAGTTTAAATAAAATAGGGGAATAAATTTTTTTATCATTTTAAAAGTAAAAATCGATAAATAGTGAATACCCTTATTCTTAAAATTCGTTAAAAAAGTTTCAATTTTAAATGTCAACAAAATCTTTGAATTCAAGCAGAAAAGAAAGAGTTGGTAAACATAAGAAGGAACTAAATTAGTTTAGAATGTAGAAATCTGAATTTGCAGATAAATTTGAAAATGAGAAACATAAAATTGAATCAGATTTAGAAATATTAAAAAATAAAAAATTAATTCTTTAAGGTTAATTGGATTATAAAAAAATTAAAAGTTAGGATCAATAAAAATATAAATCCAAAACAAAAATAAATAAATAAAGCAGTTCTTCTTCCTTTGGAGAGGAATATTTATCTGTAAAGTGATTAATATTTTGTATTTATATATTAAATTAAATAAAAATGGATAGATGATATCAATATTTTGTGAGGAGATCCTCCATATATAAAATTTAATCAAAAAGTTACCAATAACCTATATTGTCATCTCCTAATAATTAGATTAATTATTTTCTTAAATCTTATGATGAGAGTTCTAAATGATATAAACATTATACATTTAGTTTTCATTAATAATAAAGCTTTTTCTACAAGATTGCTACCTAATCCTCCTTCACATCTATGTCTTAATAGTTTAATTCTATCTTAAATTCTAGCTACAATAGAATTGATAGGTTTAATTTCATCTTAATCTAATTCATCAAAATCTCCTTACTCTTCATCTTCTTAATCTTCATTTTCTAATTCTTCTTCAACCAAAGGAATCACTTATCCAGCTATTTTATTAAAATATAATATACTTTCTAATGCTTTGATTTACATATTTTAAACTTATCTATTTTATTAAAGAGATTAACTAATTTCTTATATTTTTAAAGTTTTATCTTTAAGTCTAGTTTTCATTAAATCAAGTTTTTGATCAACATCTCCTTCTTCTTCATATTCTTCTTCATTTTCAATTTCTTAAATTGCCATAACTCCTTCACTATCTTCTGAATCATCATATTCTTCTTATACTTTTAATGAACTATCTTTTGATTAACGATATTATGCTTATTTTCGTTCTTAAGCTATTTTTCTATTTTAATAACTTTCTTTATAGATTTATTATCTTTCTTTTTCTTCTTAAATAATTTTTTCTTCATCTCTTTTTTATTTTTTTTAAATAACTCTATCTTTAGCACTTATTGTACTATCATCTCTCAATCGATCTTTTTCAAGTGATAAACTTCTTTCTTTTTATTTTTATCTTATTTCATTTGGCCTTTTATCTCTTTCTAAAGATACTTTTCTCTAACTTACTCTATGATAATCTGATTTTTATTAAATATCTGTTTTTTATGTATTTTCTGATTTATTTGTAATATTTTCTGTGGTAGTTTTAGTATTTGAATTAGATTCAGTATATTTATTATTATTTACAATAGGTACTTTTTATTATTTTTTTTATTCTAATCTTTTAATTTCTTCTTCTAATTTTTTTTTTTCAATTTATTCTTTTTTTAATTATTTAAGTTTAAGTGCTTCTTATTCTTATATTTAAATAAGCATTCTTTATTCTGCTTTTCCCCCTTTTTCTAATTCATTTTTAATATCAGCAATAGTAGCACCTTAAGCCATTTATTTTTGATAGTGTTAAATAAGTGGTAGTACACCAATTTATTCAGCTTATTCATATAATGTATCGACATACATATCATCTAAATCAGCTGATTAAGGTTCTAAGAAGATTGATTATGAATAATAATAATACCACTAAAAACTTCAAGCATATAATATATAATCCTTAATTTGATGATTGGTTTATGAACTATTTCTTAGATTGTAGGTCTAGCTTTAGGATTTGTATTAAGCATCTTATTAATTAGATCCCTTAATGCTTTAGAATAAGATGGACTAATAGATGAATACGATCCTTTTAATATTTTCAAAGCTAATCCATTCATTGATTATGCATCAAAAGCATGTCTCAGATTACACATTTCATATAAACAACATCCAAGGGCCCATACATCACTCTTATATGAATAAGGTTTATATTTAAATAATTCTGGACTCATATAATATGGTGTTCCTATACAAGTATTTGCCAAATCGCGTGTCGAATCTAATACTTTAGCTATTCCAAAATCACCTAATCTAACTCTCCCATTTTTTAAAAATATATTTTATGTCTTTAAATCACGATGTAAGATTTTCTATTCATGCAAATAACATAAGGCCAAAGTCATTTATGCAAACCAATCCAATATTTAAGATTCAGCAAAACTTTTCTTATTTCGAATTTTTTAATAAATATCTCCACCTTCACAATGAATCATCACTATATTTAAGTATTATTCTCTATCCAAATATGAATCCTTATAAGCTACAATATTCGGATGTCTCAATTTCTATAGTAATCTAACTTCATTTTCTGTATTTTCACGATCCTTCTAACTCATGTCTCTTATTTTTATACGCTTAATCACATAAAGACGATCTTCTCTTTTATTCCTAGTCAAATACACTTATCCAAATGAACCAGACCCTATTGATTTTACTATTTCATAAAATTCCATTATTTTAAATATTCATTATAATATAGTTAAATTATTATGAATATTATTTTCAATTCCAATAATTTGTAATATTAATTAATAAATTTACTGCCATTCATTTAATCCTTCCTTGTTCTTAAATTTTGAATTCCCTTAACTATTAACTAATCAGTTACTTTATAGAAACTATCTTTTTATGCAAGATATTATAAATTCATCATTCTTTTTTTGGACAATTTATTTTTATTTTTTATTATAGAAACAATATTATTTATAAAATATTAATTTTGAACATAGTCTTTTTCTTCATATTTAAATTAGAAAAATAAAGAAAAAATATAAAATTATAAATTAATTGAATTTAATCATCCTAAGAATTAATAATATATTGTTGATAAGATTGTGAACACAGCTAAGAGTAGAATAGAGAAGTTGATGAAACAATTAATACTACAAATCTGTATATCTTCATCTGAAGCTATGTGACTTATTTAAATAAATACTTTTATTATCAAAAACAGAATTTTTCTATTCAAATACTGATTGAGTAGTATTTATCATAGAAGGAGAGCTTGAATTATTTTACTAAAGTGATAAACCAAATTAAGTTTTCTTTAAACATTTATGTTTAGAATGCTGAGATTATATATTAATAATTAAATTTACTTTTTAAGGGATAGTTTTTCTTTTAAATTATAATTTGGCTAATTCTTATCTAGCTTTTTCTTACTGTTAAATTTATGTTGCTTTATCAATATAATTCCATTGATTCTACTTCAGCCATTCTCGAATTTCTTCCAAGTTTTGTTCTTAAATTCTTTTAAACTCACTCTACACTTAGGGATCCAATAAATCTATACCAAAGTTTTGAGCAAATTAATATAATTTCTTAAATTGATGTAAACTTTACTTTCTTAGGCTTGTTAAAATCTAATTATGAGATTTTCTCTAATTATTATTTTGCTATTAATGCCTTTTAAAGTTTATCCTTTAAGTCTTCTGCTTCTTTCAATTATCCATTCTATTAATAAGTTTTCACTATATCCATTCCTCTTGTTTCAATAAATCTTCCTAATTCTTAAACTTCTATAGGAATTGGCTTTTTAGGATCTTATTCATAACTAAGCTCTTAATCATTATCTTGCTATATCAACTAGGCCATGAAATCTTATGATAAATCTTCTTCATCATTTTATTAAGAAATATCATCAAAATATTGAGGATAGAGTTCTTTATCACTATCATAATATTCTTCAAATTTCTATAATTGTGCTTTAACCATATCATTAACTCTTGCTAAATCTTCATTGAGAGGATCCAATTATTATGCGAATTTTAAATCTTTACAAATCATATGACAATCTAATTATGTTATTGGCTCTGATAAAAACCGAGACTAATTTATCTAAAAATTGAGTACCTATGCTCTTAAAATAAAAGCACTTGCACATAAAGGATTTAATTATTACCAATAATCACACATTTTGATACAAGCAGCTTTTTAATGTAAAACATAATAGCATTTACCCATCAATTCAAACAATTTCTTCCATAGGTCTTAAAAACAAACTTAATTAAAAATATGTACCTTTTATTTATTATTATTAAGGACAACGTATACAATTTAAATCTTCAAACTTTGTGTCCTCCCATCGTTTTGACTTTTTGGCTTCTACAAATATTGACATACAAATCTCAAATTAATCTAATGCATTATGATATTGATCTATATAGTATTAAATTTTATTTTGTACTATGTTTGTAGAATTTTAAACCTCTTTCAAATAATAGTTCGTAAATTTTCATTTTTTACAAGAATGATTGACGTGATAATTGCTTAAAAGCTAGACGAAGCATATAGTATAATAATTAATTAAAAATCTTAAATATTCTGTTTAAATATGATATATTATTAATATGAAAGAGTTGTTGATATACTATTAATATGAATTAAAATAAAAAAAAAGGTTAGAAGAGAACAATAATTTTAATTAGAAATCATATTTAATAATAATAATATTAATAATAAATGTCAACTAAATTTCGTTAATCGGTGCGATTCTTACTTTGGGTGATTCGTAAAAATGTACCTGGAAGAATAGCATTGTTGAAGTCGTAATGTCCCTCACCTAAATGAGATCCAAATAACGATCGTAACTTGAGGTTTTGCAAGTAAGTGCACTGATGCAACGATTTCAATACTGTAGAGACATGATTACAAAAGAAGGATTTGAAAAATATAACAAATTTTGTGAATTCTTGTATACGATATATTGCAGAACAGGAGAGAGAGTAATTCGTAAAGGATAATAAGGAGTACGGTTTTACATGATCTTATAAGGATAAGTTTCATTGGTGAGTTATAAACCTAAGAATAGAAAAGCATAGATGATGATGGATTAAGAGAAAGTAAGGGAATAAAAGTTATTTATAGGAAACGGTACCAAATTATGAAGATGATACTTTATTTAGTTCATTTAGTTTTAAAGAACTTAATCCTGGAGATCATTTTGGTGATATGTCTTTATTAGACAATGGATAAGTATCATGTACTATCATATGTAAAACCTTTTGTTAATTTGTATGTATGGATAAACAATAGTTTGTTAAATTTATTGGAAAATCAGTACCAGTGTTATAGAAACTTAAAATATTAGAGGAATAATCAATATTTAATAGTTGGACTGATGGTGAGTTAAGAGCATTAAGTTATGAATTTAAAAGTAGAATATATCATCAAGAAGAATATCTATATTAAGAAGGATAAAAAAATGTTTAAGTATTTTTGATTATGAATGGATAAATTGAAATGTCATCAACTCGTGATAATAATACATATCATCTTAGTTCCTTAGATGTTGGTACACTCTTTGGAGATGATTCTGATTATCATACATGTAATGCAAAATGTGTATCTGCCAGAGCTGAAATACTTGTTATTGGAAGATAAGTTTTAAATAAAATGTTAGATTGGCATCCTGAATCTAAATTATTGTATAAATTATAATTATGTTTTCATCTTTCATTTTATATTAGAACAAAAAGCTAATTGGAGATAAAATAGATTAAATAATCTTATTGAATCCCATGAAGAAAAAACTAAATCTAAAAGAACACAATCTGTCAAAATGTAATTATTGGATTTATTGATTAAACCTAAATTTTAGAAAATTCGTCTTTCACCTTGTGTTAAGAGAATTACTAATATTTAAGATTCAATGGATTTTGANAATAATAATATTAATAATAAATGTCAACTAAATTTCGTTAATCGGTGCGATTCTTACTTTGGGTGATTCGTAAAAATGTACCTGGAAGAATAGCATTGTTGAAGTCGTAATGTCCCTCACCTAAATGAGATCCAAATAACGATCGTAACTTGAGGTTTTGCAAGTAAGTGCACTGATGCAACGATTTCAATACTGTAGAGACATGATTACAAAAGAAGGATTTGAAAAATATAACAAATTTTGTGAATTCTTGTATACGATATATTGCAGAACAGGAGAGAGAGTAATTCGTAAAGGATAATAAGGAGTACGGTTTTACATGATCTTATAAGGATAAGTTTCATTGGTGAGTTATAAACCTAAGAATAGAAAAGCATAGATGATGATGGATTAAGAGAAAGTAAGGGAATAAAAGTTATTTATAGGAAACGGTACCAAATTATGAAGATGATACTTTATTTAGTTCATTTAGTTTTAAAGAACTTAATCCTGGAGATCATTTTGGTGATATGTCTTTATTAGACAATGGATAAGTATCATGTACTATCATATGTAAAACCTTTTGTTAATTTGTATGTATGGATAAACAATAGTTTGTTAAATTTATTGGAAAATCAGTACCAGTGTTATAGAAACTTAAAATATTAGAGGAATAATCAATATTTAATAGTTGGACTGATGGTGAGTTAAGAGCATTAAGTTATGAATTTAAAAGTAGAATATATCATCAAGAAGAATATCTATATTAAGAAGGATAAAAAAATGTTTAAGTATTTTTGATTATGAATGGATAAATTGAAATGTCATCAACTCGTGATAATAATACATATCATCTTAGTTCCTTAGATGTTGGTACACTCTTTGGAGATGATTCTGATTATCATACATGTAATGCAAAATGTGTATCTGCCAGAGCTGAAATACTTGTTATTGGAAGATAAGTTTTAAATAAAATGTTAGATTGGCATCCTGAATCTAAATTATTGTATAAATTATAATTATGTTTTCATCTTTCATTTTATATTAGAACAAAAAGCTAATTGGAGATAAAATAGATTAAATAATCTTATTGAATCCCATGAAGAAAAAACTAAATCTAAAAGAACACAATCTGTCAAAATGTAATTATTGGATTTATTGATTAAACCTAAATTTTAGAAAATTCGTCTTTCACCTTGTGTTAAGAGAATTACTAATATTTAAGATTCAATGGATTTTGAAGAAAAAAAACTCAAACATAAGGAAATCTTGGAAAAACAAAATCTTATCATCACTCAACGTAAAATTGAATTCTTTTAACTTGGTCTTACATTCACAGAAAAAAGAAGGAAAAAATTAAAATAATAATAAGAAGAATTAAATTCAAAATAAAAAAGATAATATGAAAGTGTTCTCGTTTCAGAACCTCCTCTGCAAAAATTAAATAGAGCATCAAGTACTATTATGACCAAAACATCATAAACTACTTTTAAATTATCACCTCCCAAAAAACTTCGAAAAGTATTTTCTATTGAAGGAACAACCATTAATATTCATTATAGATAATGAGTTATCAAAATATTCAAAATTAAAAGATCTCTTATTCTCTTCGTTTAATACTGGTTTTAATAATAGGATTTAATTTCTATAAGATTTAATTATATTATATTAAATTATTTGAAATCTAAGATTAGTAAAGTATTATGGGATATATGAATAATATTATGAATAATACTATTCTAACTAATAGGGTAAACTATAATCGCCAGAAAGATTTTAATATGAGTCCTACTTTATAAGGATGTAGATGATTTAAAAATTCGTATTAGAATAGTGGAAAATAGCTGTAGAATTGTCAATATTTAGAAAATTGGCTTTATATAAATTAATGATTTAAAAATATTTATGTATCATTTAAGATGTTTCAAATCTGAACTTGATTCTATATTTTTAACCATCATTCCTAATTGATTGTTTATTTCAATTAATTATGGTAAGGTGCACTTAAACATAATATCTCTATCTTTATTGTCTATGGTTTTAGTATGTAATTATATTTTATATATTTCTTAATATACTTTATTTGCATATTTTGAAGACACAACTATTTCTTATTACCAATCCACATCAACCAAATAATTAAAACCAATTTTCGATTCAAAATTGGATGCTATAATAGCATTATCAGGGTCGTTGATAAATTGTCTAAATTAATTATATTTCTTAATAAATCCATCTACAATTGTCTACTCAAATCCATAATCATATAAATTAGTTGTGATTTCAATTTCCATTAATTATAACTTTATGCATTGAACTGTAAATAATAAAATTAAATTAAACAACTCATTTGTTTATGGTTCTGTATTCAATTGATCTAATATTTTAGTGTTATTTTGTTCTCCAGCCAGATTCATAAATACACATTTCGATAATTTATCAAAATTCTATTAAGTAAATGGATCTTTAGCGAATTAGCTCAATCCTTTTGATACTTCTTCAGGTATATTTTTGTTTTCTTAAATATTCATTCTTAAATGAGTTTAATTGTAAATACTGAATATTAATTAATAAGGAATTTGTAATAAAGAAGGAGAGGTTGATAATTAAAAAAGAGATGGAATTATTAAATATTAATCAGATCTAATGATTTAAACATACTAGAGTTGATAATATAATAATGAACATATAATTGATCATTTTGATTATTTGTCCAACTATTCTAATTTCATAACATCATCATTTAATAATGCTTCATCCCATGGATCTAATTCACCTTCTTCAGCTTTCCAACCTCCCCATCCCATATCTTCTATTCCTACTCCCATATCACTGAAAACAATCATAGGAACACTCTATTCAATATGAATATTTAATAATCTAAGTTAGTATTGTTAGAATTACTTTGGTTTTAGATGTCTATCATTTGGTAAAGGATAATGTAATGTTTTAGCTGCAGGTAAAGGAGGATGATGAGGACCTAAATAAAATGGTGCACTTCCTATAAGTTATGGAGGTGTATTTATTGTCTTCTTTTATTTATTTATATTCATTTTAATTTTCTTAAAATTAGTTAGATTGCATAATTATATGTTAATTTAAATAACAAATGGGCAATTGTTGTAAATAAAGTGGCTCAAAGAATTTCTCTTCATCAATTCAACTCAATGACATCTTATAAAGAAAATCTCTACTTCTTGAGTAATTAGAGGTATTTTGAATATTTAAGTATCAGCAACTCTAAAATCCAGTTTATAATTAGAGTTCTTTAAAGATAAAGATGACTACTTGGATTAAAGATTCTCATGATCTTTTTGATTATGAAAACACAAATCGTATAACTTAATCTCTAACTATTAACTCTTCTATTAAATTGTATAGAGATAAGACGAGTGGAAAAATTCAATAAAATCAATTAGGGAAAACTTTAATTAGAATAGAAAATAAATAAAATTGTTTTTGGATTGAACCTAGAGTAATTATTTTTGAAATAAATTTATATTAGCAAACAAAAAATGAGGATGAAGATGTTTGGTTAGTAATTAAATCAATTTAATAAAGAGATGGTGGTGGTTTGAAACTATAATGTAATGATGTAATAAGAGTTGGAAAAGTTGAAATAAAATTGAAAGAATTAAATTTTGATAAAGGAGAGAAAAAATAAGATGAAAGAGAAACAATTTTAAGTTAAAGTATAGATGAACTACGTTGTAGAATATGTCTATTAGGTTCTGAAAGTGTAGATGACCCTAAGATTGAACCATGTAATTGTTCTGGAACAATGGCTTTGATTCATTTAAAGTGTCTATAACATTGGATAGTGACAAAATATAATATGGAAAGTTGCAATTCTATTATATTTTTGTGGGATTAGATGAAATGTGAATTATGTCGTAGTAATTTTAAAAGAAAATTGCAACTTAATGGTTAAATAGTAGATTTAGTGGAACTAAGTAAGAGATAGTTTTAGAATTATGCAATATTGGAAATGAAAAAACCATTAATAAAATCTAAAGAAAGATTGACTTATATTTTAAATTTGGAAAAAGTAGAATAGTTTAAGATTGGTAGAGCAAATGATAACCATATTAGATTATGTGATATTAGTGTAAGTAGATTCCATTGTAAATTAATATTGGTAAAGATTAGTGTATATTATTTAAGCATAATAATTAATTTTATATAGAAGATAATAATTCTAAATTTGGAAGTCTATTAAAGTTAAGGAAATCGATGCCACTTTTGAGAGAGTTTTCAAATATATAAATTTAAGTTGGACGAACGTTGTTTGAATTCGAGAACGTAAGCAACGGTTGATTGAAATGATTATTAAATAATTAAATGTCATTTTCTGAATAATAAGGATAAGAATTGTAGATAAGGAAAGCAGACTTGGATGATTATGATGAGATAATGTAATTGATGTAAGAGGAAGGTGAAGAAGACTTATAACAACTATACGCTTTTCCAAAGATTCTAACATTATATGAGAGATCTTATTTATCAGTGACAGTGCTTGATTAATAAAATAATATAATAGGTAGTGCAGTATTTGATGATTGTCCGTAAGGAGTGACAGGATAAGTTGATTTTAAACATGAAAATTTATGGGAAGAATGGATTCATGATGGATGGAACATTGAGTTTCATGTGAGTTCATTTAACTGTTTATGGATGACATTCTTTTTTCTTGGTAAAGCTTTATTATTTAAAATTTAGCTAAAAAGCGTTTTTAATTGAATGAAGAACAACAGTTACAGATCACAAAACAAATATTTTAGAAAGTTTATGATTATTTAAATGTTGTTAATGGTATATTCTTTTTAAAAAGAAGTGAGGCTATGGATGCAACATAATAAGAATTAGATATTGCATTAGTAAATCTATTTGAAATATTACCAAAGAGATAAGATTTTAAATTAAAAGTATAGAAATATATTTGATAATTTAATAGTTTATGTAAGGAGTGAATTAGAATTGTGAAATATATTATTCTGCATCATCAATGGTAACTGAATTATTAGAAATTCGTATGGCTAGAGAAGAAGATCATGATGATTTAGCAGCCATATTTAATCGTTAATCAGATGTACATACTGAAGAATTTGGTGAATTCTTTATTGCTGATTTGATTGCAACTTAGAATTAAACAAGAAGATAAGCTAGGAATTATAGAAGTGATGGAAAAGCCATTGTGGGACAAGTAGGAGATAAGGCTGTAGGATTGATGAGTATTTCTAGTGATATTGAGTAAGAACCTTCCTCTAAAGTAGTTATCGTCTACTAGGTTAATGTTTTGATTTGGATGTGTTTGACAATTTATACAAATCAGAATATATGGAAGCCATTCGAAATAGACTAGATTAATTAACACTTGAAGATTAAATTAATAAACAAATTGTTGCTTATAAAAAACATATTGAATTAACCAAAGAAGCTATGAAATGTCATATTATTGGATAAAGATTATATTTATAATAATATTGTTTTGATAGAGATTAAGAAATTAAATAATAAATTGATGATTATGGGTAAGAAGATTTAGCTAAAACACTTACTTAATAGGTAGTTTCTAATATGATTAATAATTGGTTAAAAGATTATTAAGTGTTTAAACCTAGTGATTTATTTTTGGAATATCCTGATTAATTTAAAGATTTAGAATGCATTACTATTAAACCTATTTAAGTTTTACTAGAAGCTTTAGAATTCTTTGGATTACCTAAAGGATATATGAATGGAGAAGGTCATTGGAAAGATTGGGCTAAAAAGAAAGAAGAAGAATAAAAAGCACTCTCACTTAAAAGACCTAAACGTTAATAAAAGAAAACTAATAAAAAAGCAAAAAAAGAAGATAAAGACGAAGATATCTTCAAACCACCTCCTTATTTTGATTTAGGACCTTTTTTATAAGCATTTACTAAATTTACTTCAGTATCTGCTGAAACTAGAACTTAATTTAGAAAATAAATTGAATCTAGACTTAAAGAATTAATTATGGAATTTTGTACAGAAAATGGAGAAATGGATCCTAGTAGACATATTGATTTAATTGAATTTCCTGAAGTCTTAAGAAATAAAGGTTTTGATATAGGTGCACCTATGGGAGATAATATTGCATTTATTCTTGAATGTTTTGGAGAATTAGAAGTTGATAATAGGATTGTCTAAAAAATTAAAGAAGAAAAAGATGCAAAAAAAAAAGATGCTAATCTTAAAAAAGTTGGAGATGATGCACCTAAACCTATTGATGTTTTATAAAAAATGACTTCTTATAGTGAATTTATTGGAGCCATTTAAAAACTTAAAATTTATGATTAAATGATGTGTAGATTATAATTAGTTAGATCTAATACATTGTAGAATGAAGTTGAAGATATTATTTAAGAAGAATAAAATAAAATTAACAATCTTCAAAAAATGAAAGATGTTCAAAGAAATTAAACTTAATTTGATGAACATGTTTCATAAATTCAATCTATTGATTAACTTCCAGAAGTTCCTAAAGCTGCATAAAATGCTGTTGTTATCAATCTCTTTTGTATAGATGAAAGATTTGAATCAAGATCTCTAGATTTTGTTGAAAGAGCCTTTGAACTCTTTCCAGATAGAGAATATCTCATATTAACTTAACCATATACAGTTTAAGAAACTACTTTATTGTCACATTTTCTATAAGTACAAAGGAAAAAACATTCTACTTTTGAGCATGTTCTATATATTTTCCATAGAAATAGTTTAGATTCTCATTTAATTGAATTAAGAAAATTTAATTAAAATGAATGGAATTAATGCCAATTTTTAGTAGATAATCTATTGGGTAAAGAAAATATTGAAAAAGATATTAGAAATGTAAATGAAAATGAAACATTTGTTGTTTATTGCAAAGACGAAATAATTGGATTATATTGTATGAAAAAGTATGTTAATCTATAATATTTGAAATCTCATTTCTGTATATAAGATCATATACTTATAAAGGAACATCCAAAACATTTACATACTAGATTATTACATGGTATTTTGAATCCATTATTTGCAAAATAAACAAGATTTATTTTAAGAGAGATTTGTAGATTAATGGATAAAACATGTATAATGTTAGAAATTCATGATCGTACACTTTTACCTGATATATTTCATGAATTTAATTTTGTAAGAAGTCGTGCATTTCCTCATTTTTTAAAATAGAAATGGGATTGGACACTTGATGAAGATTAAAGATAAAGAATGGGAGCAATATTAGATGATCGTGATCCATATGATTAAACTTAATCACCATTTTCATTAGCAATGCTTACTAAAAAATAATTATCAAGTGTAAAGATATCTAACAATTCTCGTATTGTAGTTGTTGGAGCATCTGATACAGGATTATCTTTTATTGAATCATTACTAACAATAAAGGATATAAATTTTACAAATATTATTTTATTAGCTCCTGGTGGATTAATTACAATGCATGTTAAACATGAATTTGAAATGTTGAAATCAATGAGTACAAATTATACATTAGAAGAATTGAGAGCATTAATGATAGATGCTAGAGTATAAGTAGTAGATGCTAAAATGGTCAAATTGGATAAAAAAGGAAATAGAATTAAAATTGATAAAAATGCATTCATTCCATTTGATTATTTAATAATTACTGTAGGGTTAATTGATACTGAATTATAATCAAGAGAAAAAATAAGTTTTGGTTTATCTAAATCTCCTTATTATAAAAATTCATAATTTATAAATGGAGTTTATAGTATAGATGATCCATATCTCTATTCTCATTTTAAAAGAACTGGATATAAAGGAAGTAATATTGATTTGTTAACAAGAAAGAAGAAACCTTAAAATATAACAATTTATGGTAATACATTAACAACTATAACATTTATGAATGGATTATTGAATAGAGGTGTTCATCCATCTCGTATTACTTATGTAATGCCACCAAAAACATTTTAAAAATAAACAAAATTTGAGAATAATAAATAAAGATTAGAATAGGAAGATAAAACGATATTTGATCCAGATTAATTTGAAAATGAGGAAGTTAAAAATAAAGTATTTGATATAATGTTAAAATTGGGTATTTCAATTCATTATGGATTCACATTGTATGAATTGAAAGTAGGAAAGGAAGGTTTTGGATTAAATAGTGAAGATGTATTATAGGAAGTTATATTTAGAAAATAAGCAGATAATTATGAAGAATTAAAAATAGAGATTTAAAGAAAAGAATAAGAACTTTAAGAGTTGAAAGATAATTCTGAAAATAATTTGAGTAAAGATATGTATGGAGAATAAGAGGAAGGTGAAAATTAATTAGAAGTATTGGCTAGAGAAATTGAATAACTTAAAGCAAGTGAATATGATTATTTATAATTGGATTCAAGATTCTTTATTACAAGTGGTTTAATAGATATTGATAAAGAAATCTTTAATATTATTCATGAAAATGGATTAGTTTATAATGGTAGATTGATTGTTAAGAGTAATTTCCAAACAACATAAGAAAATATATTTGCATGTGGTAAAATATGTGAATTTTCTTAAAGATATAAACATCATTCTGTTGGTAAAAGTTTAAGATTGGATAAATATAATGGTAGAGAACTTGGTTAAAAATTGAGTAAATGTATTCTAGAATAATTAAACTTAAGTTATTTGACATCTTAAACTTATTCAGTAGATGAACTTCCATAATTATATATGCCTATAGGATAAGGAGGAATTGTACCATATAAACTTTATTACTATTATATTAAAAAGAATGATTTCTCAAAGCCTAAACAATTACAATAATTACCATCTAAACCTATAATATCTGATAATTTTAAAGACTCTTAAGGTCATTTCTTATAATTTGATGTCGATCCTAATGGACTTATAGAGAGTCTTACATATTTTGGTTCTGAAGCTGTTCATATCCCAAGTTTGATACATTTTATTGAATTATCTGTTAGATATTTAAATAAATTAGATCAACGAGGTAAACTAATTAATAATGTATCTGAATTTCTATCTGAGAATTGGGCTATTGCTCTTTATCATGAATGGTTTAGTGAATTTAGACATATTACTAAAAGTGAAATGTTAAAAAATGAACTTATTGAGTAAGTACTTGAAAAATCATAAGAATATGCTAGAGATGGTCGTTACATGGATGATAATTTCTTTGAAGAGATTAAAAAACTTATCACTAGAGATATTGTTGAAAATATATAAGTATTTCTACATATTATTTAATTTAGGAAGGTACCATTGAGTTTATTAGAGAAAACTAGAATCATTTACCCATGTACTTTGTACCAAAAAAGAAACTTAATTGAAATATTATTTGAAATAATATATTATGAGTAAAAAATTAAAGTTTTCATTCTCTAAAGCTCCTCGTTTCCCATTAATACGTTAAGCTATTGATGTTCCTTTTTATAACATTCCATCTACTATCAAAAAGCGTTCTATCAGTCTTGGAGAAAGATTACCAATCAAAATAATATCTAATACCCCTTCTCCTCAATATTATTCAATTTCAGATACTAAATCTTAAATGAAAAAATCATTTGGTATTGGCAGAGATGTAATTTATATTCTCAATTAGAAAATGTATCAACCTATGAAATCATTAAGTTAAACACCAAGCCCATAAGTTTATAAACTTCCAAATACTCTTAAAAAAATCAGTTATTCCATACGTCCTCGTTTAAATATAAAAACAGAATCTTCTATGACACCTGGCCCTGGATCATATTATGTTTCTAGATTAAAAACTATCTTTTGATTATGAAAAATAAAGTTATATATTCTATTCTTTTTAATCAATTAATCAATTATGAATTTTATACTCACTCTCTATAGATGATTTTTATAGATATTTTCTTTCTTTAAGAAAATTATACTCTCAATCACTTATATTAAAATTCTATAATGATATATCATTTCCTAACACAACAAATATTTTTATAAAAATACTTATCTTTAAATTAAATTATATTAATAAAATTATTCGATATTTGTGAAATTTTACAATTCAAATAAAAATAAATTAAAAAACTATGGATTTTAGAAAATTTTAAATTACTTTCTTGAAAATGGTTGATATCTTTGGTACACCTTATCTACATTCTATTAAATTCAACTAAAAAATATAGAAGTCTATTTTAGGAGGAATTATCTCTATCTTTATTTTAGGGATTAGCTTGGCCTATTTCATATATGTTATTAATTAATGGTGCACTTATCAAATTTTACCAAAAACCAATAACTCTATGAAAGTTGAACAATTTTCAGAAATCAATTTATAGGATGATAATCCAATTATTTAAATAAGTTATGGAAAATATTCTGAATAAAGTTTAGATCCATTTGATACCTAAAATAATATATTAATGCCTATTGGAATATATTTCACGGATGGAAAACCCTAGAAACCTTTTTCATTATTAAACAACAAACAAAAATCTGATGTATATCCTAATAAACTTCTTCCAAGCCTAAATAAATTATCACTTGTTTAAAATGGAAATTCTAATTAAGATTACAAAAAAACAACCGAACTTGTAATCATGATTGCTAAATGCAATGAAGAATATTTATCTGAAGGAGGTAAATGTGCAACAGATTAATAAATTGAATAATTTTTTGCTACCAGTGTTACATATATGGATTTTTGGATAAATTTAAAATAGTTTAATTCTTAGACTTAGAAATTTGAGGTAGTAAGAAAGTAATATTATTTTTGGTTTGAATCTAAGTCTGCTTAATTGAGTTAAATTATGATTAAGAAAGCTTATTTACATGTGGATAAAGGGGTATTATTTAATAGTTATAATGATTATAATTACATTCAGGATACTTAGATAATGATGTCTACAACAACAACTAAACTATGGGCTCCATTAGTATCTGGTGATACTTATTTAAGTCTAATATTTCGATTAGATCCTGTATCTATAGATGTCTAACTTGTATATCCAAAATTAGGTGAAGTTTTGGCTATGGTTGGTTCGATTGTAAATTTGCTCTTGATGGTCAAATATGGAGCTTAATATTACAATGAATCTTTATTAGAAAATAAATTGACTGATAAAATAATTAGATATTATTATTCTGATTTTGAAGAACTCAAGACATCATAAGATTTTTAAACCAAGTTTTATTACAATTAACTAAAAAAATAGGCAAAGCGAAAATTGATATTTCATAATATCCTGTATGAATTGTCAAGAATTTAATTATTTTTATTTAATTAATTTGGACGTACATCAATAGAAAATTCTCATTAATTGAAGTTTAGATTTTAAGATTTCAAAGTAGATTTTGAAGGAGAAGTTTTTACAGCAAAGTAATAATAAACGTAATTAAATTTGATTGCTCATGAAAGTACGTCAAATTTCATGATCATAAGTATTCCAGAAAAAGAAAAAATGAAAAATTAAAGGGGAGAGAAAGTGCATCCAGAAATTAGAAGTAGTTTAGATTAATAATCCTTAAGTTAGGATAAGTGATATATTTGAAAAGTATATATAATTATGTTGATTATAATAAAAAGTCTATAAAAACATTTATGATAGAATGCATAACAAATAAACAATAATAATTTTCATGATTATTATGGTCGTTCTTCTTTTGGAAGATTAGCATGATATATCTTTTCCCAACTAATAATAGTAGTATCAAGATTGGTTATACTCTAATGCAAGAAGCCATCCTAATAAAAATGTGATTAATATATACAAAAAAGGCATTTAGAGTAAACCATAAAGGCCTAACTATAACCTTAAAGAATCCCATTTCAGATTTGGCCATAATGTGTATTTTATCTAAATCTTTTAAGAAAGGTGTTTGTGGAATACCCAAACGACCTTCCTCTTCATATTGAGCACTAAATTCTTTATTAACTCTTTCAGACCAAATTCTTGAGATTTCAAATACTTTAGCTCCTCCATTAAAATCAGCAGTATGAATAATCATACCTGTTAATAGTTTAAGATCATCATCTCCTGTTCCAAATGGTTTAGCTACATCTTCTTTAATTCTACTTTCGAAATCTTTCAAAAGAGTAAAATGAACTTTAATATCTGTGTAGAGAATATTATCTATTAGAATGCGTCTAAATAATTAATGTTATTCTTTTGTTAAACTACTAAGGAAATTTAATGATTAATCTTTAAGCATGAATATTGTAGTTGCAGCATGATGTTATTCAAGAGGCTATAATAAAATATATTCTTACACTTGAATCATGATATCTAGTTGCTAATTTAGATTAACTATTTATCATAAATACATTTGTTCTTCCAGAATGTGAAACATCATGACAAAGTCCTGATATTATAGTTGTCATTCTTCTAAAATCATCAATAAATTATTTAGCCTTTCCACATTACAACATAAAATGAGCACTCTACATTACTGATATTCCATGATCATAATTATGAAATGAATTATTTTTTTTATTGTATTTCTTTTAAAGAACACTTAAAAATTAGGCTAAACATTATTAATTCATTTTATATTAAGAAATAAAACCATTCTTTTCTAAAATGCTATAGACTAATCTATGTTTCTCTTATGAAGAATCTAAAGTTAATATATTGAATTCAAATAAATCTAATTATGAATCTCTCTCACAAATTTTAAATTAGTTTGTATCAACTTACTCTAATTACTGTTAGTATTTTATATACACACTAGAACCAATTTTCTTTTTTTTTTATGGTGGTATAACCCATGAATCTATTGACATATCTTTTGTATGTTATTCAGATCCTTTCATATCACATTTTCGATGTCGAATTTATTATAATTCATTTTCAGGAATGAATAAAGCTATCATTGAATTTGCAACATCTTATGTTTCATCTAACTAATTTAGAAATTTAAAAGTTTAATGTCTATTATATTAAATTAGAATTTATTTTTAGATATCTTCTTCAAATGATTTATTTACTTCAGCTTCCTTCTATACATCATTTGTCATATTATCTATCTTCAAAGTCATAAAATATTGTTTAAGTCTTCTAGCTTCATTTTCATGGAATATCACTGTAAATCCTTTAAAATCATTATCTATCACCTTAAGAAATATTTCAAATTATGGGATTTCTAAATTGCTTAAGTATTGATTTCTCCTATTTTCATGAATATTTTAAATATTCACCTCAATATTGGAAATGATACTATTTTCAGCGAATATATCCTAATAAGTAATTTTATTGTTTAAAATGGCTTTTGGATCAAAATTTATATTATATTTCTATCTATTTATTATTAATTAATATATATATATTACTTTAAAGACTTAGAAATAGGTCTACTTAAAAATATTAATTCCCCTTGTTTGTTAAAATCAAATAATAGAGAGTCTGTTGTTCTTAAAAAATATTTGTAAAATGCTGATTTTTCATAACATAATTTTACATAGCCATCATATTTCTCCTAGATTTAAGTAATCTAATTTATATATATAAAATAATTAATACAAGTGAGTATAAATGTAAATCTTGTTCATTTTTTAGATCCATATTATTAATTCTTAATATTACTGAATTTGTATCTTTAAATTCAATTTTCAATATGGGTGAATTATTCTCTTTCTTAGAAACACTATCATTTAAATTTTGTTGTTCTTTTTCAACTTCATATTTAACACTCAAAACTTTTTTAATTCCTTCAATCAATAAAAATCTTGAAATCCTCATAAAAGTAATTCCAATGTCTTAGACTTAATCAGCAAAGCGTAAAGGATTGAAGAATTAAACTTTTGCAGTTATGATAGTTTCTACTAAAAACTAAGCCAAATGAGTAACATCTTAATTGAATCCATAAATGTTAGCAAAACTAAAATGAATATTAAGTGATATGTTTACTTAATAAAGTTTCTCTTAATATTCTTTTTATCCTTATCTGCCCAATGCAAACAGAAAAGAACTTCATAATTTTTAATATGTAATTAAAACTTAACAATAGATGTTTATGCATATGAATTAGTTTTACACGTCTCCTATATTTATGGATATTGATTTTATTTTGAATCTACTCTGTGAATATAAGCTGGTCTAATATATGTTAATTCATCAGTGACTTTCTAAGCTTCTTCAGGTGTAATATCTTTAATTGAATCATTTGCAGAAGTATAGACTTCCCAATCTTTATCTCTATGAATGAAAAAAGTAAATTCATCAGCATCAACAAGTATTTTGAGAAGGAATTTTAGTACTTAATACAAATTTTCATATGAAATGTCTTCTTACATTAAAAGCAAATGAGTATGCAAGTTGCCAGTAAAAATATTCTTTAACTCTTTGTAGATCTCATCTATTTACCTTTTCATTTTTTCATATTCATCTTCTTCACTAGAATCGGCATCTTTTTCATTTATTTCTGCTAATTTACTATTTTATCGTTTATTTTATGCATGTTAGCCATCGGCATCTACCTATTCAGATGTAAGTTGTAGAATTAAATTGCATAATAACAATAACTTATCTTTATCCTCTGGTACAAGTAAATTATGTTTGTCTATATGCTTATGTAACAATTCTGTAAGTTGATCAATAATTAGAGCACCTACACCTGCTAAAGGTTAGGGCATTGATTATTGTTGCTTAGAATCAATCTGTTATTTGTCTTCATCTGTAATATCCTTCATAAAGTGAACAGTCTTGGATTTATGTTAGCGTCTTCTTTGTATTGCTTTATTTTATTCTTCTAAATAATCTAGTAGTGCTTGTCGCAATTACATTTCCCTAATTAAATGAGAAGGTTCACGAATACTTTCCAGGACCACTATTTTGAATGAGAACACGACAAATTTTCTCTTCTTTGTGAGTAAGACTAGTTTTGAGAAGAGCCTTCTGTTCAGAAGTGATTTGGTTGGTCTTACAAAGATTGGTGACAACGATGAAGAATTATGTGTAGTGACTCAATTATGGATCCATTTTTATAATTTATAGGGTCGTTTCAAGTAATTAGAACTTCCCTTATAATATGATTGTGAACGAGGTTTAACAACAACTGTGTCTGGTACTTCTGTGACATGTTTTTTGAACTCCTCTAATCCAAATCGTTGTTTCTACTAGATAAGATTGACATGTTTATGTTTTCCCATTGAAATAAGTTTGGACAATTTGTTATTCAATTTTTCTTCTAGTTTTGGAGTATTATCACTAAATTTAAATGCTTTTAATTCAGGTTTTGAACATCGTTCTCCTGAACATAAAACTAAACCAAAGCCAATTGGATAACAACGAATTTGAAGTGGACGATTACAACAATAACTATATGGTACTTATTTTGAATTCATAAAGAAGATTGTATATGTTTTAGTGTACAAATGTTAACAAATGAGAATGCTATGTTATCTTAATTATATTTCTGGAAACATTCTCATAATTAGGTTATGAATGTAAATAGATTTCTCATCATTAGGAGAAAGAGATTCAGTTTATGATTCCACATGAACTAATTATAAATTGGGATAGACTACTGGCATTAAGTGTCTCTTTAAGAGTTGGTTCATAAATGTGGTAATATGGCTTATCATCTAAATTGGGAAGTAAAGTGTTATTCATTTTAATAAAAATATCATTAGATTTCCATCTTCTATTGAAACAATTTCTCAAAGACTGCTCCAGGCCCTTATGGATCCTAGAAATTGTACAACTTAAGATTTTCTCTAATAATTTAAGATTTATATTAAACTTATTGTAATCTCTGACATCTCTGCAACCTTGCATTCCTCTTAAGTACTTGAGAAGGGATTCTAATTCTTTATCCTCTTTATTATCATAAAAAGGAATAATAGGAATTCCATTATCTAATTACCAAGCATAAGAATATGAGGCATTATCAACAAGAACCAGTTGACTTAATGGACGATCGAAAATCCTTAAATCTTTAGTATACATTCCTCCAGTAGTCATTATACAATTATCACGATATAAACTATGAGATATGAGTGTCTTATTTGGATCCAAATGTTCAATAACCTTTTAGGCATAACAAGGATGAGAGGCAGTGAAAACAATCAATTCAAAATCATTAACCAGTAATTCTAATAATTTTATTGCCCCAGGTCTAATATTAATACCTGCTTTTATTGTTTCTTATGGAGAGACTTAAATAGTTAGAACTACATCACTAGGTATTGCTAAACTCTCATTGCAATGAACTAAAGTTTCATCTAAATCAAAAACGATGCTTATTTTATCTAGTTATATTAATACATGTATTCATACTTTTATAGATATCTTTTTATTTAAGACGTACTTATTTATTTTTTAGATCTTTTGGATCGGCTGGTGATAAATATGATGCAACATATATTCCTTAGTATGTTTAAAAAAAATGCTCTCTATACATTCTACTAAAATAGTCATCATGAATGGGTTTTGTAAAAGCATTCTTAACCTTAGTGATATAATATTATGGTTGATCTGTATTTAATTTTTTAGTGCTCTCAAAATATTTGTTAACACTTAGACTGCCTTTACCTGCACTTTTAGGAGTAACTTATTAAGATTATGTTTTTGGTTTCTAAAACAATGCACTCTATAACTTTTTAAGTATTAGATCTTTGCTTTAACCAACAGATTGTTAAGGACGATGATGTGGTTTCTTTTCAGTAGATGGCCTATATGATTAAGTTCCAGTAGGAGTAGGTGGTTTTACAGGTACATGTATATCTAGTTATGGAGAGACTTTAGTCACAAGTTGACTTAAAATCTTAGAAGATTGAGTTGGAGTGATTATTGGATGTTAAACTTTTCCCTCTTTCTTTTTTAGTAATTAGAAGTATTTTTGCATTGCTGCATTCACTTCTGAGTTGCTAAGCTTTTTGGCTGAAGACTCTCTATTACCTTGTATTTTCTATGGTAAATATGACTTCGAGAGATTAAAATCCATTTAATATCGTTGTGGTTTCATATATATTAAATTTATGGTAACCTAATTGATAGGTTTCCCTATGATTTATGAATTATATTGTTCAATTTCTATGCATTCCGATTCATTCTTATTTCATCCATCTATTACATCATACCTTCATGTAATCTTCTCATTCTACTTTTTGGAAGATGTAATGTTTTATTTACAAGTTTTGTAATCTTTGTCTCTACTTTTACTTAAGAATGATCCTACATGCTTTTAGCCTTTCTCTAAACTTTCTTTGGCTTTAACAGTAATTTAAATTCATTCATCTTGGGCTTTAAAACTCATCTATATATCAGGATTATGAACCAATATATTAATTGCTAATTCATTTACATAATTCTTTGCATTTTAATAACATTCTTAATTTGCTTTCCGAAGCAATATACATAAATTTGAGAATTGAACTTCATATTGCCATGCCCAAAATATATTAAATTGTTGCTATTATTACTCGCAATAATTTAAAGATTCTCTCGATTGTTATGAATTCATCTTTCTCACGAATCAAATTGAAAAGATCCTATAATTAGTTCTAACATTCTTTTGGATAACCATATAAACAAACATTATGATTTGATTTAATTTATATAACTAAATTCATTAATTTTTCCTTCTAAGTTTTTCAATTAATTATGAAATGGCCTGTTGAATCTTTAACTTAATTTCATCAATCTTAGCATAAAATTCTTTTATTGTTTACAAATGATCAGTACGATAACTAAAAATATTTTATTATCAAATTACCTGATTGTTCGATAGACTTCTTATAAGACAGCATTTACTAAAACAGTCGCACCATAAGTATAAGTAACAAATACTAAAGATGTTATTATTATCATTGTTTAAACTTCATAATCTACTATTTTAAACCAAATTTTGAAATTTCCAAGGAAGAACATTCCGCAAGTAGATATAAAAGATCTATAATAAGTTGTAAATTCATCAAATCGTTGTGAAAATAGCTGATAGAATATGAAAGCATAAGAAGCTAAGATCGTTATAGCAAATATGACTATTTTATAAGATTAATTTACTAATCATAATAATATTTTCAGCTCCTTTAGCAGCCATAGCTTAAACAAATGCAACTGATTCTGATATTTAAAATAATTTAAGAGTGTTGAATCCAACCAAAATAATTAGAATTCCTCTAATAATTAATCCTCTATTGAATTGATTTGCGTAATACATAATGGAAGATTCAGAAGAATGTTGTAGAACTTGCAATGAATCAGAAGGAATTGATGAAAACATCATGAAACTTATCAATTATAAAATAAAGATTGTTAATTAATACATAATACCGACTTGTATAAAGGCAGTAAAATCTCTTCTAAGTTAAAAGTTCTAATATTTTTTTTAAATCTGATTTAAAGCCTCTTTGACAGCAACAAATATCATAATAGAATTTAATATTCCTGATATAGCTAACATAATATATTCAGTAAGCCAGAAACTAGCAGATTCTTCTGGTTTCAAGATTCTAAAACTCTAGATGTGCAATTACTGAACAATTTCATAACTAGGAGCGATTTCAAAGAAATAATAAATGACATAAAATTATTCTCTACTATCATCATAAATAACAATGTTAAAAAGAACCATTTTGGTTGTATAAATATTAAACATACNGCCATGCCCAAAATATATTAAATTGTTGCTATTATTACTCGCAATAATTTAAAGATTCTCTCGATTGTTATGAATTCATCTTTCTCACGAATCAAATTGAAAAGATCCTATAATTAGTTCTAACATTCTTTTGGATAACCATATAAACAAACATTATGATTTGATTTAATTTATATAACTAAATTCATTAATTTTTCCTTCTAAGTTTTTCAATTAATTATGAAATGGCCTGTTGAATCTTTAACTTAATTTCATCAATCTTAGCATAAAATTCTTTTATTGTTTACAAATGATCAGTACGATAACTAAAAATATTTTATTATCAAATTACCTGATTGTTCGATAGACTTCTTATAAGACAGCATTTACTAAAACAGTCGCACCATAAGTATAAGTAACAAATACTAAAGATGTTATTATTATCATTGTTTAAACTTCATAATCTACTATTTTAAACCAAATTTTGAAATTTCCAAGGAAGAACATTCCGCAAGTAGATATAAAAGATCTATAATAAGTTGTAAATTCATCAAATCGTTGTGAAAATAGCTGATAGAATATGAAAGCATAAGAAGCTAAGATCGTTATAGCAAATATGACTATTTTATAAGATTAATTTACTAATCATAATAATATTTTCAGCTCCTTTAGCAGCCATAGCTTAAACAAATGCAACTGATTCTGATATTTAAAATAATTTAAGAGTGTTGAATCCAACCAAAATAATTAGAATTCCTCTAATAATTAATCCTCTATTGAATTGATTTGCGTAATACATAATGGAAGATTCAGAAGAATGTTGTAGAACTTGCAATGAATCAGAAGGAATTGATGAAAACATCATGAAACTTATCAATTATAAAATAAAGATTGTTAATTAATACATAATACCGACTTGTATAAAGGCAGTAAAATCTCTTCTAAGTTAAAAGTTCTAATATTTTTTTTAAATCTGATTTAAAGCCTCTTTGACAGCAACAAATATCATAATAGAATTTAATATTCCTGATATAGCTAACATAATATATTCAGTAAGCCAGAAACTAGCAGATTCTTCTGGTTTCAAGATTCTAAAACTCTAGATGTGCAATTACTGAACAATTTCATAACTAGGAGCGATTTCAAAGAAATAATAAATGACATAAAATTATTCTCTACTATCATCATAAATAACAATGTTAAAAAGAACCATTTTGGTTGTATAAATATTAAACATACCTTAAGCTTTATGTTATTAAACTTTGTCATCAACATATTCATAAGAATCATAAGATTCATCAAAACCACCACCATCATAATCTGAGAGAATTCCACTAAAAGCAGATACTCCAGAAAGTTCTGCGGGTTTATATTCTCCCCATGGATAAGTCTAACCATCACTAGCTACAATTTAATCTTTTAATGCATTTTTATCACTATATATAGAGTAATAACATAAATCATAACCAGATGCTATTTCAATTTCATTACATGTATAATTACTACTCTATACCTAAAATACTTTAAATTTTGGTCCCATTTAAATGAATTAAAATTAAATTTTGATTTCTTCTTAAATTGATCCATCTGATTAAGTTACATTAAATTTATCAACTATAGTAATCAAATTTATTTTTTTGTATAAATCCTCTATGGTTGAAACAGTATTTAAACCATATTTAACCTCCAATAAGTAATTATGTAAAGTTAATCTAACTTAAGAAGTTGTTTCATAATCCATAATATTTTTAGAATTTATGTAGATTAATATGAGTAGTGTAGCAGACAAGATTAAAAGAAAGATTTTCCAACCAATACTGATATTTGTGCTTTCTTAGTTTTCTTCTTAATCTTATTTTTCATAAAGTTTTAAACCAGGTTAGACTTCCACAAAATCATCTAATTCTTTTTTTATTTATTTAATATTTTCATCATCTTGACTTGTTTATTGATTTCTATTTGGTAATGAAATATTAATTTTCTATTCATCTAACAAAAAGTTAGTAGCTAATTATTTTCGATATACATATAGACATGCAAATTATACTTATTCCTTATGAGCAGAGAAAAAGTTTTCTGCTGAGTAATTCATCAATAGATCCATACAATTACAATTTTTGTCTACCATTGTGTATTCACTTCTAGATAATTCCCAATATTACACACTCCAATCAAATATCTATTAAATTGTTGTGGTTTTTTTTATTAAAAAAGTAACACATTTATAAGTAACAGAAAATCCATCATTAAAGTCTTATGTTTCATCTTCACTCCATTTACTTAATACAAATTTATGTGGATTCTCTAGTAGAAATATAGCTACAGAGTTCACATCCATTTTTTAGTTTGATTTGTTAGCCAATAAATACATTCGAGTTTTCTGCTGAGTAAAAAAATTCTAAAATGTTTTTCTTAGTTTAACATCAGTTTATTCTTAACTCTTCTTTAAAACCACTTACTCTTATTCTAATTGTTCTTTAATTTTATCAGTCCCTAGTTCTTTTCGTTATTTAAGAGATTTAGCCAAACCTTCAATTTGAGTATTCAAATGAAATAGGTGATGACTTTTATCTGCATAATATTTATCTAAACCTTCAACTTCTTCTGTCATCTTACCAATCTTAACTTATTAAAATCCTATACCTTAGATTCGAGAGCTTTGATTTCTTCTTCTAATGGCTTTGTTGACATTTAATTATATATAAATAAACTTGATTAGAATAAACATAATTCAAATAAACCTATTATTATATAATCACAACTCAACTAAATCTCTTGTTTTATCAACATATCCATTTTCATCTGGCATATAATATTATCCATCCATATAAACTGGTTATTTTTGTTAATACATTTTCTTTCTATATTCTTATACTTCTAATGGATTTATTTCAAAACAAGCCTTTGTATATTTTACACAAAATTCATCTTCAATAGTTTCATTAGATTCTCTTTTCATTAGATACTCTGTTAATTAGTCTCTCCAACCTCCAATAAATACATTGCATCCAGATTAAACTGTTCTACTAATATATGCATATCCTATGAATTCCTTCTCACATACTTTGCTAAGAGAATCTTCTATAAAAATTTCACTTCTGCTTTGTTTAATTTCTTTGAGAGTCTCTCTAATTATAGCCTAGCATCCCATACAATAGATATGTTTATCAAAAGTTCTAGGTCTCACTTTGAGAGGATCGAATTACTTTTTGGCATTTATCGTGAGTATTAATGTTATATACAATAAAATTATCATTGTATAAATCCTGTAAATTGACCAACTCTTGTAATCCACCTTGTGAATGTAAAATATGCAAATCGCACTAGGAAATAATCTAAATAAGGAAGTCGAGTATTTTCTTATAATACTTATGGTACATATTCTGGATGTTTATCAAAAAAATCATTTTCCACTAATTATGTTCTCTTTTAATCTTAAATTTTCTATAAGAACATGAATATAAATTTATACTTCATTGTTAATTACTCTCAATGCATAAAACATGTTATTTAATTCACTATCTGATTCATCCTTACGATTTCTTATCAAATTTTAAATTTATGTTAATTGGTGATATAAATTAGATTGAGGATCTGATTGATGTAAATGTCTTATAGCCCAAGGCAATTAGAAAGACACTCCAATAAAACTACCAACAGTAAAGAAATGATTAATCCAATAAATATATAAAAAACCCAATGTTAATTTACTTTTAGCACCATTTGCTTTCAAACAATAATAAGTTAATGATCCAAATGTTGTCATCTAGGCACCATATCCCCATCTATTATAGGTTTTCATCAATCTCTAAAATATTTAATTTGACTTGCCTCGTAAACATCATATTTTAAATTAAATTCTTCATCAGTATGAGACACTGATTTACATAATGCATGTAAAAGCATTTAGACTGCTGCAGCATTATTAAATATCTCAGAAGTGCTTAAATTATTACTCATTAAATTATTTTATAATATATATAATATTATCAATGATTATAAGTTAAATTTAATAAGGAACTAGTTGGAATTTCTCTTATTCTATAAAACAATAAATAAGTATATGGAGACATAACCTTTTCTGCTGCTTAAGGTTTTATTTGATCATCATCACAATGTACCCATACATCTTTCTAATCAATATTCTTTAACACATAAGAAGTGTAATGTCCTTATTTTATTATGTATTCTTACCATATTAACCATTTCCAAAATGATTAGCTACTGCATATAAATCATATACCTTATTACTATTCTATCCTATCTACCATTATTTCAGATTCAAAGATCTTAAAGGAAAATCTATGTCTGATTCAATCTTCTCTAGATATCCATCTCGATACTAAAATCGCTTTAAATGCAATATCAATATATTTGGAGTATGACCCAATGATAGCTTCACAATTGCTTATTATTTCGATTAACATTTATCACAATTTATTTCAACCTTCTCTTCTTATGTCAAAATTGAAAAACATTAATCTGGTGTTACTCTATCTTTTCTATTGTTTTTATTCTCAATTAACTATTAATATGTCTCATGATGTGAAACTACTGTCGAAAATAAATTAAATGCTAAAGAATCTATCCAATCCAATACTATATAGTAATTTTAAGGTAAATGTAAGAACATTGGATCTATCTCACAAGAATATCCATTACATACATTATATCTATTACATGTATTTGCTGTACTCTTTTCACATGCTAAACAATTCATGTTTTAGTCTAAAATTTTTATCTTGTAAGGAAAATCATTTGATTTTATGAAATTTAATTCCTCCTAAAGGGATTCATAGTTTGGTCTATTTTACTTCTTTTAATTAGGTTCTAAGTCTTATTCTGTTTTTCTATAACTACTCTTTCTTAATTCGATTTAACCTAAATAAACACTCTAAGCATTATATTTCTTTGAATGATGCAAATCATTTTACATATCTTAAGCTCCATTATAAAATTGTACTTTCTCTTTTTACATTTTCTAGATCCCACTTTTCTTTTTTAAATAACCCTATCAATATCGATTACAAAAATTTACAAAATCAATAAATCGCTTTGCTTATATATATATTAAAGCCTAGAACTCTTATAAGGTTATATGAGAAGATGGCACTAATATTAAAAATGGAAATGAAAATTTCTCATATTGTTCAGTTGCTTTGTTATAATATCGATTTGTCACAGTAACTAGATTAAACTTTTTTTAATTCTATACTCTGCTTCTAAAAGGTTAGAATTGATAATAATAAAATGTTTACACATTTTACTATTGACCATTCTATTTTTTTATTTGAACTTTATATGTTTTTTCATGATTCCTCTCATTTATAGAAATTATTTATCCATGTCTCCAATCTCCTAGTCTATCTTCAATATCAACATAATCTAAACTTTGAAAATTTTCTCTCCTATATGTGAACATAGATATCAACTCTTAAAATTCATCTTCAGCGTCCTTTACTACTTTTGCTATCTCAAATACATGTAATAATTGATTTGCTTTTAATCCTATCTGTCTTATGGGAATTGATAGATTCAAATTCCCAAATTATCTATGGATTTAATTTCTATAAATTTCAGTCAACTCAAATCTTTGTTAAGATATCCCAGTCACCTTTTCTATTGCATTGAATAGATCTTTCAATAATGCATATTTAGAAACTTTAATCCCATACTTATCTAAAGGTGGAATCTCACTCTATAATGACTAACATTTTTTAAACAAAATTATAAAGATTGGAATTTCATCATTTATTGGTATTGGTAAACTCAAAGTATAATATTCTTCAAATTTTTAACTTTTATATTAACAATTTTAACAAATCAAAGTATTGACGGTTTTACCAGTAAATAATTCTTTTACAACAGTCTCAAACTATTCAAAAGAATTATTGATATTGGATTAAACTATCGATTTCTTTTATACATTCTTTTTCAATTCATCTGACATTGTGTCTAATAACATATTCAAGAATTCTTATGCATCATGCTATTCAAAACCAGAAAATGAAGGCAAAATGTGGTCAATTGCTTTCTTAAATTATTCAGGTGCAAATGCTTTATCTTTTTAATCCTTTAATCTAATGGCTACTTTGGATAATTCATCAATCAAATATTGAAATTTAGAATTCTTTAACATTTCTTATTTAAATGCTTACTTATATAGGTAATCATCAAAAACAGGAGTATTGATCAGACATTACAATACTGTATTAATGAAACAAGTGTTCCCTAAATTTAATAAACCTATATGATGGGGAATAAAAAAATAATTAGGTTCTTATTTTTATTTACTATTTGGTGGGTATATTCTCTATACTCTTTCAGCAGAAGGAATACAAAAGTCTCTTTGATAACTTTCTTTTTAGATATGAAATCTAATAATGCCAAAATCTTCCGAAAATCCATTCACTATACACAATAACCATTCATTTGAAATAGGATGTTGAATATCATATATTTAACCTAAACCACATCCAACCTATTAAAATACAGATTTTGGACTCCTGCCTTTCAAAGCTAAAGTTACAAAAGTACCTGATACTATTTACAAATCTAATAATTTTAAATCTAAATCTTCAACAAGAATCCATGAATCATTCACTTTCATGTAATACAATTAATAATCATATTAATTTTTAATTTTAAACTTCTTAATTAATTTATGCATAACATTATGCATAGATTTTCTTTAATTAACCATAAATTTATAAGATCTTTTAAATGATAACTCCCCTTTATTTGTAGTCATATATCCTTAAAGAACAGGAGGATATAAATCAACAATTTATGTTTTAGTACGTTCATCATGAAATGTTCTTCTCTTATATGCCAAATTATTATAACATCCATACCACTAAACCAAAGAAAACCAAGCAGCTTCTGGTAAAATCAAATAATCATGATTAATTAAAATGTTTGTTTTTAATTCCCCCTCATATTCTCCTTAAATATCTGAATTGTCAATTGGACCTGGCCTAATTGAAGTTTAATTGTCAATTATATAAAATTATGAACCATGAACAGATTCATGTAATCCATGATTCAAATTCAACCCTGGATTATACAGATCTTCGTTTTTCTCTTCAAATTAAGACCCTTAAACACCTTAATCATCTTATTATGGTGCTATTATCTTCTATTCTTCCATTTCCTCTATATCCACTATTGATACATGAGCAATCCTTCTTTTTGGATTATTAACAAAATTATAGTTTACATAAAATCTCCATAACTCCCACCATTTATAACTTATTACAAAATATTTCTAAGAGGATGCTGATGTTGATTATAACATTTCCTTTATTCTCTCTCTCTCCTTAAGTGGACCAGGTAATAATTCAAATATCTCGAAATATCTGGTTAAATTAAAGTTTGTATCTGTCCATGTTTTGAATGAGCTTTTCTACATTTCTGAAACTTCATAATCACTTGTCTACAAATATTATTTATTCTCTTGAATAAAAAACTCCATCTCTGATTTACTCAATTTCCCATCTTAATCAAAATCATAAAATGCCAGTAGAATTTCAGCTCTGTCACTTTCTTCCGAATTAAATATTACACTTAGCATTATACAAAGTTCCCTAAAATCTATTCTTCCATTTTAGTCAAAATCAAAGCATTTGAAAACATGCAACGAGTTTTCCTAATCCTATAAACTTATTACTTTATGATTTTAATTTTGGAAACAAAGTTCTAAATTTTAAATGATCCATTCCATCTATTGGATTCACAGCCAAATATTTTTATTTAAGCATTTATAAATATGATGATGGCCACATATCTAATAAGGTACTTAATGGTCTTTCCTTCAATAAATATAACCTTAATTAATTAACTAAATTTACAGTGGATTCTATTTACTCCTTTTTCCGCCTGCACAAAAGCCTCCCATCTTATATATATATTATTTATTTTTATATTTTATTAAATTAACATCCAATATTATAAATTTCATACTAAACTAAAGAACTATTAAAATATCATTTCATATTACTAATTAAAATATTTACAACAGATTCTATTTAAAATACTTTTTCATATAATATTCAAAATCTAACTATTTTGATATGATTATTTATTTTCAATCTTGTTTTTTAATCGCTCTATACAATTAAGTTCATTAAAATACCCTTTAATTTCAATATAAGTTAAATTTAATTGCAACAATGTTTCATTAAAAAATTTTATAATACATAAAATTTCTATATTTATAAGTTTTATTAGAAACTTATCCAAAATTAATATAAATTTATAAAATAACATTAAAATTCATCCAAGCTAAATAATTTAAAATTGTGTTTGAAACATAATAAATAAAATATTTAGTTTTCTTTTTTTTGAGAACCATTCAATGATTGAATAGAATCTTGAAAATTATTTACTGTTAAGAACAAATATTATTTGGTATAGATATTTTATATGAAAGACATACTAAATTGAAACAAGTATATCAGAATAAGCAATCTCAACTTGGGTCTAAAGCATAATGCCTGTAAGATAAGGTATTAATCTCAAATTGAATTTAAGTCAAATAAATGTAAGGCTTAAATATCTTAAGATAAAGAAGTGTTAAATTTGAAGGTTTATAGAATTCACAAAAAAATCAGCAAGCTTTAATATTTTTTTTGATTATTTTAATTAATTTATGAAAGTATATTTGAATAAATTAACTTAAAAAAGATTGGACTTCAAAAAAAGATTAGTTATTTTTAGAATTGATTAAAATGGAATACTAATAACTTCTTTATTGTCTAGCACTCATTCAAAAGTGAAAAAAAGATATGAAAACAAAAATTTCTACTTATTCTAGAGTGAATCCTTTTTCAAAAAGAATGACTATGGTAAAATAAAAATATATTTAATCGAAAATTAATTGAGTTATTTTAAAAAAGATACACTTAATTCTAAAATTAATGAAAATGATAAATTACGAGGTTCAAATCCTTAATTAATTATAAATAATTATATATTTATAAAGATATTTTATCGTAGTTCAATATGTTTGAATTGATTGAAGAGCTCCAATGCTCATAAAAGCATAATCAGCTAATTTAAATGGTTGTATATGATTCAAAATTATAGAAGAATGAAAGATTATTGTGCTCAGAATGCATGGACAATTTTGATTCTGATGCTATAAACAATAGGATTTAATAAAGTCATTCAAATTATTGAGGATAGAAAAAAGAAGAGGAAAGATCTACCAGAAGGTTTGATCGTGGCTACTATTAAATCCGTTGAAGAGTTTTAATCAGAATTAGTCTAGTTGAAGTCCTCTATCATATAATATCTTAATGAACTATTTAGATTCACAACTGATTGGATTCAAAATTTATCAAATATAGGATAATCTTAGATTGAGAATTACAGCTTTTTCTAAGAATTAGATTATTTAATCTAGAATCCGGTGGAAGATATTTAAGGATATAAGTGTGAAGAATTGGATAAAGTTAATTATTCTTGGAGTTAAAAATTGCTTCCTAAATTTTAAATGTTTTAATGTTTTCCAAGAATATACTAAAGGCAAGGATATCTCGAAAAATGTATTATACCAAAAGTTATTGATAAGGTTTGTGTATTCAAATTGGAAGATGGATTTTTCTAGAAAAACTTAGATAAATAAATTGAATTAACCTAAAATAGTAGTGATGACTATTATTAAGTTCCAATAATATTCAATAAAGAAAAAGGTATAATCATTATTTTACGTAAATCTCATATTCATATTATTTAAAAATGTAAAGATGGGACACTTAAAATTGTAGAAAAGTTGGGTAAAAATGGTAATATAACTGGAGCATTGAGAGAAAATGGATAACATTTAGTAATTTGGGACTCTGACAAAGCTTTTGATAGATTATGAAATATAATACAATTGAAAAAAATCATTTAATTTTTTTTTTAATAGTTTATATCTAAAAATAAGTCCTTTTTATAAGTAAATATTGTGATTTTAAAAAAGTTATGAATAGTAAAAAAAAATTAGTAATTATGTGACAAATTAAATTTTGAGTAAAAATATATGAAGAAGTGATGATGGTCATAATAATCAAAAGTTATGATATAATTAGGAATATAATTTTATTAATTTATTCTTTAATTATTGTTTAGTTACGTGCTTCTATTAAAATAATTTTTATGTTTACAATTAATTTAATGATATTGAATTGTGTAGGTATAAGATTTAAATATAAATATTTATAAATAATGAGTGAGAAAAAGTAAAAAAGAAAATAGAATGATAAAGAAGATGGAGAATGGAAATGCTTAGAGTGTTGCAAATCCTATCTTTCATATCCAGCTTTCTATACTCATTGTAAAACAAAACATGATTCGAAATGGCCTAAGTAATATAGTACTCCAAGACCATTAGAAGAGATAAAACGTGATAAAACTAAACCTAGAGTAAATAATAATTGAAATAATAGACAAATATGGATGAGTAAAAATAACATGAAAAGGAGGATTAAATCTTTGAATTTTTGGGTAAATTAGGGTAAAGTAATGAAGAAGAGGATTCATCAAATAATTGTATTAGACATTATTTAAAACAACCAATTGATCCAATAAAATCATTAAATGAGGATCTATTTTAAGGAACAAATTATTTAAACATTTATTAATCAGTGTTAAAAGAGTTGGAAGAATTAAATAAAAAAGTTCTTGATTAGGAAGCAATTTGGGATTTTAAAGATCCTCTTACATTAACAAATGAATTGGAAGAATTCACTTTTTCAAATTTGAAAGGAATATTTCATTAACTTGATGGTCAATTAAATGTAGTTAATGTAACAGCAATTTTTATGGGATGGTTAAGTAGACATCTTAAAAAAAATGCATATTAAGATATCTCAATAATTAGCATAATTACAGCATATTTCTTTTAAAATTATCAATCTTTAAAATCTTAAGAAGTAAACACTGAAGGAAAGTTAGATTTAATGTCATTAGATTAAAATGAAGCTTAACATGATGATTAACGTAAAAAGTAATAGGAATATTGCAAGATAGATAAATAAAATGATACAGATCTAAAGAAAGAAGTCTTATCTTAGATGAATAATTATTTGGTATATAATTGAGTATTATAATGATAGAAAAAAGAGTACCATAAATTTTAAAATTAAGTATCATATATAAGAACAGCAGACATAGCCTAAGCATTCTTTTGTTTATTAATAGATTGGATAGAAGCATATTCTGATCTAGAAGATTATGTAGAGAAAGGAAAGGAAGTTTAATAGGAAAAATAACAATAGTAAAAGTTAGATGAAAAAGGAGAATGATCTATAAAAAAATCATATAATATAATGCATTACTCTTATAAGAAGATTGATTTATAATCTATTTTTAAAGATTACTTTGAAAATTGAATATAGTAAAAATGAATTCATAATTTTTTCCTGAGAACTTTTTGTAGGTTAGTCTTAATTTGCTTTAATTATTCAATAAATTTATCATTTAGTGGTTATATTTGGAGTGGAGTTTAACAACATTTCTAAAAATTTAATATAAATATATACAGGATTATCTTTCATATCTTAATCAACCTCTTCATCAACCTCTTTGAGAAGCATTTCTAAGATTGTAAATTTCTGAGAGAATTTTTTATGGTTTTTTTATATATTTATTCTTTCGTTAGAAAAATCATGAAGTGTTGGGATTTTAGTCACACTTCTTAATCGGGTTATTTTTGGATTAGAATAGATGCTTTGTAAATTAGGAGAGTAATATCCAACTCCAGGATTTTAAGTAATAACAGGTAAAACAAGTCGTTTATGATTGATTTTTGGCATCAACTTAACTTTAACTTAAGGTTAATTAAGACTCCATAAGGAAGATTGGGATTAATGTCTATTGTCATTTTTATAATAATTCATTAAATTAAATGTGGATTTCCTTCTAAACAATTATCTACATCTGTAATATGATAATCTCCAATTTTTTCAAACCATTTACGTCCAGCTACAGTTTCAATTTATAATATATGTCGACGATATCCTTCTTCAATTTTACCTTCAGTTTATGGAAATCTATTTGAGATGAATTCAATTTGATGTTATAAAAATGTTTGACTTGGTGGAGCTTAAGGAATATGTTTAGCCTTTTATGAAATTATGAATTTACTGAAAACTTATAAGTGAAATTTGTTTTTTCTTAGATTAAGGAGTAATCTTTCTTTTCAAGATTCTTTGAGCGATCAATACACACACCAGATATAAATTAAGTACTAAGGATATTCAAATAGATGTTTTAATCATTATATATCCATCCAATATTATCATCATCTGGAAAAAAGTATTATATGATTGGATTATCATTTTCATCAACTTTATTAAAGATGACTTTTGGAAGGTTTTGATATCTCATATATTCAGCCCATTCCTAAATTCTCTCTAAAAGTCTTCCTCAATTCATAGGGATCAGAATTTACCTTCTACTTATATCCGATATTTAGAGTAGTAATCTTTCGGACTCTGCTATGTGAATCCATATAAAAAATGGCCGTAGATTCTATATAGAATTTGATTTCTAGCTTTATTAGTATTGAAGAATTTTGCATTTGGAAACACTACTGATGTAGAAGCTAATTTTATAGGACATTCAATATGTTTCATATTAAAAGAATTATATAAATAAGGAAAAAAACAAAGATTTATAATAAAATGAACTTCAACAAACCTCTTTTAGTTGATTATCTTTCCAAATTCCTTATGTCACTTAATTCCTGGCATAAAGAGTACCTGGTCCATTTCTTTTACCTTTTTTAAAGAAACCATAAAATTTGAATGTTTTAGTTTCTTCAACGGCTTCTCCATTAACAAACCCTTCTTCAAAATAACCTTTGTATCTAATATTTCCTTTATTAAATATTCCTAGACCATGATATTTATCATTTTGCCATTCCCCCATGTAAATTAAATTGTTATCAGAACTGTAGAGTGTACCTTTTCCATGTCTAAGTTAATCCTTTGTTTCACCATAATATAAAGAACCATCATTGAATAGAATCTTATAAGTTATGACACTTTCTGATTATTTTTAAGGGCTTTATTTTGATGGTCTTTATTCGAAATAAGTGTTAGGTCTTTATAAATAACTCTTATTATTGGGAAAATCAGATTATTTATCTGGAAAGTAAGAACTATTTTGAGGTTCATTTGATTTGACTAAATGGGATATAATTGAATAAATACAGTAGATATTTGAGTCTATTCTTGGTTGTGAAGAATATGGATCATTTAATAGTAGTCTAGTAGGAGAGCCTTGAGTATAAAGATGACTAGGAGATTGATTTCTCATTGGAGAATGATATGGTACAAACATAGAAGTGGGGAATGAATAGAAAGGTGCTTGATTTAACAGATTCCTTTACATAATAAATAAAATAATATATGGGGAATACATGTTGTGGTAATCAGCCAATAGAATCAGGTATTGTAATATAGATAATGAATATATTAGAGAAACTAGAAGAGCGACCATAAGAGCCAGGAAAGTAAAATGATTAAGAAGGTAATAATGTTGAGGAGCCACCGAAACAGATAATTTGTAATAAAATGAATTAAGAATAGCTTATCCTACTTTGTCAGTATAGCCATCGTTATTTATTCAAATGAAAAGAGACACAATCTATAGTACTTATTCAATAGGGAAGTTATTGGGGGAAGGTAAAAGTTTAATAAATATATTTATAATAGGTGCTTATGGATAAGTATCAATAGTGACTCATAGAGTGACTGGAATGTAAAGAGCTATGAAAGCAATAAGGAAGGATTGTTTATTTGAAGAAGAATAAGCTAAGCTATTTTCTGAGATGACTATTTTGAAAAATCTGAATCATCCAAATATAGTAAATCTGTTTGAGTTGTATGAAGATGATAAATTCTACTATTTAATAACAGAGTAAAGAGTTTAGATATGTTTTAGATATTTAAGAGGAGGAGAGCTATTTGATCGAATTTAGAAAGCTAAGAATTTCAGTGAAGCTGATGCAGTCAGATGTATGAAATAAGTAATATCTGCTGTTGCTTATTGTCATTCAAACAATATTGTACATAGAGATCTCAAGCCAGAAAATATAATCTTTGCATCTGAAGATTAATATTCAACTTTGAAAGTGATTGATTTTGGTACTTCAAGGAAATTCGATAAAAACTAAAACATGTCAAAACGATTAGGAACAGTATTTCTTAAATTAATATTGATAGCCTTATTATATAGCTCCTGAAGTATTATAAAAGAAATATAATGAAAAATGTGATGTATGGTCCTGTGGTGTTATTTTATACATTCTCTTAGCTGGATATCCACCATTTTATGGTAGAAATGAGACTGAAATCTTTGATAGAATTTTAAAGGGGAAAATACCATTTCATACTGCAGAATGGAATAAAATATCTAAAGAAGCTAAAAAACTTATTACTAATATGTTATGTTAAGATGTAGAGAAGAGATATTCAGCTTAATAAGTTTTAGATGATCCTTGGATGTAATAAGGATAAGAATAAAATTTAGTAGATGATAATTTCTTAAAAAATCTTACTGAATTCAGTGCCAAAAGTAAACTTAAATAAGCTTTGCTTACTTTTATGGCTAGTTAAATGATTTAACCAAAAGAAGTAGAATAAATTTAAGAACTCTTTAAATAATTAGATAAAAATAATGATGGAAAACTATCTAAAGAAGAATTAGTAGCTGCATTTCAATAGAAAGTTTAAAGTAAAGATAGATTAATTGAAAATATGGAAACTAAAATCAATAAGATTGTATCTGAAATTGATGTTAACTTATCTGGATATATTGATTATACTGAATTTATTATGGCATGTTTAAAATATGAGAAATTGCTAACCATTGAAAAAATCAAGCAAACCTTCAAAATATTCGATATTGTATTTTATAATTATTATACTAGGATGGTGATAATTATATTTCAAAAGAGGAATTATCAAATATCATGGAAGGTGTAGATGATGATATCTGGAAATAATTCTTGACTGAATGTGATTAAGATAATGATGGTAAAATTTCAGAAGAAGAGTTCATCAATCTTCTATAAGATAAATTTTGATATTTCAAAAAAAATATTATAAATCTCTTCAATATTCATATTCCATACATACATATTATATACTATTTCAATTCATAAAATAACTTATAAAGGTTAATTCAAAAATTTCTTTAAATTCTCCATTCCTTATGGTTCCAATACTTAAGTCTCCTTCATAAACTCTTCATCATTTATCTATTATTACCAATATTACAAATTTTCATAAATCTATTACAAACATATCTAATTCATCTTATCACTTAATATGAAATATCATTAAAAATACTTTTATAATAAATTAGCAAATGCATTAAACATTGGTAATACAATTGCTTTTAAAAATCCTTCTTAAGATTTTGCTACACTTTATTTACGATCACACATAGGAGATATTGGAACTTTCAAATAATTTTCTAAATCTCCTTATAAAAAGAATTCTTCAATTATTCTACGACTCCATAATTTATGCAATCTTAGTTATTTAGCACCATGACCAACATCTTAATTTATTATTATTAATACCTGCACATTTTATACAAATTGACATCACCAATGTTTTATCACTTAATTATGATTCTGATAAATCTAAATAATTCTAAAATCTATTCATTAATTAAAAATGTCTTGTCAAATCTGTGTCTAAAATTAAATTTAAACAATATTTTCTAAATCCTTTTTATTCTGCTAATCCAACATTTTATATTAAATTAAATTATTCTTATTGTAATATTTAAAACAACAAGAATGAATGATAATTTTCTAATACACTCGAATCATTGTCTATATATATTTTATTATTAAATTATACATAATAGAGCTAATTTACATCTATTACTGGTCATAAATCCATTATTTAATCCTGGATGTCCTAAATCATGTGCAAGTGCAGATATAATTAAACAAGCATATTCAAATTCATCCAATTAATCATCTAAACCATTCTTTAAAAAAAAGGCTGTTGAATTTGCTACATCTAATGCATGTAATGAATTATGATAAAAATTATTGTGATATTACATATCCAATTTAAGTGCAAAATCACCAATCATATCTTATTTTTAAATTTTTAATGTTTATGCTATTTTAAATCTCTTAAATAAAGTAATCGTAGTTTCAATAAATACTCTAGTTTAATTATTGTCTTATAATTTCCAAAATTATAAATAATCAACATTAAAATCAATCTCATCAAAAACCTCTCCAGAATCTGTATTATCTATTATATCAATAAATTAAAATGATGGTTATCTTTGTGTAAAATGAGACAATAGAAATCTATTATAATTTATCTAATTTTTATTACTATTTAGCATCAACTGTAAAACATTCTTATTCATTTATTAAATGATTACTTCTTAGGAATTTAGGAAGCCAGATAGTTTCTTTTTTACTTGATAATAAATTCAATAAATCATCTATATCTTCAATTGTTATTTATACTTCTTCTTAAGGTTTTTCTGAAAATGATGCACTATGAGAATTTTCTATATTTCTATATTATAATTAATCTGTTGCACTTGTCATTATTCTTTATGATTTTCTTATAAATAATGGTGGATGATTATTAGTATTATTATGATTTAAATTATCAATATTTTCATTCAAATTCTCTTAGATTGAACTATGATCATCATCATGTTTATCAGGTAATTATCTAGCTGAGAATGAATTTTTATGAATTTCTGAGTTTAATTTATTTGGTTTTCTTGTTATTCCTCTCTGAATATTATTACTTTTAATTAATAATTACTGGTATTTTAATAATCTAAGTTTTCTTAATAAATCATTAGCTCTTGATGAAATTTATTCTTATATTGGAGTTTCTATCTTTTCATTTATTTTATTAATTTAGTCTATGTAATCACTTTTCATAAATTCTAATTCTCTTCCAAAATCATGTAATTTTTTATTTTGTTCTTACTTGCAATAATTCATCCTCCAAATTGAACCTTCAATTCCAATTATTGCAATAGTACAATACTTAAATATGATATAGATTTGACTCTATAATAGTACTTATATTATTAAGGAAATGAGTGAAATTGAATAAGAAATTATACGTATATTGGTTATTGAAAATCTATTACAAGTAAATAATAAGAATGCTACTGTTATTAAATAGTTTTGACAATGTTCATTGCTTTAGATAATAATAAAATACATATTTACCTTTGTTTTTCATACAAAAATAAAATACCGCTTATTGTTTGTATAAAAATGCCCAAGTACATCACAACATTACCATTTATTTTTATTCTTTTCTTTGATTTTCTTAAAATTCCCATTAAAGATGATAAAAATAACACTCTGATTGTCAAATGAACCTCTTTGTGTTATTGAGTCTCCATCAAAGGCCAAATTACTAAAGTAAATAAAATAGCAAATGCTTCAAAGGGATGAGATTGATTAATAGAAGACTCTCTACTAAACACTTCTGAAAATTTGTCTCTTATTTAATCATGCACTTCAGAACTCATAAAATTTAAGTTATTATTTTTTTAGCATTAATACTATAATCATTTATGCAAACTAATTAAATTAATTATCAATCATTTTTATGACAATCAAATAATTAACCTAGCATGAAAACTAATTTCTTATTTTATCAGTACATTTTATCTAAGTAATATAATCTCTCTTTTATTAAAACTATATTCTTAATGTTTTATCTAAACACTCTGAGTGTTTTAACATATTGTTCATCATATCTATTTTCTAGCTCTTTTCTTTAAAGGCCTTTTTTATTCTAATTTTTATAATTCTATAAAAATCCTATATCAAATATAGGATTCCTATCAAAAAGTAAATCAAAATTATAACATAAATTATTATAAGAACATTATATTACAAGGTTTCTTTCGAAGATGTACTATATTTTATTGATTATACTACAAAACAGTAACTTTGGCTAACAAAATTTTTTAATAAGAGAATATTACCTAATTTTAAAAAACATACAAATCAATTCTTATATGAATTATGATCTTGCTTTCATACCTATATTATTGAATTACATTATTCATATTAAATAATTAAAATTTATGATATTTTACCTTTGATTCCTTGCTAAAAATTGATTATGACTAAAGAAAAATTCTCCAATTCTTATTAGGATTTCTGCATACCTAAATTATTGATTTCTTGTATCATTATACTATTTTTTAATAATAATATCTTCAAAAAAGTAAAATTGTAAAGATAGCACCCTTAAAATAAGTTATTTAAACAATTTTGGAATTCATTTATAAATTCTCTTTGTCAGTTTAACGCTGAAGTTTTAAATTTTCATACTATTGTAATGAATTGATAAAAAAACTCTCTTGAATAATTATAATATAATATTCAATGATATTTTTTATAGAAATTAGTTTACCTTAAATCCTTTCATCATAATCTAGTATATTAATGAGTCACTAAATTTTCTAAATTCTATTATGAACATTTATTTAGATTATCAGAAACATTTTTTAAAGTTCCTATTAAAATTATTATATTTTATTATGATAATTAATCATCCTCATAATAGAATTATTTTGTCAATTATAATAACAAAAAGGTGGATAACTTTATATTTATTTTCTATTAATTTATTCAGTTAATCAGAGATAGGAGAAATGAAATGAATTGAGATTTGAAGGTAGAGGAAATAATTTTAGTTAATTTGATAAAGAGATTAAGAAAAAAGAAAATCTTTTTATGATTTGTAATGAAAAAAGTGAAAAATTTTTGAAATAAAAAAAAATAAATAAGTAATTTGAGATAAAATATAAGAAAATAGAAAAAGTCAGAATGTTAGTTTAAATAATTATATTTGTGTTAGATTAATTGATAAATAAAAATAAGATATTTTAATATGGCTACCCCAGAATCATTAAATCCTGCACCTCTCACTGGTCTTGGAGATTATACATATAAGAAGGTCTTAGAAGATGATTATTCAACTGGAAAGTTAAACTTGAAAATAAAAGGAAATACAAAAATTTTGGGCACCGCTAACTATAAAGGATGGTTGGATATTGATAAAAAATAATCAAAATAAGAAACAAAATTCCAATTCCCATATTAAAAGTATATATATGAAAAATATGAAAGTTATTTCTTTTAGATTGCCACAAGAGAAGATGGAGCAAAAGTTCACATCGATTTTGGAAAAGTAGGAAACATAAGAAATGGAAATGTTAATCTTTTTGCTAATGCTAAATTTACTAGCTCTGAATTTGGAAAAGCAATAATTAGAGTTGGTGGAGTAACATAATGGAATACAGTAAATCATCATTTACGTATATACAATAATAATTATTTATAGGTTTTGAATATAATCCAAGTACTGCAGTAAATTTATTAAGTAGAATATCATATAAAAATAAATCTTGTGTATTTACTGCTTCAGAAGATTTTCAAATTACAGGTGGATTTGGAGTGAAAAGATTAGATTTCATTGCAGGATGTCTTTCTAAAAATTATGATATCTTTTTTAGACATTTGACTAATTAACCTACTTAATCTAAAGCATTATCATAATTAACAAATGGAAGGCTTTTATTCGATTTTATTTACAGATAGAACAAATAAACATTTGGAGTAGAGACAGAATATGATTTAGCTAAATCTTAATTTAATGCATTAGTTGGAGTTGCTACTAAAGTAGAAAATGTTGATTTGAAAGCAAGAGTCAATTTGATTTAATAGAAATTAGCTTTAAGTGGAAAAGGAAAAATAAATGATAGGTAAATATAATTGTAATCATGTATTTTAGATTTAATTGGACTTTATCAACTGAAGTACCTCTTAATGGATCATTACCAACTAAATAGGGAATCTTACCACTTCCAATTGGATTTACATTAGATGCATCATTATGATCAATATTAATATATTATATGTATAAAAAAATAAAATTTAATTGTGATTAAAAAATATTAAACTCATTTTTATATATTTGTTATATAATAATATAAATTCTAATCAATAATGGTTAGACTTAATAAATTTGTTAATTACATTCACCCATTGTTAAGCTGGAATGTTGTTTTCTCTTTATTTAAAAATATATTTTTTTTTATTTCTATCTCCAACAATGAATTTACCTTTTCCTAATAATTTACATGATGTAAATTAATTTAAAGGTATAATAGTCTAATAAATTATCATATATATACATTACTTTTTTATTATTTAATTGAGGATTAATATAGATAAAACTTGAAACTCCATCTTAAGACACTATGCTTGCATATCTAAGAGAGAATTATGTCATAAATAAAACACCATGTTCTTTATCTATTTATCCTTCTAAGATAATTTAATCTGCTTTATGTTTTGTTACAGAAATTCCTCGATTCTCATATTTCTCACGTTAAGATACATTGTTTTAAATTAATGCACTTTGAATTCGACTTGTCTTTCTTTTTTATATATTAGTTGCAATCAAAGGTACATCTTATAACCACATTTATTTAAAGTTAATTCCTCTAAAAAAGTGATGTTACTTTAGATTATCATAATTGTATTATGAATCTACATAGAAGATGTAATAATTAAATTACCTTCAAGATCTCCAAAGAATCTTTTTATTGGATCCTTATCAAGTAATATTTTAATAAGATCTAAAGCATCATTTGGTATTCTTTAATCTTAAGTCCATATACATTAACTAATATTGTTAAATAACTCAAATTCATTCTCAGAATAAAATGGAGTTTTGTTTGTATATAATTAATAAATGAAACATCCTAAAGCCCATAAATCTGATTATGGGCCAATTACATTATAATCAACTAATTCAGGACATAAATACTCAGAGGTACCTACAAAACTAGAATCTCTACAATATTTTATTTAAGGTTTCTCAAAATCATTTAAAGAAGGAGATCTTTATTTTTAAAATTGAATTCGAATATCTTCTAATTTATTACCAATGTTAATTTTATTCTAATCATAAACAAAGACTGTTCCAAAATCAATAAGTTTTAAATGTTTATCCTTAGTTAACAAAATATTTTCTGGTTTTACATCTCTATGTACTAATCCATTTTAATGTAAATATTCAAGAATTAATAATAATTCTGCTGTATAGAATTTGATTATTGAATCATTAAAAATATGTCCTATATATATATAATATTATTTACTATTCATACATTCTAACAAATTACCATCAGTTAAGACTTCAAGAGAATAATATAGTTTATCATTTTACTCAAATGAATTAAATAATTTTATGATTCCTTTATGCCTTAAATTACTTAAAACTTCTCTCTCAATACATGCATGATGCATCTTTTTCTCCTATTATACTTTTATTCAACTTATACTTTTATCAAAAAACTCTTATCTACAACCTTCAATGCTGATTCATGTCCAGTGAGTTTGTTTTTAGCCAATACAACCTCACTGTATGCACCTTTCCCTAATGGTTTTATTATGTCAAAGTCTTCCAATTTGAGATCTAAGAAATAATATTCGATATTTCTATTACTTTATACATGTACAGGCATATCTGGATTCATAAATATTATTATTTATCTCTTTATTCATTAATTCATCAAATGTACTAATAATCAGTATTATTAATATATAAATTTATCATTAAATGAATATCATTATTCAATTCTTAATTTTTCACCATTATTTTATCCCTAAACATATACAATCTTTCAATGCTTCCAAATACATTTTCATTATTACTATTATAATCAATCATATAAAACTATTATTAAAATTACTCTAACTAACCAACCTTATTTTTATATTCCATAAATTCTTATAAAACACATCAAACTTAAAATATTTCAAGATTCTGTTTTAAATTATATGACTACAACAATATTCATTATCTTTTAATTTTACTATTTTTACATACTAATATTTATGTAAAAATAGGAAACTTCCCTCAAAATTTACCTTAATTATTTACTAACATTTCTTGCTTATATATTATAATTTAAAACATTATTTTATGATTGAAATCTATTAATAAATTCAGATTGTCAAATTTATTGGAATAATTATCTCAAAATCTAATAAAAATTTTAGAGATATGATAAGGAGACACAATTAAAAAAATTTTCAATTAATATTATTGGAAAAGTTTGGAAATTCATCAACATTATTTTCATATAAATTGACTTTCAGAAATTTGAATTAACTTTCTCTAAAATACATAATATATTTTATTTAGAATTTTTTTTCTTGAATCTTTTACTATTTTTGAAAACAATAATTTTAACATACAATTACTTAAAAAGAATTCAATTAATTTAATAGATTACAGATATTCTTTAGAATATAGATAAAAATAAAAGATGCTTTAAAAAATAAATAAGAAAACTATTTAAATTAATGATAAAAATATATCATCAAATACAGAGCTAATAAAAAGGTTTAATAACTTTACAATTGAACTTTTGATTATATATATCCTTAGTAAATTATGAATTTATATAATGTTTATCAATCTTTATTTGAAATAAAAATTTAACTATTTTAATATTACATAATATTATTTACTAAATATTTGATAATTGCAATATAGTGAAATAATTATAAAATGGATAATATTTTAAAAATATCGTAGTTAATAGAATAATAAGTCAAAAAAGTACTAAATTAATTTAAATCTTTATATAATTATAAGAAGGATAATATTAAAAATTAAAAATAAATGATAAGGAATATTATAAAGTTTGATTGTATAGAAAAGTATTTTATAATAAATATATTATTATGGATTATGATTAAATTGAAATTGTAATAATTGTAGTGTTATTAAATAAAAGTTGAATAATGAATAAGAAAAAGGATTAGTATAGATATAATAATGGAATAATGAATAATAGTATAAGAATTAAAGAAATGATGAATATATATAAAATGATTATACTGGTGTTAGTGAATGTAATTAAAAAATTAATAAAAAAAATGTCAACCTTAAATAAGCCACCTCTTGTTATAATTCACCCTCTTGTATTGATATCAGTAGTAGATCATTACAATCGTATAATTTCTAAGACACAACAACCAAGAGTAGTAGGTGCATTGTTAGGTAAATAATATAATTTGAATTTGAGGTGAAAGAAAACCTGATGGAGTGATTGATATAACAAATAGTTACGCTCTTCCTTTTGAAGAAGATCCAAAGGATTAAAATATCTGGTATTTAGATCATATTTACAATGAAACACTATTTGAATTACATAGAAAGGTATACATATCTCATTTATAGTTTAGATCAATATAAATGAAAAGATTGTAGGATGGTATTCTACAGGATCTAGATTTAAACCTAATGATATTCAAATCAATCAAATCTTTTATAAGTACACATCTACTCCAATTTTTGTGATTATTGATGTTCATTAATTTGATCCATTATCACTTCCCACTGAAGCATATACATCTGTTGATGAAATCTCTAAATCAGGAGAAATCATTTAAAACTTTGTTCATATCCCTTCTACTGTATAAGCATTTGAACCTGAAGAAATTGGTGTTGAATAACTTTTAAGAGAAATCAATAATGTTGATACACAATCATTATCTGCTAAAGCTGAATAAAAAATTAATGGTGTTAAAGGAATGAATAAAAAAATTGCTTAAATTTAATAATACTTAACACTTATTTAATAAGGCAAAGTCAAACCTAATTAACTTATTATCAATAATCTATAAGTAACTACCAATAATTACCATAGGAAATTCTCAATTACTTACCTAATTTAGGTACATCAGAAGTTGTTCAAGCATTCACTACCAAAAATAATGACAATATGTTGACTATTTATTTGGCATCCTTAATGAGAAGTATTATTGCCTATCATAATTTAATCAATAATTAAGCTTAATAAGATAAAAAAGTTAAATGATATTTAGTTCATATATATAATCCCATAAATCAATAAAATCATTCAAATCTTTTATATTTTTATACAAATAATAATTTATTTTATTTTTATCTAAAACTATTAACTTTCATTATCAGAAACATATATTTAATTATTATAAATCTATGATAATATTTTAATACTATAGTTTATTATATATTATTAATTCTTAATATTTTATTTGAATAAATTAATTTTTCTATTTTTCCAAATCAATCAAAACTTTCTATTTTTAATCCTTTCCTTAAATATACAAATTGATTTTCAATCCATTAGATTAATAGAATTTTCAATTTATGATGAAAAAATTAAGTAAAAAAAATTAAATTTCATTCCATACTTTTTTTGTCAGTCGTTTTCATAACATTATTAAATTTGATAGAAATATCAGCAAATTAATCTTCGTTTTCTAAATCTTTCAATTTACTAAATATTTTTAATTTAATAATACTTCAATAAATAAATAGATGATGAATATTTTAAGTTAGCTAATTCTCCAAATTAGATTAAATTATTTTTCTCAAATTTTTATTTTGAAATATTTAAATATGCTTTTAATTATTCTTATTCTTCTTTGTTCTTCTTTAATTTAGTTTAAACATATTAATGTTTTTCAACATATTTCATCTAATCTATTTCCTAAAATATAATGAAATAAAATAAAACTTAGCTCTTTCGATTAAATTACATATTTTCTAAATGCTCTTTGAAACTTAAAGATCTCTATTCTTTCAATGTTTTCTATTCCTCATTTTTTTTTGATTTAAATTTTTCAATTCTTTCTTCAATGCTATTAAATTTTAGTTTCCATTCTTCCATTTTTTCTTATTAACGTTCTTCAGATTCTTAATATCTTTTTTTATGTCTTGAAAATCTTTGTTCTATTTATTTTTTTTTATGAAACTACAATTAAGATAAATGTTTATCATGTAATTCTTATTATTTTTCTGCTTTTTCCATCCTTTATCCAACTCTATTAAATAATTCAAATTGTTTTTCTTCTCTATCTTATTTGATTTTTTAATTAATTTAATTAAGTTTTTATTCAAATAATAGTTATTTTTCTATTTTATTTTTTTCCATTTATTCAGCTGTCATTTATCTAAAATCAAAAGATTAATCCATTTCTGATTATTTTTTAAAAAATTCTTCTTCTAATTTATTTTCAAAATCATCCTTAACATGACTTATTTTTTCTTCTAATTTTCTATTTCTATTAGCTATTTCAGATACTTATTTAGCTCTCTATTTTTATATTAAAATATCCCTAAGATTTTGATAATCAAATTTACCTAGCTTCCATTTTTTCTTGAAATGATTTAGATTTTCTTAAACCTTCTTCTAGTTAATCACTCATATTATTATGATAATTCTTTAATTTTTAAGATACTTTTTTATTTTCAATAGCTGCTTTTTTTCTTAATTCTTAAAACATTTTTTTTCTACTAGCTTAAGTCTTCTATTCTTTCAAATAATACTCTTATATAGATAATCGTCTTTCTAATTCTAATCTTATAGCTTCTTTTGTAAAACAGTCTTATATTTTTTACTCTTTATTTCGTTCTTCTTCAATCTATTACAATTTTTAATCATATGTTAACGCTTAATTTCGAAATTATTTTTTCTTTTGACTAGGTTCTGGCCACTTACTAAATGATTAAATTATTATATATACTATCCTTTAAGTTCATCTTCCTCTCTTTATCGTCTCTCTAATTCTAATTTAATTCTCTTTCTCTCTGCATATAAATTCTAAAAATCATCTAATTTTCAATAGATAATTTACTAATAAGTTCCCCTAAATAATTTTAATATGCTTTCTGGATATCGGTTTCACTAAACGATTGTTTTTGAATCTCAAAGTTAAATCGCATCTCGAATTTATTCCTACTCATTAAAGTGCTATGTGAAACTTTCTTCTAAAGTGATGACGATCTTATCCCAAACTTTCCATTGCTTTTTAAGTCAATGGAGATTCTGGACGATACTTCAACTCGTAACCTTGGACAATTCCGATCAACTTACGAATTTCTGGAATGTTGTTAAATTTAGGTTCTGTCAAGAACATATTTGTTATTATTAAATATTAATATAATTTATTTAATAGGATAGTCATATAAATAAAAAATTATCTTAATATGATGAATTCATCAGATTGCTATATGGTTTAATTATAAATATTTTCTTTATGTAAAGAAAATTCTATAGATAAACTTGATAATTCAAAAATTAAGTAGAAATTTTATATAATATAAAGGAGTATTAAAATTAATAAGTTAAAAATTTGAAGAATAATTAAATTATGTTCTATCAGTAATAAAAAGATAGAAATTTGAAGTAATAAAGAGATTATAAGTAACTCATCGTATTTTTAATGTATATATAATAGACTAATTTATGAGAAGTTAGAAAATTTACAATTAAATTTGTAAATGTGAAATAATGATAAAGAAGAGAAATAAATTTTCTAATATTTTTTTATAACATCTTTCATTAGATTCGTTTTGTGAATAGAACTAGATTAGATTATAGATATTGGAAATTAATTGAATAGAAATTATAGAAAAAATGAAAGCATTTATGAGAAAGTAGTGATGATAATAACTGATATTATTTTATTAATTAAATGTCGTTACTTTAAAAGTTTACAAAGTTATTCAAATCAAAGGATGAGATGTTAGAATCATTAGGAATTTTATTGAAACCTAAATCTCAAAAGGATTTTGATGTAGCTTGTGAATATTTTGGATCATTAATGAGAAGATTTCCAGGTGTGGTTTTTAATGTTTTAAGATCAAAAGAAAATGTAGAAAATTATTAACCTAAAGCTGAACATTTATTAAATTTATTATTTGTGATACATGCAAATATTTGTGATGATTCAATTAGTGGTTAATTGAGAGGACCTCCAATTTATTGGTTAGATAAATTAATGAATGAAAATAAGGAAAGTTTTATATTAATTGAAAGAATGATATGTGAAGCTAGTACATCTAGTTTCTTTCCATAATAATCTCCACTTACTTAATAATCTTAATTTTAAGGAAAGAATGAATAAATAAAAGAGAAGAGGAGAACAAGAATTGAAATGAATGAATAACTTAAAAATCCTATTTAAAAAACAGAAGCTTAATTAGTTACAAGTTAGTTAAAAGCTAAGATCTTTTGTATAATTTATTATTCATTCTTATAAAAATTATCAGTTAATTTATTGGTTTATTAATCTTGTAAAGATTTATAATATCCATTTGAAGAACCTGAAGATGTTAAATTAAGATATATTTGGATTTATAAGATTTAAAATGTTATGTTAATGGGTTTAAAATTATTGGAATGCAAAAATATTAAATATATGATATATTAAGATTTAGTATATTAAGATTTGCTTAGATTTTAAGTGTTTGTAAGATAGGAAATTGAATAATTAATTGATCATTATGCTACAATACCAAATTTAGATTGTTTATCATTATATGAGATTTTTTAAGAATTTTAGAGGGCAAGAACAATAATAGAAAATTATAATTAAGATGTTGATCTAAAATTAAGAGTTAGTACAAGATAAATTGAAGAATTTTTAAGTTTTTCAGTTCGTATAAAGGTTCTTAATCAATTTGCTTTTAAAAAAAGTATTAAAGTTCCAAATAGACAATAACCAAATATTTCAATAGTTTAACAATCATAATCTGATCGTAAAGTAATAAATAATAGATAATTTATTTTTAGCATTAAAAAGCAGCAAGTGATATAAATAAAGAAAATTTAGAGCCTTTAAATTATTAAGATTTACAATATGAATAAACATATGAAAGAGGAGTGATGGAGAAGAAATTTTATAATTAATCAACAGAGAATAGTAATGATGATATTGAATAAAATATTTAATTAGATGTTGTTTAGCATAGACCTTAACATCTCAAAGGATTAAGCACTTTTCAACAATATTGAATATTTTTATTATCACAATTATAATTTATTTATGATTATTGCTGCATAGCCAAATAGTTTAAAAGAATAAGAAAGTCTAGCTAAGAAAATTTTCTATTAAGAGTATTTTTAAAATAGAATCAAATCTTTTCCAATAGTATCAAAATTCTCAAAAAGACCATATTAATCAAAATTTCTTAATTATACAACTTTATTTCATAATCTTAAACATCATGTTGGTTTAGGAAATTAGTTAAAAATTATGAATAACAAAGATAAATAATATCATTATTGCTGTAGTTTGTAATATATTTATACTTTGATGCCTTAATTACATTTAGGAATTAGATTAAATAGAAATATATAGGATTCAGATTATGATTTTTCTGTATATAAATATCTCAACTAATTTTCATCTCTTACTTATTGCTGTAAAGTTGATTAAAATTATGAAACTGAATAAAAGGTTATATTAAATTACAAAGAATCATCTTTAATTATTTAAGAAAATAAAATAAAAATTGCTTTATAAAGTGGAACTATAATCCAACCATATATTAAGACTGACTTAAGAAATTTTGGGTAAAATTATAATTGATTTAGAAAAACGACTTTTGGTTTTAAAGCTAAGCTAAAGGATTTTGAACTTTTTGTATACAAATAAATTACAAATACAAATAAATCAAAAAATCTATCGATGGGAGTTAATCTTAATGTTTTGGATTGGAAATTTGGATTAAAAATTAATCTTGACTTTACACTCGGTTGTTTTGTTTTTTAGTATAATTTCAAACTCATTATCAAATTAGCATATAGAAATTTGGTCTTGCTCTATAAATACCTTTATATACATTTTAATTTGATGATTTGATAGAGAAATATACAGTAGTAGCATTTGGATTTATGATTGCATGCTCCATTTTAAAGTGTTTCTAATAACCTAAAGTTATCCCTTTAAATAAATAATAAAGAATTGAATAATCTAGAAATCAATTAAATTTATTAGAACAAAAAACTAAATAGAATTTTAAATTTGAAAAAGAAAAAAATGGATTATTAATTCTTTTTGTTTATTATGGTAATGCTGATCATATTAAAATATTGAGTTAATAATAGAATAAACAAAAATATCAATTACAAAATGATGTAAATTTTATATCAAATATATTAGCTTGAAATAATTGATGTCACATTGCCATGTTAATTCAATGTAAAAAATTCTAAGTTACATTTACCAAAGTATACAAAATCTGTTTTATTTGGTTTCTGTGATCCATGTGAAAATACAAACACTCCTAAATTGTTGTTATTTGAATATACCTATAAATAACAAAAATTCGATAAAATTTTTGATGACTTAGAAGAAGTGGTGTTGCCATGATTTATTATATAATATTAAAAATAATTATAATGGAAGAATTAGGTATACGTCCTGAAACATCTAAATGCTCAAGAATGGAAAAGCGTAGATTGGTATCGCAAAGTCATCAAAGGTAAGAATCAAGTCAAGCTCCAAGAATTAATGGAATTACTTTATAATAATATTTTCGAGAAAGTAACTTTAGAGTACTGGAAATTAATGAAGATGAATGGGACAATTAATAAGTTGTATAGACACTTGCACCTCCACTTCAAAATAACAATTTTCGTATTAAAACAGATAAAAAAATAAACAATAAAAAACTACTATAAAGATCTCCTGTTTAAAACTTAACCATTAGCAAAGACTTTAATCAACGTAAAATTAATAGAGTACGTAAAATTTTTGATTATTTTATAGCCTCATATAACATCAAATGAATTCTTTAATAACGAAGATGACCTCAGAAAAACTAAAATAGAACTTAAATATGGTCGCCTAAAAGAAGATGTAATCAATCGTTTTGGTAATCCTGAATAGGATCTGATCAACAAATATGCAGAAAAATTTAATATAAATAGAGAACCTCCAAAATTGACTTTAGCACCCAGAGAACTATTTACAAAAATTAAGTGAATATTATTCTTTTTTTTTTTTCATTGCCACTGCAAATATAAAAAACCATTTTTCATATGTCTTTTTTATTTTTAACTACTATTTCCTAAATAATATTATATTATTAATTCTACCAACCAATTAAGTTTTAAATTACAAATTATATTGTCTTCTTGTTATTAAATTGGAATATTGATAAGTTTCATTAGTGTTTTTCAAATTTTATTTTTTATATTAATGATGAAATAATATTTTATTTTAATTATTCTTACATTTTTACATAATACTTTTCCCTAAATTATTAATAAATCCTATTTTAAGTTAATTTTTAGATTCCTTTAGATATTAGTTTAAATGTTTTAATTGAATATCATATCTTTGTTATTGATCAATTTTCGCAATATATTCTAATTTTGGGTTAGAATTACCTAAAATTTAGGCTATTTTACAAGAGAATAATTTATTAGATTTTAATTAAATAATTCATTTAAAACAGAATATAAAATTTGTATGTTTTAATTTAATTGAAATACAAAATAATCAATATTAAAAAGAAATACTATTAATTAGGAATCATTTATTATCTTCCTTGATTATTGATTTGAAACAATAATTTAAATATACATGTTTTTTTTTAATAAAAATTAAGAGCATTTTTGCAATAATTATATAGTTTATTTATAGAAAAATAAAAAAAGGAAATTCCATCTATGATGATGATTGAATTGAAAATTAATAATGAATAATTAAATTTACTTTATCTCAGATTAATTGATCATCTTCTCTTTAATGCTTTTCACAAATGGGCATTTTAGGATAGAATATATAATTTCCTATTCCGAAACCTAATGCCATGACAAGAAAAACCCAACCTTAATTAATGATTTTGAATTACCATTGACTGTCATTAATAAAAACATTGTTATTGAAGATTATGTAGCAGCCAGTAATTGCCATGTTATCTTTAAAAAAAGTGATCTAAATTAAGTGAATGATTACTTCTATTTATCTGCAATTCCTTTAAGAACTGGAAGTAGACATAGGAAAATGCAGAAAAACAATGTAGCAAATAGTCCTCCTACAAATTCACCTTATGTAGTAGATTTCCAACTAGAAAAAGATTTGTAGAATATTTACGTATTAAAGACGAATCGAACTTAGTAATCCCAATTAATAATCATATACATTCTCATATCCATCATTTACATGCCAGGGTGCATTTCTGATTATTCATTGTGTGACATAATATAAATATTAATTAAATTATATAGTATCACAATAGGAGTTTTTGATTTGAGATTCATAAAATTTTGATTGATAATTATTAGATTGTTTTAAGAAATGAGTATTTGTTAAATATTCTGAAAATATACATTAATTTCATTATTGGTTATATGTTTTATCTCTTAGACCAACAATATAGTTTCTTGGTCTTAATGGATTTAATCCTTTATTTTATCCTGTCGAAGTTGATTGATCTTTCATTTCATAAACTTAAGCCTAATTTAATAAAAATAAATAGAATTACTTCACTATCAACTTTGAAATTACTTAAAATAGTTTAAGATGCTTTGGTTTATCTTTTTCTAATATTAGCCATTTGTATAGCCTAATAATAATAGTAGAATAGATACTTTTCTTCTCAATTCCCATTCATTCCAACAATAATTAGGATCAAGGTTTTTTTCAATAAAGTGAACAGGTGTTTATACATCTTTATCAACCATTAATTTATTAGATAATAAACTACCACTTTCAAAAGTAAGTTTAAGATTGAGATTCTTAAAATTCTCTTCTACTCTAAATAATCTAATAAGATGTGGTTTCTATCGACATATATCAATCACTCCAGCTAAATATTTTTATGGTTCTGATAAGAATTCATTAATAGCTATTTCATTACTAAAAACACAATTCTTATCTCTATATCTGAAAACACCTAAAGATGGTTTACCTGGGATTAATAATCCATTTTTCTTAACAACAGACCAAATACAGAATCCAAAATAATCTAATTATGTTTACATAAAATCAGGAGTATTTTGAGGTAATAATCTTTACACTCCTGATTCAGGTTAATAATTAATCAAAGATAAATTATCAGGTTAAGTGGATTCCATTTATTTACATTATTTTTAAATAGCTAGAGGCATGGAAAGTTTCATCATTTTTCTAAGATCTATTAACAGACGAAAAAGTTCAACTCTTTCAATTGATATTTATTTATCTTCAAATAGACCAATATGACTCTAAGCTAATAATGCAAATTTCGGATAGACTTATTCTTTTGGTGCAGATGATTTATGTTCTAATAGTTTTTTCAAATCTTCCATTTCTTTAATGAATCTAATTCTATTTTATTCAATCATAGCTTCACTTTATTCAATATCTTCTTGTAAGGATAAAATGTAAGATAAATATTATCTAAGGAATGCCAATTCATCTTTATATTTATCAATATCTTCAGCATTCATTTAGAATTTATCTTAATTAATGAAGAAAGTAGTATAAATTTCACATTGTTCAATAGTTTCTAAAGCTATTTGTTTAATTTATTCAGAAAGTTCTCTAGCATTATATTTAGTAAGATCTTCTAAAGAGCTCAGTGAGACTCCTCCTTTTCCAATTTTCTTATTGAATAATCTAATTCCAATAACTAGATTGGCTAATTCAACTAATTAAGTAACTTTTTCTGAAGGATTCAAGGATACAAAAGGTCCAAGAGCAGCTCTAGGAATAACACTTTCTAGGGCAGCTCCTACTTCTAAAAGTTAATAGTAATATAAAATGAATAATACCTTTATCCATATTGAATTGAGCTTATGCATCAAAATTAATAGGATCTTCAATTAATTCTTTATTCTTATATATCAAATAATGAAACATTTTAGTGTATAAAGTGGTCAAACCTTCAAAATCTTTAGCATTTTTAATTTCTAAAGTAACAACATCATCAATGTATTTTCCAGTTTCATTAGATTGTTTTTTGATTTTCTCTTGTCTTTATAATTCCATTTCGACATAGGCACTATCGTATTCTTAATATGGATAATAGATTGTTACATATTTGTAATTGGATAGTTTTTAAATCTGGTGCATTTTAATTACTGAGTTTATTAAGAGTTTCATTTTTAAGTTCATTTAATTCGCTTTCATTGAGTTTTTCTTCTAAATAAAATTTATTAGTTCCTTTTGAAATAAGAAATGATATTTACTTTTATTAAGAATAGTTTAAGCAACATAGGATGCTAATGTTTCAGTGATAGGATTGTTTCTAGCTCTACATTAATAAAGAGCAAACTTGACTACTTCATCTAATTAATTCATATTTTGTATATTAGTTTTGATAATTAATTAATTTGATGAAATTAGCTTTCCATTAATTAGCAAGATAACATACAATAACGAATAATAAGAGTTTAAGTTTGCAAACAAAACAATCATTAGAGTAATCTTATTAAGATGCACAATTCTAATTTGTGATGCAATTCTCAAAGAATACAACTTAAGAATAGATAGAGTAAATAGTAAATATACTACTTGAACATAAATTTTAATCTTATAAGACTAGGAATCTTTAAAATGATAAGATTTTATTATTTATATCTATTGGTGATCCAAAATTAATATTGGAATAGGCAGAATAGATGTAATTATATAAAGTATGCACAATAATATTAAATAGTTAGTGATTGATCGATCTCATACTTAATTGCATGATGTTTATAGAAAGATAGCAGAGAAAATAAATATAAAGAAAGTATTAGATGAGAGATTAATAACAGCTTTAAATTAGATAGATAAAAGAATAGTGGAATTTGAAAATTATTTAAAATTTAAATATGACTTAAAAAGTGATTTCTGTTTATAAAATGATGATGCAGAAGTCGTAAAGATATTTAGTCCATCAGAAACCTTACTTATAATATATAATTATTTACATACAATAAAGATAGGAGATTTAGATATGATTCATTTTCTTAAAACTGAAGAATATTTATAGTAAGTAACTCCAATTCATGATGAATTAGTATCATTAAATACAGTCACTGATATAGAGAGATATTTTGGAGGTAATGTAGCAGTATATTTTGAATTTATGAACTTCTATTAATCAATGCTTAAGTATTTAGCAATTGCAGCATTGATTACTTTAATAATTGATCATTAAAGCACACTTTTTAAAATAACTAATGTAGCTAGTTTTTATGCAGTATTAACAATGGTTTGGTCAACATTCTTTATTATAGCTTGGCGTCGAAAGGAAAGTGAATTAAGTGTAGAATGGGGTGTATTTGGATAATAACATATAAAAAGACTTGATCTTAATCCAGAATATAAAGGCACTCCTAAAATCAATTATATTACAGGCTTAGTCAAAAATAGTTATCCAACAAGTAGTAGAATATTCTATTATATGGTATCTTTATTTGAAGCCATTCCCATACTTATTATTGCTGGTTTAATTAAAATTGTAGTATTCAATATTAATGGACTCATTAGAAATGAAGACAGTATTTTCTATATAAGAGTAGCCTCTAAATTAAACTAGCCAGGTGGTTTATTATATTATAAATATACTACTAATGTTCTAGATATTTTTACAATACTTTTAATTTTCTACATAAACACTCTTTATACTAAAGTTTGCATTAATTCTACTAAGAGAGAAAATCACAGAACTAATTTGAGATTTTATAATTCTTTGATTCTCAAAAGATTCTTGTTTGAATTAATCAATAGATTTTTTCATTTATTTTATATAGCTTTTATTGAATTTGATATTCCAACTTTAAGAAATCTATTAATTAAATTGTTTGTTATGGATTAAATTAGAAGAGTATTATTTGAATCGCTATTACCAATGTTGATGAAATAATAATATGAAAAATAAAAAGATTAATATAGATTAAATCTTTAAAAGAAAGAGGACATAAATGAAAAGATTGTTGATAGAATTGTATTTATTTTATATTTTATTTTTCTAGGCAGAACTTGAACTTTGGGAATATGATGATTTTGATGATTATATTGAAGTTATATTTTAATATGGTTACATTGTATTGTTTGCAGCTATTTTTCCTTTAGCTGCTGCTCTAACATACATTTTCAACTTTATTGAAATATGGAGTGATAAATTTAAATTAGCGTATATATTTATAATATCTAGAAACAAATTGTATTAAAGAAGTCTTCCAAAAAAAGCTCATAGTATTGGAGAATGGAGAACTGTTCTAATGACTTTATCTGTTTTATCAATCTACACTAATACAGCCTTTATTGCATTTGCTTATTTTAATGTATTCGAAGCTTGCTAGAAATCCCGTTGCGATTGGGAAAATATTTTAATTCTTCTATTTATGATTGAACATTTCTCCTTAGGTTTGAAGTATGTTGTATAACAAACTATCAACTCTAAACCTAAATGGGTTAGAATTGTATTAAGAAGAATGAAAAAGAAAAGAAGAAGTTTTAATTATTGACATCTATATATATATAATTTAATTATTAACGATAAATGGATGATCAACTAAGTTCTTTAATTTTATGCTAAAAAAATATCTAAGAATTATATACTCTTAATTAGAGATTAGAAAAGAAATTAGAAATACAAGATAATAAAATCTCATCTATTTCATTATTGCTTGCATAAAGAAATGAAGATCTTCTATTGAATATTGAAAAATATACTCCTCTTAAAATATTTAGAGAAGAAATTACTTATTTAAGGAACTTCTTAGAACAAAAAACTAAAGCTTTTTAAAATCAATTCGATTAATTACAATAGTATTATACTAAAATATCAAAGATAATAAACTAGATAGATGTCAATTTTAAAAGAAGAAAATTAACAACATCATCAAATTGCTATTGAGAAGGTTTCCAGAACTACTAATACAGTTTTATTTTAAATGGAATAAATTGAAAAGAAAATTCATTCAGAAACTATTATCATGATAGAAGAATTAACAAAAAAATCAGCTGAAATGGAATAAAATATTATGAAGTTATTTTTATAAAAATAAAAACTATTAGAAAAACTTGCTTTAAGTTAAGAAAATTCTGTTGCTAAAATTAATGTTTTTGAAAATACTTTAAATCAATAACTTACAACTATTTCAAAAATACAATAGACAGCTTAAAAATAAACTCCAAATCATAGTGTTAGGAAATTAACTTTTGATAATACTGAAGTTCCTATAGAAATATTAAAAAGATAAGAAGATGTTCTTAATTATATGACAGCTAGTATTAAAAATATTGAAAAAAAATTAGCAGAAACTGAATAAAAACCTAAATTAAAAAGAGAATTAAGTTTTGATTAATTTTCTGTTCAATGGTCATAATAAAAACCTAATCATTAATAACATTCTTCATTACCTGCTAGTTCAATTAAACCAATATTAATAAAAGAAGAATAAGGTAATGAATTCAACAACAACAAATCATCTAGAAGTGAATATGAAAAGTCTTCAAGAACTGATTTAGCTTAAAATATTGCAGAACCTTTACCATCTGAATTAAAATCACCTGCCTTATAATAAAACAGAGATATTTCAAAAATGCCTTTATTAATAAAAAGTTCACCTAATTCAATTACAGCAAGTCCAATACCTAATTTTTATGATGATGTTAGAATGAAACAAGAATATGAAAAAAAAATGTAATAAATTAAAACTTAAGAAGAATAACAAAGATAATCTAGAATAAAATAATAATAAGAATATGAAAAATAACTTTAAAATTTAAAAAAATCATAATCTTAAATTTCGAATGATAGTTCAATAATTAAAAATGATAGTTATTTTTTTAAACAAGATTAATCACTTAATAGAAATGATAGTTAAGAAATAATTAAAGTAAATAAAATATTTATTTAAAAATAGTCATAAGGTGGTTTACGTTCATTGATGTAAAAATCTAAAGAAAGAGATTAATAACTTTAAACTTCTTAATCTAAATAAAATTTAAATCTTTCAAATTAATAAAAGAAATATCCATAATCATAATCTAAAGAATAGTTAGGTCCACTTAAAAATTAAAATGTAGCTACTGGAGGTAGAAAATCTCGAAGTATAAAATTTTATTTTTCTAGCGAATTAAATGAGAAATCTAGCATAATAATCAAAACACCATTAAGATTAAAGTGCTGAAGAAATAGTTTATCAATTAGATGAAGATGGGTATCTTATGGATGAAAATGGAAATTATTTATTAGATGAAAAAGGAAATTATATTTAAATATCTGATAAAGATTTAGAAGAATTAAAGAAATAAAACTTAGTTATTGAATAAGAATGATATACAAATATATTCATTTATTTTAGTTATTAATAATATTTAATATTATCTTTCAATCTTATACAAACTAATATACAGTATTTCATTTAATTATTCAAGATATTAATATTATGAATAAATTTTTAATTACATTAGCAAGAATACCAAAATGTCAACCAAGATTTGGATTTGCAGATATTTTGAAGGATAAAGATAAAGGTGATGAAAGAGTTTATTTCACAAAAGAAGACTGTATACTATCAACTTGATTTATTAGAAAAATTAATGTAAAAATTACTTAAGAAAATGAAAGAAAATAATGAAAAGCCTAAAACTTCAGGTAATGAAAAAGAAGATAAGGAAGATTTGCAAGTATTTTGCTATTTATACAATCAAGAAAATATTTTCCAGATATAAGATTAATTACACTGATGCTTTGGTTGAAGAAGTCTTAAATTGGAAGAGAGGAGATTGATATATAATAAAAATAAAAAAAATAAAGAACAATCGTTACACCATAATTATACAATCATATTTAAAATTCATTCTTATACACAATTTTCAATACATTTCTTTCAAAGTTTTTAAAATTTGATGTTCAAAAATGAAAATATCTCGTTTCAAGAATAGCATCTTTGATTGATTTTGACAATTATTAATAATAATATCAAACAATTCATAGATTCTGATAATTTATACTTAATTTTTTTTAATTAATATTAACTATGCTTTTCAATGATTAATTATTTTGTGTTGATGTAAAGTGTTAACTTTTTAAAATATTGATTTATTATTGGAAAACTCATCTTTAGAATCAATAATAGGAATATAAAAGGTTATTATTAAAAACTACAAACTTATACTAGAAATATAATAATAACAAAATTAATCTTATTTTTTTCATATTTTGAAAAAAGAAAAACTGATTCCTTTTTTAAGTAAAAAAAAAATGACAATAATTTATAGATTAATTTTAAGAGATTGGAATATTTTCATGAAAAATTAGATTATAGATTAATTTGTAGAAATTTTGAAACTTATGTAAAAGAAATTATATTAATTGTACTCAATTGCAAGGGAATAATTATCTAAGGAAATAAATTATTTATTTATAATAAGTTTGAATCATAGATATATGTAAAATTCTACAATTTTAAATATTTACGAAATATCTAATAAATTCTTTTAGTTGCATAGAATGTCATTACAAAAAAGTCCAAATAAAAAAATTTTATCTTAGTTCTGGGATTGAAATTTATTATATGACCAGAGAAAGAATATTTGAGAATATTTCAATAAATAAAATGAATTACAAATTTTGCNTAAAACTTCAGGTAATGAAAAAGAAGATAAGGAAGATTTGCAAGTATTTTGCTATTTATACAATCAAGAAAATATTTTCCAGATATAAGATTAATTACACTGATGCTTTGGTTGAAGAAGTCTTAAATTGGAAGAGAGGAGATTGATATATAATAAAAATAAAAAAAATAAAGAACAATCGTTACACCATAATTATACAATCATATTTAAAATTCATTCTTATACACAATTTTCAATACATTTCTTTCAAAGTTTTTAAAATTTGATGTTCAAAAATGAAAATATCTCGTTTCAAGAATAGCATCTTTGATTGATTTTGACAATTATTAATAATAATATCAAACAATTCATAGATTCTGATAATTTATACTTAATTTTTTTTAATTAATATTAACTATGCTTTTCAATGATTAATTATTTTGTGTTGATGTAAAGTGTTAACTTTTTAAAATATTGATTTATTATTGGAAAACTCATCTTTAGAATCAATAATAGGAATATAAAAGGTTATTATTAAAAACTACAAACTTATACTAGAAATATAATAATAACAAAATTAATCTTATTTTTTTCATATTTTGAAAAAAGAAAAACTGATTCCTTTTTTAAGTAAAAAAAAAATGACAATAATTTATAGATTAATTTTAAGAGATTGGAATATTTTCATGAAAAATTAGATTATAGATTAATTTGTAGAAATTTTGAAACTTATGTAAAAGAAATTATATTAATTGTACTCAATTGCAAGGGAATAATTATCTAAGGAAATAAATTATTTATTTATAATAAGTTTGAATCATAGATATATGTAAAATTCTACAATTTTAAATATTTACGAAATATCTAATAAATTCTTTTAGTTGCATAGAATGTCATTACAAAAAAGTCCAAATAAAAAAATTTTATCTTAGTTCTGGGATTGAAATTTATTATATGACCAGAGAAAGAATATTTGAGAATATTTCAATAAATAAAATGAATTACAAATTTTGCAATATTTTATATTTATAATACAAATTTTATAAACTTTATAAAAATAACTATCAAAAACTATTAATGCTTTTTAAATAATTTTAAGAAATGCATAGTTTAAAATTTTTTCTCCATAATTCGATTAAATAGTTAAGATTAATGTGATTAATATAAAATATTAAAAATAAGTCAAAAAACAAATTTAGAATTATATTCGATTAATTGAATATGTTTAAAAATGATTGAAACTTGAAGAATCTTAAAATCAACTTGATATGCAAGATCTCAGTATAAACCATTAAGTAATTATTGCTTATTTATAAAATAGTAAATTATCCACAAAGAATAGGTAAGACTAATACTAAAATAAGATAAATTATAGTAAATATCAAAGAGATATCTATTAGATATATCTAATCAATAAATAATTCATTTCTAATTATTAAAAATAATAACTGTTATGATAGAGGTTCATCAGTAATTGATTATAATGGATTACTAATAAAATTAAGACCAAAATTGATCTTAAAGCAAAATAATTCTGGAAATGATTATAAAAAATATGTAATTTTAGAATATTTTTTTTTGTGCATTGAAGGAAAAGCTGATTAATAGGCTTTTATTTTTATCTATTCTTATTTTCTAATCTGTTAATTTTTGAAATTGAAATTTTTAGTTCTATCTTCTCTTCTAATTTATTTAGTTGTTTATTCCAAATTTAAAAACATTTCAATTTTGAATTAAATTGGGTTTTTTCATTTTAAAAATACTCAAACTTTTCCATTTCTTATTCTGTTTAATTGTAATTTTTATCATATCATTTAATTTTAATTCTAATTTCATCTAATTTTTGAGTTCTTTTATTATTCTTATTTTTGATTTTCTAAAATTTAAATCTATTCATAAACTCATAACAAATTATACTAATAATTACTAAACATCAATAATAAAGTTTTGATTACATAAAGTTTTAGTATAGTTTAAATGGGTAGGATTAACTAAAAATATTGTATTTGTGCTAATCATTACCAAAAAAATTTATAACTTATGAGAAATTTAAATAATAAAGAAGTTTGTTATAAAATAATTAAAATAGTATTAATTCATTCAAATTTAAATAAATTAAAGATTCATATATTTAAGTAATTTCAACTTATTTTAAGGAGAAAAGACTATAAAATTATGTATTTTTGATAAACTATAATAGAGATATAGTAATATAAATGGAGGTTTATCATTCAACGTCTATATATAAAGGAACTGTAATCCAAATAATCTTATGATAAATAAAATTATAACAAATTCTGTAGAAAATAATTCAGGGTTTTAATTTGGAAGTGTTCTTAAAAATAAATTTTTATTTTAATTATTAAAATTAATGTTGAAGAATTTATCATTTCAATTTTTAAAAATTTAAATAATTGTCTTCATTTAAAAAATCAAGATCTAAAATTTTTATTTGTGTTTCGAAAAAATTTCTATAAACTCAAAACTTTTAAAAAATTTTCAAAATTTTTTTTAATTCTACTTATCATAATTTATAAATAGTAATAATTTATTTATAATCATTAATTTATTTTACCAGAACTCTTGGTCTTTAGATTATTGTGAATAAATTGTTAATTTAATTTTCTGTTTATTTATATCTTTTGATTCCCTATACAAATATTTCAATATTTGTGTTTTCTTCACTGAAATATTTAATAGTCCCATACAAAGATATAATAGATTAAGGCCAGAATATGATAATCTGTTATATGATTATATTAATATCTTTAAATAGTTTTCTATATTCATACAAATAATGAATCTTGAAGATATTTGAGATTGAGATATTCAATATTTTTGGTAATGAGATCTTAAACAATTTGATTATTATCTGAAATAATAACAATAGGCTTCAACAAATCCATATAAACCAGCTTCAGCATCTAATTTACATTTTTACCCTAAAGAATTGATTATAGTCAATGATGAATTTGGTCAATTTGATTGAAGCTAGATGAATGATTTAACTAGTTAGATCAACATCTGTTGATGCATTATTGAGTGAATAAAGATATCTCAACATCTTAATTTTTAAAATCAGTCAAAGTATAATCATTGTGAATAAATATTTCATCCAGATTGATATCCATTAATTATGTAATAATAATAATAATAATAGGATAGTATTGAATTAGGTAATAAACGGAACTAGACAAGACTGCTTGAGTCAATAAATGAACTTACAATGTAACAGAAATAATCATTGTTAATAAATATTTTACAATGCCCAATAAAAGAGAGAAAGGCAGAAATATTATAGTTAATGAGAATCATACTGTAGAAAGTGGATATTTTTCAATAATTTTAAGTTGAAAATATTGATTTTGAGGCTTATGATTATTGTTTGAAGCATCTAACATTTGAAAGCTTTTCAAAAGTATAAATCAAATTTCTAATTTTACAGAATACAGTTATATATGAAAAGGGAAATCAACCTCATTATATTTATGTAGTAATTTGTGGATAAGTTTCATTATATTCTAATGATCATTCGGTTGATTAAACAAAAACAAAAAAGCATTCTACAACTGTTGATTATTGTAAAGAAAAACATTCTGTAAGTTTAGATTATCGTAAAGATTCTACATTTAGCAACCATATCTAATTTTCTGATTCTAAAATGAAAAGGTATATAACACAATCTCACTATATAGTTTAGTTAAATTAACTGAATTTAAAGATTGGAAGACTTTTGGTGAATAAGCTATTTTAGATTAGAGATTAAGAATGAATATTGCAGTTTGTGATATTGACACTTCTTTAGCACTTTTAAGTAAAGAAGATTATACTACAGCAGTTTAAATTTTAGAAAAGAAAAAGGAATAATATCGAATGAATAAATTTAAATTGAATCCTAGTTTTTAAGGATTGAACAAGAAGTTAATTAATTTTATGCTTTTTTCTTTTTAATCTTCAGATTATAAATTTAGAGATATAATTTATAAATAGGGATAAACTGATTCAGATATAATATATATTATTAAATAAGGAGAGTTCTTAGTGTATTAGGATCAAAGTGAATAATAAATTCGAGTAAGAAAGTAAATTGCGATTATGACTACAGGTGAAATGTTTGGTGATTATGAAGCATTTGAAAGAATTCCTCGTTAATTCAGTATTTAATGTAATTCTCACACTGCAAGTTTAATTATCATTCCCTTATAATAATTATATCAAAAATTATCTTACTAAAGCGAATAGCAATATATATAATAATTGAAATCATTGTGTCAAAGAAAGAATAGATGGTATCACGATTTCAAAACTTCTATTGAATAGACATAAGAAAAATATTAGAATTTTTTGACAATTTAAGATTAAAAATTATAAAATGTTTAGAATACTTCATAAAATAAAATAGAACCACCTATCAAATAATCAAAGGAATTTAAGTAATAAGCTGAGACTCCAATATGTGTAAGTCCAATAACTGAATTAAAAAATACATTGACTTATCTTACATCAATAAATGATGGATATACAATAGAATGTTAGGAAGATTAAAAGATGAATACAACTACGAGAAATAAAAATAAGAATACAATATATGTAGTTTCTCCAGATTAATTGTAACCTTTGCCAAAAGTAAATTTGGTATCAAGTAGATAATACGAACGAAGTAAATTGTCAACACCTGATAGATTCAAATAGGTAATAAAACATAAAATGACAATTTTAAAGAGAATGCATAATGTATCACCAGAAGAGTCTGTGAAAATAAATAGTTTGTAATAAAAGACAATATATGTTTAATTGCCGAAATAAGTAAAATTGGAATAGAATATAGAGAAACAATGGCCAATAAAGGCTACTTTATATTTAAATGATTTAGATGAGAGAATAAGATATCATAGTAATAATTAGAAGATGTAGATTTGTAACAGCAGTAGAGATTAAAGTTTATATGAATAATTGAGTGTTAGAAATGATGGGAGTGAATATAATTCATAAAGAACTAGTAGAATGGGATTATTGAATAATGTATTATAATATTCAGTAACAAAGAGAGGTAAGAATAAAAAGAAAAGAGCATTGACTCTTAAATATAGAGAGTATTTAGAATCGCAATTTTAATAAAAAACTTAAAATTCATTGCTATATTCTTGATGATTATATCATGATTCAGTTTTATAAATTGATGAAATGACATCTGATTTTTTTTCTGCAATTTCTTTTCTGGTTTTGAGATTGATAAGTGCACTAACTGGTCTATGATCACTATAGTTAATATCATGACATTTGTAATATTAATATTTATGTTCACAATGTTCATGTTATCCTACTAAGATTCTATCAGTCCATGAAGGAGTTCTTAATTTATCATAAATATTAGAATATGGTTCAAATTTATAAGTAGGTAGAAAATTGATATCAGCTTCTTTATATTATTTTAAATATTAATTCTATTCTCTATTGGTTAAGATTTCATCGTATTTTTATAATTGTCTATAATTATATATATATATTTTTATACTAAAGAATTTCTTTGGCTTCATGAATTCTACTTTAATCAATAAATAATTTATGTCTTTAAGTAGATGTAATAACTTTATCTGCTTCAAGATTAAGTCTGAAATTTAGATCGCCAAATAAAATTCGATAATCACATTATTCAATTTTTTCTTCTTTTTTTTTACCAATACCAATTTAATTAAATATGTTTTAATGAATATCTTTAAGACTTTATAATCTAGTAGATAGACTTTTCTATCCATGTTCTAAATGACAATTAATGAAACATATTAATGTATCATCAATAAGCATTTTAATAACAACTGCTCCTTTATTAGCAATCTATCCTAAGAAACCCAGTTTAATAGTATCATAACTAACTTTAGTTATTCTATCTTGAAATCTCTCTTTAGCATATATAAATAATCCCATTCCCAATAATTCTTTAGATTTAATATAAATATATTTATCTTTCTATCTTAAATTAGTTGCAATCAATTTATCCCAATCTTATAAATATTAAGATGATCCTACAACTAATCCTGTTCCAGATGTAACCATTTCTTATAATCCAATTACAATAATATCTGCAGAATAATCTATTATTTATTTATTTAAATCATATGATTATGGAACAGTTTATCCTCCTACATTCCAAGTTACTACTAATATAGATCTTTCAGAAAAATTACAAAATTCTTATAATCTTGTTTTTAATTTTTCATCTATTTATTTACTATATGATGCAGTAATATCAGCATGATTACCTAATAAGATATCAATTGTTTCTTATTTATCATTATCTACAAAATTTTAATTTACAAATCTCAATAATGATTTAGTTCCATGATCTAATGTACCTGTTATATCTCTTTACCCTGTTCTTGTTATATTAGTATGAGTTGAACCAGTACCTGTATATTGTATTGATAACATATCACCATTATCTGCCCATATATTTTTAAAATATTAAATAAAATAATTTGTTATTTTACTAGAATCTTCATCTAATGCTTCTATTGGAGACATTTTTAATAAATTTTAAAAATCTACACCTAATTATTTTGTTGATAAATCAAAAACACTCATTGCTATCTTTGTCTAAATAAAGTTAGTTCTATCAAGACAATCCATACAATTTGTTCTAAATATTCCATGTTAAACTGATAATACTTTTTTTGTTTTTAAATCTTCTAAATAAAATCCAAAATTTCTTATATGTTCCATTAATTTTCGTATTAATGGATTGGATTATGAAAAATCATTATTTTTACACTCATGATGAAAATCAAACCATTCATATTTTATATTTCCATTTAATTCTTCAGTATTTAATTTAACTTATTCCTCAAATCCTTCGGTTACCATTTATTCTGCACTCTTTTTTTTAGCCATTAAATTTAAACATATTACTCTTGAATAATCTTCTATAAGACCTTTAAAATGTTTTTTAAATGCACTTTTAGTTAATTCTGCTGATCTCATTAATTTAGTTTCTGTTAATAATCCTCTTTAATTCCAAAATATAGGTACACTACCTCTTACTTATAAATGAGAACAACAATGGTTATTATAATATATTATTTATTCTGTTTCTACAAAATTAGCTACATTTCCATCATCATCTATTCCTCTAGCATTATATCTTGTACCTGCTCTTTTACAAGATCTTCTACTAATTAAATAAAAATCTAATTTCTTTCCATTTATATACAAATAAAAATAATTGATAAATCCTTATATTATATTAGTTAACCATTTCCTATCAATCTATTGTTTTAAATGATTTCTAATTAAATTCAAATTCCATAAAAACTTTTCTTCAGTTTTCTCTTCTATCTTTTATTTTACTTTTGATAATGTTAAATCATATCCATAAGAAAAATAAAATCCCATTACTAATAATTTTCTTAAATGTCCTATCATTTTTAAAATTTCATTTGCTTTTGCAGATTAAACAATTTTTTCATTTGGCTCATAAGGTAAAAATGCTACTGAAGCAATCTAAAATATATCCTATTCATCTATTGTGCAAATTAATTCAGCCTCATCTACTAATAATAAAAATGGTTTATCTAAAATATATATTGTTCCTAAGAAAGCTGAAAATGCCATCTATTAATGTTCACTTTATGGTGGTGCTCCATCTATATATAAAAGTATATATATATTAAATACCTTTCTCATATAAATTTCCATTATCTCTATCAATTATCAGATGTTTATCTATTGTTATTGTTTTCTAATTTGTTTCTATAACATATTATTTTGGATAAAAATGCACTTTGAATATTTATGTATTCTAAGTTTTAGTTGATTTTGCTTATGCATTTTTATTATCTGTATTGATTGTAAATGATGTTAATAATTACATAATTTTATAATCAATTTAATATTACCAATAATTTAAGCAATGAGTATCTATTTTCATATTCTTCCATTGCTCCTTTATAGAATTCTTCTGGACAATTCTCTACTATTTCTCTACCTATCTTTCCTAATTAATATATATCTATTTTATCTTCTTTAATATCATTCTCTGGATAATATTATGGAGTTAATCCTTTTCCTCTCCACCATTTTTATAATCTCTCATCCCAAAAATAAGAACAATCAAAATCAATTATTACAGGATTACCATTCTTCTTCAATATATTACTTGGTTTTAAATCTCTATGATATATCTTTTTATGGTTTAGAATCTTTATTGATAAAGTTAAATCTTATAATTATCTAATATCCATTCTAGACATTGTTTCATAATAAGGAAAGAACATATAAAATTTTAAATTACTTGCATTTGTTTAACTTATCATTAATTAATATTTTAAAGATATTAATTAAGCAAAACCTCTATAATTTAACTTATTTACTATTATTTAACCTAAAATTTCAATTAAACTATCCTTGAGTTTACTCTTTAATTGGTCTTAATATATTTCAATTATCTCCTTTATTTTCATTACTATTTTCTCATCATCATTCATAAAAATAATCACATCTTAAGTTAATACATTACTTGTAGGATATTATTTGTAGAAGTTATCTTAATCAAATTATTCTACATTAGGAAATTCTTATTCAATCCTTACTATTAAATCATAAATTTCTTTATCATCTATTAAATTACTAAATTACATTAATGTGTAAAATTGACCATCTTATATTGAATTGCTTCTTGAAATCTATGATAAAGACACAGAGTCAACTAAAATATTTTAATTTCTTAATTGTTATTAATAAGAAATCCTATAAAACTCTTCATTAATTGAATTCTAACGACTCTTACTTTTTAAAAGTCTATCAAAATCAATTTATCTGATAATCTCAGACAAATCATTTCTATTTTGAGTTTAATCTATCATTTTTAATTCCTCTCTTGATTATTAAATTAATTTTTGTAAATGAATATAGCATAAATCTTTATATACATTATTTAATGAAACCTTTTTTAAATATTCCACTCCTTCTTTATATCTTCCTTCATTCAAATACCTAATACCAATTGCATACTAAATTTCACTAAGATCAGTGCTAGGAATGCATTACTCTATTAACATTTCTTCATTATTATATTATATTAAATATCTATAATTATCTACTATTTTTTAAAAAACTAATGATTCTTAAATGCTATATTTTTTCTTATTTTCTTTTTTTGATTTCTCAAATTAAGTTAAACTGTTCTTACATTGTTGAAACATTGAAATATCATAGTAAAAATGACTTAATAGTAAATTCTCATAACAATCTTATGAGAAGGCAAACTTCTCTATCACATCAGATAAAGTTGTATATAATTTGCAATCAATATATTATAAAAATTACTCCAATATTTCTTGTTTCTAATAATAATCTTTTGATATCATTTAATCAGTTCTCATATGACATACTAGTATTATATAAAATTGAAGAGTCTAAAAATAAGAGTTTAATTTGAACTCATATTCAATTTTCTATTTTATTGTGACTTTAGGAATGTCTTTATCTTTCAATTCAATCACATTAGCATATTATTTTATGTCTTCATTTGGAATTTATATACCAATCAAATTGCTTCTAACTATATTTGATAGATATATTAAAAATTAATCACATTTTCTATATTTTTAAGATTTATTGAAATGTGATACGTCCTTCATATACTAATTACAAAAATGAGTGAAAGTTCTAATATGATAAGGCATTCCATCACTTTCATCTTATAATAATTCTTTTATCATTTCAATAGTTTCATTTGATTTTTATTAGAATATCGATAAGATCATTAATTTATATTTTAATTTGAAAATCCATTTATCTTTATTCTTACTATCAAAATACAATTTGATATTATTTAATTATTTTGATATTTTATAAGCCTTTAAATAAAATTGATAGGCTTCATTGAATTATCCTAAATATAAGCAAATCTTAGCAATTTGATAATACAAAAAAGGAAGATAGGGATTAAAATCGAATTGCTTCTGACAAACCATACATACTTTTCTTAAAAAACTAAAAATCACTAATGACAACCAATATTCTTTAAACCTTTTTAAAATTTTACCTAATTTAAGCATACTGAAAAGATGTGGTTCCTCATAATATTTATTTAAATAATAGATAAGACTAGTAATATGAGAAAGTCGTTATTTTCCATTTATTTTAAAAAAAAAGATTTCCCATGGCTTTTCAGTTAGGGCTAAATCAGTGAATAAAATTGCACCAATTTGATTGATGTGAGATATATCTTCTGACAGCAATGTAGAAAATGTTTTAGTAAATAAGGTTTCTTAAGTGAAATTACCTCTTATGCAGGCCAATTTGACTTAAGATCTATGTAATTATTTTTTTCTTTCAATTGTTAATTATAGAGAACCTTCATTGAATTGTTAATTAGCAAATTAAAAATTTTCAATGCTTTACAATATTAATGAACATCTGTCAAGGATGAATTATTTAATTTGCTGATTTTCAAGAGTTTCAAGCTTCAGGAAACATGACTTTATTATTTAAAGAAGTTCTTCGCAAACATCATTAAAATAGTTATTAGAAAATCTCTAACATTTGGGTATCTACCTTTTAAAAATGGGTTGAGTAAACTAATTAATTTTATCGAAGATCTCAAAATGATTGATGGCTTCAGAAATTTAAGTTTAGATGAGAAATTAGCAGCCTTAAATAAAAAAATCAAATCCATAGAAAACATCCATATCAATTGGGAATGCTTAATTTTAATGATCATAGTGATGAAACTAGATATTTGAAATATTATTGTGTTTCATCATGAATTTAGGATCATCAATAGTAAATTCGGAAACATATATGATAGGGTTGAGTACATATTGTAGAAAAGTTAAAAGTGAATTGGAATTTGAAAATTCAATAGAGTTGATAGTCTGATAATAGAGTGTTTAGTTGCATAATGGACAGAGAGAGTGAAATTATTACATTTTGATTATATTAATAGTGCTTATAATATATGAATTACATTATTATAAATGCAAAATAAAATCATTTTCATGTAAGTTGGATAGATTAAAGTTTTTCAATGATTTTTTCATTTTATGTTTCTTAAATAATTTAAAATAGTTGATTAAATTTTTATTAATTGAGATGAGCTAATTTTTCTTAATCTATTTAAGCTAATCTCAAGACTTAATTTTCTTTAGCTAATGCTTTATACATTTCTTATAAATTATCTCTGAAAATATATAGAGAATATATAGTTACTTGGTAAATTAAGAAGAAGGATGTATACAATAAACATCATTGAATTCAGAGGAATAATTAAGAAAATACTCCTACCAGAATTTGATAGATTTTCCTGTAAATTATTCTGGAATAATCACTTATTATTCAATGGAAGCAGGATTTACATAGAATGCATTTTTGTATTTGTCTTTATATTTGAAAATCCATGACCAAATGGAGATAGTTGATTCCATAACTTTTTATTTTTATATTTCCTAATAGAGAATAATAAAAATGAATGAATACAAGAAATGAATCACATAGAAAGTTTCCAAAAAGAGATGATAGGTGATGATATGCTAAATCTAATAATAATTTGACATTGAATTCAAAAGATAATGGATATAGTTGTATTAATTAATAAACACAATCTAAAAATTGAAAGAATATTGGTGATCGACAATCATCATTATGTTATTTATTTCCAATAGCAGATCTTTAGCAAAATTAATGTCCATTATTAATCCATTCTTTTTAAATAAGTATCATAAATCCATCTAATGTTCTATAATATCCATCAATCATTATTTAAACTAAAGACACCAATTAAGGTGTTTTATCCCAACCATCTAAACAATGAACTAACACATTCAATTTCTCTTTTGTTAATGTCATAGCAATTCTAACTGATCCTTGTATTAATGATACTACATGATCATACCACTATGATATTTCTAATTATGAAATAAATAGTATATTCTCACTTTCAATATTATAATATATTAATACCTATATGAATTTTTTAATAATTTTAATTAAGCTTCTCTAATTTTATGAATACTTCCAATCTCTATAAAATCTATACTACAATTTTTATAATATATTGGATTCTCAAATCCTTTACCACTGACTTATTATCCTGTTGAATTAACATCTGAACGAGCATCATATATTCTTAATCTAATCTCTTCTTATTTATTATCTATTTCATCGATTAATTATTAACACATCCATTTTAAATATTATTCATCTTCTAATGATCTAATCTATCCAATTCCTACTCTGCATTGTCCACTTCTCCATAATGATACTATCTTTCCATCTACTTTAAATCCATATGATAATATTGGAATTCTCTCTTTTGATCTAAATTTTGCTGTCTTCTATATACAATCCATATCTACTCTTGCTGGTACTACCAATCTATTATAATATGTTGCACATATCTATCCACCTTCATTATTCAAGTATTTAAATAATCCATTTATTTATTATTATTATTATTATTGATTCTCTTATTATATCATTATACCCATTCTATCAAAATCCATCTCCATTTTATATATTCTCCATCCTTAATATTCATTTTCTAAACTTTGCATTTCTCTATAATATGTAAATGCAAACAAAGTTGTCTTCTATAATGTAAAAGCATTCTTATTTATCACATTTAATAAATATCCACAATCATCATTTTACTCTCTCGAAAATCTATATCTAAATTATCTACCATCTTTAGATGATATCTCTATTAAATTTGAATCATTTTATTTCTTATCTATTGTCCTTTCTACCTTTATTAAAAATGTATAAGGAACTTCAAAATAATCTTTTCGAAACTCTTTTGGAAATCTTTCAGGCAAAAAAACAATCTCATATCAATTAATAATCTTACTTTATAATTTGTAGCTATCAACAGTCCTTAAAATTATTATACACCATTTAAACATATTACATTTACTTACTACATACCCAACTCTCCTGGCTATACTACATTCAATCCTAACTAATTCAACTCTTTTGTTTATATTATTGGCACAACACTTGCTTCTTGATTTTATTATTCATTTCCTTATTTTCCTATCGACTATTGTTAAGGCTAATTAGAAGTATTTCTAAAAAATAATTTCTATTATTTTATTTTTCATTACTCTTGGAGCGTCTGACATTTAATTGATTTTTATATATATAAACAATTATTTATTTTAATACTAAAATCATTACATATTAAATCCTTTCAAATATATATAATCAATATCAATATCAAAACTATTATCGATTTCATTCATAATTAATTTATTATCTACTCTCCTCTATTTAGACTTTCTTAATCCATTTCTATTCAATTACAATACATTAATATTTATATTATCTCTATCAAAATTATTACTATTTACCACTCTTAGCAAATTTATTTATTTTTTAAATTATTACTTAATCTTAGATTCACTTCTCATTCAATCAAATTGATTGTTAAAACTATTTATGTTTATCAGATTATAACAACTTTATATTATCTATTAAAATAATCATATAATTGCAATTTATTAAAAATTTTAAAAATTTGTATAATTGTCTATAATTTAAGGTTGATTCAACAATACATTATAAGTCTTGTTGGATTTTTGCTAGTATATGACTTTATTGAAAACTCTTAATAAAATGTTTGAATTTTAATCTATATTTTTATAATTCTTTAACATACTCATTTAATTTATTGTTAAATTTGTGATCCATTTTGATAATCTATTTTCTTTTAGATTCTTAAGTTGATGAAAAAATATTGAAGAAATCTTAGAATAAATCTTAAATTATTGATATTTATAAATATATGAATAAGTCACTAAATAGTTATTGTTTTAGAAACATCATCTAGAAAATTTTATTTCATTATTTTTAAATTATTAAATTTTGCTTTCAATTTATCCTCAAAATCAAGAAACCTTTTTAATTATTTGCTATGAATTTCAAGTAATTTTTATTTATAATTTACAAAAATTAGATAAAAATCTTTATTTTATTGTATAGCCCTAATTACTTATTGATATAAATAATTTGTTGCGTTTAAAAGCTCTGATTTTTCTCTATTTAAAGTTACCCGTTAATGAATTTTCAATTTTTATTAAATTTCTAGAATTATTTGTTTTTTATTTTTAACCTCTTCTATATATTTTTCTTTAGTTTTTTGTATTTTATCTTGAATTTATTATTAAATTTTAGGTATATATTCATTGGTTCCCTCCAACAAATCTTCAAATAATGTCTCTAACACATCAAAATTATATAAATCATATTACCCTTCAAAAGATTCTATAAATTGTTAATATTATTTTATATTTAGATTGAAATTCTCTTATTCGGAAATAACTTGTTTATAAATATTAACTAAATTTTATTTTAATTCCGTTGCTGTTTTAAATAATAAAAAGATAAACTGGAGATATTCATTCGAATCATTTTCCAACTCTTAATAATCATTAACTTATTTTCCCTATTTAAGAAGATTTGATAAAATCCATAGAATTAAATAACTATAGGCCAGAGAAAATTACAATAAATCAGATGGCTTCTAAATTTTTTTTTTATTTACAACCCATTCTTTAATAAATTAATAAGTCTCTATTCCGAAATAAAATTTCAAAGTTTCTTTTTTACCTATTTAGTATTTCTTTCTATGCCCATCTACTAAGTTTTGAATTTGATTGCCTTAAAAACTTATTTATCTTTCTGTTAATATTTATTTCATGTTTAAATAATTGCATTTATGATCAACATTATAATAGGAGTTCTGAGGATTATCCATTTTATTTTTGATTCCATTCATTACTATATAACTTTGGCAATCAGTTTAATCCATAGTTATTTGCAGACTTATGTGTATTTATTTATTATTAATATTACAAGAAAAATAAGTACAAAAAGACATATATATTTAATAATTATATATGAAGGTACTTTTAATAAAATTAAATTGTATTAAAAAATAAATACTGAATAAGATTAATCAACTTGAATAAAATTTGATTTTGACTTTAATAAATATTAAGATATATAGTATTGATTTTTATATTGACTTGTAAATTTTCAATTTTGTTAATATTTATTTTGAGTTTTTATTAATTTTTTTAATATAAAAATGAAAGGAAGAAAACATTCATAAAGTGGGAAAGTGAGCGTAAGAATATAAAATAAATATAGGAAAGAAGCAGTCGAAGGTAATTGGAAAATGAATAATTGGTAAAGAAACCTGATATAAAATCAGCAACTTTAGGATAAATATTTTTAGGATGTACTCCTTAATTTGGTGGATTAGAGAACGGTAATTGAAATAAATAAAATATAGGGAAAATAACTAAGTTGTAATTTAGAAAATTTTTGATGACTGAGTAAATTTGTTTTGTTTTTAATTTAATGGGATTAGGTTTGAGCGTAATGTAATACGATTTAGAGTTTGATGAAGAAGATGAAGAAGTAATATGTAAATGAAAGTATTTAGATTTCAAATTGGTTATTATGGATTATATTTATCTCTACATTGGCTTTATTAGTTTTAACAGTATTACGTTATTAATAACATATGAATTGGTTGAAATCAAGAAAACAAATTAGTTAGAATGATCGAATTTGGCAAACAGATTCTTGGTATTCAATGCTTGTGGAATTATTAATTTATTGTGTTGTTCCTTATCCATTTACATCTGGAATAAGAGTTTACTTTTACAATAGTTTTTAAGATGCAACAGCTTATTACCATGTTAATGAAATTCTTGCTTTGATAATGATAACAAGAACAGTGTTTATATTCAGAACAATATTGGCATAGACGTTCTGGTACAGTAATAGAACATAAAGAGTATGTAATCTGTATGCATGTGAAGGTAATTATATGTTTGTGGCAAAATCTTTAATGAGAACTTCTCCTTATACTTCATAATTCATAGCTTTAGTTTCTTTAATTGGAATTTTCGGTTATGGAGTTAGAATTTGTGAGAATCCTTTAGCAAGAAATGATCCAGCAAATAATAATTTAGGTAGATATGCTAATGCTTTATGGAATATTATTATTACTATCACAACTGTTGGATATGGAGATTTCTATACAAGAACAGATTTAGGAAGATTTGTTATATTTGTTGTTTGTATTTTGGGAATATNTCAACTTGAATAAAATTTGATTTTGACTTTAATAAATATTAAGATATATAGTATTGATTTTTATATTGACTTGTAAATTTTCAATTTTGTTAATATTTATTTTGAGTTTTTATTAATTTTTTTAATATAAAAATGAAAGGAAGAAAACATTCATAAAGTGGGAAAGTGAGCGTAAGAATATAAAATAAATATAGGAAAGAAGCAGTCGAAGGTAATTGGAAAATGAATAATTGGTAAAGAAACCTGATATAAAATCAGCAACTTTAGGATAAATATTTTTAGGATGTACTCCTTAATTTGGTGGATTAGAGAACGGTAATTGAAATAAATAAAATATAGGGAAAATAACTAAGTTGTAATTTAGAAAATTTTTGATGACTGAGTAAATTTGTTTTGTTTTTAATTTAATGGGATTAGGTTTGAGCGTAATGTAATACGATTTAGAGTTTGATGAAGAAGATGAAGAAGTAATATGTAAATGAAAGTATTTAGATTTCAAATTGGTTATTATGGATTATATTTATCTCTACATTGGCTTTATTAGTTTTAACAGTATTACGTTATTAATAACATATGAATTGGTTGAAATCAAGAAAACAAATTAGTTAGAATGATCGAATTTGGCAAACAGATTCTTGGTATTCAATGCTTGTGGAATTATTAATTTATTGTGTTGTTCCTTATCCATTTACATCTGGAATAAGAGTTTACTTTTACAATAGTTTTTAAGATGCAACAGCTTATTACCATGTTAATGAAATTCTTGCTTTGATAATGATAACAAGAACAGTGTTTATATTCAGAACAATATTGGCATAGACGTTCTGGTACAGTAATAGAACATAAAGAGTATGTAATCTGTATGCATGTGAAGGTAATTATATGTTTGTGGCAAAATCTTTAATGAGAACTTCTCCTTATACTTCATAATTCATAGCTTTAGTTTCTTTAATTGGAATTTTCGGTTATGGAGTTAGAATTTGTGAGAATCCTTTAGCAAGAAATGATCCAGCAAATAATAATTTAGGTAGATATGCTAATGCTTTATGGAATATTATTATTACTATCACAACTGTTGGATATGGAGATTTCTATACAAGAACAGATTTAGGAAGATTTGTTATATTTGTTGTTTGTATTTTGGGAATATTTGTTATTTCAGTTATGGTTGTTACTCTTATTAATTCTTTGGTGATTTCAACTTTAGAATCTCATGCTATTACAGTCTTAGAAAGAATTTAATTAAGATAATCCTTAACTTAATCAGCTTCACAAGTAGTTCTCTATTCACTTAAAATTGCTGTTGCACTCAAGTAATAATTTCAACAATATTTATTAGAAAGGGAAATTTAACTAAAATCTAACTTAAATTACTCCTAATTAAACTTAGAAAGAATCTTAATGATTTCAAAATTTAAAGGAGATAATATAGAAATAAACAAGATGTTGGAAATATGAATGAAGAAATTACTAATTAATTTAGTCTCTTAAAGTCAGATTTTAGTGATGTTATTGAAAAATAAAAAGGCTTGCTCTTATAAAATTAAGACATCATGAATAAATTAGGAGTAGAAGCTAAACCTTATATATCAAGTCCCTAATTATGATCTATATATATAAAAAATTATTATTATTTCTATGTCAAATCAAATATATTCTTATAATATACAATTATATTATCAAATAAAACCTGATATATTTAGTTATGAAGAGAATAACAAAGTTAGAATCTACATTTTTATTCTTAGTTCCATTATCTATAGATTATAATTTATATGTTTGATTTATAAATAAATTGTTATTTGATGTCTGAAATTCAATTTTTAATAAATAATAGAATAAGGATATATAATTTAAATTCGATTTAATAAAATAAGATAAGAGTTGTGTGATAAATTGTTATCTATATATAATCAAAGAAAAGAACAAATGGTTAGAATATTCTGATAAAAAAGATTTTAGATATAAAAATTCTAATATATTTAATAGGTGACTAGATCTTCTATAAAATCTATTAAAAGCAATACTATAATTGTTTTATCATCTCTATTATTATGTTAAGAATTATAATATGATAACAAAAAAAATCAGAATATTTGGTGTTGTTTTTTTATAAAGAATAGATTGAAAAGAGAGAAAAATTGTGATATTTATATATATTATATATTGTAACAAAATTTTTGACAATGAAAGTATAAAAATCAGTAAACTTAAGTGGTAGTTGGTCTATCTAATTCTTTATACAATCCTTATTATTGTAGTCTGACTTCTTTGTTCTTGATGCTATTATATTTTAATTTCTAAAGATGTTAATATAAAGAGTTTACCTAATTTTCATTGATTAAGAGTGTTTCTGATCCAATGATACTTTCTCTAATTTCAACAGTTCCAATTTAATCAATCAATCTTTCATCTTTGGTAAATAATACAGTTGTTTTATTATTGCCCATCATTCCTCTAACAGTTTGAGTCAAAGTTGATAAATTCAAATAACCCTTAGAATATAGAAAAATAATTTACTTAATACATAATATTATCATCTATTGAAATTTCACATTCCTTAACACCTCTGACTGGTGTCTTGCTATAATTATAAAAGGATATGGCAGATATCTACTAAGGAGTATCAAATAATAAAATTAATTTATTGACTTAGTAACTAATTTGATCAAAAACACTCGAATTAATATTCGTTTTTAATCTATCTGTATATGAATTAACGAAAGGTGATAACCACATTTACTTAGCATCCAAAGTAATATTTATATTATTTAATAATTTATCAGGAGTTCTTACATCCATTTCCATTTAAGGTAATTCTTTTACTGAAAATGGTTTAGCTAATAATTTTGGATAGAGTTTTTCTCCTTTTGGATCAAATATTTCAATTCCATTTAATCCAATATAATGTAAATCTCCCCATGTTGATAATAATTTTATAACAATCTTTGTTCCTTATGGTAATTAAGTAGTTTCATAATCTTAATATTTATTTTTTTCAAATTAATTATTCACTATCACTGTATCAATTCTCTTTTAATAAGGTAATTCAATTAATTGGGGTTCATTAACATCACTCAATCCATGACCTTTCCTCAAATAGATACCTTACTAAGTATTCAAAATTTAATTATCTCCCTTTATATTAATCATCTATACTCCTTTCTCTAATTCATCTTCTTTGTTATAATTCCAAATTGCAACCCTACTTATTTGAGTTGGTTATATAAATACAAATTAGATCTTTATCTTTCCATTATTTAATTACCATCTTTCATCACTATTTACTACTGTCTCAGATTAAGATGTTATAACTTTATATTTCTTTATTTTCATTGATTATCCAAATTTATCATGTATATCAATCTTATCTAATCCAACAAATTTATCACCCCAATTTCTTATTATATACAACGTTAATACTTTTACAGTAACTGTTGCTAGAGTCTTAACATTTATTTAATTTTGAGAAGAAAATAATCTTTTTGAATGCTATTGTAATTTCTATTCAGACTCCTATTTAATTATTTAAGGAATTGAATCTGATTTTTAATGTTAAAACTCTTTATTCAATTAGGAATTTAGATTATTATTATTTGTGAATTTCTGAGCTGTTATTTCTCCTTTAGGTTTATTAAATGTTGCTGTATCTGGTCTACTCAATTTAACAGTGTTTTCTAAAATATGCTTTTATTATTGTATCTAACTTTCATGTAATTTATTTAGCCAATCTTATTCTTAGATTTTTTCCATAATTTCAGTATTATTAGTAAACATTATATATTCAGCATTATCTATTCCACATGTACCATTAGCTTATTTGATTTCTCCACTGAATATTGAATCTGTATCTAAGATTATTTCAATATTACGAACACATTTAGCTCTATATGTTCTACCTTTATTGTAATTCCAAATTCTAATCATTGATAATTTAGTTTCATTGAATTTAATTGTTATTTCCATATTTTTATCAATTCTTTCAATACACATATTTTTATCATCTTAAGTTAAATAATTATCATCAAATAAGACAGCAGAATTTTTAAAAAAGCCAGAAACAAAATTAACTTTAACTTTATTTCCTTTAAAATCAAATATTTCGATTCCAGTTAATCCAATAGAATAGAGGTCTCCCCAATTTTTTAATAATTTGATTATTAATTTGGATCCAAAAGGACACTCTGGAATAGAAATATTCTTAGTTCTTGTAGATGATGTAGTTCCTGCAGCAATATGAGCAACTCCTCTTTTAAAATTAAGAGGTGGACTAGTTGAATCTTCTTCAGTTACTTATTTTTAAGAGAATAAATTAATTGATTTTTTGAAGAATCTTTATTGATGAATAGTTTATTTGGTTTTAACGGATGATGGTTCTTACTTCTATTCAATTTTTTTAAATTTCTTATCATTTTCAAAAGGATCAAAAATTAATTTAGGTTTAGCATGTTTTTATTGACTTGAGGCCTTGGATAAATTAATTCTAGATAGAGAGAATACTTTTACTCTTTATTTTCATCAGATTTTTTGGAATTAATAGATTATGAGGATTGATTAAATGGTTATGTAGAATCATTTTAATTTTTGATACGAGTTTCATTGGTATGATTAATAATAGGTTGAGGATGATATTATTGTAATTGAATAGTTTAAGCATATTCAGAGAATGTATTTGCAACTCCTCTTGCAATTTAACCTGACCATAAAACTTATTCATTCTATAAGATTTCTAATTCACAAACACATTTATCTAATTCTTTTCTATTTTTATTAAAATTCCAGATTTTGAGAGATGTAAGAAATTCTGATTCATCTTGAAGTAGATAACAAACAGTGATAGTAATAGGGAATGATTTAAAATTAGTAATCCACATTTATTCAGGTGAGATGGTAAGATTGTGTCCATTGATGAGATTGTTAATAGTATAATGAGAATCATCATCAGAATAAATGCAATTGATTTTGACATATTTTCTGTTATTGTTAAACAATTCAATACTAGTTAAACCAACTTGAGTTTGATTGCCATAATTGGAATGTATTTTAAGATGTATTCTTTTACTTTGAAAGAAGGAGATCAGTTCTTCATGTTTAGGTTATCCATTTTCAATTGATGCAAGAATTTGAAGTACCAATTCTTATTCATAGAGTGGAAGCTTTTGTATTCTATAAGGTTCTTGTTAGTATGAAAAAAGATTACCTTGTTTCTAGATTATTTAAAATTTATCTCTCTACGTTAGATGTTGGAATTGTTTTTTGTTGAGGGATGTAAGTTCTAGGTTTGATGAGAGGTTTCTAGGAGATATATGAGAGAATTGTTACATGTAGTTTCTCTCCATCTCTAATTGATCTATTGAGAATGGCTGCTTGTTTAGAATCTAAAGATTTCATGAATGAAAGTATAGTTAAGTCAGGATTGATATCTTATTAAAGTATGGGAGGTTTAGTAATGGTTCTGGCAGTAGTAGATACCTATTGAATAGGTTTAGAACTATAATGACGTGGAGTAGCCTATTTTTCGAGAGGCAGTCTTTAAACACTCATATTTTATTATTTATTAACTAGGTATAATGATTTTTAGATTAGCAAATTTTAATTAATGGGTGAGATTGTGTCTAATTAGCTATTCGTAGCTGGATATAGTCGTAGTAAGGTGACTGATGAAAGAGATGTTAGAGAAATCTTTAGAAAGTATGGGTCACTCAAAGAAGTGGTATACAAGGGTTCTTACTCTTTTATTGTAAACTCGTTTGAATTTAAGTTCACAAGACTTTTAGTACTGAAAACGAAGCTAAAGAAGCACTTGCAGAGATGAATGGCACCACCCATAATGGATAGAAATTAAAAGTAGATGTCGTTGACAATCGTAAAGGAAGGAAAACTGGACCAAATGATAGTGACGAATGTTTTAAATGTGGAAAAGGCGGACATTGGTAATCTATTCTCTTATTTTTTTTTAGGGCTAGAGATTGTCCTAAAGGAAGATCACCTCGTAGAAGTAGAAGATACTCTAATTCTAGATCAAGGTTACAACTATACATCTTTATATTTTAGACATCATAGAAGAAGATCTGATTCGAGATCACGTTCATCTTATTCATCTTCTCGCTCCAGAAGAAGAAATAGAGATCATCGCAATAGACGTAGATATAGCAACAGTCCTAAAAGAGGGGAAGATTAAAAAAAGCCTAATTACAATAAACGTAGATCACCTTCTGACTCTTAACATCATTCCACATCTTGAATAACCATCGCCAAAAACAAAAACAAATTTTATTATTCAACATTATTCTAATTTTTATTATTATTTCTCTCTTTTTCCTAAATTTAAAATATTCCCTGAACATATATTATAATAATCATTCATCAAATTTTGCTCACTATATATTATTATCTTAATTCATTTACTTTCTTATGCACCCATTCTTGAAATCTATGATAATTCTTCGCTCACTTCTAAAAAGTGTGAAAACGCAAATGGAGCTAATAAAAATATCAATCCTTATCATTTTATCACTATTTTATACCTGTTGTTCCAACCCATAATAACTTTCTTGATTATCTATAAAGATATCTTGGATTCAACCACCCTGTTTAGAAAAATCTTATTAACTTTCCCCAAAATCCTTTTGCAGGCTTTTATTAGTTTTAGCTTTAAGAAGTACTTGATCTATTTCCAACACCATATCTACCTTAAATCATTAAAATATTTAATTATTTATTGCCTTAATTAACTTTTATTAACCTTGTATTATTTAAAAAAATAATTATTTTTTTTTATAAAAAACTCCGAAAAGGCGGATTTGAACCACCGACCTGGGGATAACTGGATAACACTACAGTCCCTCGCTCTACCAACTGAGCTATTTTCGGATGATAACCTTTCCATCAATCATCTCTTTTTATATACATCTTACTATTCATTTTTAATTAAATATTAATAATTATAAATTATTGATTATTTATATTATCAAACATAATCACTATTGTTTAAAAGCATCATGACAGTTTTATAAATTCTTAAATGAAATCTCGAATACTGAATTCTATGAGTTTTCTGTATTTTGAATTAAATCAGATTCTTTTATTAAATCGATCAATGATTAATCATTATGATTGTACTATTAAAATGATTGACTACTTTTCGTTCTTGTATGTTATGGAGTTATTGAACTACTAATCAATACTTTAAATATCTATAATAAATTTATCTCAATTCTATACTTTAATACATTCAATGTTTTCTTCACCAAGTATTTCACTTACTAACTCTTTCTCTTAATCTAACATCTTCATTGGATTGTTTGATGATTCAAGTAATACCTTCATTTGTTAGAATTTCTCTTCTCCAATCTTCCTTTTAAGAAAATCAGTCAGTAAAATGGATCTTTATGGAGATGTGGGTGCGTTAGGATTTAAGAATTAACCAGCAAATGAAAAGGTTTTAGGATTCTTAAGGAGAGTTGGCTGATTTTCATTTTCATATTCATTCATACCTCTTTTGGTGGCGTCATCAATTTAAGTACAAATTGATATGGATTTCTAATATCTTAATTATCTTTAAGCCATAACAGCTGAATTTTATTATATTGATTCAGTAATGACATCTGGAAGAGTATGTAGATTAAATGATAATGGTTTATTTTTATTAGCATTATCAGCAGTAGCTAGTTATTTGAATGTAGGTGAATTTTAATTTGAAGTATCTTGAATTAATTATTACAAAGAGACTTTTCTTCTTTTTGATTTGCTTACCTATGGCGATTGTTAAGGCTGTTATTATTATTATTGTTGTAATTATTTAGATTATTCTACTAAAAAATGAATAGAATTTTTGTGCATTTTTCTTGATGAAGATTTATTAGATTACATTGATTGAACAGGTAATACATAATTAAATTATGTTTTGTATAGTCCTTATAGCTTATATAGTTCAGATTGAATTTATGGATATTAGATAATAGTTTAAATATCAGGTCGCTTTTCAGGATTCTTTTCTAACATATCATCTATTAATTGTGATATAAAATCAGAATAATTTCTTTAGATTTTAGGATGTGGTTCATTGATGATCTTAAAAGCAATTTCACTAATAGATTCACCTTTGAATGGTTTTTGTAATGAACATAATTCATATAGAGTGCATCCAAGCATCCAGATATCAATTTTATGATTATATTATTGATTCTGACAGATTTCAGGAGAGAGATAGAAAGGAGTTCCTTAGATATAAAAAGAGTATAATACCAATAGATGTTTAAGCAAGATCTAAGGTATTATCTAAAGTTCTAGATATTCCAAAATCTCCCAATTTGACCTTGAAATTTAATAAGGAATGTTACAATTCCATTAGTGCAAAGGAAAATGTTTTGTAGTTTGATGTCTCTATGAATTATCTTCAACTGATGGAGATATTGTATAGCAATGGATATCTAGGAAAACCATCCAAGAATCTATAATATTGCATAAATCAAATACTAAACTGTATTTTCATCAATATATGTTTATGTTTGTTTAGCTTGGTTGGTCATGATACTTAAATCAGCTACAAGAATTGGATGATAATTGAATACCATTTTCAGCATATTCCATTACAATACATAATTTATTATTATGAGTAAAGGAATCATAATGCGAAATAATATTTGGATGATCCAAACTACGTAATAATTTAACTTCATTTAGTGGATCAACTACATAACTCTCTTTAAAACTTAAATCTACTCTCTTTATAGCAAATAACTGAAAGTATAACAATTAACTGTACCTTATCATCAGATTTTCTCTACACCAACAAAACATCTCCATAATTGCCTTTTCCAATTTTCTTGATTCTTTTAAATTGATCCATCGATACTCAAAAATTCGTTAATTATAATAATTATTCAATTTCCCACAAAATTTATATTTAACATAAATCCCAAATTTATAGATTATGTAGATTTCAAAATAAAAATTGTCAACCGAACTATTATCTGCAAACCGGACAACTAGTAGATACCTTTTTTATTTTAATAATAAATACATTGAACCAATTCCTAACACAACTCTCATGAAATTAATGCTTTCCACTACAAGGAAGTTCAAGAACACTCTCATTTTGTGCATACTCTTGCATACAAATGCAACAAACTTTATCTTCCTTCATCCAAGGATCATCCAATCCTTAATATTTATGAGCAGGAATCGAATCCAAGTATTATTTCAATCGGCGAATCAAATATAATTATTTACTCTTTCTGTATATTTATAAACAGCATAACAATCTATATATTTATTCAATTTTTCTACGGAAATGCAATCACAAGAACCAACACCAAACAATACAAAAATATAAACTCCAAAAACATCGATAAAACCATTATGAATACTACATTTAGTAAATTTGCATCACACCCAACCTAAAAGTATTACAACAGGTTAAAATTAAATGGAAAATCTAACATGAAGATAAAAAATTTTATTATTATCACTTATGCCATAATGTTCAAACATTTCCATTCTCTCTATTTAAATATTATTACCAATTACATTCAATTCTGGACATTAAAAATTTATTAATTTCTTTACAGTTGTCATCAGTTTGTTCAATGATGATCTATCTGGGATCTATTCTAAATTCATTCCTTATTATTCTAATGATTATTGAATTATATTCAATTTATCAATGTTTTCCAACTCCATCTTATACTTGAACTGATGGCATAACTGAAAAACACAGTACAATATTAATGTTGTTGCTATCGAATGAGATTCTGAAATCTCACATTATAAAGCCTCTCCCAAAAATATTAATGTTATCACCATTTTCATTAATGTAAAATAAATGTAAATCTAAAGACCCCTCGATATTTAGCTAAACACTTCTTTCAAAACAGAAGGGTAATTTTCATATCTTTCCTGAGATTGAGGAATTAATAAATATTTAATATTTTCCAACATTTTATATATAATTAACAATCATATATATTATTCATCCTTTTACTCAATAAATTATGACCGATTAGTTAATTGCTTTGATGCTATCACTCAAATCTAGAATGAGAAATTCCCCTTATTATCAAGACTCTAACTAAAATAATAATATTATATATTCCTGTTATTTATTAAATTTTTTTAAATTATATAATTTATTTCATCTTTCTTAATATATGTTAAATGAATTTTTTATAAATCAACTTAATTAATTTATAAATTTTTATATTATTTTTAATCTTAATGAATTAACTTAAAACTAGGATTATTTTTAGCTATTTCATTGATTTTATCTATGATTCTGTTATGACAATAGGACAAGATTAAACTAAATTAGAAAAACTTAAATTTCTTAAATAAAATTAAGATTTTTATAAATACTGTACTGTCTCTATAATAAATTAATGAGATAGAATTAAATAGTTAAATTATGTAGAGATTTGTATTAGAATAAGATAATGATTGAAAAACAAAATAAAATAAATAAATAGGTTTGTAAAATTCTATAGTTTATAAGAATAAGAATAATTTCAGGGATGAGAATTAATATAAAAACTTTGAGTTATCGTTATGTGACAACTATTAAAAAAAGTTAAAATGATTTTGAATAAATATTAAAAGGATAGAAAAGTATGTAAATATAATAGTAAGATTATGGAATTAGAGAGATGAAAAAGAACTATTTAAAAATGAGAGTATTTATTGAAAGATGTAAACAAAAAGTGAGGGATAGTGGGATTGAATAAAATTGAAAGGAATAAAATAATTATAAATATTGGTGTACTGATTATTTCTAAAATATAAATAATTTAAAAATGTAGGAGTAAATATTTAAGATAGTGATTATAGGGAATAGTGCAGTAGGAAAATCATCTTTATTGATTCGATATTGTGATGATACTTTTAAAGATATTTATTTAAGCACAATAGGAGTGGATTTTAGATTTAAAACAATAAAGTTAGATGGATTAGGTGTAAAGTTGTAAATTTGGGATACTGCAGGTTAGGAGAGATTTAGAAATATTACAAATTCATATTATAAAGGTATAAAAGTGTTAGTTAATATGTAGGTGCCTAGGGTATAGTAATAGTATATGATGTGACAAATGCGAAATCATTTGAAGATGTGACAAAATTTTGGATGATGGAATTATCTCATTATGCAGATTAGAATGTGAAGTTGATGTTGTTGGGGAATAAGATAGATTTAGCAACAGAAGAGACAAGATAAGTAAGTTAAGAGATGGCAGAATAATTAGCAAAAGAACACAATATGTAACATCATGTTGTAAGTGCAAAGACAGCTGAAGAAGTATAAAATAGTAATAATAATTTAAAGGTTGAGAATGCATTTATAAGTTTGGCTAGGTCTATTTATAATGAGAAATCTTTAAGAGAGATGGTACATCCTTAATAATAATAATTGAATAATAAAAAAAATAAAGATGAAAAGTAGAAAACATGTTGTTGATTTATGTTTATTTCGTTTTTGTTTTAAAGATATTAATTTAATTAATGTCATATACATCAAGATATTCATCAGCAAGACCATAGACTGTAAAGAGTACGATAGAAACAAAGACAACAACTACTCCAGCTGTTTAAGTTACTAAGCAGACAGAGTAATCACCTTAACCTGTTTAAAGATCTGATGTTAGAAGATCAAGTTAACTTAGAGCAAGTGGATAATAAGCAACAGTTATTAATGTGTATATCTATATATAATATAATTAATATAGACCACCTCCTACAACTGAAAGAAAGTGGTTAGGTAAGAATCCAGAAGTTGTTTGCTTTTTATTAGCTTTAGAAAATGATAGATTAATGAAAGAGAGTAATTCTTAAATCAATCGAATTAAAGAATTAGAAAGTGTTAATGAATAATAAGAAATCAGAATTAGAGAATTATAAACTAAGATTGAATCACAAACTACAGAAATATCTAATTATAAGTTAATATATATTTATATATAATTATTAGATCTGAAATCGAAAAACATCTTATTAGAATTAGACAATTAGAATCTGAATTGAATGAATATAAATCTAAATTAGGAAATGTTGATCAAAGTCTTGCTGGTAGATTGAAAGAGGCAGAAAGGAAATTATAAGACAGTGAAAAAGAATTGACTAATTGGAAAAATAAATATAATACAGATAAAACTAATTGGGATAATGAAATTAAAAGACTTAATGACTTACTTACTTAAAAACAAAAAGAATTAGATGATTATAAAAATAATTAAGGTAAAAATTATGAACAATTATAATTATAACTAAGATAATATGAAACTAAAATTAGAGAATATGAAAGTTAAATTAATACTTATAAAATTGATATTGATCGTTTGAATAAATTATTACTAGAAAGAAATTCTGAAATTGATAGATTAAAGAATGAACTTAAAACTAGATTGGCAGAATTAGATGATTGGAGAAGTAAATTTACAAATCTCTAAAATTAATTTAATACTATGAAATCTTAATATGAATCTAAAATTAATGAATTAACCAATACACTTTAAAATAGAGACAGAGATTTAAATGATTGGAAAAATAAATATGCTAAATTAGAAGGATAATTTAATAATCTTGGAAGTCTTCAATCAGGAAGTGAATCTAAAATTACTGATTTATAAAATAGATTATCATTATTATAATCAGATTTTGATAGATTATAAGCTTAATTAAGAGATAGAGATGCATAAATATAAGCATTAAAGGAGAAACTTTAGAGATTAGAATAAGATAACTTTACTTTAACTAATTAATTACAAGATTTATAATCGAGATATAATAATCTAGTAAAGGAAAATGAGAAATTGTAAAATGAATTAAGAAATAAAAAGAATGAATTAGATTTTATGAAATAATAATTACAATAAGCTAATGATTAACTTAAAAGATATGAAGATTAAATCAATTAATTAAATGATTAAATTATGGAATGTAGAGATTTAATAATGTCTCTATAAAATGCTAAGGAGATGTTAGAAAGATAAGTTTAAGATTTATATGGTAAGTCAAATGATAATGTTGGAGAATTGAGAAGTGCAAATGATTAATTGGAAGGAAAGGATAAAGATATTGCTGATCTTAGAGATTAATTAAATTAATTCTAAGTAGATAGATAAATTATGGAATCTATGATTAGTACATTAAATAATCAATTAGCTAATAAAAATGATGAAATATAAAGATTATTGGCTTAAAATAAATTAAGATTATAATAATTATTAGAATTATAAAGTAGATATGCTTAATTAGATTATCTTCTTAGTGATCTTAAAGGAGTTGAATTATAAAATAAATAGCTTATAGCTAGAATTAATGAATTAACTTAGTTAGTTGATGATCTTAAGAGAAAACTTGCATAATAAGAATTTTAATTATTATAATCTAAATCAAATGAATTTAAGATTTAAGAATTAGAAAATATTATAAAAGAGTTAGCAAAAGAAATTTAAAGATTAAATGAATTTTTGAATTAAAAATTATCTGAAAATGATAAATTGAACATGTAAATTATTTCAATGGAAAATGAAATTAATAAACTCAAAAATTTAGAACCTGTTTTAAGAGAATTGGAAAAGAAACTATAAACACATTTAGATGATATTGCTAGATTGAAATAATTATTAGATTCAAGAACAAATGAATTAAATGAATGGAGATTGAAATATTCAAAACTTGAACCAGTTGTAGATGAAAAAAGATAATTAGAAGAAAAGAATAGATTATTAGAAAATAGACTTTAAGGATAATAATAGGATATTGAAAGATTAACTAAATAGTTGAGATAGAAATAATTAGATATTGATTAATTGAATTGGATATTAAATTAGACAGAAGGTTTATTAAGAAATAGAGATGATAACATAAATTCTCTTGAGACAAGATTAAATAATCTTTAAAGATCTTATGATAATGAGAGATAGAAAACTTTGAATTTTGAATAGATTCAAAGTTAATTATAATAAGCATTAGATAAGATTAATTAATTAGAAACTTAAATTAAAGGATTGTAAAATGATTTAAATAGAGCAAAGAAGGAAGTAAGTTTTCAATAAAATGAAAATGATTAGATGAGATAATAGATTGTAAAATAAGAAATGACAATTTTAGATTTGAAATAGAATGAAGCTAGATATAAGGAAGTTGAGAATAGATTGAATTAAAGTTAAAAGGAGGTTGAAAAGTTAACAAGATAATTAAGTGATAAATTATAAGCATATGAGGAATTAAAATAAAATAATGGATTGTTGGATACAAAATACAAGAATTTATAATAATAATATTAAGAATTATTATAGAGATTAAATTAATTAGAATAAATAAATAATTAATATTAAATATTGAAAGCTAAGAATTTGGAATTAGAAAATAATAATAAATAATATAAATTGGATTAAGATAGATTAAATTCTACTTTGAATCAGAAACTATAAGAATTAAATGAATTGTAAAATTTACTTCCATAATTGGAAGATTAGATCCATAGATTGACTCCATTTGAAGAGAAGGTATAAATAATAAAAATGTAATATAGTATGCAATAGTAGAACCAAAATATGAATAGGAATTGAATAGAAGTGATGAATTATAAAAGAAATTAAGGGAGTAAGAAGAGAAATTAAGAGATTTAGAGAAGATGAATAAGATGTAAGTGTTTATATATATATATTAAAATATAGAGTATAGGATCAAACAGTGATGTTGACAGTATTATTTGGAGAATGTGAAGGGTTGAGATAGTAATGTATAGATAAAGATGGAGAGATTTAAGATCTTAGATTTAATGTAGCCTAATTATCAGATTAGTGATATATGATAGTAATATAATAAAAAATAATAAATAGTATTGAACTAAATATTAAATTAACAATTATTAATACTAGTTTAATTTAAATTCAAATATAAAATATGGCATAGAATGAGAATGAGATTTACAGAAGAATTAAATTATTAGGAGAAGGTTCTTTTGGCAAGGCATATTTAGTAGAATGTATTTAAGATGGAACTCTTTGTGTAATTAAATAAGTAGATTTAAATTAAATGAAAGAAGATGAAAGAAGAGAAACAATTAAAGAAGCAAGAATATTAGAAGCTTTAAGACATCCTAATATAGTTAAATTTAGAGAAGTCTATAAAACAAAGAAAGGTAGGTTATGTATAGTAATGGATTATGCTGATGGTGGTGATCTTAGTAATAAAATAAAATAGACAGGATCATGTATGTTTAGTGAAGTATAGATTCTAGATTGGTTCACATAAATATGTTTAGCAATTAAACATGTTCATGATAGAAAAATCATACATAGAGATTTAAAAACATAAAATATATTTCTTACATAAGATGGTATTATTAAATTAGGTGATTTTGGAATTGCTAGAGTATTAAATCATACTAGAGAAAAATGTAAAACTATAGTAGGAACACCTTATTATTTATCACCTGAAATTATTGAAAGTAGAGATTATTCATTTAAAACTGATATCTGGTCTTTAGGTATTATACTCTATGAATTATGTGCACTTAAACCTCCATTTAATGCAGAATCATTACATGGTTTAGCTCTTAAAATTGTTAGAGGTCAATATAATCCTATTCCAGATAAATTCTCAACCAATATGAGATAATTAATATCATCTTTACTTTAAGTTGATCCTAATAGAAGACCTAATATTCATGAAGTCTTAAAAATGTATATTTTATTATTTATTTATCTATTTAGGCCTATTATTGTTAACAGAATTAGAAGTGTCTTATCAGAAAGTATAAGAAATGTTGAATTCTCACATACTATTTTACATAAACAAAATTTTGTTAATCATAATCTCATTGTTCCATATGATACTGAATTAAGAGGTGTATATTCATAACCAAATCTTGGAAAAATTTAATAATAATAATAACCAACACAATAATATTAATAGTAATAATAATAACCTAGTAATTACTTATTAGCATTTAATGCTAGAGGATAACCATAAAATAATCTATTAAAACAAAAATAATTATATTAATAACATTTACCAACTGTAAATATTTTTATTTATTTATTTAGAATTTTGATTATATATCTAAACCTGCTTAATAAAATTATAATCCATATATGAATTATCAAAAATATTAATACAATAAATAATAATAATAATAATAATAATAAATATAACCATTATAAGTTAATAATAGACCTAATATTTCACCATTAAATCCATAAAGAAATGATAAATCACCATATTATGATGATAGATCACCATTAAGTAAATCACCTTTTAATAAAGATATTAGAGATAAATCTCCTTTTGAAATATAAAGAGAATAAGTAAGATAATAAATAAAGAGAAATGAAGAAAAGTTTTAATAATTATAAGAAAATAAATAAAAATACTTATAACCAGATAAGTATGAATTACCTAAATTATCTAGAGAACCATATTCATAACCATAAATTTAATATAAATATTAAAAATAATAATCTGATCCAGTATCAGTAGTAAAAGAAGCAATTAAATTAGAACCAATTAATAATAATTAATAATAATAAAAATAGGATTTACAATAAAGAATAGAATAATAACTATAATAATAATAATAATAATAATAATAATAATAATAATAATAATAATAATAATAATAATAATAAAATCCTTATACTTAAAGAGATTAAAAAGAATAAAGAGATAGTGTTTACCAAGCACCATAAACAGAAAGAATTCAAGTAGCATAATATATTTCATAACCTCCTCCTTCTTAATCATAATAATAATTAGATTCAATATAAAAAACAGAATCAGTTAAACCAAGCAAATAATAATTAAAAGAAAGTCAATTAATCTTATAAGAAATAAGAGAAATAAAAAATGATAATAAAGATGAAAGAGAGAAAATGAAATAACTAATGGAAATAAGAAGACAAAGAAATAGTAATACATAATCAGAAATCTAAGAAGTAATAAAGGAAACATCTAAGAATTCAGATGAATAAGAAAATGAAGCATCATAATTATTAGCAGAATTAGAAGATATAGTTATAGCTGCAGAAGGTGGTGATGTTAAACACTCTTAAGTTATTAATGTAGGTGATGGTGATTTAATTAATATGTAATAGTCAGTAAGAGAAAGTGTTGATAGAGAAGATGATGATAGTCTAGAATAAAAATCTAATGCATCTAATGAAAATGCAGAAAGAGAAAACTTTTAAGATGATGAAGACATTGTTTGTGAAACACCTAAAGAATTACTTTATCAAATACTCTTAAGATAAATTGGATAAGAATAGTTGAATAAAGCATTAAATAAAATTTAAAATGCTTATTCCTAAGATTACATCAATCTAATCTAAAATGGTTTTGATGAATTATCCTAATATAAAGCACTTATATTCATGTATGAATGCATGTGATTTTATATTTAATCATATTTTATATTTACATTATCATATATTCATTTAATACTTATTACATTTACTACTATTTACTTAATTATTTATTATTATTATTCTACGACACTTTACAATTATTTTACTTCTCCATCTTATTTAGAATATTATATTTCAAATTCTTCTAATTCCTAAGCTTATATGAATTGTTATTTTCACTGTTTATGGTTCCTCATTTTAATCCTTAAAAAATGTGTAGATATAAAAATGATCAACTCTATAAAGAAATTATCAATTTAATTGATCTATTTTCTACATTTTTCATTGATTTTTTGATATCTGGTAAAGAATAATATCCTTTCTTTTTTTATATAGGTCTATAAATTTTATAAAATTTCTAATGATAGTGTCTAATAATTATTATTATTTTCATCTCTAATAAATTCGCTTTTTCCAAAATAAGCAGCTTTGTCATTTTTAAAGACTTACTACTTAAATCGAACTATTTTTGGAAAAATTTAATCTTTGTAATTAATTTTTTATTGATTAGGAATTAATTTTGTAATTATGGTTTGTTTTATTAAAAAATATTGATAGATAATAATTATAAGGATGATTAGGTTGAACTAAAACATTGTTTAGTTTTTCGATTATCAGTTCTAGAAGTTGAATAGTATTAAAAATATTTTATTAATTTTAAGATTGATTGTTGGATTCCCAAATATTTTAGGATTTTTTAGAATAGAAAATTATGTTATATTGATAGCTAAGATAAAGATTGAAATATACATTACTTTAGATTAAACTTATTAGATAGTAAAGCATTTTGAATAATATAGAAATATGATAATCATCAATTTATTATGATCGCATCAAATAATAATCTTCTAATCTGATCATTAATATTTTCTAGAGTAGTAAATTAAGAATAAATTTTTTTTCATATTATTATTAAAATATAGATAAAACATTTTGATCTTTAAATTTTTTGAGATTTAGCTTATATGATCCTAAGACATCAAATTTTCTTGAATTTCTTTAAATGAGTAAAAAAAATTACTGAGATATATTGGAATTGACATTTCTTTAAAAAAAGCGTGTTTGACATAATTTTGTTTTAAAAATATTTATTTTTATATTGTTAATTATATATGATTTAAGTAAAATAGTTAACAAAAATATTATAAAGATAAATTCTAGAATTATTTATTATAATTAAATGTTAAATCAATATGAGGATTAGGATAAATTCTCATCTAAGGAAGATTTTCTTTTTCTTCCTTTCTTATTGATATCATTAATATTTAATTTTTTGAAATTTTCTTCTTTTCTCTTTTATTTAATGAGTTCATTTTTTTTCTTTTTATCTTATTTGATAGCTTAAAAACTGGATTCAAAATTTTTGATTTCCAACTTATTGTTTTTTTTATAGGTATGAATTTTATTTTAAGTTTCATCAAAAGAGACCTTTCTCTACAAGCCATCACTTGCAATAGAATTAGATCTCTTTCTTAAACTAGATGTTATAGAAATTTCATCAAAGTCTTTTTAACTTTGAGTAGTTCGTAATTTAAGTGATTCGCCCATGTCAGCACAAGAATCTCCTTTGCTTAATGTAAATTGTTCGTCCATTTAAGCAGCTTCCTTTCTTGGTCGCATGGGCGAATCTATATCTTGACTTTGTTCTTATATTATATCTGATTAAGGCTGCGAAGGAATCTTTCTTCTAGTATATAAATGTTAAATAACAACCAATATCAAAGATATTAATATCCATGACATTGTTTATATTGTTAATCTAATGTTTATAGTACCTTCACTCATATCCAATTTTGAACTAAATCTAAATAATTCATCATTATATAATACAATAACGATAACAGGACTCCTATTGTCAAAATTACAGAATGCTATTTTTACATTTGATTTTATTATTAATATCAAATTATTAATATATGAGTAGATTAACATTTATTGTTTAAAAAGTATATATATATATATCATTTGATATCAAATCTAAAGAATTAATATTTTCTATAATCATTTACTCATTATTTTTATGATTTAAATAAATGCATATAATTAATTATTTTTAGAATGTTAATTAATTATTTAACTGAAATTAAGTTAAAACATACTCCTCAAGAAAACAAGCATTATTTTTGAATTCACAATATTAATTTCATGAAATTTATAATATTAGAAATAATTATAAGAAACGTCTATTTTTAATATTAGCATCTCTTAATTAAATGATCAACGACATAAATTATATATTATACTATTAGAAGTTACTCTCTATCAAATTATAAAAACAATAATGCAATTTTATTTAGATAATTAATAGTTTAATTCTATCAATTAAATTTAATCATAATATAGATGCTCTTTCTAATAGAATTAAATATTCAATGATCAAAACTATTTATTCATACTCAATATATATCAATTTGATATAAACTAGTTTTTAAATAATAATAAGTTGAATTAATATTGTATTTATATTAAAGTTATTTATAAAAAAAACTATTAAACTATATTTAAATAGACTAAAAATATCATCATATATATAATATAATCTTTTATTGAAAACTACCATAATAATAAATTAATATAATCAACTAAGCCAATCATCATTGTTATTCAATTGAGATTCTTGCTTATACTATTATGTTTGGAGATGTCTTAATTATAAAATATTTTACTTATTTTCTTCTTATAATTTTTAAATCATTTAATTTTGTATTTATACTTATTTCTACAATTCCAAAATCTCATTCTATTTTTTTTATTATATCAATTTATCAATAGCTTCCTATTCATCATCAGATCCAACACTATTCTCATCTAATATATCACCAAATTAATCAAAATTTATTTAATTTTGACTTCTTTTTGATCTATTACTAATCACAGATTTATTCATTTATTTTTCTTTTTCATCATAAAATTTTTGTATATCTTCTTTTAATTATTAAATAATTTATTCTTTTCTTTCTAATTCCTAGAATTAATTTTAATTTTAATTTTTTAATTCATCAATAATATTTTTTTAATCATTTAATTAGTTAGTCATATTTTCAATCTCTTAATTTACTTTTTCTTATTTATATTCTTAATTATTTTATAACTATATTTCTAATTACTTTATCTTTTTATTATTTTCTTCAAGTATTTTGTGTAATTATAATTTTTCCATAAATGTCTATTCTTCATCAAATGATTCTGCTGATATTTCATTTTCATCAATATCTGCAAACTATTCAAATTGAACAATATTTTAACTTTTCTTAGAACGATTACTAATAATAGACTTATTCATTCTTTATTCAACTTATAATTGTATATTTTTTAACTCCTCTTATAAATTCAATATCTCTTAATCTTTTTAAGATATCAATCCCCTTAATATCTATTCTTCACTCGATTATTTAATTGTTCCTAACATTCTTATTTTACTCTCTTTATCTTATACATCTAATTATAACTCTTCTACTTAATTTTATAAACTTTCAATAAGCTTTTATTAATTAGAAATCTTTTATTAATAATGATCAATATCAATTTTTTGTTACTCTAAAATTGACTATTCTTATTTTAAAGTATATATCTAATTTTCTAATTCATTTATTTTATCAATAGCTTCATCCAAACTATTTTCTATCTATTATTTTTATTACATTATCTCATCAATCATTATATCTTTTTCTTCTAAATTTTCATTACATTATTTTAATTATTACTACAATAAATTAATTTACTCTTCTTATTAATTTGTTTCAGGTAATTATATTGTTTCTATTAATTGAGTTCTTGGAGATTATTAAACATCAAATAAATCTTGCAAATCTTAATTTGGCTAAGAACTCTTATTTTCAGAAATACTTGATAATTACTTCATTAATTATTAAGATTTTTATTGTTCTTCTTGTAATTATTATTATATTGTTTCTAATTTTTTTAAAGATAATTATAATTTTTCATTAAGTTAATTTTGATAATTATCATTCTCCATTCTTTCATTTTCATATTAACTTAATTTTAATTAATATTATTCTATTTACTCAATAAAGGCATTCTATTATAACTACCACTTTTCTTATTATTCTTTGCTTTCTTACTCTAAATGCCTTGTTTAATTTTAATATTCTTTTATAAGTTAAACAAATCCATTTTATTAATCAACTTATTAATTTACTTTCTATTCTGTCTTCTCCTTCTCAATATTATTAAGTTATTAAGATAATACTTATATTTATTATTTACATTAAGATATTTAAATGTCCTTTTACTTTGAATCAATTTAATATTTTTTTATCTCTTCACCCATCTATTAATTTTTATCAATTTCCTCTTGTAATTATTATTCCAATTCTGATACCTTCATTCCTAATTTCTCATTTTAATTTTGACTATTCTTTAAATTCTATTCACATTCTATCAATCTTTTGGAAACCATGTTTTATTAGTTTTACCATTCAATAACTTATTTCTCTTATTAATTTACATTATTTTAAATTACATCCTCCATTTATTTTAATAATTCTTAATTCTATATTTATTGTTTATCTAATTATTGTTCCATTTAAACTTTTTATTATTGTTATAATGCAATATCATTTTATAGATTTTAAATTTAGGTTTTAAGATATTATTGGTTTACTTATTCTGATTATATTTGTAATTAAAGTTTTTTAATCTCCTATTATTGATCCTCATTATCTTTTGAGAGTTTTTATATTTTATCAATTGGTAATTATTCATTACTTTATTAAATTTATTGCTTTAATTCAACAATTTATTATTCTAACAACTTTTTTTCAGAAGCATTTTTATTAATCATGTTTTCATATGATTAATTTTATTGTATCAAATTTTAAATTGTCTAATTCAATTTATTTACTTTAGTTTAAAATTATTATATTTAATCAATCTAATCTTTTAATTTAATAATTTCATTTTAAGATTAATTAAGTAGATTTTCAAGTTCTTATTTCTATTTTTATAAGGTTTTATTATTGTCTTACAGTTTAATTAATCTTTATTCATTTATCCTTATTTTTTCTGATAATGTATGATTTTATTATTATTATTCATTATTTAGTTTATCAAGTTATAATTATTGATTTTCATTTTATAATTAATAATTTTTGATAGTTTCCATATATTCATTTTGTTTTTTTTCAAATTAATTTTAAATATATTATTTTTCTTTTTATAATTTAGTTATTTCAGTCTATTATTTATCACAATCATTTAATAAACTATTACAATTTTATTTTAACAAAATCACTTAATCATTAAGATTAATTTAAATGTTTTGACTTTCCTATAATTTTGCTTTTAATTAAAATATTTCTTCTTGTTTTTGAATCTAAATATTATGATTAATTTACTTAAAGTACTTTAGATTAATTTAAATCATTTAATTCAGAAATGAGTTGTTCTTTTTTTTGATTTTCATCTAATAAGATACTAAGTTCTTATTCTAATTTCTAAGTTCTAATTTAAAATTCTTTTTTAAGGTATGATTCTTATTCTAAAGCAATTTCTTTTTCCTTTTCTAAATTATCTACAATAGTTTAATGATGTTTTTTGAATTCATTAAATTGTTCTTCAAGATTCTAATTTAAATTTATAATTTAATCAATAGATTTTTTTTAATTAATTTTGAATTATACTTCTTATGATATGATTTAATTGGATGAATTATGGTTTAATTATTTTTGATCATGAGCTTTTTATTTTTATATAATTTAATTTAACTTAATAATGATTTTATTGAGTTATTATTATTTCAATTGAATTTTCTAGTTTGTTTAGTTTTAATATTAATAAATAAATTGAAATATTTCTGACTAGAATAAATAGAAAGCCTATTAGATATTAGGATATGTTTAGAAATCTATTTAATCAAAAGAATTATTGACTTCATCAAGATCTGTTTGTTAATAAATTTTTTACATAATAGATCTAGCATCAGAGAGTTGTTAAGTTAATCCTTTGATTGAGTTAGATAAACTGAAATTTTCAATTTTTAATTAATCTTAAATATTTTACAAGTTTAGAATTTAAGATTAATAAAACTATTTAACTTTTTCATTTTGTAGTTTTATGTCAGATATTTCTTGCAATAATTAATCAACTCTTGTATTTTGAATAATTAATTATTTATTATCAGATAATACATCTAATTTGATAGTATTACAATTAGATGGACTTAAATATTTCAAATTTTAAGTTGAAAAATTAGAAGTTAATGTAGTTAACTTTTAAGTTTTGATTAATTTATCATTGTTTTCTAGATAAGTTAGATGAGGATTAAGTTAAGAAGATGAGTTTTTGTTTTAGATTTAAGAGTCACCTATTTTTTTTGAAATATTTTGTTATAGTAAAAATGATTATGATTCAGTTTTATTAATATTTTGTGTATTCTTCAAATATGATTTAGTATTTACACTACCTCCTCTAGATCTTTCTTAATTTATAATTGTTTGATTTCGAAAGGAATTCATGGGTTATAAAATTATATTAATAAAATAAATAAGAATTGATCAATTTCACCAATATCCTCTTCTATAATAACCATCATAATATTTATTTTAATAATAAGATGAATATTATGCAGGATAATCTAAAATCTTAGATTAAGAAGATTATTAACTAATTTAATATGTATAATTACATTTAGATAGGTTATGTAGTATATAATGGATGAGTTAATGTTCTACTTAAAGGTAGAACTTAAGAATCTGGAATTAATGGAGGAGGATTATAAGAAGGAGGTAATAAATATGCAATAATATGATGCTCAGGTGATCTTAATTCTAATAAATAATCATCTGCATGTAAGAATGAATGGGATACAAATGAACCTATTGAATATATTATTATTGAAAAACAACGACCTATTTATATAATACATAAAATACCATATTTCTCTTCTAAATTATGTCTAATATAATCTGTTTTATGTGCATAATGTTCTTAATGTAATGATTTATTATAAAAGTCCATTATATCTATTTTCATTTCATTACTAATTTAAAATCCTTATTTTATGCATTCAATTTTCACTTTTTATGCCATTGAACGGTTAAAAATTATTTAATAAATTTATTTATTTGCTTAAAAAAACAATCATTTTCAATAAATTTTATTATAAAAAATGTAAGAAAGCATATATAACTTAATTCCTAAAGAGAAAACTCCTCCTAAAAAAGTTACTAAATTATATAAATCCACTATTCCAGGTGATATTGCTCCAACTGGTAGTACATTTGGAACTCAATCTTAAATTATTCCTGTTACTAATCTTAATGGATCATACATTATTTAACCTAATCGATATAGATCAGAAAGTGGTATATTAGGTAAATCTAAAAATTGTATTTAAATAATTCATAACTTTAGAAAAACTAGAACCAATTAAACATAAGCATATGGGTAATAATAGTCTAGATATATGGGTTGAAAAAGGATATATTCATAGAAGTGTTGATCTAACACATTAACATTCTCCTACTAAACCATAAATACCTAAATTGACTGATAAACCTATTATGGGAATTTAATAATCTAAGAATTTTATTGCTACTAATGCTATAGATGTTATTTTAGCTAGTTATATTTTATTTTAATACTTAGATCCTAAATAAAAATAAACTTAACCTGATTGGACTAAAAAATCTCTCTATGGTAAAGTTCCACCTTATCTAACATTAATTAAAGACACGCTTAAAGATCAATTCTATGAAGAACAACATAGGAAATAATTAGAATAATCATAATAAGATAACAAATTGTATTTCATCTATTTTCTAATAGACAATAAATGCCTGAAGAAGAATTAGAATTAATTAGATTAGGCTTAAAAAAAAAATATGATGAATTGAATCAATAATATTAATAATAAACACATTGCAGAGTATTTGGAACAATAGGAGTAAAAAGAAGAAAAGAAAATTATGAAAAAGAATTGTTATAATTAGAATAAGATATTGAAAAATTGAATAAAAAATATGTATTTATTTAGCATTGACATATTAATAATAAATACATTAATACTCTATTATTATATATTTGATCGTAAAAATATCATTTTTTACCTTGATAAACATATTGTAAATATTAAAATTTTACCTTTCATCATATTTTATTATTAATTTATGAATAAATTTTAGTATAATTATTGATGTAACATTCAAATAACAAAAACAGATTCAATTCAACCAGAATATTTTGTTTGACTTAGTAAATGATATATTGTCTTTAAAATTAATTTATAAATCTAAATGTAATATCATGTAAAGAAATAAAAAATGTAAAATCAACTTAAATAATTGATAAATGAAATAGATTTAATATAATATGATAATGATTATTATAATTCTAATAATTATATAATAAAAATGGCTTTATGGAAAATATTTCAAAAGGCAGGTTAAAAATCTACAATGCCTGCTCTGTTTAAAGAGACTTTATTTGAAAAACCAAATGAATTTTAATATAAAGTGAAAAATATAGCAATAAGTTATGAAACATCATCTTGGATGTTAAGAGAAGGTATAGTAGAATACAATCCAAATAAATGGGGATATGTTTTAAGTAAATCTCATAGAGACTTTAATGATTATTGGACAAGAAGTATATAAAAATAAGATTAATAGCAATGTTTACAAGATGTGGATTATTTTTGACAGCATGTTGGTTATTTAGCTGCTTATATACAAAACCAAGATTTGATTGGTAAGATTATCATGATCCAAAATTTGAATAGAAGACTTACGGTGATTTAGAGGAAGGAGGTGATGAAGGAGGAGATGATGATTGAAATATAAATGAGAAATATAAATAAAGAATAAATATTAGATAAAGATCCTAGATATAATTATATTAATTTAAATTATAATGAATCCTCCTGTTAGTGGAAAGATTATAAATTGTCCAGGTAAGAGAGTAGCTGATTATCTATTTATAAAAGAGATAGGAAAAGGAGCATTCGGATAAGTATTAATTGTCATTTAAATAAGGTATTTTAAGCAAAAAATACTGTAACAAATGAAGTGGTTGCAATTAAATGTATAGCAAGATCTAAATTATCTGATCATGGAGGAATTGTAGGTTAATTAATTAAAAGTGAAGTTGAAGTATTAAAATAGATCAATAATTAACATGTTGTTAAATTAGTCTCATATTTAGAATCTGCAAATTAATGCTATATTGTTTTAGAATATTGCAATTGTAATCATAATAATATTTATTTATATTAGCTGGTGATTTTGAATAATTGTGGCAAAATAGAAATAAAAAAATACCAGAGAATGAAGCTATTGATTATATGAAATAAGTTTTGGCTGGTATGTAAGCATTACATGAAAAGAATATTTTGCATAGAGATCTTAAACTAGCTAATATTTTAATACATAATTCTACTCTTAAAATAGCAGATTTAGGATTTTCTAAATAATTAAGTGATCCAAATTAATAAGAAAAACTAAGTCTAGGGTCTCTTGGTAATATGGCTCCTGAAATTGTAGAATAATAACCATATGGAATGGCAGCAGATATGTTTTCTATTGGCAGTATGTTTTATTAACTTATTTTTGGATAATTACCATTTAGTAATTAAAATCAATTAAAATTTTTAGAAGATATTAAAAATAGTAAATTTTATTATTTATTTAAGATAAACCTAATTTTAGAAGAAATGATATCATGATTTCATCTGAATTAGAATCTCTTCTAGAAAGGATGCTAATTAAAGACCCTATAAGAAGATTAAAATGGAGTGAATTGTATTCCCATCCATTAATGCAACATAAAGATTTAAGTAGATTTATAATCTTCCTTAGGATATACTCAATTATCATTGAATGCTATTCAGGCTGACTTAATTAATACTAAAGAAATAGGACAATTTTACAAAGAAAAAGATTAAAATAAAATGGTTGAAAATTCTTAAGATCTTCTTCAATCTAGATTGAATATTAATAAATAATAAGAATTTTAAATTGATAAACCCATTTATTAATAATTAATTGAAGATGAAGGAACTCCAGGAGAAGATGAAGATAATATTAAAAAACTTGATTAATTACGATAAAATATGGAATAACAAATTCTAGAAGATAAATAGGTCGAAGAATATATTAATAAATATTTGAGTTTAAGAGATGAAATAGTATTTGTATCCAGAACTTTAAATTAAGTATTTGAAAACCTTGCATAAGATGAATGTTGTTTACTTTGTTTAATGTTGGCTAAAAGAATTTATATTTTAAATGAAAAATTGACTTAAATTCTATTATCTTAAGATAATATCTTTTAAATTAATGAAAGAATATTAAAAAAAATATATGAACATCAACACTTTTAGAAGTTTGTGTCATAAATTGTAGAAGAATCATTATATGCAAAAGATTATGTCACTTTCTTTGCTGAATCATTATAGTATAATCATATTTATTAGTAGAAATTAACCTAAACTAATTTAAAACAAAAAAGATTGGCATTCAGAATTTTAAAAAGAAATTTCAATGTAATTTGATTCAATTTTTAAAGAAGTTCTGAATGACTTTTCATTTAAATTAATGGAATTAGTTCATAAAACTAATATAAATTTGGAATATGGAGATGAATAAAAAAGAAACTTACATAGAGATTATTTCTAATTGCTAATTCATCTAATTGATTGCATTAATTTTGATAAATTATTTAATCATGGAGTAATGCTCTTTATCTTATATAAATTAGAATGTCAATATTTACTAATAATTTGATGGACTAGCCAATAAATCTTTAGAAGAATTAAAAGAAACAGCAACATAGAAATTCAATGAAATGTTTGAATGAAACCTAAAGTTTTATTATTATATTTTAATATAAATTAATTTCAGTTTCAAATGGCAGATGAAAACTTGGAATAGATAATTGATATGCCAGAATAATCAGATATGATCAATGATGCAAGAACACAAGTATATAATAAATCTACTTTTCAAGGCTAGATATGCAGTCGAACATTTTAAAGTCGAATCCTAAATTTCCAATTATATAAAGAAGTTTTTCGATGAGAAATATGGTCCAAATTGGCATTGTGTTGTTGGTAAGCATACTAATTAAATTACAAAGGAAAACATTTCAATTCCTACACATCATATGAAAGCAAACGTTATATGTTTTTTTACGAGGGCTAAATGGCTATATTACTATATAAGATGGGTTGATCAATAAAACATTTTATTAAATATCAAATCCTATTCTGATTATTCTTTTCTAAAGCCTTCATTAATAATATTCGTCTAGGAATTTTAACAATATTATCAATTTTAAAACCTTATTCCAAATATAAAATAATGAATAAATTCCTTTTTTTTATTAAGGAATATATATTTTTCATATTTAATTTGATTATAAAAAATTTATTGGTTTTAAAAATAAAACAATATAAGGAAGATTCAAAATCCTAAATGAAAATTAAATAATAAATCCTAACACCAAAACAATATTTAAAAATTTATTTAATGGAATAGAGAATTGAAAAAGTGCAGATGCTATTCATTTTCTAGATAAGTTGGGAAAATATCTCATAAACTATTATTATATATATTAATAATAATTATATATTATTATTCTTAATATATTAATAATGATATTTAATTTTTTTTCTTGAAAGAGCAACTTGAAATTGTCTAAACAGAAACAAGTTAAAATTTATTTTCAAATCCTTTTCAGCACGAATTAATCAAAATCTAAATTAATCATTAAAATAACAATTATGGTTAACATGCTAAATTATGCAATATAATGAAGACGCATAAAACAATTTCTTAATTGTCCAAGAAATTTTATTTTGGCAAAAAGAAATAACTCTATTGAACATAATGATTTATATTATAAACAAATAGGTTAGAGAGAGTGGATATTTAAATAATAAAAAATTGAAATATAACATAATTTAAGATTGTAAAATAAAATAAGACAAATTTCAATGACTCTAAACTTATATTGCTAAGATTGATTAGGTTTGCTCTAACTAATTTTAAAGAGTTTAGATTATAGTGATAGCATCATTAGAAAATGATATAGTAAATTCTCCAACAGCAGTCATCTAAGAGTGTAATAAAGGGAAAATTGATATAACATTGGCACTGTTTAAACAATAATAGTATTATTTCTTTAAGTTGCATGAATTACACATAAAAAATTATGTATATAGTTTTTTCTTTTGTGTATCACATTTATATTATATGACAACATGAAGTTCAGATACTTATGAAACATAAAGTTTTTCAGTTGTAGGAGAAGAATAAAATTTATTAAGTTCAGTGATGACTAATTAAAATGCAGGTGTTGGTTAATTTGAATAATACTCTGTTTGACTTATTCTTGCAGTTTTAATTATCCATGGCAAATAGACTTTTGTAATAGTTCTGTGAAAATAGGCATTGGTAAATCTCAATGTTTAAACATTATTTCCACCACCAGGCCCTAAAATAATAGATAAATTTTATACATTTGCCATAAGTATAGTAATTTGAATATGGTATTCTCTTAACTCTAAGATTTATAGTTTAACCCCATTTTAATCCTTGCAAACCAACAGTCCAATCTTTATCATTTGGGAATATAAATGTAGGACTAGTGTATAAGTCTCCATTAAATACTATTTAATTATCTACATCAAAGGCATCATGAATTGCAAGAAATATTTAGTAACCTAGTTTGATTAAGTTTAAGTTATTTGACTTGATTTCAATGACGACATCTTAAAAATTGATGCTTTTTATCTAAAATTAGATTAAATGATACAGATATTTCAAAATCGATTGGTCCTTTATAACATAAAGATGTCACATGAATTAATCCTTTTGAAAAGTTAGGATTAAAATGTGGATGAGTGATTTAAGTAGAAAAAGTTGCACTAGATTGTTATATATCATAATTCACTACATTGATGACTTAAATTCTTCTGTCATCATAAGCATACCAATTAAAAGGAGTATCCCAAACTCTATAAGAATATAAACATCTAAGTTAAACTTTAAACTCTAAAATATTAGTTTTATCTTTACTGCTTGTAGTTATCTCAGTTACTTAGATGTCATATCCATTAGGTTAATAATAATCATAGTTATATTTATAGATGACTATCGAGACTTATGGTGGTCTTTCAAATATTCCTGAAAATGTAAACTCTTTTAAATAATTCGTATTAGGATTTGCTTGAAATCCATCTTCCCAATTGTATTATGTAGCAAATCCAGTATCGTATGTAATATAGCCAGATGAGAAAACAATCAGCAACATAATAAATGCAAAGCTATGATATTTCATAACAAATAATTAATTTTTTAATCAATTATCTCAATCTAGAAAATTAAATATACAAATAACAACTTAGTTGCTGTCTATTAACAAATAATCTTGAAGAAAATCAATTCAAAGATTTATAGTATCCTTCATATTTTTGAGGTGATGTTAACATTTATAACAATAATTTAATAATTATTCGTTTTTCTATTCATTATATTTTTAAGGAAATATACACACATCCATATTTAATGCCACTAAAATAAATACTATATTTTAGAAAATGATGAAAAAATCTCCAAAATATTTGGCCGTCACTGCAAATAAATATTGATTTTGTTTTTTTAAAAAAGTAAAACAATTAAAAATTATTTAAATATTATCGAATTAATATGATAATTTTTAAATTTAAAGAAATTAGTTAGGAATTTTTTTACAAATAGAATCACTCTTTCACTATTTATAAAAATATAACAATAGTTCATTTATTTTTCACTCTATGTTATTCTAATTGATTATAAATATCTCTTCTTAATTATCAAGAAAATCAAATCATAAATTTTCTTTTTTCTTATTATTCAACTTTTATACAACTAATATCAGAAAGTAATGAAAAGTTAAATGAATAAATCAACACATCGATATCGCTTGAGAAAATGCATAACAACATCTTGTTCATTTTTGAGAGCAAATAGCTATGTTTTTAATTATCTGATAGTTGCTAAAAGATTATACATTTATAGGATCGTAATTTTTATTATTTTATTAGTTGTAATGATCAAAAAATTTTAATAAAAAATTATACCAAAAACATATAAATACATTGAATTGAAAATTATTGATTAAAAGGTAAAATCTTATAATGTGATTATAGTTTTTTAATTGAAATTCATCCCATATGTTCTGATATTTTTTGGAAACGTTATAAATTGCTTAATATAATACAGATGGTCAATAGCCAAAAGGCATTAACTACAGTCCAATCATTAGTCTTTTGGCGACAATTTGAAAATAGGAAGCCAGGCTACATTCAACAATCTTGAAGGCTTAATCAAAAAGAAGACCTAGAAGAGATAAATTTAGAATATCTAAATAAATGTTAAAAATTCTTTCGAGTATAATTAAAATATGTAAATAACATAAGAAAAAAACAATAAATATTCTAAGAATCATTCGTTTTGTAATAAAATTATTATTAATTAGATAATTAATATTATCATTAAATATATTTCGAAGCAACATTTTTTCTCATTTTTATTTTGTATACATCATTTCTAAAAATTTGAAATTAAGAAATATATAATGTTAAGGTGATTAAATACACCATCTTTGAAATAAAAAAGATATAAAATTCTTCTACAACATTCTCTAATGGATTTTGATATTCTAGATTATTTCTTATTATTTAATATATGATCAAAACCAGTATTACAATAATAAATACTCATTGACTTTTGAATTAAATATAATAAAGATTTTTATTTTTTAATATAGAATCTAATATATATAATTATCAATTGTTTATTTATGACAAAAATCACTATAAAAATTGAAATCTAATGTTGATGGTTTATGTTTAAAAACGTAAATCTTTTATTAAATTTATAGAATTATTTATAATAAATTCTGAAGTTTAATCTATTTTAAAATTCTCTATCTAAATTTTTTAGCAAAAATATCAAGAGAAGATGCAAAATTATACAGATAAGCATTATAATTAATCATCATATTTAATTTTATTATGTTTTGAAAAATTAATTTGTTATTATTTATTGATCCAATAAAAATAAAAATTTTTAAATAAAAATATTCAATATGTTTGTTGGAAATAATTCTTTTTATCAAATTAAGACTTTTAATGTTTTAATAATTTCATTTATTATCTAAATCAACTTGTTAATTATCTAAATCTACTTCTTTTTTATCTAAATCGACTTCTTTTTTATCTAAATCTACTTCTTTTTTATCTGAATCGACTTCTTTATTATCTGGATCATCTTAAATGGCATTTTCAAATCCATTAAATGCAATTTGAAAACAAATACCTGTAATAGCAAACCAATTTGAAACTGGAATATTATAATCAAGTGAGGCTTCTTTAAACTTATTATATTTTAAAATTTAAACTTGTGCTGTATCTGACCCTACTATCATTCCAACAGTAATAATAACCCATGCTAAAAATGTTATTTTTAATGATCCATATTTTAATTAACCTTAATCTATTGCAATATCGATTAAACTATATAACAAAAGTAAAATAAGAGCACTTGCCCCTATTATATTTAATATCACCCAAATTTAATAGTGGTCCATTTTTGATAGATCTTCTATATTAAAAGTACTTGCTTGAAAACAGTATAATACTAAAATTATATTTTACTATCCTATTGGTAACCTAGCATATAAATTTTCAATTACATTTGTTCTTCTTAGAATATTTTTAATATAAAATAAATAATATCATAATCTTTATTAATAACTTTATTTAAACCTCAAAAATAAAAATTTTATGTGTTGTATAAATTTTCTATTTAATTCATTTTTATTTTATATATATCAACACACATTTTTATTCATTTATAAATTTTCATCATCTAATATATAATATATTCATAAACAATTTCTACATAAAGTTTAATTTAACAATTATAATCAGGTAGCTTCAAATTTTAATGAAAGTATAATTTAGCTTTTAACAGAAATATTGAAATTCAAAATATTTGGCTCTTTATAAAGTCCACTACCAATATACCAAACTTCAGCATAAGTAATATGCTTAAATTTCATTGGTAATAATAAACTATTACAAAATAATTTGATAATTTAAAAGAATTTGGAGGTCATCAACTTAGAAAAAGTTAATCTTTTAATCAATTAAGTTTTTTACCTATACCAAATATTAACTAAATTTATTTCATTAATTGTAAAAGTATAATATCTCCAATATTTCTAAAAGTTATTTCATGGAATTATTTAAAGAGTAGTTAGTTACTTATAAAATTATTATCTAGAATTTAATTAAATAAAATTTAACTATTTTATTTGTTTAGTATAATTATATCCAATTAGTTAATATAAATTAATATTCTTAAATTTCTTGTATTGATATATTTTAGATGATTTTTTGTTTTTTTTACTTCTTTTTATTTTCAAGGATAAAATTGTATACTAACCTTATCTATCAATTTAATAATATTCAATAATAATATTTCTTATGATATGGAACTCAAACGCATTTATTTAGTTAACTTTATTTTAAGAAATTATTAATTACTGAGTATTTATCCGAATAAATAGAAATTTATAAGCATTCTTTGTTATCTTCCTTGATTCTTTAAATATTTCTTTTTATATCAGAAGATGTCTAAAGCCTTATTTAATAATAAAATATTATTAATGTATTTTTATATTCCTCATCATTGGAAGGCTTTAAGTATCATATTTTTAGAGAAAAGTATTTTTTTAATGTTTTTACAAACCTTATCGTTTAAATTATTCAAAATAAAATAAATTCTTCAAAAATTTCCATAAACTATGATGACTATAAAAATGTTATCCAAAATCATTTATGACAGATATTAAATTTAAATAAAAATTTAAGATTTGATTTATATCAATATATGGTAAGTTTTTTTTTTATTTATGAATTTTACTTGTCAAACCAATTTTACTTTTTTAATTTCTTGTAATGAAAATTAAAATTTATTTTTCAAATACTTCATAGATGTAATTAGGATGATGTTAAAATGTTTAACTTGCTATTTTTATTATTTATTTATTTTTTTTGAGTTCTCATTGGATTGTGATAGATTAATTAGGGATTATATAAATAATTGATAATGTGATGATGGAAGAGTAAGAAAATTAGAAGAGCACATTTAAAAATCTAATTGAGAATGTAATTTTTTAATTCCTTATTACTATTATTTTTTTTATTTATTATTCATATAATAATATATATTAAAACATGATGTGATTTTTGTTTGTTATATACTTAGAATGAGTGATTTATAAAAGTTTTATGAAAAATGATGAAATAATTTATATATAAAAAAGACTCAACCAGTTATTTTTTTGTTGAATTAGCTGACTATTTAAGGATTTTTAGATGAGGATTATGAATAATAATAATAAATAGCAATAATTTTTTGGTAAATAAAGTCGTTAGAAATATAAACTGTTATAGGATGGAAAGATTACAAAGAAGATTTTAGGAAAGTATTTCCATCTGGCAATAATTTATGTCCTGAATTTCATGTACAGATGCCTGGTTTACATCCACATTAATGTGTTTGTAAGTATTTTTATTATTATTAGCTTATGATCCAATTTGTATAGGAGTAAATTAAGTAGAAACTAAAATTGATAATAATGTTTATCATTTATGTCATCCCAGGTTAAAAACAGCAAATATGATATATGATGATATCAGTGTAATTTGTGAACCGCTATACTAATTGAGAATTTAACTTTAACTTGATGGGAAAATGATTTATAAATGTGAAAAAATCACGGATTTATGCTTAATAAAATTAATATATCCTGTTAGTAATTATCGCGATGAAGAAGATTGTTTATTTTTGTAGGTTTCCCTATTATTGAAAGGATTGTGGTTATATCAGATCAGGATATGATTATGGTAGAAGTTACTAAAGTCCACTAAGTATAAATTATTTTGAATATATAGAATGTTATAGCGAATAATGTAAGTCTTGTGAAACTTAGGATAAATGTGGAATTTGTATATATGGTTATATCAGTCCAGAGTATATGATGTTACTAAACCTTAGTAGTGCTAAATTAGTAAGATAAAGGCTTATCATTATTTTTAGTATGCCCTGATCCAACAAAATTATGTTCTTTAGATTAAACAGGAACTATAAAAATAAGTTCCTTTTGTATGGAGGGTTAATCAAAGGATTTGAATAACATTAGTATTTATTCTATTATGGACTTTGATAGATTGTCAAAAGTGTGAAGAAAATTGTTTATCGTGTGGATTTTATAAATCTTCCGCTGGAAATTAATATTCTACTTGTGATTTTTGTTCAGTTGGCTAATAATTAGTGATTACTTAAAAACAAGTGTATAAGTTTTTAAGAGTGTGTAGCAAAATATGATTACGAACTCATAAATCAATTTGAATATCTAGATAATTTATATAAATATGGGTCTTATAAGTAATTTTATATATGAAGCATTTAGTTGACTTGTAAACAATGTAATTTAGGATATTCTCCTTAAGAATATGAAGATTTAGAAGAGTTTGTTTACCATTCCATTTAAGATAAGATTATTGCTTCTAAACAAGCTAAGATCAGAAGAAATGTATTCCTTGTATTCCATGGCATACATTACTATCTGATGGTACATGCTCATCTTACACCTTTAAATTGTAGTCCATTCTGTCTAACATGTTTTAATACTAATCCTTAATTTTGTACAACTTATGATCTATCTAAACTTTTAATACTTGATGGTATTAATGGTATCTCATGTAAACCAGACTCTAATAGAATTTTAGTGAATAAAGAATGAATTTGTTAACCTGAATCATATGATCCTGAGAATGAAGATTAAATTTATCTTCATATATTTATTGAATCTTATTTTAAGTTTGTGATAAATCTGAAAGTATATCTTTCAAGATTCAAATTGATAATCATTGTCCATGTAAGATTGGATATGCTGATTATTTAATTTAAGACTTAAATGTGGAAGTATTTTGTAAATTTATTAATTCAGTCTGTCATTCAAGATGTCGAACTTGTTTCTAACCTGCAGATGAAACTATGAACTAATATTGTCTAACTTGTATTCCTGGAGAAAATCGTATTGTATCAGATGATTTCAAATGTTAATGCATAGAAAATTATGGTGATAATAATGGTACTACCAATATTTGTTTCACTAAATTATATTAGTTATCATAGCTTGTGATTATACTTGTGGAAGATGTTAAAATTCTCAACCAACTGGTTGTGTAGCTTGTTTAGAAATCTCAAATAGATATTTGACAATTTTAGGTTAATGTTTGTGTAATACATCATATTATGATGATTTAACAAATAATATTGAATGTTCAAGTAATTATAAAATTATTTTATAATTTAATAGAATGTTATTACACTTGTTAAGAATGTGCCAATAGTTCTGAAAAAGATGCTTGTATACAATGTCCATAAACTAGAATACCTAGTAATCCATCAGCTGGTAATTTTGAGTGTATTTGTCAATTTTCTAATTATTTTGATGACGGATTTTCTCTAACATGTTAACTATTTGATTTCACTTGTTAAACTTGTAATGGACCACTTTCATCTAATTGTTTAACATGTGATAAATAATATAGATAGCTTGATTTTTCAACATGTATCTGCCCAGATCAATTTTATGATATTGGAGAATTATAATGCCAAAGTATATTCATTAAAAAATATCAATATCAATAGGTTGTCATTATTCTTGTCAAAAATGTTTCGATAATACAGATAATGGTTGTATAGGTTTGTTCTTTGGTACTTAATTTTAGAGTGTTAAAGGGTAACTTTTGCTAATGTATTGATGGATATTATGAAGAATCTGGTTTAGCAGAGTGCAAAAGTAATTATATAAATTATTAATTAATAGAATGCTCATATAAATGCTAAACATGTGAAACTATGGAAGATAAATGTTTAACATGCCCAATAAATAGTTGTTTATGTTCTGTGGAGAATTATATGATAAAGAAAATGAAATAACCTGTTAAAGTATTTAGTTTATTGATAAAAGAATGCCACTTTAAATACAAAACTTGTATGGCTTATGGGAAAGATTAAGGTGCTTCTTGGGATTCAATTGCAAATAGAGAACTAAAACTGGATTAATGCAAATGTAAACTCATTACTTTGAAATGGAAGTTTAGGAATGCGCAGGTAAATTATTAGATTTAAGTACAGTTTGTAGTGCCTTCTGTTAGGAATGTATAAACAAATTTGATAATTGTACTTCATGTTATGATGATAGATATTTAGATGGAAATACGTATATATGCACCACTAAAATTTTAGGTGGTGCTATAAGTAATGCTAATTTTAACAGTATTAAATTATACATATGACTTTAATGACTTAGTTAAATGTTAAAGTATTAAATTCAATCATTATAAGAAAGTCATTATTCTTGCGGATCTTGTGGAGGTATTGAAGAAACAGATTGCCTTACTTGTATGGAAAATGAAAATAGATATTAAGTTCGAAATACTTGTGTCTGTAAGAATGGATATTTCGATATAGGATTACCTATTTGTGAAAGTACTAATAAATTTTATATAATAGAATGTAGTTATCAATTTAAAGATTATAAATCTTAGTCTGATAGCTGTACTTCATCCCAAGATAATACTTTTAGAATAATAATTTCTGGTTTCAATAAATGCTAATGTATTTAAGGATATTATGACGATGGATAAAATGAAATTTGTCAAAGTATCTAATACTAAAAATAATTTGCAACGATATTTAAACTAAATGCGAATTTTGCTCTATCGAATCAAATAGAAGTTATAATGAACAACTTTTAACATGTGATTGCAATATTGGATATTATGATTCTGGAATAGAAAATTGCGAGAAATGCCACTATTCATATTTAAATTGTAGTTCTTGTATATCATGTGTAGATTCAAAAAATTCTAATCGATCATTTCATAATAACACTTGTGAGTGTTTATTTGGATATTTTGATAATGGTAAATCAGTAGAGTGTTAAAAATGTGATATTTAATGTCTAAGTTGTATAGATTAATCTTACCAGTTTCAATCCTGTCCTTAAACAAGAAAAATACAAAGTAATTGCAAATGTGCAGAGGGTTATTATGATGTAGGCTAGTAACTTTGTTTAAATTGTAATTAAATGTGTATGTTATGTGAATTCACTTCAAATAACTGTACATCTTGTTATAGTGATTAATATAGAGAACTTAACTTAATTACTAAAACATGTGATTGTTAAATTGGATATACTGAAATAGATGAAGTTTGTTAATAATGTCAATAGAGTTGTTAAGCATGTTCTTAATCAATTAATAATTGTATTTCTTGTGGTTAATTCTGAATGCTGAAAAATAATACTTGTGTTTGTACTGATGGAATGTTTGAATCTAATGTAGATAATTCATGTAAGTTTTGCGATAAAACTTGTTTGACTTGTAGTTTATCTAACACTCATTGTTTATCATGTTCAACTGTTAATTATAGAACATTACAACCAGGAAATATATGTGAATGTTTATAAGGATATTTTTGAAGATTCAATAACAAAGAATTGTGAATTATGTGAAAAATCATGTTTAACTTGTTCTTTATTTTCTAATAATTGCTTAACATGTGATTTCATTCTTCATTTATCTTTATTATTTAATTAATGTTAATGTTAACAATCATATTACTTTAATTCTTTGAATAAATAATGTGAATGNTTAGGAATGTATAAACAAATTTGATAATTGTACTTCATGTTATGATGATAGATATTTAGATGGAAATACGTATATATGCACCACTAAAATTTTAGGTGGTGCTATAAGTAATGCTAATTTTAACAGTATTAAATTATACATATGACTTTAATGACTTAGTTAAATGTTAAAGTATTAAATTCAATCATTATAAGAAAGTCATTATTCTTGCGGATCTTGTGGAGGTATTGAAGAAACAGATTGCCTTACTTGTATGGAAAATGAAAATAGATATTAAGTTCGAAATACTTGTGTCTGTAAGAATGGATATTTCGATATAGGATTACCTATTTGTGAAAGTACTAATAAATTTTATATAATAGAATGTAGTTATCAATTTAAAGATTATAAATCTTAGTCTGATAGCTGTACTTCATCCCAAGATAATACTTTTAGAATAATAATTTCTGGTTTCAATAAATGCTAATGTATTTAAGGATATTATGACGATGGATAAAATGAAATTTGTCAAAGTATCTAATACTAAAAATAATTTGCAACGATATTTAAACTAAATGCGAATTTTGCTCTATCGAATCAAATAGAAGTTATAATGAACAACTTTTAACATGTGATTGCAATATTGGATATTATGATTCTGGAATAGAAAATTGCGAGAAATGCCACTATTCATATTTAAATTGTAGTTCTTGTATATCATGTGTAGATTCAAAAAATTCTAATCGATCATTTCATAATAACACTTGTGAGTGTTTATTTGGATATTTTGATAATGGTAAATCAGTAGAGTGTTAAAAATGTGATATTTAATGTCTAAGTTGTATAGATTAATCTTACCAGTTTCAATCCTGTCCTTAAACAAGAAAAATACAAAGTAATTGCAAATGTGCAGAGGGTTATTATGATGTAGGCTAGTAACTTTGTTTAAATTGTAATTAAATGTGTATGTTATGTGAATTCACTTCAAATAACTGTACATCTTGTTATAGTGATTAATATAGAGAACTTAACTTAATTACTAAAACATGTGATTGTTAAATTGGATATACTGAAATAGATGAAGTTTGTTAATAATGTCAATAGAGTTGTTAAGCATGTTCTTAATCAATTAATAATTGTATTTCTTGTGGTTAATTCTGAATGCTGAAAAATAATACTTGTGTTTGTACTGATGGAATGTTTGAATCTAATGTAGATAATTCATGTAAGTTTTGCGATAAAACTTGTTTGACTTGTAGTTTATCTAACACTCATTGTTTATCATGTTCAACTGTTAATTATAGAACATTACAACCAGGAAATATATGTGAATGTTTATAAGGATATTTTTGAAGATTCAATAACAAAGAATTGTGAATTATGTGAAAAATCATGTTTAACTTGTTCTTTATTTTCTAATAATTGCTTAACATGTGATTTCATTCTTCATTTATCTTTATTATTTAATTAATGTTAATGTTAACAATCATATTACTTTAATTCTTTGAATAAATAATGTGAATGTAATTATATATTTATTTATATCTAGAATGCAATATTACTTGTCTAGAATGTCCTAATTATAATTAATGTACTTTATGTCGATAGACAACCAGACACTTAGAATAGGATCAAAAGAAATGTTTGTGTAATGATGGGTTTTATGAGACCAACTATATTCAATTATTTTTTACTATTTTAGAATGCCATTTTTCATGTGAGACAAGTGAAAATACTAATAGTTATTGTTTAAGTTGCTTAGATGTTTATTAAAGAATATTAATAAATAATAAAAGTTTATGTTTAGATGGTTATTACGATGCTGGAACCGAATTATGTTAGAAATGTGTTAATATTTGTAAAACCAGTTAATCTTCTGCCTCAACTTGCTTACCTTGCTTTAATATTGAATAATTAAGAATACTATAAGGAGATAAATGTATATGCTAACCTGGTTATTATGATTAAAATACTAATATTTGATATTTGTTTAAGTAATCATATTAAAATTATATAGAATGCTCAAATGAATGTTTTTAACTTGTGTTGGATTAGCTGATTATTGTACAAACTGTGATACTAATGAATCTAAAAATATTTCAATATTTAATTTATCTTTTTTAACTTCAAAAAATTGTATTTAAGCAATTTGATATATAATGTATTAAATTTTAGAATTTTCAACACTTTCAAAAATTCCAGGTAATAAATCTTTATCATTGTGTTAATTAATGAATTGATTTATACATACGAAATAAATAACAATAATTTAATATTTTTTAAATTATCCCCTTATAATTGATAGTTAAAAAATCTAAATTGAATATTGTTTTTTAATTTTCAGTAAAGTTTTATTAACTATTAAACTTAATATGATTTATACCTAAAGTTTATACTATTTTATCAAAATTTGCTGGCTTGCTGCTATAAAATATATTAAATCAATAATTGATTTATAATGCTTCATCAGGTTTCTAGTTTTTAGTATTAATTTAAACTGATTTATAAGCTAACTTTTATCTAATTTAAAAACAAATAACTTTTATTTGTTAAATCTAAACTAGACTATTAGAAAATTAATTATTCTACCATTCCATAATTTAAATTAGTGAAGATACTTTTAATTGCTAACAATTATTGATAAGAAAACAACTTGAAACTTTATTGTTTCCTACATAAATTTTATCTTTATCATATAATTTAAAACTCTTTTTTACTAACGATAAAATTTCTTATCAGCTGTTTCACAATTAGGTTAAAAGATTCTATATACTATGTTTATAAAGCTTTCCTTGAGTATAAAAATTTAAGGCTGAGGTTTTTATATGTATTCCCTCTAATATGAATTTGTTATTTGAAGAAAATCTAATATTCCTATGGAATATTGGAATTATAATCTATCGCTTTCCATATATTTTAGCTGATTTTTTCAACAAATTATTATTGTCATTAATTTTTATATAATAAATTTGTCACTAAGTTTTTTATAAACCATTTGGCACTATCTAATGATTAGATTTACAATATAACTTTATATGTAGCAACTTGATCAAGATTGTTATTAATATAAACAAATACTATCATATTATATGTGCAATTAAATAAAT